TTCCCTTAATAATAATAATATTTATATAGCTTTTAATTAAATTCTTAATATTATTTAAAAACTATTTTTTTTATAGCTTATTAAGAAATTTATTAAATAATTCTTTAATTACCTTTTAAAAAATAAGATTAATAAATTGTTAAATAAAATATTAATTTTATTTAATATTAATAATCTTATATATATAAATATCTTTTATAAAAGCATTATAAAAGATAATCTTAATAAACTAACCTTTATTAAGGATATTTTTTAGCTTAAAGAAAGTATAAATACCTTTAATTAAGATTTACTTAACTTAAGGGTTATAGTAAATAGCTTAAAAAGAAAAAGAAAAATCCTTTTATATTAAATTTTCTAACCTTAATTAAAAAGAATTTATTAATAAAAATATTATTATAAAAAGATATTTAAGGATAAGAGGATTATAATATTTTGCTTTAATTTTAGCTTAATTTAAAGGCTAATTAAAATTAAAAAAATATTAAAAAGAAAAAGAAAGAAAAAGAAACTTAAGAAAGAAAAGAAAATTTATATATATAAAGTTATTATAATAAAAAAAAATAAATAATGCTAATAATAAGCTATTTTATTATTAAAAGAAGTAATTTATTATCTTGCTTTTAATTAAGGTTAATTTATTATTTAAAAAGGGGTTACTTATCTTTAATTCTTTGCTTATAAAGAAGTTATTTATCTTTTTATTATAAAGAAATTTTAATTAAGTAATTTATTTTAGCTTATGCTTAATAAACTTATAAATTAAAAGGAAAGTATTTTATAATTAGTTATTATTTAAGAAAAATAAAAAATTATATACCGCTTTTACTTTAATTATTAATAAAATAATAAATTAATAGCTTTTAATAATAACTTATAAGCTTCTTTATTATTCCTTTTTTTTAATTAATATAATTATTTAACTTAAGGGTAATAAGTTATTAATTTTTGCTGCTTTAAGCCTATATACGCTATTATACTTATTTATTTATAGCTAAGCTTTCTTTTTACCTTTCTTTCTTTTCTTTTTTTTTTTACCTTTATATAATTATTAATTAAATATTAAAGGTTAGCTGCTACCTAATTATTTTAATAAAAGTATATTTTTAATATATTAATCTTTTTCCTTATTTAATTCTTATTTAAAAATAAGCAATAATTATTTATAAAAGTTACCTTAAGCTATACCTAAATATTAATTATATTTCTTTTTTATTTTTAACTTTCTTTACTTTAATTATTTATATAATAATTTTTAAGGGTATAAGGCTTTTTTTATTATTATACCTTCTTTTTTTATTACTTAACTTTTATTATATACTTTTTATTTTATTATTTATCTTCTTTATCTTTTTTTTTATAATTAAAAGCTATAATATCTTTTAATTAAAAAGATAAAGTAAAGAAGTAATTTTAATTACTTTTATATTATAAGGTATTTTAAAACTTTAATGCCTTAATTTTAATAATTAAACTTATTACTTTAAAAAAAAAAAGATTTTATATTAATAATTATAAAACTTTCTTATTTTAATAACTTTAAAAACTTATTTAATAAAGCATTGCAATTTTTAAATATTATAAATATATAAAATTAATAAAACTTTATTTAAAAAGTAAGTATTAACTTTTTTAAAAATCTTTTTAAAATAAGAATTATTATAAATAAGGTTTACTTAAATAATATTTAATAAACTTAAACTCTTAATTATTTATTATTTTTTAATATAAAATAAATAGCATTTAATAATAAGCTTATAAAGATAATATAAAAATATTTTTTAAATATTAACTTTTATTTTAAATTAAGAAAATTAGCTAAGTTAATAAATTTAATAAAATAATATTAAGCCTTTTTTACTTTTAATTTCTTTAATATAAAAGGGATGCTTTATAAATATAAAGAATTAAAAACTTAATATATTATAATCCTTATAACTTAATAGCTTTTTAATTTTTAAAATATTATATTTTTACTTAAAAAATCTTTATATTATAATTATATTTTATTTATAAAATATTAATAATATAAATTAATAAAAGATTATAAATTTATTATTATATTAATTTAAATATTTAATTATTAAATAATAATAATTTTTAATAAAATTAATAATTACTACTTATTATAAAATAATCTTATATTAAGAAATAAAAATAATAAGATAAATAAAAATGTTAAAGCGCTTATTTATAAATATTTAATAACTGCTTAAAAAAATAAAATATAAGATTTTAATAAGGAGTTTATATTTAAATTAAGATAAATTAATAAAATATTTTATAAATAATATGTTATTAAGTTTATTAAAAATTACTTTAAAGAAAATTAAGAAAAAAATAATTAAAAAATATAAAATTAAGCTAAAGCTGCTTTAATTAAAACTATATACCTTAAAATATTTAAAGTTATTATTAATATTGCTATTTAAATATTTATTATTTAATTAAAGCTTAATAAAATTAATAAAGCTATTTAAATATTTATATTAATTTCCCTTATTAAGATTAATAATATAAAAGTAATTAAAATAAAAAATAAGCTTTTATTATAAAAAAAAATTATTTAATAATAATTATTTAAATTATAATATATTAAGATTATTATTAATTAAAAAAAAGGTATAAGGGAAATAATATTTTTAATATAAATTAATTTAATAACTTAATTTTAAATATTTAATATATAGCAAAGCATAAACTTTTATATAGCTTATAATTAGCTAAGTATAACTTTAATTAAATAAGCTTTTAATTTAAGCATTACGTTATAAAATATTTTAAAATTAATAAAAAATGCTTATCTTAATATATATAAGGATTTTTTTTACTTACCTTTTTTAATAATAAATATAAATAAAATTTAAAATATATTAATTAATCTTAAGCAATTAAAATAATAATAAAATTTACTTAAGGATAATTTAAAAAGCTTATAAATAAGCTAACTAAATAATTAAATATAAGGCATAAGATTTAAAAATAAAAGCTTTATAAAAAGTAAAATAAAAGTTAATAAAGCTAATATATTATATTTAATATAATAATTAAAAAAAAAAAAAATTTGCTTTTTATTTTATAAAGATATTTAAATCTTTAATAATTATATTTATGTTAATTATTAAAATAAACTTTAATAGCTAAGAAAATATAATTAATAAATATATTATTAAGTAAGTTTTAAAAATATTTAAAGCTTTTATAAAAGAGTAAAAGTTATAATAAGATAAGTAAGTAAGGAATTAAAAATAATAATAATAATTAAGATTATAATAAAGTAAATTTTAAAACTTAAAGGCTTAATTAAAGATAGCGAGATTTTATTTTAATAATCTTTATAATACTTATTATAAAGTGCCTAAAGAAGGGTATATTAATAAGAGCAGGGAAATATATAAGAAATAGTATTATGCTAAATTCCAGCTAATTATAAAAAGCTAGCTTTTATATTTATTTTAAACATTCTTAAAGAAATTAACTCTTCTCTTTTCTTATATATTTAGGGCTTTAATTAAGCTTTTTTTATTTTTAAAAATTTTTAAAATATTTACTTTTTCCCTTTTTTAACTCCCTTTTATTCTTATCTTCCCTCTTTATTGTATTAAAGCTCCTCCTTAAGTTATCCTTAAGAGGGTTTAGCAAAACCTGTCCCCTATTTATTTGGGTAGCTCGTTTTCAATATTAATATATAATTCTTTATAAAAGCATTATTAATTTATCTTATAGCAAAGTATAGTTTTAAAAACATTAAAGATTTATATAGCTTTATATAACTTAAGAAGTTTAATGTATTTTTCTTAAAAGTTTTTAATTACTTAAATAATTAAAAGTATTTTATCTTTTTTAAAAGGTTTTAATATTATAATTATTAATTTTTAATATATTAAATATTTAAATAAGTAAATAAATAAGAAATTAATATAAAAAGCATTAATGCAATTTTTATTAAAAAATAATCCCCTTATTAAAACTTAATTACTTTTATTTAAGCTATAATTATTTATATTATTTTAAATTAAGCAAATTAATTAAAAATAAGGATTTAATTATAATTAACATTAATTAATATTAAATTTAATTAAATTATTTATATTAAATAAGTGCTAAGGTTAATTAAAGTTGGCAAAAGTTATAAAAGTCCGCTACTTATTAATATGCGCTACTTATTAATAAACCACGTTATATATAAAAAATATTATATTTTTATATTAATTATAAATATATTAATTAATATATATATAAATAATTAAAAGCTAAATATATGCTTTAATATATACCTTTAGCTATTTTAACCTTAAAAGTTATAAAGTTTAATTTTTAATTAAAAATTAAAATACTTTAAATTTCTTATTTTTAAAAAATAAATAAAAAAAAAGATAAAAAAATAAAGCCTTATAAAAAGCTTTCTTTTTATATTATATAAATAAATTCTTAAGAAAAGATATTTAATATTTAATTTAAAGCTAAATGAGTATTTAGTTAAGAGCTAAATAGATATTTAAAAGTGTCCTTAAGAGGTGTGTAATTGCTATCCGCAATTAGAGTTGGTGGACTATCCACCTATCCACGAGGGGTGTTATACGTCAATGTGCCTATTGTAACGCACCATTTTCTTAGCGTTGCTAGGACAGCTAGTAAGGAGTGAGCGAGACGCTACGCACACAGCTTGCGGCATTTCATCTGAATGAGTCTGGAAGAGACCTCTGTCTTCTTCTCCTAGCGTTTTATTTTGCATTTCCAAGTCTCATTGATCTCTCTCCGCCCTTCATATTGTTCTAGGAGCAAGACGTCAATACTGTGATGACATCACAGAGTGCGCACGCGCAGTGTATGGTGCTACCACGCAAGAAGAACAGGACCGCAAGCCCCGCCATAAAGAACTTGTATTGTCGAGATGTTAAATTTCGTACAAACATCGGCTCCTAGCTTTCACTCAGGCATCATGAGGATGGACGAGTACCGTAGTCTCCTTGAGCTTCACTCACTCGCCTAGGTGTGACTTACTTCTCCCGTCGGATGACTCTACAGATCAGGCCAGTTTGCCAAACGAACCAGTAGTCATGCAATTTCCATTCCCTTGCGGGATCAGACAGCTCAAAATCAAACCTCGTCAGCAGCTGTGGCACCAACTTGGATATTTCCAACAAGGAGACGTTCTTTCCCAGGCAGGTCCGGGAGCCGCCACCAAACTAATAATTCGTTAGCAGAGAGGACGGCGTTAAAAAGAGGTCAATGACCAAGACTCCAGAGCTTAAAATGCATCATTTACGTACCGCGAGGAAGTTCCTCTCCATCAGTCGTAGTTGTGCAGGGTCTGCCTCAAGCCATCTTTCTGGCCGGAAGGCATACACGTCCTCTCCATACACGGATCGATCTCTCGCCGCAACCCATGGATTTATACCGATGATTGTCCCCTCGGGTAACCAAACGCCGCCGATTTCTGCATCCCCTTTGGGCACCACGCGCTCGAGCAGGAGGCCGACCGCGGGATGGATGCGCAGGGCCTCCTTGACGACCGCCTGGAAGTACCTGAGCTGCTGCGCCTCCTCGAACGTGACCGGGTCCGAAAGCTGGCCCTGCCGTTCTGCCTCGTCTATCTCGGCGAGTAGCCTACCGTGAATGCCGCGATTGCGGCACAGGTTGTAAATCAGAGCCCGCAGTGTTGCGGCTGTGGTGTCGCTTCCCGCCAGGACGTTGGCGGCGGCGTGGGACATCAGCTCCGTGTCATCCATGACCTGCTCGCCGTCCTTGAAGCGCTTGAAGCGGCCGAGTAGATCGTTCAGCTCTATCGTGCTGGGGTCCTTGGTCTCGCGGCGCCGCACCTGCTGCGTGATGAAGCCGATGAGATACTTGGTTGGGTTGAGAGAGTCGGTGTCTCGGAGGTGACTGGTTACCCAGCTCACTAGGCGGTTGCCGGATAGGTACTTGTGCAGGTATGGCGCCTGTCCGATGGTACTGACGTATCTCAGCCTGGTCGAGAGCGCCTCGATGACTCCCTGTACGTCCGTCTGTGACTCCATGAAACCAAGGCGGTTGGAAAATGCGATGGTTGTGATGAGGTCGAAGGCATACCAGTGCAGCCACTCCCCAAGGTCAATATCCTTCCCTACCAACCCCTCGAGCTTGGTGGTGAGTATGGCTGAGCACTCATCATTCATCGGCTCGAGCTCCTTTATCGTGCTCATCGAGTAGGCGGCTGCGACCGGTCTCTTCTTCACCCTGTGCTTCATCTCGTCCCGCTCGGAGAACGTCGTGGTCGTGCCGTCCAGGTTGAACATGTCATAGAACTCGCTCTTCCAGAACCTGGTGCTGATGCCGTACACCATTGGGATGAGACTACCGTTGGAGAAGGAAACATGCTTGGGGCCTATGCGGACGAGCGGGCCGTACTTCTCGTGCAGCTTAAGGTGGTAGCTCATCTGCCCGGCGAAGCAGCTCCAGAGGCGGTCGAGGTTGGATATGCTTGCCAGGAAAGGCCCGGGGATGCTGCGGAGTCCGGCTCGGTAGCGGGTGAGGATGGTGCTCGTCACGCCCAGGACTGCAACGAGCAGTAAGAGGCATGTTGTGAGCTCCAGTGGGCCAACGCCCCGGACATTGTTCAACAGTGTCTTCGATTCCATGTTCATACTGGGAGTTATCGCTGAAGTCAGCCGGTGGAGGCTTGCTTACGTTCAAAGGGGATTTTGTACCATCCGTGCGGCAAGCTCGGAAGTCTTGGTGTCATCCTTGGAACACCGGCTGTCGTGGTCGGTTGCAAGATTGGGGTAGGCGGAGATGGTGCTTAAATCCCCGGGTGCCATACAAGCATGACAAGACCCATAAGAATAATAAATCCGATGTATACGGATTGTTTTCCATTTCAAATTGAGTTCAGCGACGCATCTTATGAGCAGCGACGAGATTGTGATCGGGAAAACCTTTCAAGTGTCATTGGTCATGCACCCGGGCAACTCGACTCCGTCTTCCGAGGTCCTCTAGCACTGTCACTTGATACGATTTCATTCGATTACTTTATCGTGCCGTTCAAGCTGTCCTCAAACGCTTTCCGGAGTCTTTTGGCATCGATGCGTCTGGGTCTATGTTTGCTATCGATTCGCATGCACGAATAGCTAACGATCAGATGCGAGTGAATGCTCCGAAAACAAGATCGCATAATTGTAACATATTGTAAGACTCAGAGCAAATGCTAATTACTCACATTTAATCTCGAATGGTAAAAACAATATCCTCAACATCGACGCGTACATGCAAACGACCCCCGAGCCCAAACGCCCGATACTGAAGACTCCCTGAACGGACAGGGTCTAAAACTAAAATATTCTTTTAAGATCTCACACCAATGGCAGCAATACGGGCAGACCGTCTCAAAGGATTTCGGTCAGGGTCGCCCTTTGTACGCCATCGACCCCCAAGACCTGCGCCGCCTGACCCTGGGAGCAGACGCCTTTTTAAGCCAGCTCAGCCTTGTCTTGGAAACGCGCATCCGTCTCTGTTCCACCCATGCCTTTTCCACCCGTGTCTTTTCAACCCGTGTATTTTCCAGCCGTTTCTTCTCTAGCCGTGTCTTTTGCACACCTGGTCCACCCGCCTCTGCGTCGTCCGCCGAGCCCGGGCAAAGTCTGCTCCCTCGCACCGCCGCCGCGCTGGCCCCTGGCGCTGCCATAGGTGCCGACGCCCCGGGGGGAGAGACTGCCGTCAGGATGGACGCGCCTGCGGTACATCTCGGACGTGTGCGGGTAGGCGAACGCGTCGCACTGGCAGGGGAAGCCGGCGTTGAAGTACTCTGGCCCGTAGTCGACGGTGATCTCCTCGCCAGCCCTGATGAAGCGGCTCGTCCTGAAGATCATCGCGGCGCGCCCGCCGTACATGGCCACCTCTGGCACGGTGTTACAGTCGCAGTGGTGGTTTACGTAACGGGTGATCTGTCGTTGCCGCTGCGTGTTAGTGCTTGCGGTTCTCGGTGGTACGGAGCACCTCCCCGGGGGGGGGGGGGGCGTGAGAGTGCAGTCCCGGATGGGAAACGCGGAGGGGAAGAGAAAATGTGGGAAACCTACATTACCGTACTGCGCTGCATCACAATCGGCATGGCCGGGGATCGTAAAGTTGTAGTGACTGATGGCGGGCGTGGCAGAATCGAGGGGCATAAGACGACCCAAGTACTCGCCGATGGCAGTTCCACTTTGTATATTCGCCCACGCAAACACTCCGTAGCCCCATCTCGCCTCCCTAATCACTAGCTTGGAGTCTTCCACATCCTGAAAATCCGCCTTGGCAGCGTCAATACAATATTGCCCGGCGCACTGATGCAAGGATACGATTTAGTACTTGAGGTTGACAATATACCTTTGCGGGAAACAGGAAGGGGTAAGGAACAATACTCACAAGAGCGCCTCTTTGGCTACACATAATACATTCCATGTCATCCGTATCAAAGCCAAGAATACCCTGGACGGTGTTAACCCCGTTGGGTGGTCCCGCTCCGTCCCCTCTGTCAACGCCGCGGTTATTAGCCTGCCCTGCATCACATGGTGTTAGCAATTGTGAATCTCAAGGATTAAAAAAAAGGAATGTGGCTACGGAGCGCACTACAAGTCCGAGAGATACTCACAATCTACAGAGTCAAGAACGTAGTCATGGATTACTCGGGGATGCGTATTGTCTGCAGAGACAATATCGACCATTTCATCCCGAACTGGGTCATCGTATGCAAATACATCTAGCGTGTCGAGGTCTGGTAAACCAGCGGGGGCAGCCATTTTTTCGGGTGTTTAATTGCGCTTCAAATAAATATTTAAGGAGTATGATGCACTTTGAGTCGTTGTAAAGTCTGTTATATTATGTCTATCGTCACAGGTCATTTGGTTCTCCGTTCCTTTACTTATATCCAATAGAGCTCAGTGTCGCAATACAGATTATCGGTTCGCTCTAATGTCCCGTTGCTCGCACTTTGTTCTCAGCTCACGGGATTTCCATATATAACTCAAGCAAATTTAAGAGTATGCCAGAAAGGTGGCTCCCGTAGGTTCCCGGGATGTCGTTCTTTGTCAAGATAAAGAACCCTATAATGGCTTTCGTATATTTATACATACGCGTCTGATCCTGAGCGCCTATACCTCTTTTCTTGCTGTGCCGTCTCCGCATCATTGTCCGAAAATGTATACGTCCAATGTATCGAACGTGTGTGGTGGTCTCCTCAGCTGCCTTCTCCTTATATGACTGATCTCGATACAGATGCCTTACAGCGGGAAATTACAATATCAACTGCCATATTGTCTACCTACATAGCACGTTCGCGGGGCTGGTACATGCATGCTGAGTATGTGTGAACCCTTAATTTTCCGCCACCTTCGCTACTCTTCTCCTTCCAATCCCAGTAGCTGCTCGGCCGCTCTAAACTAAACTATTTCGACTTTCCAAACACCATAACAAGATTAAAGTGACGTTCAGTGTGGAATCTATGAATCAGGACATAAAAGCGAGCGACGCAAACTCAGTCTTGAGCAACTTGAGTACCGGGCCTTCCGTTCCTTGTCTAATGCGCCAACGGCCTCGTTCAGTATTAGTGGCTTACCCGATTCCTCAATTAAAAGCGCGCTGAACACGCAGAGAAGTTTCTTCTGGTTGTACGATAACGCAAACTTGCAGAATATCTGTGTCCAGAGTCTCATACAAGGAGATGGTCGGCCAAAACGAGATATTCGTCATGATTCTAAGGAGACGTCTGTCACTTAAATGTTATTTTTAACTTTCCTGAGAACAACTGTGGAAATTCTGGCGTGAATCGCTTTGTGGGAGATATCTCAATACCTAGGTATCAAAAATGGTTTGAAATTAGTGCTGAAGTCGATTTTCTGTTCCAAAATTGAGGAGAAACATCCGAGTGGGCCTCGCCCAGAACACAGACAGTGGAGTCTCTGTGGCGATTTGGAGAAACTCCATTGCCGCACACTCGAGTGGCTTGGCAAAGAATGTTGTATAGCCGTCCATTTCCACCACGTAGAGTTGCTATGATGTAGGGAAAGGGTTGTCCCCGTTACGAAGTCCCCGTTACGAAGTCCCCGTTCAGAATATCTGGAACTTGCAGTATCCAACCGGGACGGTCCTGCGTCTAGACAGTGTTTGACTAGTATTGGCCGGACGGCCTCATCCATCGTTTGCCTCATTGGAGTGTTGCCATGATTTCTTTTGAAATGAAGAGGGGTTTATCGGTTTGTTGCAGTGTAGCGTGTGTGAGAGAAAAGGCCCAAAACACATCTGCATTTGGGGGGGTGTGATGCTGCTAACTCCCACAAGGCAAAGCCGTGCATAGGAACTGATAGTGCCTGCACAGCTGGGCCTGGCTCCGTTTGCCCACACCGTCTCCACAAGCAAAGCACATGTCCGCGAAGAAACGGTCTGTTTCTTAGGGTCTGACTGCTGCAGACAAGTTTCACCCCACTGGTGTGCACGATGCCATTTGTCGGGCCTCCTGCAGCTTGTGTAACGCATTTCCTATGAGTCAATCAATCACAAGTAGGGAAAAGGGGAGAAGAAAGGCCGGTTGGGGCTCTTTTGACTTTGGTTTGCAGGAGATGGACAGAGCAAGCGGGAAGGGGGGAGGGGTGTTCATTGAGTGACCCACTGCAGCTGCGCTGCCCGTCAGGGTTCACAGCTTGTCCTTGGTCCTGGCCCCTCCCTCCTTACTAATAAAAGTTTAGGTCCCCAAGCTCTAGGTAGGCCTCATGCCCTTGCCTTGGCAACTTCCACCTTTCCATCATCCACCTCCTTGCCGCTGCTTTGCCTCATGAGGAGCTCATCAGTCTCTTCTGTCTTTCTCTCAGAATCCTTTTGCCATCTTCATCCTCATCCTCATCCTGCAGTCACCGACCGGCTGGACCTGCAGCTGCTCGAGCTCCGTCGCCCTGGTTTTGGAGCTGTCCTAGCTAGCAGGTAGGTCGACCCACCCCCACCTCAGCTCATCAACACTGTTCCTGGCCATGCCACGGAATCCCGCGCTAATGTAAATATAGATATCCTCAATTGGATAGATGCTCTCCTGATAGCTCTTTGTTGCATCGACATCACTTGCTAGACCATTGCTGTCTCGAGCTGTTGAAACGGCTGTCCGACATCCAACCCTGCCTCTGTGCCTCCGACTGTAGCACAGCACCACCAGCAGCACGTTCTTGGACACTTGCATGCCCGGCTATGGCTGATAGAGGCCGTGGCAGAGGACGAGGACGTGGTGATGGAGCCGCTCGCGGTGGTCCAAGCCGAGGAGGTGCCTTCCCGCCGGCCCGGGGAGGAGGTGACCGCGGCCGCGGTGGATACCGTGGTGGCGGCGACCGTGGCAGAGGAGATCGTGGTGGTGGGTACCGCGGAGGCGGAGATCGGGGCAGAGGTGGCGGTGACCGAGGCGGCCGCGGCGGCGGACGGCCAGCTGCGCAAGTCTACACGCCGCCCACGGGAGGAGTCCCCGTCCCGGATGCCCAGGTGAAGGCCGTCGAGGATGCTCGTCAGAAGGCCCGCAAATCACCTGAGTTCGCGATGAGCTCGCTGAGCATCGACGGCTCTAACGTGATGCCAGCTCGACCTGGCTACGGCACCGAGGGCCAGCCCATCACCGTCTACGCCAACTACGTCCAGCTGGTCCCCCCTTCCGACCTCACGCTGTACTCGTACTATGTCGCTGAGATCAAGCCTGACGTCGTTGGAAAGAAGCGTACACAGATTATCCGTCTTTTGATCAGCGAGTCGCCAGAGCTGGCGGAATACCGAGGCGACATGGTCACCGACTTCAAGTCCACCCTGATCTCCCGCAAGAAACTGGACTTCGAAGGAACTGAAAAGGTCATTGAGGTCACGTACAAGGCTGAAGGGGAGGATGATCCCAAGGAGCGCGCCGCAAAGTACAAGGTCTCGGCCAAGTACACCAAGACGATGACTGTTGGCGATCTCATGTCCTTCCTCACCTCTACAAACCCGGCAGTTCAATACGACAGCAAGTTGGAGATGATCCAGGGTCTGAACATCTTTCTCAAGCACTGGGCCAAGTCGAACAACAACCTGGCAACTATTGGAGCCAGCAAGACCTTCTCCATGAGCGGCAATGCCGATAAGCTCGATCTCGGACGAGGCCTGACTGCTCTTCGTGGCTTCTTCACCAGCGTCCGGGCTGCTACCACCCGCGTTCTTGTCAACGTCAACGTCAGCCATGGCGCATTCTACAACGAGGGACAGCTGACGGCTTTGATGACGGCATACGGCTTACGTTATGATCCCAGCGGATTGCGCTCCCTCGAAAAGTTCCTCAAGCGTGTTCGTGTGCGAACGACACACCTCAAGGAGAAGAAGAACAAGAAGGGAGAGGTCGTCCACCGTCCCAAGACCATCTTCGGGCTGGCTAAGAAATCTGACGGCCAGGGACCCAATCGGCCCAGGGTCAGTGAGTTCGGCGCTGGACCGAAGCACGTTGAGTTCTGGCTCGAAGATAGATCCACGGCAGCAACAGCTTCATCCTCCACCCCAGGTGCCGAGCCAGCCCAAGCCGCATCCAAGAAGAAGGGCAAGGGCAAAGGTGCGAAAGGCAAAGCGGAAGCACCTGCCACAGCCGGGCCGCAGCCTGCGTCTGCCGGCACTGGCCGTTATATCAGCGTCTATGACCATTTCAAGAACACCTACAACATCACATGTGGAGATGACTATCCCGTTGTCAATGTCGGCACGGACAAGAATCCCTCCTACTTGCCCGCCGAAGTTTGCGTTGTGCTGCCTGGCCAGAGCGCCATGGCAAAGCTCAGCGGCGACCAAACCAGAAACATGATCCGATTTGCTGTGCGCGGGCCCTGGCTCAACGCACAGTCCATCGTTAATGATGGCATCCTCACAGGTGGTCTGTCAACCGAGTCTAATCCTCTCTTGGTAAGCCCTGAAAGCTTCCGTAGAATGCCTCGCAGTCTCTCTTGACGTCTTATACAATTCATAGCTAATCACATCTCACCAGGCACAATTCGGCATCAACGCGGGCCGAAATTTGATTACCGTCCCGGCTCGCGTGCTGCAAGAGCCCAAGGTGTTCTACAAGAACAACAAGCCTGTCAATGTCGCTTTCGGCAGCTGGAACATGGAGAACGTCATGTTCAATAAGCCGGGCAACCTGAAAACGTGGTCCTGGCTCGCTATCCGAGACGGGAGGCGGTCTTACTATGAGAGGAAAGACCTCGAGGCTACCGTCGGCAGATTCTCTGCCTCACTGAGCAAGAACGGAGTGACGGTCCTACAAGCAGCGCTCCCTGGTCAGGAAATTCCCTTGAAGTCGTCCAGCGACCCGGAGTTGGATAAGTTGTTCGAAAGGGCGTCGAACAAGCTGGATCTTCTCCTCGTCATCCTCCCTGGCAGGGACAAGAGCGACAACACGGAGCTGTATAGCTATGTCAAAACCCTTGGCGACACAAAGTATGGCATCCATACCATTTGTGTCGTGGGATCAAAGTTCACTGGTGGAAGAGGAGAAGACCAGTACTTTGCCAACGTTGCCCTCAAGTTCAACCTTAAGCTTGGGGGCAACAACCAGATGGTCGATCCATCGCGTCTGTCATTCCTCAACGAGGATAAGACCATGGTTTTGGGCATTGACGTGACCCATCCGTCTCCTGGCTCGTCATCACACGCACCGTCTGTCGGCGGTTTGGTGGCGTCTATAGACAAGCACTTTGGTCAATGGCCTGGCATCCTCAGCATCCAAAGCGAGGCACGCCAGGAGATGGTGTCCGACCTCACTCCTATGCTTAAAACTGCCCTTAATAACTGGACGACGCTGGGAAGACACGCGAACCTGCCGGAGAACATCATCGATTACCGCGATGGCGTGTCGGAGGGCCAGTACCAGACCGTCTACGACGAAGAGATCCCGCGCATGCGCAAGGCCTGCGCAGAGATATACCCGGCCGACTGGACTAAGAAGGGTCTTCCGCGGCTGACCGTCATCATCGTCGGCAAGCGCCACCACACGCGCTTCTACCCAAGCCAGACCAAGGACATGGACCGCGGCGGCAACTGCAAGCCCGGCACGATCATCGACCGCGGCGTCACGGAGGAGGGCATCTGGGATTTCTACCTGCAGTCGCACGCGGTGATCCAGGGCACGGGACGGCCGGCGCACTACGTCGTGGTGCTGGACGAGATCTTCCGGGACCGGGCCAAGAAGCTCAAGTCCCCCCGGCCGCAGGACTCGGCGGCCAACGAGCTCGAGCGGATCACTCAGGCCCTGTGCTACTCGTACTCGCGCGCCACAAAGGCCGTCAGCATCTGCACGCCCGCGTACCACGCCGACATCCTGTGCGAGCGCGCGCGGCGGTACATGGCGGACCTGTTCGAGGGAAGCTCCGACGACGCGAGCAGCGCCGCGGGGGCCAGCAGCGCTGTCGCTGCGACTGTGAAGATTCATCCGAAATTGGAGAAGTCGATGTTCTACATTTGATTTTGGGAATTTCCACACTGATTGTTGACAATCATATCATGTGATACGTACGGTCTGAGAATTCTTGATGCCTGGGATGATTTTTTCACATGTTTGGAAACGGTTTGGATCCTCAAAAGCGTCTTGTCTATGTTGCTGATCGAGCTTGGAAACCATGGGCATTTGTTTGCAGCGCTTCTTTTCTGGTAGCGACAGCGTGTACTGAGATCAGTCATCAATGAATGTCTAGACGATGTTTTCCTGAAGAGAATTTCAGCACTGTGCTGAGGTGACGACCGTTTGTTGTGTACTGCTGTTTCTACTTTACCCCTAGAGACAAATTTCGATCATTGTAGGCTGCGTGGTACCGTTGGCAGCCACACCATGTTGCGATTTCCATAACAGCGATTTGTCACAAGAATTCAAGCGATTGAGACCCGGTAGGCCGTTCATATTGAATAATTGTAAAAAGAAGTATGTGGAATAAGACGCTACGTTTTCCCTCCGACCGTCAACACAACGTTCCCGCCCACGCCGACGGATGAACATTTCCCCCTACTACTGATCATCAGCCCCCCTCGGGAAGAGCATCGTCCGCCTCGTCGTCGCTGCTCTCGGCGATGCCGTTCTGCTCGCGGAACTCGGCCAGGCCCTGGCGGACGATGTCGGTTGTCTCGTCGGCGCTGAAGCCGTCGATGGGGTTGCGGAGGCCGTTGCCGTTGATGGCGCCGGGCGCGTTGAATATGTCCAGCGCCTCCTAATCTGTCAGGCCCGTCTTGGCCGACTTGGTCTGCGCGTTGGTGTTCTGGCGGGCGGTGAGGGGGAGGGTGGCTGCTGCTGCGGTGCTGATAAAAAGGAGGACGGTTGAGACACGCATTTTGGGATTGGGGTGGGTTTGTTTCTTTGGGTGACGGTTGTTGATGGATTAAAGTGAGATTAAATGGCCAGTTCCAGCTGGTAAGAAGCCAAGAAGGCGGTTGTATCTTGGAGTTGATTGAGAGGCTGAAGGGTGATTTTGATCTTAGCGGAGTGATGGTGGCATCACGGGTCTATTTAACCTTAAAATGTGAGCCACATCGGACTCTTTGAGCCCCTTCTGGAACCCCTGTGTCGTGAGACTTGTTCGTCTGGTCGTGTAACATCACGCATATGCCAACCCAAGTTTTGTAGTTAAGCAACTTGAGACCGCCCTGCCAAGATCATAAATACGGGAGATATGAAACAGGATATGGGGCGCGATGATTCCACCCAGAGATCTTCAAAACAGATCGTAGCCCCGACTTGACCTGACCACAACCCTGTTGTCGCGTTCGTGCCCTGGCCGGCGGCGACACCGATGCACTGCGAGGCTCGGGGTATGGTGTCATTGCCCACTACTAAGCCTTGCGAGAGATAGAGTCTTCTTTGGCCGTTTGATTGCCGCGCCGGGGGCTACGCTCGCAACGGTCTTTTCGACACCTGCCAAGCGCGCTGTCGCGCCTCTCTGATCTAAATTGCTATATTGGGAAATATTCAGCGCGCTGATTGCACGCGCATGGCCTTACCAGGCACTGTCACTTTGTCGTGGAGGTCTGGCAGTGTCCACTGGGTTGACGTGGTGATCGGTGATGCAAATCACCAAGAAGCCCAGTGTTTTGTGAGCCTTCATGGATTGTCCCTTGCGATTCGGCGGAACTGCCCGCGGCCCTTGCATCTTTGCCCTTGATCCAGTTGCGGCGCGTTAAAACTGTTGCAACAGCTCTCAGGCAACGCAGTGTGCAGAGGAGGCTGCATATAATTATCCCAAATTACTATGTCCCGTTCTCAAATTGTGAGTTAGAACCTGGTGATGTTCTCTTCTCAGACCACACCGTTGTTGAACAACAATTCGGCAATAAGGAAAAGTTGAAACCTAACTTTGAATGACTAGTGGCGATCTTAGTGTTTTATAACCTCTCTCTTCTTGTCTTCATCTTCAATCCTGTCGCCAAAACTAGCCCCATTGGGATATGATTTCACGTCCACCGGGCGTCGCAAAATCTAATTTCAACCTCAACAACTTACATTTTGAACAGAGGTGAGCGTACAGAACGTTGAAAAAGCAAAGACAAAACGCAAAGAGCCAGAAGGAACATGCAGCCAACACATTTCACGCATGATCATTGAAGTGATCGCACAAACGTGGTGATTCGTATTTATAATGATCCCCTTCCTCGAAGATCCAGGTTCATGACGGGAGATTGATCAGCCTCTTAATTGTCCAACTCACAATCGAGAAGAACCCTATGCCATATTGCCAGTCCGACAGTTTGCGCACTAACTACCGCTCGCTCAGCCGGCTAAGCCTTCGTCGAGTTCACACTTGGCAATCCCACCCTGAGTCAGACTGATTTACATTGTACCGACCAGAGTGGGCCGCCCCAATTGCCGGGCCAAGACCGTCCAGATGCCCTACCTTATCTTTTGCGGAGCATTTTTTGCTGATTAGTGTGTGATTGAAGAATTCCTAGCCCCGTGGATTCCGCGGCGAGGAATACTGACCGCTATAGGCGGCGTTATCTACTCGAATTGGACAGAGGCGATGAGGGGAAGGCCTTAGCCGGACAACATCGGGTGCTGGTGATGTGTTGTACCCCACTGACGATTATCCGACACCCTCGTCGTCGGCATATCACAACTGATAGAGCGGTTTCCATCTCGGGTGTCGCTTACATGACAATTGAAAATTCCACCAGAGGTGAATATTTGACACGAGGAGTAAGTGGTATATTAAGCCCTGTGAATCTCGCTGAGATGCGGTAGACTTTTCAAACTTGGTTCATAACCTCTTATTACCCGATAACCTTCGCAATAACAGCCTGTGCTTGGCTCCCGCCCCGTTCAAAAGATGGCTTCGTGGATGCTTTGCACATGTACACTAATTCTCTGTACCCTTGGCCAAGTTTCTGCGCATGCCCTATCGTCCCGGCAGTCCACTGACAATCAAACAAGCCCATATACGGATGCAGTGTCCAAATATGTCGACTCTATAAGCGAGACTCTCTGGCCCATCAACACTGAGATCCACGATAACCCGGAGCTTCAATATGAAGAGGTCAGGGCTCATGACCTCCTGACCTCGTTCCTCGAGTCTCAGGACGGCTGGAACGTGACGCGGTCTGCATATAATATTAGCACAGCTTTCACCGCTGTATTCCAAGGCAACGGCGACGGCCCGGTTGTTTCATTCAATGCCGAATACGGTAGGTCTCAAACAACCTCAACCCTGGTCAAGAAATCAGCATGCTGACAATAATCATCTTCACAGATGCATTGACCGGACTGGGACATGCTTGCGGGCACAATCTGATCGCCATGGCGTCGCTCTCTGGAGCACTTGCCACTGCTGAAATCATGCGCACTGAGAAGCTAGCCGGAACAGTTATTCTCTTCGGCACTCCGGCAGAAGAAGGTAACGGACCGCGCCTGTGATATTCCACGTTGAAGTCGTAGTTGGAGCTAATAAATTGCTTTAGGCGGAGGCGGCAAAATCAAGCTGAACGACGCTGGCGCTTACCGAGACCACAAGATTGACATCAGTCTCATCTCGCACCCAGGCGTCGGCGGCGACTCCCCCTACATGTCCACCACGTCAACAGACAGGTTTGAAGTGGAATATTACGGCAAGGCGGCTCACGCCGCAGCTGCACCCTGGGAAGGGGTGAACGCCCAAGACGCACTGATCCTCGCCTACAACGCGCTGTCGATGCTGCGCCAGCAGACCCGCTCCACTGACATCATCCAAGGCTTCATCAGCTCCGCCGGCACGCGGACCAACGTCATCCCCGACCTGTCGGCGGCCTCGTTTGCCGTCCGGGCCGTGGACGATGACAACCTGCACAACCTCACCAAGCGCGTGCACGCGTGCTTCGAGGCGGGCGCGCTGGCCACCGGCGCGAAGCTCAACCTGACCATGAGGCCGTACGGCTACTCCAACATGGTCACGAACGATGCCCTCGCGGACTCGTACGCCGCGTGGTTCATCGGCCTGGGACACGGCGATGACCTGATCCCCACCGAGATCGCGAAGAATACACAGGGCAGCGCCAGTACCGACCAGGGCAACCTCAGCCACGACTTCCCGTCCATCAGCGCCGGGTTTGGGATCACCAACGAGGACGGCAGTGTCCCGGAGACTGGGCCTCACACTGCGGCGTTTGAGGTGGCCGCGGGTAGCCGGCCGGCTTTTGACAAGTCTCTTTTGGTTGGCAAGGGTCTTGCGGGGGTTGCCCTGGATGTGTTGACTGTTGATGGGTTGATTGACAAGGTTAAGGAGGAGTTTGGTGCTTTGAAGAAGGTGCCACGCGCGCGAAGGAGCATACGTACATAATGCAGCACCAACACCAATAGGGCGTCTTGGAGTGTGGCAGTTAAAAGCCGAGATCTGAGATGTAGGGCAAGGACCACACTGGTGCGGCTGTCCTACCTCTGCCCGAGGATGTTTCGTCTGCCCACACTCATACAGTACATAATTGAGCATGGTCCCGGTGCGAGTCATTGTCAGAAGTGCGTGCCCTGTGGGATCCCCAGGCTTCGGTAAGCCATGGGTGGGTCATGTGAGGTCTTGTAAGAATTCAGGACGATAATAGAGTACCTACCAGGGGGAGGGGGGGTCCCTGACTGGGTTACGCAATGCACTTATGTTTTGACATTTAATCGAAATTTTATAATTCTAGCGAAATGCTAGTAAAAGGCTATTAAAATATTATTAAAAGCAAATTATATTAAAGCTTTAAATTATATTAATATTAACTTAATGTTAATATTGGCGCTATATTAACTATTAACTTTATATTATTAAAAAATTTATATTAAAAGCTTTAATTTAAACCTTATTAACTTTAAATCTGCTTTTATTTTTAAATATTTCCGTAATTTTATAAATCCTTTTATAGTAAATAATTAAGCTAGTAGAAAAGAAATAAGTAGTTAAGTTAAGAATAAAAAAAAGGTTTTTTTTTACCTTTATATTAAGAGTTAACATAATATTAATTCTTAACATTATGTTATAATATATTATAAATAACTATATATTAATAATGTGTAAATAATGCAATATATATATAAAAAAAGCATGTTAAAACCTTAATTATATATTATTATTATGTCGCTATTATATTAATATAGTGGTGCGATGTTAACGGAAACCCCCCCTCCCCCTGGTAGGTATATTTAAGCCATTTAAAGGAGGGAGATTTAACCCATATATATAGACGAACATTCGGCTAAGTCTCGGTCTCCCAATTAGTACTAAAATAGCTAGCAAAATAGAGTCCTCGTGTTGCTTATTAGTTTGTGGCTTGGAGGTAACTAAATAACGGCGTATAGGCCGCCTATAGACGGTTTTATTTTAGAGGTCTAAACCATATTTTGTCGTACAAGGGGTTCATGTTCGAAGGAGTCAGAATCACGCCCCTTTCCCCCTAAGCCAACAGGGTATACGCACTGTAACAAGCCGCAGGATCTGGACCTTCACCCGGAGATATTTTTTGGAGATGCTTCAGAAGTCAGCAGATCGTGTCAACGGCGACTCAATATTCTGGGAGACCATGTAGTGTTCAAGCAATACCTCCTGTCACTGTGATGATCAGGAAGTTCCCTCATAGGTTGTCCCCCAGGAGGTCATGCAACGGTTGGCTAAGAGTGATGCTGACAGCCTTGAGCGCCGTGGACAGCCCCAAACATGTCTGGGCTAGGGCACCCATGTCAGTCACCTCAGCACGCTATTTATCGACCAGACCATTCGCAAAACATTTCATACGCAGTTTAAATCCAGAATTCTGCGAATGGAGAATCAGATACAAGCTCCTTGGTATTGCGTCTCCTTAACATGGTATCCGCTGCGATGCATGCTGGTATCGCGAGCCCCGTAATAACCCGGGAGCATGAGTAGCATGAACCGCCCAGAGACAGACGCCCATGACCGGAATGCAGCGCACACGAAGTTGGAAGACATTGCCAACTACATTTTCTTGCACTTCGAATGGTGCAAGGGGGGAGGTGGGCCGTTCATAGCTTGCAATTCACCCAACTTCACGCCCTTGCTGAAATTCGAAATCCAGTGGCGGATCCGTGACGACAGAATTGGTCGGTACGTCCTCCCGTTTGATGTCTCTGACGACAGTCACTGAATTTCCAGTCCCAACTCAGCAGAATATGCTGGCTTCATGGCGTGAACACGTGCAGTTTCAGTGTTTGATCCGCGGAAAACTCCGCGGAAAGTCCTCCTCGGACAATTTGTACCCGCTGCTGCGACTCCCCCGATAGGTTTGAGAAATCCATCTCTAGAGTAGCTGAAGCTATATTGAGGACCCAAAACCAAACAGCGAGTCACGGTGCTTGCCTGGGGGTTGACAGGGACGCGCTCTTCAAGTGCCGAACAAGCCAGTCAAGTCCAATAATTTCATGAAAATGAGTAGCACTTATGTTCCTAGTCCCGATGCGGTCTCTTTTCCCAGAGTTTGTCTTATTAGATATCAGTAATAGCTCGCTGGTGTAGGTCTGAAGTCTGTTGACCATGTTGTCGGTCATGTGCGCCAGTCACGTGCCGCTGGATCCTGACGTCTCAGAAAGCGTCAGCGTAATTCAGATCGACAGCCCACTTAGACGCGGAACTAGATAGGGTAGGCTAATCTGTTTAGCGGCATGCTCAGGCTCTCTCAGGCTCTCTCAAGTCCTTTGAGGCTGATCAACGGCGGAGTCCGCTGCTCTGCTTACCCACATATTGGCCGCTGTCACAATGACCTCATACAGATCAACGGGTCATGAGCGTGGGTGTCGTCATTGCCCCCAACAGTGATTGGTACTTATGTCCACAGCACATATTAAACTTGCGCTCCTGCAACATGAGCATACTATACCGATAATCGAATTCTGATCACCTATACGAAATCTTCCTCTCTTTAATACACCCACAGTCCAGAAGTGTATACCCCACAAAAGTCACCATGTCTGAGAAGTACACCATGAAGCAAACCGGCAGCGGAGGGATGGCCGGGAGCGTCCAGACACCAGCCAACTCGCACCTGGGTCATGACAAGCCCAAGGCCTTTGACGCCGACGGAGCCATCGGCAAACAATTCACAGGTACGCACCCTTCCTTGAAAATGATCCAGAACTGCTAGCTGATATTTGATTTCGCAGAGGACGGAGCGATCGGAGGAACAGCACAGAAAATTGGTGGGCCTCTTGACAAGGACGGCGCCATTGGCAAGCAGTTCACCACAGACGGCAGCATTGGCGGTACGGTGCAGGACAAATTGGGCGGCGCGGCCAACAGGAGTAATTAAAGTTTAGGGAGCTCAGAAAGGATCAATCTTGAATTCACATATCGATACGTTTACCTACATTCCCTGTTCGCTCTGTGGGACTCGGACTGAACTGGTTGATAAATTGAGCTGTCTTCCGCCCTGGCTGTGAATGTGGTCCAACACCTCAGTGCCGAGCCCGACCGTTGTTCCTCGGTTCATTTGTCTTCTCACTCTCTAGCACTTTCTTGACCAACGATAGTGGGATGAAGTAAAATACTACCGGCCAGCAGCACTCGACAATCTTGTTCTGAGGTACGCCACAGGTCACAGTGCAGGCTGTGCCAGGGTCTCTCACGACATCGACTAAGAGGTTTCATTGAATGAATCGCTGCTCTCTATTCTACGCCATCACCCAGGTACATCTTATTCAGGCCTGGATGGACACGAAAGAACGGGCTGTGTCTACAATACATTCTTCAAGTGACCTGTACTTCAACCCAAGGACCTCCACACTCCTCCGCACATCCACATTGTATGTGTCTGGCTCTTCTGGAGTTCGTCGGGCCAGGCGGGCACGCAAGGGACAATCATGCTTACCTGCTCCAGACGCCGACGTATCAGGTAGATTCTCTCGATACTCTGGGAAGTTTTCACGAATGATGTCAATAATCTGTGGGTTAGAGCAACAGCCATTTGTGATGAAGAATCGTTTGTTGGCAGCAGCGGCTTGCTCGAAAGCTCGCACGTGAGCTTCTGCGACGTCTCGAACATCGGCGAAGATTGGGTTCTATGCGGCATGTGAGGAAATGCGATTTCAGAAAGGAGAAGGGCTCGTGACAGGCTTACTGTAGTGGGAGGGATTTCCTTCTTCGCGGCCCCAAGCGTGAAGGTGCGGATGAATTGGTTGGACGTATTTAAGGAGTCCAAGTCCGGAAGGCTCTGTACAGCAGGGACAAACACAAAGGGCGGCAGAATTGTAGCGAGGGTGAAGCTTGGGCTTTCTTCGTCGACGAAATCCCAAGCTGCCTTCTCCGCGAATGTCTTACTTGCTGGAACGAACAGTCAGGCAAAAAGGGTTGGTGAAATTCAACTCCGTAAGATGGTGACTTACCGGAGTAGCCCAAACCAGGATTCTGAAGGGCTTCCTCCATGGTGATGGAATTCCAGTCTTCCTCGCTGTACGTGTGCTCTGGCCAGAGTCCCTTGGAAATGTCCATCATCGAACCGAATGATGAGGTAATCACCTACTTCGTCAGTATTGATAAACAGAACTTCGTGAGAAACGTGACTCTTACGGCGCGCTTGACAGTCGAGCTATTTTTTCTTAATGGCGCGAAGGATGCCGGTTGTGCCGATGATGGCAGGGTCGAGAAGGCCCTTCTTGATGTCTGTCACGTTGAAATGGAAGGGGCTGGCTGTGTGAATCACAGCTTCGAAAGGAGGATCCGAAACCACGGCGTGGTCAAAAGCATCAGCTTGAGAGACATCTGGAGCGATGGCGAAGTCGAGTCTGTCCGTTTCATAGCTGGGATGCGCCTTTCGAATGCCCTCAGCCTTGCTGGCGCTGCGGACAGTTGTAACCACAGAATGATTGCGTTGATTCGGTTAGAAGAAGTCACACAAACCGTGGAGAGGGCAGTCCAGGCCAAGCAAGAGGGAAATACGGCGAGAAGCTTACCCTCTCTGCAGCAGAATTTGAAGGATGTGTGTAGCAATGAAGCCGCTTCCACCAGTGAGAAGAACTCGAGTCATCGTGGATCCGGTTTATGGTACATGTTTTTTTTTTGTTCAAACTACGAGTTATGACAGAACAGCAGAAGATAGACAGAAGAATTACGAAGACAGGCTTGTAGAGCATTACAGAGGTTTTATACACGTCGGAATTAGGGGAATTCGACGGATACGGGAGGCGACACTCTCCTGAATCACGCTTTGCCACGGACTTAATGTTCGGGTGTCACCTGCTCAGAGCAAGTCTGGCATGATACACATGGCTAAAATCATGACTTGACGGTATCTCCGAGCCAACTCGTCGGCGGGCCTCGGATTCAGGCCGTGGTCGTTGTCCACCAAGGCCAAACTGGGAATCGTGAGGGCTCAGATGCATGTTGCTTACGAGCTTAACATGTGGGCCCGGATGCACCTTGCTTGTGAGCTTAAGTTATGGGTCTAGTGCATCTTGCTTATGACCTTATAATGTGGGTCCAGCCAATGGTTGGGCTCCGGACATAACAAATGCCGCAGTCCACTACACCACAGGTGTACCTGGGCATCGTCTCTTACATCCGGCCCCGTGGCGGTGTTTCCCACTTCATTCGCAATTTCCCCCGGTGGGAGATGATTACTGACTGAAGCTTGGAAGATCCAACTGTTGAACACCAGCTAGCAATGCTCGGAAACACGACGCACCACGCCGATACGGCCACATTTGTTGTGGTGTACATCAACTCATCCGATGAAGAACTTCAATTTGTACGAGCAATCGAAGGCCTGAAAACAAATATTGTGACAAGCCATCCATTCATTGTACAGGGTAAACTATTGAACTTGCACGAAATTCCACGAGTCTGCGGCCCCGCCCACGCGTTAGGGATCTCTCCTGAAGGACTCAGGACGGGTGGAGATGGGTCCGTCACTAAGCAAATGCTTTCTGCCACCACGCGCATCTCTCAATCGCAGCCGGTTGAGATCCCATGAAAATGCCCTCGTTGCCCAACACAGTCGAGGTTGCATTTCCGCCGTATGCGGGAACAGCTCCGAGACCATCCTCCCAGCTCTCGGGGATGCCATGAGCCGCGAAGCTGGTGAAATAGTCCTGCATCACGTACGCGACCGTCTCATTGTCCCCCCACATGGTAAGCAGGGGAAGCCCTGGATAGGCAAAGTCCGGGTTGTAAAAGGTGTGCTCGATGTCCTGCGCATGGAGGCCTGGGAAAACGTTAAACAGGTAGGAAGAGTGGCTGCCGTACGCACTGTTCGGGGCAAAGGCATTGCAGAAGAATGTTCCTTCGCCCATGGTCAGCGCAGCACGTTCCATTTGGTCTTCGTATCCCATCGAGCCGTCATATACCGAGGGGTATAGATCGTTGGCAAGGTGACTGATTTTGTCCTCTCCAGCTGTGGGAAAATTGGCTCGGATAAGGTCCAGATATTGGGCATCGTTGGTGACGGGGGCGGTGAATAGAAGACCCTCATTCGAGTTCTGTCCAACCATGATCCTCACCGAGGTATCCAATCGGCCTTGACTCAGCGCCACCTTCGGGTCTTGGGTGACGTAGTCTCCATCAACGGATGGCCCGAACCCATGGCTGCCATACGGCGAGGCAAAGATCTGAGCGTCGTTCGCTGCCATCAACTGTTCAGTTGGCAAATCACGAGCCTCCGCTATACTAGTGACGTTTGCAAATCGCAAAAAGTCATGTATCCTCTGCTCCTGGGTGGCCAGGGATTGCATGGGAGTCCATCCTGGAGACTGGATGATGGCCTGCTGGAAGGGCGCGGGCTTGGTGCCACCGTGAGCTGTGAGATGATGGGTAATGGAGCCTCCACTAGCTGACTCGCCCATGACCGTCACTCGGTTCTTGTCTCCGCCAAAGAGATGGATGTGGTCCTGGACCCACTGCAGGGCCAGGCGCTGGTCATGGAGTCCTGCGTTGGCCTTGCCGTCTGCTTGAACAGTTGGCCCTGCAAGGAAGCCAAACGCACCCAGCCGCTAGTTTAATGCCACGAACACGACACCCTCTGACGAATTTGTCTGACTCCGGCGGATAAGCTTTCTTGGATCGTACCCGCTGGTCTTGGAGCCCACCGCATAGCCACCACCTAGGATGAGGCTTAGTCAAAACATCCAGACAAGCTTTGCGAATTTGATTCTTACCGTAAATCCAAACCAGAACAGGAGCTCCGGAGCCCCGGCCTGCCTTTTCAAAGACTGCCTCAGGAACCATCACGTCCAGGAAAAGGCAGTCCTCGTTCTGCATCGGATCCCGAGGTGGCGTTGATGAGGTGTTCGTGGACGAGACTGCTACAGCCGTGGCGTTTGGGACAATCCCGGATTGGATGTACTCAGGGACCCAGCCGATGGATGCCATCCATGGCGGGTAGTTCTGCGGGCACATGCGAGATTCGGAGCCGTCTTGAATTACAGAGCGATCGGCTGCTGGAGGCTCCGGTGCCCTGAATCGAAGGTCAACAACTGGAGGGGCGGCATAGCGGATGTTGGAAGAGTTGTAATACCCTTCAGCTTCCTGAGATGGTATTAGCTCACAGATTGACGAGAATGTGAAACTCGAGGATTACATTGAAGGCCGCCGCACGATGAAGTGCATATCCAAGGTCAAGGACAGGGAGCGATGCTGTGGAGTTCTGCGCAGTGACGACACCCGACAGGACGACGGCCAGAGCAGCCGCACTAAAGTATTGTGGAGGGTACATGATGAATTTCCGATGTCGAGTCTGAACTTCTTCCGGATATTTTGACGATAACAAAAGAGACAGTGAACGCCTTGACGGCCGACCTCTCTTTTAAATTGTTTTCAGCCATAGCCTTCCCACAGTCTTCCTCAACACGATCGCGCTGTCTGGTTGTTTGCTAAGGTCTAAACTTGTGTACGGCGATTGCCGAACCATAGCCCCCTACCAGAGAACATGGGCTTCAGAGCGGAGTACGGAGATAAAAACGGCATCGTCCAAGCCATATGGCATCCCAGATCTAGCATGGTATGCGTCGTCTTCTGTTATGACTCGTTCTGTTGTGGCTTACCATAGAGCATTGTATTCCCCTGATGTCCGCTTCTTGTTCATGCTTTCCCCGCCTCTCGTCAAAAAACAGAGGCGACCCGTCTCTGATCACCGTCCGAAATGTGACCGCGAGAGCTGCCCCATCATCTCCGCCACGGTGTTGGCGGATACGCATTGAACGACTGGGAAGTACGCCATCCAGTCGTCCAGGGGGGCCAAGACAGGGCCACAGTCGATCACCAGGGAGATGATGTCTGATTGACAAGAGGTTATCGCCCCGAACGAGAATAATTCACGTTTTCGTTTTTGCTAGATACAAGCCCGGTGACATGCCAGAGACTTCAAGCAAATTAATGCCTAGGAAAGACCAGACGCTTGTCCCCTCGTCTCTCGCGCCAATAGTTGGTAGAATCAAGCAGTGTTTGGCAATCGCGAACAAGCCATGCCCACTTGCGTAGGAACGGAATGGTGGCTTCCCAAGCCCACGGGTCAGAATGATCGCCCCAGATTACCAAATTAGGCTTCTCGCGGTGATTCTCTTCCACAGCTACCAGGTCAATGTTGAGCTCCTCTTCCCCCGACGTGCCGCAGATGCGAAGCATGCTGTCACTCACCTCGGGAGCTCTAATTGACAACGACGGCCAGGGGGCAGGTGTTGGTTAACGAGTTATACGAGCTGGATCACAATTCCGTCGGCGTCCTGTGGCTCCTGTTGCGGATCCGCGTTCGGCGGGTGCTGAAAGTGTCGACTCTGTTGTATTTTCTTCCCCGTAGCAAATTGATTAATCAGGCTGAGTGGCTCGGCTTCTCCGGAACTGGCTGAACAGACTCCAATTTCTTTGGGCAAGACGGTTCTGCAACCGCCTGTGTTCCTTGGGATCGGTGACACCTGTCCAGTCATCTTCTGGATTAGACGCTCCTGCCTGCTGGGCCATAGGAGCTAAGGCAATCGCAGCGGAACTGCTGCTTGCCGTTGGATCCTCAGCATCGTCATTCATTGTCGGAGAGAAACAGGCCACTGGAAGGGGGCAGGTGGTATCAGGTAGCAGTCTGTAAGGTTCCTAGTTGGTAAGTTGCCAGACGATAACAGAAATGGGACAGCCTAAGGAGGTCACGGACATGGCCCCCCTGGTCCCCTTGAGCTTGCCGCGATCAGACCCTAGCCGGACCTGGTTTGCTCTTCGGGACTCCACTTCAATGCAGAAGTTTAAGGTAGTGGAACTGATTTTGATAGGTGCAGAGGCAGAGCAGCGGACGTTGTTCAGCTGGCCATTTTCATGCGAGCGGTGCCTGGACAGATTAACAGAGCCCTCCAAAGCTCATCCGCAGTTTGTAAAAGCCACCAGCAACGAGGAAACGAACACCAACCCAATCCCTTTGATGAGTCTCACTCACTCCATTATCTGGTCCTTCTTATGCAGTCTTTCTTCTATCCGCACAGTCATAAGAAACCCCTTTCTGCGTAGCATAGTGAACAGTCCAGATTGTCCCCCTCATGCTATCGAGTCGCTCCCTGAAACCACGCATCACCACACGTGAACCGTGCACATCTAGACATCAAACTCTCGTATTGCTGAAATTCGTCATACTCATAAAAGGCGAGCTTCATGGCTCTTTCGAATTTGTTGGCGAAAGACCAACCCGCCGGGTTGTACACCCAGGATTCTACCGTGAAAGTACCCGAAGCTTCTGGATCTGCGGGACTGTGATCGTCGTGCTCACCGAACACTCTTCTCCGTCAACGAGTTATCTCGAGAGCCAAGTCTTGGTTCAAATTATAATGCAGAGGGCATGCCGTTCTCCGTCTTGGCAGAGCAGTAGGGAGTGACCTGCCATGTAACCCGGCTCCTGGTGATGGAAAAGCTGCCTGCCAGCGTGCCAAACATACTCGGATCGTCCGCCAAGAACGGTGGAGTCCTGACCGAAGTTGGACCCGCCTTCGGGTTTAACCATTATTCCACCTTTCAACTACTCTTTAAGACCGCTGCCACAGCCTCATTCAAGATCGCGTATAGCGAACAAATAAGGGGAATCGCGGCATTACTTCGGCGATGGCGATAGGACGCATCAGAGGCCGAATCATCAACTTCAATTCCTAGAGGTTGTAAGGATTGGAAATGTACCTTCAAGATCAACAGTGACGTACTTGTACATCATTCCCCATAGTTATCGTTGCCCACACCTGACAACACAGACCAAGGTCACTCTCGGCTACTTGGCATTTGGAGATATTCGTCTTGAGCATACTGACGTATTGGTTACAGGCAGCGTAGGACTCTGTAGAAGTACGGACCGCGTCAGCTCGTAGAATAAAAGCCACTTTATTGATGCTGAGCCTTGCAGCATGTGGACAGATCGTCGCTGGACGTGATGACGATGCAACACAATCTATTCGCCAGCCCACTGCAATACAGATTTGGATAGTTCACTTCAGGTATATAAGCGGTCAATACCCGGTGGACTGGTATGTTGAGAAGGATAGACTATTATCCATCTTTCTCCGGACATCTGCCGTGTTGTACAGGAAACATCTGAACTTCTTCCACCATGGCGTCACTCATGCGTGCCGTTGCCTTGATGGGCGCGTATAACATCACAGTCATCGACGTGCCCAAACCGCTGATTGTGAACGCAACAGACGCCATTGTGCGCGTTGCGGCGTCGGCAATCTGTGGTAGTGATCTACACAACTACCACCGGGATTTGGGCTCGCCTGAGGATCCTCTGCGGATCGGCCACGAGGCCATTGGCTACATCGAGGAAGTCGGCGACTCTGTTGAGACCCTACAGACTGGCGACTGGGTTGTCATTCCCTTCGCGTTCGACGACGGTCACTAGCAATACGGTCCCTCGGTCGAATATGCCCCTGGAGCCTGAGACCGGCATGCAAGGCAAGTTTGTTCACCTTGGTAGTCCAGCGTTCTTGGAAGTGGAAGTCATACCAAACATCCTGGTAAGTCGTCTCTCTCTACAGCCGAATATGCCCGCACCCCGTACGGGGACGACTCTCTGATGCCTGTGCCCATCAACAGCAGCGCCAATGCCTCGACAATCCACGACTACCTCTTCATGTCGGACATCCTCGCTACAGGCTGGACGGCAATCGATTTTGCCGGTCTGCGCCCCGGCGACACGGTTTCTGTTTTCGACGCAGGGCCCGTAGGCCAGATGGCAGTGCTCTCTGCTGGTGTACCCGGCGCCTCAAAGATCTATGTCGCCGACCGCGTGCAGGATCGGTTAGACCTGGCCGCCGCCCACGGCGCTATCCCGATCAACTTCGTGGAGGAGGATCCGGTGGAGGCGCTACTCCGTCTCGAGCCGGGCGGCATCACCCGCGTCGTCGACTGTGTGGGCTGGGAAGCCGACGACGCGCAGGGCAACGTCAACAGCAGCATTGTTCTGCACCAAGTCGGGCAGGTAGTAGCACCGCACGGAGGCATCGGCGGTGTAGTCGGAGTCTACGGGGCCGGGAACCAGACGCAGGCCGTGGACCTGAGGCCCCTCTTCATGGGAGGCCTCTCGGTGCGTGGCGGCGTTTCTGCACCGTTGGACCTTGGTACCGAGATGCTGAATCTCATCGCCGCCGACAAGGTGCACCCGAGCTCTATTGTCAGTGCCGTTATCAATATCGAGCAGGCACCCGAGTCCTACGCGCGTTTCGATCGTCGGCAGGAGACTAAAGTCGTTATTAAGTTCCCACAGATATTATTTCCTTCAGGAAACCCGAACTTAGGAGGAGTGATCATTGCGAACTATCAGACAGCTAAATATAGAACACCCTGTTTCTATTGATTTTGTTTGCATCTGGCTAGCACCTGGTTGGTGAGCTCCAAACAGTGCAAAGAGACGCAGTGAGTCTCGGCCTTTCATAAGACGGGGTAACTTTGAGGCATGCAGACATACCGGGCCTGGCCGGTAAGGAAAAAAGATGTGCGCTCCGTTTCCGACGAAATGTACGAGCATGAAGGCACAGATTACGACGCCTATAGCCGTCGATGACCTGCTCGTATCGGAACTCTACTTCAGTAAGGTACGCCCGAATCGTAATGCACGACAGGCACTGGCCTGCGAACGTGTTAAGCTTTGATTTTTTTGTGCAATCACAATGCGAGCGGCTTCTGATGTTACCGTGATCAGACTTCAGGGCGCCATTAGCGCCATCATCACCCACCATCGGCCCAGGCACACAGCGTTTCTTGGCAGAAGCTTACACGGCATGCGCCCGTGTGCTCAGGCTACTACAGGGAAACCTGACAAAGAAGCCTAATTCGTGACTTCCGTGGCGTTGGCGAAGGGTCCCTTGACTCTCCTTTCTTATCTATGCGTTACCACAAAAATAATACCAGTTTTTTAAGGTAAAAATAAGAAAGAAAAAGGTAGCTTATTTATAGCATTATATCCCGAATATGCTGTAATAATATAGGTTTAATTAAGGAAAGGATAAATTATAAGCTGTGATTGGTTGAAGATTATTACCTTCCTGAAGTCTTTGTAGGGCGTTGTAGCGACATGGATAATCTTTTCCAGGTCGCCCTGTACAGGTCGAGCATGGATGAACTGCAATATCACGGGATAATATCGATATTTGGGTGTCGGAAAGCTGAGAGTTCAGCGATTATAATCTGCGGTGAGGGGGAGCCGTGTACCCGGAAGGTAGTTTTGAGATGGTCAGCTGAAGTCATGCCAGTTTGTCAACAATATGTGGTCGTATTGTATGGGATGACAAAGCGAAGGGGATAAAAAGGTAACTCTGGGAACAAGAACGAAACCGAGAACTGACCAGAATCCATCCAGGTTGCTAGACTCCGCTTGTTGTAGTAAACATCATATTGACGATGTCTTCCTTTTCGCTACAGCTGCTATGCGCAGCACTCTTAGTCGTGCATACAGCAGCATATCACAATCCCATACGTTCTCCAGGTCCGGACCCATCCATGGTCTACACCGACGGGAGCTACTACATGACCCATACCTCAGACACGCACATCGAAATGTCCAAAGCCAAGACACTCGATGCCCTCGTGTTTGGAGAGACCAAGACTATCTGGGAGGACACCAACGCCACCCGCAGTGCTCACATGTGGGCCCCAGAGATCCACCATATCGACGACACATGGTATATGCTGTACTCGTCGTGCCACGCGAACGTAACGTGCTGCGACACCTGCATGACGCGGATTCTGAGAGGGTGCGATGGCTCCAACCCATATGATTGTGACTACGAATTTTTGGCAGACCTGGTGCCTCCTCCTGGAAGACGTGGAGGCCCGGAGAAGAATCTGACTTTTTCTATCGACGGAACGTAAGTTTGACCTCAAAGAGAGGTAGCAACTACGTCTACTGTTGCCATTCTCTGACGTCGGACTCTCAGATATCTAGAAGTCCCAAATCATGGACGATACCACGTTGTCAGTGCGATGGATGAGAATAACAACCAGTCCATCCAAATCACCAAGTTGGACACAGATTCGTGGACCGTCGAGGAGTGGAACATCATCTCGCAGCCTGATCAACCTGTGAGTTGAGAGCCTCCGAAAGTACGGGCACTCTCTCGTCGTGCTCAGAGACAGTATCTGGCTAATGCATCAAAGTGGGAACAGAACTTGACGAACTTCCAAGGGAACGTGACCGGCATTCCATTCGCACTGAACGAAGGACCACACGTATGTCAGACTAGCCCCGTATCGAACTGTGAAAATTTAGACTAAAGTAATCATCATAGCCATTATACTACAAAGGGCAAATTTGGCTGACCTACTCGGGTTCTTTCTGCGGCACTCCAAACTATGCCCTCGGACTGCTACAATATTTGGGCGGAGATCCTCTGGACAGGTCCTCGTGGCTCAAGACTGGCCCCGTCCTCACACAGGCCAACGGAAACTTTGGAACCGGCCACAATTGTTTTTTCTCATCCCCGGATGGCACGGAAATATGGGTAAGTCAACGAGCACAAAGCTGGTACCATTGTGTCGCAGTCCTTCTCGTGGAATCACATCATGATGGCTGATAATCATCGGTTGAAGAATGCTTTCCACGCAACGACCAACCCGGCAGGCTCGTGTGGTGACGACAGGTTCACCATGGCGCAGAAAATTGAGTTCAAGGGGAACAACACCCCGAGCTTCGGTATCCCTCAACCACTTAGCGAGATGCTAGTACCCCCAAGTGGAGAGTAAAGGGCTGCATTCAAACAAATAATGTTTGGGTTTAGTTTGTGGTCAGCGGTGGGGCCAACTTCATCCTCAGCGAATGTGCTCTACCAGCGACCATTTTTCAAGGCTACTAGATGCATGAAGGAAATCTAGAACGAGAGTGCTGCATACTGGGGACTTCGGAAATTCGGTGTCACAACTTCTCGGTGTTTCCTGTAGATAAGGTCGCTAGAGTCATTCAAAGCTTTTTATAAACGGGATGAGACAAAGCATACAAATCAGTGGTGATGCAGCCAATTGAAATTGCAAGATCCCCTTATTCCAGGTACAAGAAACGAGAACGAGAGACACCACGTACAACCCCATTCTAACCATTCATCACTCCTCGAATTCTCTCAACTTCTACAGCTACGCGGTTTCGGAAATCTGGGTCCCTTTCACTCTCTTCTGCGACATTCTGTTGCCTAACAAGATCCAGCGTCCCTCGAACGCCATCGAGGTGTACCGAAATCGTCTCTTCCAAGTCCTCCTGCACCTTGTCCGCATTACGGTAAAAACGCTGTTTGAAACTATCGATCAAGTTCCTGAATATGGCGTCCGTCAAGGTATTGGCGACCACATCTTTACGACGTCTGTCGCACCCACGGCCTACCGCATACACTTCAGTGCGCGAAAATAGAGGGCTAACTGACCATAGTGTGTCATGGCCTCACTGTAGACCTTGGACATTACAGTTCCAAACATTGACGTCTCTACGCCAGTGAGTGCGTCTATTTCCAGGCTCCCCAGGTCTCTGTCGGAACTGTCAAATATATCTTCTATTGCTGCAATGAGCAAGTGTTTGCGGGAACGCAAGGCTTGGCAGATTTCATCCTCGGAGGGATCGGAACTTGGCCATGCCCACTCTGCAGAATCGTCAGCATTTGGAATGCATGGTCACTGAGGTCAGTACTAACTTAAGAGACTTATCGCATCCTCCCAGGATTTTTCGATCAATCGACTGAGTTCAAGCTGCTGATTTCGGAAGTCGGTTCGCAAGTCCTCGCAAGGGTCTTCCAGGTCCGTAACCATGACGCGCATAGCCTCCTTATTCCAGTTGCGGTGGCCAATCGTGGCCGTAGTGTGATTGCCTCCATTGCGACAAAATGCAGCATAACTCACTATATCACGTTAGAATCTCTCCAGAGAAATTAATCTAGACTTCATGCCCAAGTCAAAGGGGGAACGGGGGGAGGGGAGGGTTACTGTGGTGCCACTATATTCAAGTTACTTAGTAACGACCGACAAAGGGAGTTTGGTATACAGATTGACTCACGGTAGACCAGTCCAAACAGGCTGTAGTAGATCCTTTAGTCCATTCTGAGATATTCCGGCCTATGAATGACTTAGCACTTTATTCCTCGAGTGCAGGGGGTCAATTCTATTTCTACCTTGCCAAATATTGTGCCAAAAGCTTTCCTTCAACGAAAACCCGACACCTGTTAACGGGGACGTCCCAGAAGCAAGGGCCTACCAAAAGTCAGCATCGGACTGCTCATTCCGTCTTGAGGTGCTTCAATGAACCTTGTGAAGTTGCTCCTCGAACGTATACAGGACACGCCTGACAGCCTCCTTCTGCTCGGCTGAGCTACTTCCCGATCCGGACTGCACCCAAAGCTCGATCTCGCTCAGCAGAGTTGGTACATCGTTGTCGAGGAAACTGCTCGATGTGCGCAGCTGACTGGACGATACCATGGCGGTGCAGTGCTTCCGGATTGCGACAATGCCTGAGAGGCTGAGGAATGGCTCGGCTACCGACTTTTCAGCCATGCGCCGTTCCCAGTACATGGTGTTGCTAACACAAAAGATGTGGAGTGTCTCTGCTGTTGTGTGGCCCTGATAAGTCTCTTGCAGTCGCCTCACGACGTATGCGTTGCGCATTTCGATGGCGTATTTCTTCAACTCATAGTCCTCGGCATTGCGTTGCTTCTCAATGTTCCGCCTATCCTCGAGAAGCTCCAGCAGCTCCTGGTGGGTTTCAGGTCCCATGTTCGGTAAGTCATGGAAAGTTTCCAGTTCCTCATCAGTTTCCTTCAACTCTCTCTCAATGGAGCGAAGCGATTTCAGCAGTTTCCTGATTTTTCGGCCCGGCTCTTTCCCCCAGTCGTCTTTTATCTCCTCGGGATCGATGTCATCAGACTTCGTGCAAACAATGCCAATGTGTCTGAGCCGCGCGTCTCGTGCGAGGTCAAAAACACTCTTGACGCCTACATCCGTAGTGGCGCGGCCGATGTTACAGACGGCAAATATCTCGTGGCAATTTCGTATATACCGTTCGGTAATGTTGCGTCGCGCAGAATTCAAATCGCGGAGCCCGGGAAGATCCACCAAGATGAGTCCTTTGCTGAGAATGTGTGCTTTGAGGAATACCTTTATCTTCCGGATATACGGCCAGGTTGCATGCATCTGAGCGTCAGGCACCTCCGATGTCAGTTGCATCAGCAGCAAGGAACACTGTTCCAGTGAAGTGACCACCTGCCTCGACGGCGATTGGAGACCACTAGCACTTGTCATCCAGTCATGGAACTGATCAACGATGACATCCTGCGACTCTTCGAGAAGCCAGTCGTCATCCTGCAGGAAGCCGCGGAACATTGCTCGAAACGTGTCTGCGGCAATGTTTGCCCTCGCCTCGAGATCCTTCCGCGCTTCTTCGTCCAGGCTCTCGCCGTGTTGATGGAAATTCCTGTAACAGCCTAGCAGTTCGGCCAGTTGCTCATGAAGTTCTTCGGTGTTGAACTTCTCCACCTCGATCACAAACTCATCATCAGCGTGGTAGTGGTACTCGGTCACGACGCAAGTGCACGCGGCACCATTGTTGGTCGTTCGTGCTAGACCCCGAGAGTCCAACAGGGAGTTTAGCAGGCTGCTTTTGCCAACACCAGAGTCGCCCACGAAGCCTACTGTCCGAGTCGATAGTGGCTGAAAGCAACTCAATTTCGTGGCGCGTTCGTGCAGGGTCTTCATGGTGGAATCAGGCTCGAGGTGGACAGAGCTACTGGAAAGAACGTCCGTCAAATCGCCGAGGAGCTTCCTCGTGTCGTTCAAGCGCCTCTGAAAGGCTGGACGGTGAAATTCATCACTCGGAGGCTCTTCGTCCTCGACCTTGTGGGTGACTGGCCCTTGACGCGGAGTCGACCGTCTTCGTGAGGGTCCCCGTGGCGACGAAATAAGGGCCCCATTGTTCAGTGGTGCATTGTTGGAGTTCGTGTCTGTGGTGAGGGCATCGATGGCGGCCCCAATTTCCCTCAAGTCCAAGGCTACCCTCGGCTCTCCGGAAGATTGTCTGCTCGAAAGCTCAAGGTCTTGCAGCCCCCGTGTGAGACTCTCACCCCTTGCATCGGATGGTAATGCATGGCTCGTCGTCGCGGGAGTGACTGGAGGCGGAAGCGAGATCGATATGGACGGCGTTGAGGATCGGCCAAAAGTTGAAGATTTCGGCGTAGTCGCTCCTGAGCTGCTCCAGCCCGCAGTGAAAGTGAATGCCGGGCTTGGACTCCTCTCTACGGAGGCGATGGGCTCGGAAGTAGGTGTTTGGCTTGGTTCAAAGGCACCTCGAGTAATTGAACGGACATTGTCGCTTCCGCTTCCCTCTTCGCTTCCCGCTCGGAAAGCAAGCGTGCTGGGACTACTGCCTGATGTTGGCGTGGCATTCCCAGACGGAGAGGATGAAGCAGAGCTTGATCGAGCTGAAAGTACCTGCTGCACGATCAGTAATTCATAAAGCGTGGAATAACGCGGCTGGGAATGGACTGACAGTGCGTGTCATGGTTGCGGTGCAAGTTCAGGGACGTAATGTAACTAGAAGGGGGTGATTGTGCTAGAATTGGAGGCTGGGAACCTAGCTGAGCGCTGAGAAAATGGAAAGACTACAATAGTGCAGTATCTGAGGCCTGTTTACAGGCGATGATATCTGTGGACGGTCTGATGCGAATTTCAGAAGGGTTATTTTGGACAATTCAAATCTTGGGGAGGGGCTGGAGGGCAGGTTCCAAGGCAGGGACTGAATATAAACCCCCCCTCTCAGCTGGGGACTGCATTTCTGTGGAGTGTCACACAATACAACGAGAGCAGTCCGGCGCCAACTTGCATCATCTGATGCGTCTACTTACTCGCCAGCCTTCTGTACAGCCCATATTGCGACCGCGACGGGGTTGAAATCCGGCCGACCTCGCAGACCCGTCGACGTATCGGGGTGGAGCCCCTGCAGCACTACCAGGGTCAAGTGTGTTGCAATGGAAGGCATACTCAACCAACTGCATAAGGCCGCCTGCTCCAATTGGCCTGGCCCTCCATCCCAAACGGCACTGCCACAGGCAGCAGCTTAGGTCAGTGATTACACACGCCGGCTCCCTCGCGTCCCAAGTGCTTGGGTGATCAAAATGGATGCGGACGGAGTGTCGACGTGTAATAAAACCCCTTGAGCATGCAAGGCTTAAATACCACCAGCGCGTGGTGGCAGTTGGTCGCGCGGACAAGGCCCTCAAGGCGTGTGGAAGCTGATGTGCTACAAAAATAAACGTTTCGATGCAGCTGTCGTCGCATCGGGATCCACGCACTTGTATCATATTCGCAATTGGTGCAATCCATTTGGTAACTCTCAGTTGGCCCCCAATCCCTAGGACGTTGCATTATGTGGTGGCATCAATTTACCTTAATTATATAGAAGAACTATTTACATCTTGAACCCCGAGCTCTGTCGGTAACACCATTGTGCAACAGCGAGAGACCTATGTCACTTGCCCCTCGGAAGCAGCATTATCCTACTTTATGGCTTGTTCCTCCCCAACTGTCCAGCATTCTCGCTCACGTACGTCAGGACATCCGCCCCGGACTCAAAAGATCGAGGCATCGCCTGCTCGCCAAACTTGGCGCAGCTCTGCACCAGCCCACCCTCGACGGAGTCGTCCTTGGTGGTCAGGTAGTAACTGAACTTGTCGGCCACGTTCTCCGTGAGGTTGACGTCCCTGCCGTTCAGCTGGCTGGCAGGCGCGGCCAGGCTTTCCAACCCGGGGTACGCTGCGATCTCCTCGGCGGACAGGTCTGGTGGGGAGCAGAGGGTGGCTGGATTTTCGGGCGTGGCGAGGTCGCTGAATGTGAAGATTCTGGACTCGTCGTCTGGGAATTGCCCGGTCTGGTCGAAGTAGTTGCCTGACATCAAGACAGATGACATGTTGTAGAGGCCCACGTCGTATTGGAAGTCGGGGGTATACTCAGCCCTCTTCTCGAGTCTTGTGGTGTTGTAGAGCGGTGCCTTGTTGTTGTAGTTTGAGAAGACATTGTTGGCAATGTAAACGGTGCCAAAGCGGACCAGCGGGTTCCGGCTCATTGAGTTGACGAAATGGTTTCCGAAGACTGTGAATTTCATCTTGCCGATATCCCGGGGTCCTTCCTTCTCACCGCCGCCCCATAGCAGGCTCTTGTGGTGGTTTGCGATGATGTTGTGGCTGAACGTGATGTTGTCTGAGCCGTCCTCGACATCGAAGAGCCCGTCGTAGCGGTCAACCAGCCAGCCCCAGAGGAACGGCTCAGGCGCAACGGGCTCCGGCCCGTCTTCCAGGATGTTGCCGTCGAGCCAAGCGTTGGTGGTCGTCACAAAGGATATCGCGTCGTATCGAGCATTCCAGCTCGAAGGGTACGTCTCCGGAGACGGGAAGCAGTCGCGAGGGGGCGAGATACGAAGGTTTCGGATGATGATGTTATCCTGGCCGTTGAAGTTCAGGCTCACGCCGTTGAGGTAAGCGTCCGAGTCCCAGCCGATCAACGTCACGTCGCCCTTCGCATCGATAGACTCCCAGCTTTTCTGTATATTCTGGGCTTGGCCCCTCCAGCCCTGGAACAAATAAGTACGACATATGGTTTTATGGGCTGGCTGCATGGCATGCAACAGTTGACTTACGTTTTGCCTGTTCAACAGGCTAAGGTATTCCGTCGCGTTCCTGCCCTCAAACTGCTCGCCTGCCGTCTCAGCAGCTTTGACCGCATCCGTGTATGTCGAGTTCAAGGCCATGACGTAGAGAGTGAAGTTGAAGTCGGGCACCCGGCTCGAGTCGATGTAGTACTGGCAGTCACCGGTAGTGGTCTCGTTGATTTGGCTGCCCTTGAGCTCGCCTTTGACGTAGATGGTCCGCGGTGTAGTCAGTTCCAACGCTGTGCGGAAGTCCATCATGTTGTCGACAACATACGTGTTGTTCTGCGTCGGGGCGCCGCCGCCAGTTACCTGAGAGCCAAAGCCAAAGGGCTTCCGGTCCGGTAGCGTTGGGCTCGAGGCATCGCGTGATATGGGCTGGAGCCTGCCTCCCAAGACGCCCGCGAAAGGAAGCAAGAGCACTGCTGCTGTCCAAAGCATTTTGACTGTTGTGCCGGTAAAGGAAGAGGACTGACGGCTAGCGCAACATCGACCTCATCCAGAAACTATTGTCCAGTAGTTGGAATACGCGGGACTTAAAAGACATCCGTCCCCTGGCAGGTGACATGTTCCCACGGTCGTTTTTAACCCGGATGGCGATCCGAGGCGGGACAAGGGGCGCCGCTAGGCAATCGGGAATTTTTCAGTAAACACGAAACAACAGGCGGGTTTTCATACCCCTATCAATCTCCATTCAAACTGCCCTTACTCGTTCACCTATAGTCCAGTCTGAAAGGCATGACTTTGGGTTGCCTACAGCCCAATTGCATGCCGCACAATTAAAGCTGTCTTGCGATCCACTGTATTGTCAGAGGTCACTCGTTGCCCTCGGCTTGTAAGAAAGTCTCCAATCTGCTGGGTCAGGCGGTTTGGAAAGGGGAGCTATGTTATCGGCGGACCTCGTCCCATGTAAGTGTGGAGACAAACTGATCATCATTGCACAGTGGGGAAGCACCCTGCAAGGAACTCATGCAATGGGGCAAAGATCGGAGGGTGGTGGAACTTGCAGGTTCCTGGGCCCAAATATTGTTTCCTCGGCGCGCATTTTGAGTTGCGCGGGATAGATGATCTCGAGAATCTGCTCAGTAATAACCCTTTTTAGCATGTGTGTTTTAGGTTCGCCTAGTCCGAACACCAAACGATCTAAGCTTGGATGACAACGTCCCGCTCGTTCAGTCGATTCGCACGTCAATTCTTCCCTCCTTTTCACACGCTCGTCATGCAGGTCCTGCTCCGTCTTCTGCCTCGATTGGGTTCGCCCAGACCAATCACTTCCACATCCAGATAGATTTCGTATGCAGACGACATGTGGACGGACTGGACAACGAGTTGCCTGATGGAGCCAGCCGAATCCAGTGAAGCGGTTCCCTGCCCCCACGGAACGCGATGTGATTTGTGGAATTTCGCTTAGCTTCGTGTTGACAACGCCGAGCACCCCAGCGCTATATACGGGCTTGTACCACTCGCACCAATCCCAGATATCTGGATTTGGCTTGACCAGACACCGCTTTCTGTGTCATAGTCTCATTAGAGACGACCTGTAATGTGATACTCCTGTGGGGCAGTCTTCTGTGGAACAGTCTTTCGTAGCAAAGCCTCCCATAGGGTAGCCCACAGAGCAATCTGCAGGGGGTGGCCTTCGAACTCCTTTTCAAATTCTACACTAGATCGTATAGAACATTCCATAAGGCGATACCTGGGAACATTTTTGCCTATTCTTAGCGCCATGATCCCCCCTCAATACTCTAAAATACCTCGTCGAACTCTGGGGCCACTGCGAGCTGTGGTTTGGCTTGAAGGTAAGATCAACTGGTGCTGGCTGCCTTTGTACCTGACTAGCTGGGAACGGGGCCAGTCTCCCTTGGGCATTTGCAATTGTCAAGGCGATCAACATGCACCATCACACATGCTGTCCATCATTAAAGCTTGGTTCATAGCACCGATTACTGAGTGTACTAGGGTCACTTGAAAGGCGAAAAAGGCAACCATTGTAAGACTTGAGCACGGAAGAAATGCATTTGAATCGGTCTATCTCGCACACAGCCGAGCATGCCAGAAACTTTCGACCCCCTCAGAGTCCCAAAAAAGAGTGAACGAGGCGGTGCACCAACATCTACATCTAATTCCAGCTCTTGATCCACGGAGCCAGCACCTCGCCGTCCTTGAGCGTCTTCGTAACAGCCATGGCCTGAGCCTCCAGCGTCTCCGCGAAGCCCGCGGTGCCCCACCACTCGGGGAAGCTGCTGCCGCTGAGCCCCAGGGCGAGGGCGTACAGGATGAGGCAGAGCGCGTTGCCGACGTCGAGCGCGCCGGCGAGCGAGTACGTGTAGCGCTCCCACCAGCCGGGGAACTTGCGCTTGATGATGACGTTGAAGATGATGCCGATGGTCAGGTAGCACAGCAGGTTGAAGATGGTGGCGGGCGGGATCATGCCCGAGACGCCGAAGAGCGCCGGGAAGAAGACGTAGCGGAGGATGCTCCTGGGGTACTTGCGGGCGATGTAGTACTGGATGATGGGGCATGCGAAGCCGATCAGGAAGAACCAGTTGGCCCAGGCTGGTTTGCGTGTCAGCTGGATTCTCTGGAGTCGAAAGGAATGCATCCTGGAAGACTCGTGCTTACAGTACATAGAACCAGCGCCGAACATTCTTGCGGGACCGATGACACCTGATTGCTTAGTTAGCACTAGTGGCGACGGGCATGTACCCCAGGAGCCTGAGCATGGTTGCGAGGGGATTCGCCAACTTACCCCAGATAACACTGGCATTGTAGAAGGTCTTTGCACCAGCGCAGGTGAAGCCTTGAGGCTGGGCCTTCGTGCAGATCTCGGGGAGGTATGCAAACATCCAGTTGAACGTGGCCGTCTGGACGATTCTGCGTTGTGTCAGTAAAAGGTGCTACGGAGCCCGAAGTAATGCGCCCTGAAGATTCCAGAATACTACCAAGGATGACGATGATATGAGGGACTTGTGCTTACGATAGCCACAGCACAGCAAAGAGCTGAGCCCTGAACAAGGAACGAGGAGGGATTTTCACTGTGATTGGGAGTTAGCCTTCGTACTTTTTGGCAAGGGGCTCTGTACGATAGTGGAGTGGGACAGTATTTGGCCGTGGCCGTGGCCGGATCCCGGACTCAACAGCAGTAGCCTATAAATGTGGTGCGTGTGTCTCTAGTCCAGAATTCGAGAGAAAACTTACTGTAGTGACCAATCTTCATGTCTTGAACGTAAGTCAGGGAATTGTATGAAAGCATATAGCCCCCTAGTAGGTGTTAGTGAAAGGGCTGCAATAGAACCTCCAGGGCGCCAGTAATGCATTATGGAAGCCTCCAGAAGACAACAGATGGGGACGTATCGGAGGGGGGGACTTGCAGCTCTCTGTTTTTATGTGTTAGTGACCTGTTGTAGAGTCCAAGATAATGCGTTCTGGAAGGTATCTGTGCTTACTGAACATCATCATCGCGATGGGCTTTCCTGGAAGCATATAACCGACAATCATCTCAGTGATGATATTCAAGCCAGTTTGCTGATTGGTCACGGCTTGAATGATGCCTGTCACGCGTGTCAGCACAGCAAATCATATCGGAGAAGACAACATCAGAGATACTGACCGACTGGCAAGACGAAGAAGGCACCGACACCAATACAAATAATGTAGGCCCACCACGTGAGGTGAGTCGTCCCTAGCACCTGTTAGTCACCTGCTACGGATCCCAAAGTGATACATTTTGGAACATTCTTAAACACAAAGATTTGATATGTGTAGCAGGAGAAGAATGGTACGAACATAGCTGACTGGCTAGCATTCCAAACGCGAACATCACAAGGAAGACGATGGAGTACCACCACTCGGGCACCTCGGGGTACTTCCTCATGAGCTTGAGGTGGACATCGGGCTCCTCGTACTTGGAGTCCTTGACACGGCGGACGACGTCCCTTCCGTAGAACCAGATGACGTGGCTGACGTTGCTGGCCAGTGTCGCGAAGCCCATAGCATACGACAGGCCGAATGCCGCCGGCAGGATCAGGGGCGAGTAGGCCTTGTATGCCGCCTCGTTGATGGTGGTGTCCGCGTTCAGGATACGCGTTGTGTTGTAGTTATTGGCGAACCGGTCGAAATTGGCGTTCTCGACCATTCTGGAATTTGTTAGCAGACTGTTCCAGATCCTGGGGTGGTAGAGAAAGACAGGAAAAGGAAGGAAAAGTGCGGCTTTTTCTTTTTTCTTTTTTGGGAGATGGGGGGGAGGGGTTCGCCCTTGTGACCGGAGGTTCGAGAACCGTTTGGTAGTCACACAGGAAAAGAGGCCAGACCGTACGAATGAATAACACGGAGGAGAATCTTTACTTACGGGAGGTATTGGTTGTACGAGGGACCGGCGAAGTAGATCAAGACGGTGACGAAGAGGAAGAAAATACCTCCAGCGAGCATGTTGAGCAGGGCAAATCCTGGAGTAAGGATAGGATTGCCAAACCACGACTGAAAAGTGTTAGTAGTCTGCTACGAAGCCCGAATCGTTGAGAGATGTGTGCTTACAGCGACGCCAGACCAGTCAAGCGAGATGGGGAGAATGCCGATTCCAGTCACTCCACCGAAAGCTTGGTTCACGGCCACATTATTGGGGGCAATCCAAGTTGGGAAAGTTCCGAGGTAGACCAAGAAGTTGGCCATTACGTTTGGAACCCACTCGTAGCAGAAGGTGACAGCGGAGACGAGCATGAAGAAGTAGTCTAGATCATGTCAGCTTACCCCAAGACAACGCCGAGTCCAGAACTTCCACGTCATCCGAGACCGAGGGATTCAGAGTCAACTAGTAGAGGAGAGTCTTGACATACAACGACCAATCTTCCAACCATTCGTCTTGGATGGGTCGGACGGCGCATGGTTGTGCAAGCTGTCCATGACAGTGCAGAACACAAGGGCCAAGCCGGGCCAGACCATAGCAGCGGGCCAGACGAGGAACCGACGGAGCATGCCGGCGATACCAAAACCCATGGCCTGCGTGGAGAAGACCAGCAGGAGCTGGAAACCCCAGCCCCAGAACTGCTTGTAGTAGACCTGCTGCGCGAGGAGGATGTCGAAGGCGTAGCTGAAACCGGCACCGGCGGCGGTCATGACCGTGATGATGGTGTGCTCCTTCTTGTTGAACGGGCCCGGGTTGAGGTGGAACTCCTTGCCGAACACTGTGAATGACTTTGCCGGGACGTAGTTGGCCCAGCCGACACCCATGGGGTAGGCGATGAGCTGGACGACGGGCGTGCTGATGGACACACCGAGGTAGTGGTTGTTCAGCAGGATGTTCATGGCGGCGACCACGGTGCAAGTGATGAAACCAATAGTCCACGCACGAATGGTGTCCACGGGCAGGTCAGGGTTATCTCCTGGGGAGACCTGTGACGCAAGTCAGGATCGCAGTTCATCGTCAAGTCCACTCCTGGATGGGTCAACAACTTACTGAAGCTCGGACTTCAGCGTACGGCGAGTCCTCTCCGATGAGCTGCTCCTCGACGACAGCCTCCTTCTCGACATCTCCGGACTCGATCACATTATCGATAGCGTCCAGTTTGGAAATGTCCATGAAGGGGTCGAACCTGTGCTGGTCCTTGAGCCTCTTCATGTGGAGGTCGGCATCGGCGCCGCCCACCTCGTAGCCCGTGGCCTCGGCCGAGTCCACGGGCTCGATGGGGCGGGCCTCGGACCTGCCTCGCCAGCTGAAACCCATTGTTTCTGGTGGAGAGTTGCAAAGCTGATGAGATAGAAGACGGTGTTGCACTAGACGAAGTCAAGCTCCTGGTCCAAGATGTCAAGCGCTGGGCACCAAGCGACCAAGAACGACCACACAGGGAGAGAAAAGCTCGGCGGGCGTGCCATCAAGGACGCGAATCACTGGGGTGGCGGGGTCACTTTAATGTATGCGTGCGACGAGATTCCACAAACCCTTCTAAGACGCTGTGCTACCCTTCTGTGAATGTGCCCAGCTTCCGTGGCGCTGTGCTACCCAGATGTAAACGGGCCACCTTCCCTAACGGTACACTCCCAGGAAACGGCTCTTTCTAGAACACTTCGAGAAGCCAAGGCCGCCACTGTCGACGAGGATAGGCCGAGATCAGTCCATTCAGCCGTGCTTGTCCTCGCCGGGAAGGAGATAAGGGAGAGGAGGGGGAGTTCGCAAGGCGCCCATCACCCAGAGACAGCCGGATATGGCGATATGGGAGCGCGCGCTGTGAATGGCTCTTCATGGTGGTGCGAGGTCTCGGAGCAAGGGGGTTCGCAAAAGAACCAGCCGGTCCACCCAGCCCCGTGGTTGCGCCATGGAGGGGGGGGAACCATGTCTCTGTCAATGTCTCGACCTAGCGACGTTCCCTTCGATAAACCATTTCAGTGTGATAGTACACGCGTGCAGCTGGCTCCGAGACAAACATGGGTGATGCCATTGAGCTAATTTGGCGCAGCCCAGAAGTCCCAACGGGCAGGACGGGGTTCTTGTTGGTGGAGAAGCGGCCTGGGCATTGCTGGGCGTTTGCTCGGCGCTGCAGATAAGGCCGCCACCCCGGTTGATTGCAAACATCGTGGGAGGGGTGGTGTCATCCCGACCTTGAACCCAGATGGAATTGGGCCGATCCTCGAACTTGTCAGAACCGTAGATGTGCATCAGATGGGGACGGCCAGATCTCGTATGGTTCGTCTCGATCCGGGGGTCCCTTCTCGAAGGGCGGGCCGAGGTCTCGTTATCAGTAGTGGGATCCAACGGATCCAACAGCACGGGATGCCATATCTACATCGAGTGGCGATGGGCTCAATTGGGGGGCGTGCGTCGGGAAAAATGCGCGGGAGACCAATCGAGCAGAGCATATTAAGCCTGAAATCCTGATCAGGTTTTGACAAGGCGCGATGGATGATGTGATGGACTTCGAAGTGGTGTGGAACCAGATATCGAACAATTCAGTGTTATCGCCTCCCCCCCCACAGGTCTCAGAGGTCATGATGAATGGCGGTCAAAGGGATCTGCCATCTCTGTGAAGCAAGCTCGGGGATGTATTTCGAGATGAAGTCTTTCTTATTTGCCATACATATCGGTGTTGTCTTTTCGTTCAGCTAGCCCATCCGGAGGTGGATATGATTCGCAATCTCGGCCAACCCCTGGCTTAATATAGACTAAATGGCGTTTAACTGTGTCATGTGCCCTCACCCCTTATCTCTTCACTGTAACCTTAATAGACACTAGAAGCAATGGAAAAAGGTTCCCGGTGATAAGGCCGGTTAGTGGGCTTTTTACTTTGCCCTATCACAAGTCAAGGTGTATAGTAGGGATAGTCCCTCACCTCATGCAGCTGCTAAGATGAAGGGCGGTTGCAAAACGAATAGGGCAGAAGTCTCGTCTTTCAGACTGATATGAGCTGGCTGTGGTTGAGTTCCACTGTGGCGAACCCACACAGAAGAAGCTATGGCCAAGAGAGCTAATCTAGGCTGGGCCCATAGCCCGTTGCTAAGTGGTGTGTGTGGTACGATCGCTTTGTCTCAAAAGCTTAAGATTCTTGGAAGAATCGATCCGATAGATCTAGCTGCGCCAAGGAGAGCTTGGTATTCCTGACACTGGAAGAGCATGCATGCAGCAGAACCACGTGAAACGAATTGCAACACCACGGCTGCATTGTGCCTGCAGCTCTGCCATACAATCCGTAATTGGAGCTCACTCTAACATGTCCGTGTGCCCTCCATGTGGCTAGATGCTGTTAGAAACAACCTTCATTGTCGGCATGCCCGCTCTGATATATTTTTGGTCTCCGACGCTATCCTTATATCAACCACAGTCTGCCCTTAGTCCCAAAACTGGTCACCCTTCTGGACCTGTAGCATTGGCTAGGAAACAATTTTTCGTTCCATAGTATGGCCCCTGAGAACTTGAAATGGTTGGCTATTGTATTTCTACTTGAGAAAGCTGAACGCCTACAATATATACAAAACACCTTGGAAATGCACCGACCTGCACAAAGTCTGATGGATGTATAGCATTAGAGGATGACCGCTTACAATCAACCTGACCTCCCTGAGAGAGACTGGAGCAATGAAACAAGCGTGACCAATGCTTGTTGTACCTAACCTATGCAACATTCAAGCAAAAGATCCTGAATCTTGACATCCTAATATGCTTCCGTACAATCATACCTAGGTGATTGCAAGCGTCACAGGCCACTCCGACGAGTATTCATTGCGCAAACTGCAGGGTTTTTTGGTCTCTTCCTCTCTATCTCTTCAACGGCCACGATACGGATCTCTTGCCCTGCCCGCAACGTAGAAGCCCAATCAAACTCTGTGCTTGTATGTCACCAGCCACACTCGCGAATAGCTCTGCAAATATCACATTCACACATTTACGGATTATTTATAGACTCTTTGTGTTCTTTGAGTTCTTATACCACACCGGACGGCAATATCTGTCTTGGTGGAACAAAATGTAGATTTTCCAAGCAACTACTAGTGTGATCTTTCAATATACAAGACTGTAGACAGTGGCTATTCAATGCACTTCCGCAAACCAGTGTTGTTCGGATAACACTTACAGCACAATATTCTGCAGCCAACCTGCATTTTTCTTTACTTCCTAGTTGGCGGAATGGTACTTTATTTGCCTCCTCACGCACAGTAACAGCAACGTACACTTCTTTAATACTGGCGGCGGGTTTTGACGAGGCGGGAGTAGTGTGGATCCTGAGGGTGATGCAGACTAAAATCTCACCACGTGACATTGCTGTGTAGTGTGTATATGCTGGCACAGTAGTTTTGGTAGTGTCAGCTTTGCGCTGAAACGTTTTCATATGCATCGTTTTCTTGGAAACTAAGTATATAACACTCAGCTCTCCAGCCACATCATCCGCCCCCAGAACAACCCCTTTCCAGTAGAATTCAACAACTCCCAGTCGGGCGAATGCTACCCACTGCATGCAAAATGCGCAAATGCGAAAAAGGCGAGCGCCAGAGAAATTTACGAGGTCCACTTGTTGGTGTTGATCCAGTCGACGAACTGGCCGACGCGGGTGTAGACGCCGGCGTAGTTGGCCTCGGCGCAGCCGTTGCCCCAGGAGACGAGGCCGTTGAGGACCTTGGAGGAGTCGACGATGGGGCCGCCAGAGTCGCCCGAGCACGAGTCCTTGCCGCCCGCGGTGAGGCCGGCGCAGAACATGTTGGTGGTGACGGCCGAGGTGCCGTACTGCGACTGGCAGGTGGCGCGCGAGATGACGGGGACGGAGACCTTCCTCAGGTTGGCGGGCAGGGTGGAGCCGTCCTCGGTCAGGAGGCCCCTGTTTGATGCGGGTCAGCGACTTGTTCATCAAAACGGGTAATATCACGCAGATTTGGCGGATGTGTGCTTACCAGCCGGCGACGGTGAGGGTGGTGCCAGAGGCGGGGTCGGAGCCCTGGGCAGGGAGGGTGGCATAGCCGATGGTAGAGCTGGTCGCAATGGGGGTGGCCAGGTGCCAGACGGCAACGTCGTAGTCGATCTTAGCCGAGTTGTACGACGGGTGGTACTTGATGGCAGAGACGCCAACCTGAGTGCCGCCGGAAGCCCAGGTCTAATTAAATCTTGTGTCAGCACATATGTCACCTTTGAAGAGCAAGCCAAAGGAAGAGAAACAAGATCACTGTTTTCTCTGCTCCTCTGCTCGGATAAACGAGAAAAAGATCGAGATGTAACTTACGAGGGAGCCCGCGCGGACCTTGACGGACGAGGCAGTCTGGCCGACGGAGCAGTGGGCAGCCGTGATGACGGTGTTGGCGTTGAGCAGGACACCGCCGCAGAAGTGCGAGTTGCTCTTGGACAGGCTGACGATGAAGGGGAAGTCGCCGGCGGCGGCGGTGGTGCCACCCACGATTCCAGCCGGAGGCGGGAGCTCGGTCTCGTCCTGGCGGACGTCCAGGCCGAAGGGCTTGGTCTGGCCGAGGGGCTTGGAGACTGCCGCGGCCATGGAGAGGACGGGCATCGACAGAGCGAGCGCGAGGGTGAGGAAGGGCGTCATCGTGGCGGTCTGGAGGGCTGCTGGCACTGGGAGCTGTGGTTGGAAAGAAGGTGCTGGGGCTGGGGCTGCTGGACCATCATTCCCAAAGAGAGACGCCGGCAGCGTTGTCTCTTTATACTCGATGCAGTCGACATTGTCTCTCAAACGATCACGGCTCGTACGGTCACGAGTTACGAGTTTCCTACTCAGTTTCTGGGGGTCCTCAGGTACCACTTGCCTACTCAGTATTGGCACTCCGAGGGCCAAGAGCTCGCTGTCAATACGCCAGATAAAGCGCTGTCCAATCCTTTCCTGCAGACCTCATATTTCAACACTTGGCACAGATCTGAGTGTAGTACGAGTGGCCGAAAGCAGAAGGCGAGAAGGCCGGCGTGTTCGTCGGGACTGGATGAGCTGCCGCAGAACTGCCCTTTCCGGATAAGCGCAGCCGGGCTTGGGTCCCTGATAGTCTATCTGACGGCAGTCCACATACCGTCGGGAACCCATCCTTCTTGTGCAGCCAAGACTTCAGCGGGGACCGCCTGGCAGGCTGAACCTCGTCTCCTCGCAAGGTGTTTGGCTGCCTTTTGATTAAGCTCCTGGGCAGGTGACACAGGCGCGACCCCGTATAGGCTCAGGCTACAGCACTCGTCCGCAAAGTCGGCCCTTGATAGGCAGGCGGCCTGGCGGCACTGCGCTATTGCGGTTGACGTTGTGGCCGGGAGGTGGGTGTTCTCCTGCACGCCGATAGTGGTTTCACAAAGCTTATCCGCGAGACAAGGGCGAATAGGCCAGCCGGCCAGTGGCATAATTTAAGCTGCAGCGCATTTCGTTCAAGTGCAGGTTCTCGAATGCAGGCTCCTTGGCCGGATCTCCGCGGGACAAGACATGTGTCCCGGGTCCGAGTCGATTGGCAGCTGCCCGCTGTTGATCGACCAGAGTACCAAGGTTGGTCGTTCTCTGGGTCCGGGCTCGGGGGTAAAAGGGGATCACTGACAAGTACCATGCGAGATTGGCTGCTGTGTAGTATTAGTGTCCTTGGCAAACCGGTATGTGCCTAAATACCGGTTGCAACTTATTGATATCAGGGTTAATTATGCTTATTATGTGTGAGCTGCACTTAAGACCTCTTGAGCTTCCATATTTTCTGTTGCTAAGACCGTGAAACCATATGTCTCAAGACAAGCGAGACATTGTCCATTTGTGTACTTCAATGCTAGTCCAGTATAATTTTCCTGGTGGCTAAGTACAATAATTACAATCCCGTATTAATGACACCCGTGTGGTCCGACCATGCCTGAGAGCCATGGAAATCTCCTAGACGCGTCTTATGCCCCTATATGACGGCAACTGTTTCGCACGAGGCGCAGGACACGCGACATGCGCCGCGACCCAGCGCACGAGATTCCCCTCGCGCCCTTCCCTCCAGTCAAAGCCCACAAACGAGGCCTGGAGCGAGACCTTGGACTGCCCGAGCATCTTGGCGAAGAAATTCCGCGCCGCCTCGTTGTCGGCCTCCCACACGAGCTCGATCGACTCCCTCACCTCCTCCCCGGGCTCCTTGTCCCCGGCCGCCACCGGCAGGAGCTGCCGCCTCCTCTTCTCCCCGGGCATCTTCCACCACTCGTCCAGCACGGCCTTGTAGAGCTCGGGGCCGTACCCCTGCCGTTGGAACTTGGGCTTTATCAGGATCTCGAACCGCGTCCAGCCCGACGTTGGCTGGTCCTCGCTATCCGGGAGGCCGGCCTCGCCTATGAGCTCACCAGTTGAGGCTAGGAACGCCCCCCAGTACCAGTGGCGCTTGTCGTACGGCGCCTGTAAGCGTTCGAGTTGCTCCTTCGACTCTGCTAGATCCCTGTTGGGCCGTCCACGGAATGTCGAGTTGGCCTGGATCTCGGCTATGCTGCGAAGCTCGTGGAAAGCCTCGAGATCGGATGGTAGGAGCGGTCTGATGACGAGTCTCTCCGTTTTGATTTCTTGGCGGTCTCCGACTGGCGGTAGTGGCCTTATGGGTGCGCAGACCTCATAGCTGAACCATATTGTGGAGGAGAGCTTTTCGTAGTCTTCATGCTCAAGTTCGACTTGGATTGTCGGTGGTGATGATCCGCCTGACATTGTGTGTGTTTGGAGGTTTGTGTGTGAGATGCCGGTGGCTGACTCGTAGAAAGTGTCTGCCGGTGTTCGGACAGGTATCAAGGAACAAGGCTGTTGCTGTATGAGTGCTGAGAGCCTTGGGGGTAGACTGAGGCTGGAAGAGGCTGAGGTTTCTTGAAGTGGTTTGATATGAAGATACGAACAAGAAGTCGGACGAGCATGGATACAGGTGGGAGAGGGCGGGAAGTGTTTTATTTGAAACCACGACATTCGTCGCGGGGTGAGAGGTGGGTGGAGCACCATGAAAAATAGAACTCAGGGGCCGTTGGCCCCGGGTGGGCTGCCGTGCTCACCCAAGGCAAATAGGCGAGGACAAATCGGACCGCTTCCACCAGGATATTTCGTATTGGTCCACTTCAACTACAGGGTGGCCATTCCTCTGTTCCTCTCTGTGTCTGCGGCAGCGGCGCGAACGTCCAGACAGAAAATCAAATTTGCACAGAAATCACCCGACTTGTCAGAAAGAAGTACGCGTGCCCAACGGTGTTTTGTCAAGGAGGTGGGGGTGATGCAACGTGGACTTGCGGGCGAGATTGCTCTCGTTTGCATGGAAGCCGAGGGAGGCTGGCCATTGGCCTCCATGATACCAGTGTCATGGGTCGGCCCGCACAACTCTCCATTCAACGGGCCCCGGGGCATCTCGGATGGGGGTTGCCACATGCAGCGAGCGAGTCGTGCCTGCAGCTGCGACCTGCCCAAGGCCCCACGGAAAGGGGGGTCTCAATTATGTGCAGTTGCACATCTCGGGCACATCTGAGCTGTACCGCAGTGGTTTCCCTGACAATCGTAATGTACCCCGATTTTGACATCCTAAATGGGCAGAGGCTCGTGATTGTTGGCTTGCGAGACGGGAAAGGCAGTCGTTAGGCGAACCAATCCTTCCCCCCGATTAATGAATCTGTAGCCGAGCTGGGCTGATCCACTCCCCCTGCGAACTGTCAATGTCCTCGAAAGGCTTGGCATCTGGAGATGGGAAGCTTCAAAGTGGCGCCCGGAATGGAAATCCATACGAGCAAACTCCTTTTTTGAGACGAGTGCTCGCGTAATCTACGCCGCGGCAGCCTCCCGGTTGTTGGCCAGGCCATCATCCACAGCAATTCCTCCACCCGTCTGGATTAAAGAGCGTATCGCTTGACACATCAAACGGTGATGTTCCCCAGATTATCAACCATGCGGTGATCAGATTTCAGCTTGCTTCGCGTCCCTTCAGGTGGAGTAATTGTCCTCTGCGCTCTGATATCATAACACTGGGGTGGATATATTTCCATTTTGACCGCTAGGCTCGTGTTGGAGAACAGCTGCAGGTAACAAAACAATCTGTTTCAGGTTCGGGGGTAAATTTGTGCAAAACTCCAAAGAATGGGATAGGGAGTCTTGCCTCACCCCACCTGCAAAGGTCGGCGAGCAGCCGACGGGTATCGCTGTCAACGATCCTAAACATCGAAGTGCTTGGGCCTTACCCCCCTGAGCTGTGGGTCTAGGGTGCTGAATACGGGATAGGATCCTATACCACATGCATGATGTGGTCAAGACTAGATCATGTTTGGGTAAGTTCAACAGGCGTGCTTTAATCAGGATGCAGATGCCTGTTCGGTATTTCAACAACCAGACGATTTCTGCCGATCGGGTTAGAATCTACTACAATTGGTCCGTGGTTTCTGAAAAGAGGCTCCCTCATCGCCTCCCCTGCCAGCCTGCATGCTTCAAATGGACTCTTGGCATGTGACATTTATATGGCTCGTCGGATGTCTGGAGTCGTCAATGAGGAGACCTGATGATTGCCGACCATCTCAAATACAACAGGACTTGCACCAACGCCTTCGGTGGTCCTCCTCGCCTCAAGTAGGTCTTCCCCTGGCGTGACATTCGTGCTGGTCAGCATGGGCGAGCCGTTCGGTCGATTCTCTCCATGCCACCACCGCCGACACCATCTTCATAGTCACCCGCCCCCAGATTCGGGGCCGAGACGGCCTTTTGGTGTCATCTATGCGAGATCCGACCTGCATGAAGACGACAGCCGAGCGTGAGATCTCATTTATTTCCTGTCGTGCTGTGCAGCAAAGCGTAGGTCTGCTATTGGCTGGACTGAAGAATACATGTGGATCAGCCATGTGGAGCCTGATAGAGTCTGTAAGGTCTAGGATGAAGATGATAATTCCAGGAGATTCGTAACTAAGGACAGCAATAAAGGGAGGTGTGAGCCCCAGCACTTAAGTTATGCCATGGAAAGAAAGAAATAGGCAGGATAATTAGAGGCTGCTTGTGGACTTTGTCCCTCTACCCATTAAATATTCTTTCTTAATTACGCCCACAACCAATTGGTACTTCTAGATGTGTCTCCAACCCCTGTTGATGACTGCGTCTTGCAGTCAGGGGTCAATGGCATTGTGATCAATACGTCCGAGTGTGGCGCCGTGATTGCGTTCTGGGCGTCGGCTGACAGCTGATTTCAATATCGTATTTCCTTTTCGTTCTCGCGCATTACATGCATCTACTGAGCGGAGTCCGCAGCGGAACATGGTGACCGATCTTGGAGGCAGTATTGCAAAATGTCTGGGTCTTTTTCCCTTGGCAGTTTTGGGGACATCATCACCATACTATGTCATATCGTAAAGGCCGACGTCGACATCCTCGACAGCAGCACGGGCTAAAGCTGCCAGTTACCATTCCCTGACAAGTGCCTTGTCGAACTGGACTTGCGTGTTATTCGAGATCAAAGCCTTGACTGAGACCGGTAGAATCACTGACCTTGATGTTTTGGTGCGTACCCTCGAGGATTGCTTTTCTGGTCTCAGCAAGTTTTCAGACAAGAGTCAGAAGTATGGAAGAGCCTTGGAAATGAAAATGGGTCGGGAAATTGACTCAAGGACTCATATCAAAAGAATCAGTGGACAGGAATGAAAGAAGATGTCGCAGTCTCCCATGACAATGTGGGGATGTACCTGGGAATGCTCCAACTGCTGCTGCAAAGTCCAGGATTATACATATTCCATGGCCATATCTTGTCTGGCCCGGCCATCTCGAATTATGCGGCAGGAATGAAATTCCTCCTTTGAGTGACGCTCGAGACCTGGAAAATGAGCAGTTTCACGAGCGCCTCGATGAAGTGGACGAGAAAGAAAGGTCTCAGTTCCAGGACACAAACTAGCGGCTACATGTGGGCTTTTCGACTTAGAGAGTACTACTGAGCCAGATTATTGACAAGGTCAAAGCTCTTAACACCACGGGCGTATCGAACGAGCAAAGAAAAGCAGCCATGGCGATCCGCTCTCTGGAGCGTCACGCAACTAATTGCTTCTTACCGTTTCGAGCGGTGACGTTCACGTATCATTCGACACAGCTATCGCATCGAGCCGTCAAGAGCTTAGGACTATCGTCAGGCTACATCACATGTCCAACTCTCCTTTCGTCGGCCCACATTCCAATATCACGAAGGACCACGGCCACCGGCGCTCGGCGCTGCTTGGAGCTTCACCCGTGCCTCACGTGGCTAGCAAAGGCTGAGTTTCCCGACTCATCAATTGCGCTCCGCTGCGGGCTGCGCCATCAACGGCACGCAGCACGATGCATTGACCCACCGCAATGAGGGCATTGTTCACGCACGCCCAGCCGACAAGTGGGTACCAGTCGTACACCAGCCACAGAGAGGAGCCCTTAAGGTTCTCCGGGAGTCTGAACCTGACCGGCCACAGCAATGCCAAAGCCGAGAAGATGATGATTTGCAGCACAAGCGTCGTCCGGCTCAATGCGGTCCGGCCCTGAGTTGCTCCAGCCGCGCTGGCTTGAAGCCCATAGGCGACTCCGGTCGCGATCGTGAACAGGGGATTGATGACGGCGTAATTGATGCTCATGGTGACCACGAAAGGGAGATCTAGCCAGTCTTTGCTCGGGTTACCAGCCAGGATCGCCCAGAATACACAGAGGGCGGCGTGGAGAGCGACCAGTATTACTGCGGTCCTCGCAGATGGAGACATCTCATCAGTAGTCGTTGGGTCAGTCGTCTCTTCAGCCGTCGCTTCAGTGGTCGGATCTGTTTCAAGATTGCCGTGTGCAGATTCTCTTACTACAAGTACAAAACCCAAGCTGCATTTCAGATCGGCCGATTAGTGGTACTCCCTCTCCAGCTCTGGCTCGTTCAATGATCAAGAAACGTACGCGAGCAAGGAGCATAGCCATTGCATTAGCAGCTGGGATAAATTGAGGTAGTCCATGAGCCGTGGCGGTTTAGGCACCACCGAGCCATCTCTCTTGTATGTTGGGCAGGCAAAGAGGTAGTACGTAGTCGTAATTTGTGACTGGGCGCAAAGAGCGAGCATCAGAGTCGCCGTCACCGAGATGCCACTTGTGGTCTGGAGGGAGAGCAATTTCTTGCACTGTGGCAAGTACGACAACGGTGTGAGTACTATGAGCAAGCTATGCCCAGGATTAATACAATGCCGTCAACGTCGAGGACTCCTGTGCTTACATGCTCATGACATGCAAAGTGAACGCCATGAATGGTAGCTCAGAAGGCAGTCTCTAGATGTTTGAAGAGTAAGACTCGAATCACAGATGGGTTATAAGAGGCGAGGAGGTGTGGCGGTCCAAGGGAACGGAAATAGAGATGAACGAGTTGTTCCTCGAAAAATCGTTGATTTGAATCTAGGCTTATCGTTGCCAATTGAAGGGAAAGAGAGAATAGATGGATAGGCGGAAGGTTCTTCTCCCAGTCTATGAGGAAAACAGCGCAAGGGTGATTCGGCCGTCTTACTTTTAAGCAGGCACGCCTGGACGCTAAGGACCCCTGCTAGAGCACCCTCGAAAACAGGCCAACAGTCGATTGAGCCATGTGCGATGCCGATGCCCAACACACCGTGCGGGGAACGGTGATCTATTGTATATGTCCTGACTCTACTTAAGGGATAGTCACAGCACGCCGACTCAATACTTCTTGCTCGCCTCTTTTATTGTACAACATGTGGGTGTGGGCTGAAACCCAAAAGTTGTTGATTGGTATGCAAGCGTGGCAGGGGAGCACGAGAACCATGGGGGAACGGAGACTCCCTGATCTAGCCACATGCGGCCATGGTCGCACAACATGTGCATGTAAGGCTCTGTGTTCTAGGAGTCAGCCCTAAGATGAAGGCCAACCTTGCTTGAGGCAAGTGAGGATCCCAGTTCCGTTAGGGAAATAAAGCCATATTGCGTGAAAACTCTGTCAGAACGTTGCTGAATATGCGCAAAGGCAAAGTGCTAAACGTCTCGTTGCCATGAACCTCGGGATAAACCATGTTGAATTTTGTAGCGCCGATGCGAAAGCCAATATTTCCAATACTGTCACCGCTTGCAGTAAAATACCATCTACTGGTTGATGAAGGTTCATGTATGTTAGCAAATCCGGGGATAGTAATCGTTGGTTGTGTTGTTAAATGTTCACGTTGTTTGGCACCAATGATGTTATTAAGTCTGAGAGCACTGTCGGCTAAGATTTGTACAAATGATGAAGACTGTCGATGGTATCACGCGAGTGATCTTCATTGCTGTAGCTATTTGCGCTCAATACGTTATGATAGAAGATGACCGAAACTCCAACAACCTCGCAGCTCTGCCGTGATGAACGTCACACGGTAAACCACGCTCATGAAAATCGTACTGTTAGCCACCAATCCTGCCTCCGACATAACTCCACGTCTAGGTAATCAGTCCCAAATCATGCAATTGCCAGCCAACATAGGGAATTCCACCGGATTCCGACGGCTCTATACACAACCAACACAATCCTTCCCTAAATCCTCCTTGGCTCGACGAGGCCAGCCGAGCACATGTTCCAGAGGACTTTGCCGGCTGTCATCGATGACTGCTCCTCAATGCACGTGTCATGCTCTCTGTACACAATGAATTCTCTCGGCGGCTTGTGTGAAGGGACGGTGTGTCACTTCTAACCCAGGAGTTCCTCGTTTCCCGTTGCTATTCGGTATCCTTCAGACCTAGAATTCCCAGTCCAGCGGTATAGCTGTTCTCGAGCTAGTTGCGTCGTATAATGGGTCACCTGGTCCTCCTCGTCTGGGACAAGCGGGTCTGGTGTGTGGGCAGTCGAGACACCATGGTCGTGCCCCTCCTCTTGGAAAACGCGGACTTGGCACTCGACCTGGGCTTGATCCACCGCGAGTTGCAGAAGCGTGTGCACTGATGCCTCCGGAAAAATGTGTGGATCCCGTTCGGGCCGAGGTCGCCAGGGCCGCAGCTGTAAGACGCCGACATGATGACGGGGTCGGAGAGGATGCTTTTGTTCGAGTCCAATGGTCAGCATGGCACGAGTTACGGCACTCTGACGAAAACAGAATTCAAAACCTACAACACGTCCCCATGTGTGCCGCCTTGCAAGTCACACAATAAGAACTGGCCGCCGGTGACGTGATAAGAGAAATGGCTCAGTGCCTGCATCGCATCACACCACGAGTCCCTGGTGTGCGGGACCCAGCCGGTATTGCTGTTGAACTTCTGGAAGTTCAAGATAAAGGGCTCCACCAGGGCTTTCCTCCCGTTGCGCCGGTACTGCCATATCTGCGGGCGGCTCATGACGATGCGCCGGTTCACGATGTTGGCGGCGTGCCAGTTGTCGATGATGTTCTGGGCCCGGTCGACGATGTTGAGCTCCTCCTGGAAGTAGTGGTCCTCGAACACGGAGCTGGTCTTGAACTCCTTGGCGACGCATGCCTCACCCGTCCTGGCGCCGGCGATGTAGCGGCCCTGCCACACGTTCTTGAAGGTCCCCGTTGCGAAGAGGCGGTCCCTGTTGATGTCGGCCGCCGTGGAGTTGTTGTTCCTGGAGCAAGACATGGTCGCGGCGTCTCCTGGACGTCCTGGTAGAATTGCAAGTTTCTCGAGTCAACAATGGGTGGAGCTGGAGCGCCAAAACCAGCCTGCCCTGCTAAAGCCAAATGTGTTGCAGTCCGGCTGGGCTCCTCGGGTCGCGATTTGGATGGTGCTCGGTTTCCTGGAGATGATGGGTGGGAGACGTATCCTGGGAATAGAAGCTCATACAGCAAGCTGGAGCATGGGACGGTAGATCATTCCGATGGAGAATGTACAAATAATGAAGTGTCGAGGCGGCTTGATGAAGTATCATGCCATACCGTTGAGTCAAGCCATCTAGGCACGTGGTTCCAAGCGACTTGTTGTTGCTGGCTGAATCCTCACCGACCACGGATGCAACGGTCAGTTTTGTATTTGAAGAAGAGAATTCCTTTGCCGCTGGAAACCGTAAATACGCTGCCACGTGGTCGCGTGTGGATTGGAGAGGGAAAACGAGGCCGTTGTTGAGTGTGTCGGTCAGCAGAGCGGTAAGTGGCTGCAGAGCACACCCTGTGATGCGGTCTGTCACCTTGGGCAAGAGGCTTGGGCGACGTCGGTCCACGGTAGCAGCGTATCGGAAGGTGTTTTAAGTATCCACAAAGAGCCTGATACGATTGTTTCAAAAACAAAAGCAATGTCCTTTTCGCCCACGTCAGCCAGCACCGGCCATCAGGTGCCCAAGCGGCACCGGGTTGCTCTCACGTGCAGCGAGATTCATTCGTCGAAAAGGCAGCCATCGTGGACCCACGCGCCATACCCGCCGCCACGCTGGCGGTCGTTTCAGGCTAGCTGCATTTCCCGAGGCTTTACTAACCATGCTGGTAGGTGCGGAAGCTGTCCCTGGAGAGCGCAGATCCCCAGGCCAGAGGCGCCCGGGATCTTTCACAGCCTACCGATGTGCCTAGAGTTGAACCTTAACGGCCACTAGAGCGTGGCATGATTCAGGGGTTAGAACTTGTTCCGCCGCCCGAAACGTTCCCATTCAACGGAGAGTGGCAAATCAGAGAGTGGGATTGCATTTCGGGTTTGCAAAGTCAGCAATCTAGACCTTCTGAGAGGGCCACGGCATTTTCCCGCGCTCGGTGCGGCAATATAACTTGGGGTTTCCCGGCCTCACTTAATTCACTCTCATTGCCTTCACATGGGCTTGGGTCACCCCCTTTCCTCATGATCCTTTGCCCCATGTAACACTGAGAAGGTAGGGTTCAATTGTTCTTCGGATGAAGTGGTGGCGGGATCTGGTTGATCGCCAGGCAAAGCCGTACCGCATCTCCCGCACATCCTCTTCGGATCCTCCAGGGTACATTGACAACCTACTAAGCCGGAAGTTATCTTTGTAAGTATCCCCTAGTATCAGATATACCTCATTCTGTTATAAATCTAAGCATGACATATTCAATAACGCAACTAAACTGGTTTTTCATACAGAGTGGCCAAGTACAGAAAGCTTCGTCAGCGGTGATCTCACAGACCAATTCTTCGTTGCAAATCAACGGAAAACCTCTGTTAGAATTCACTAACTATGAGTAAAGGCAAAGTCCTAAACGTCTCGTTTCCATGAAACTGGGGCAAAGCTGGAGTGCACCTGTATATTCTCTTGGGACCCTCCAAAGAACATTGATAACCAACTGGGCCGGAATCTGTCTTCATCAGTGTCCCTCGGCATCAGCCTGAGATATATCTGATTCCCTCGGCTTGGAGCTGGTAAGCAAGGCCCTCGAGGCTTAAGCAAGAATGTCTAGCAGTTGATGCGTACAAAATGCCCCGTGAGGCATTTTGGGATTCGACGAGTCGTCTGTTCCTCGTAGTCAGTAATGTTGGCAAGCCGAGGTCAAGATAATCGCAGGACAGCAGTTTCTCTGTTACTCACTCTCATCTTTTCCTGGCTTGCAAACATGGCAATTTGGATGTCGAAGAGCACAAGCCTCACGGATGTTTCGAGACGATGCTCCATTTTGGCAACGTCATTCTTGCGAATGATGATACTCAGACGTAGGAACTTGGATAGGAATCCCCGAGATGTCATAATCTTGCTTTCCCAGGGCAAAAAGGGTTGTTTGCAGCTCCTGAAGACACTGTTCACAGTGTAAATGGGCTTTCAGCAGCACAATATGTGTTGCCATTGGTGACTTGCCCAGTTCCTCGAGTATCCGGGCTAGAAGGTGGATATCGTCGAGACTGGCGGCGATCTCGGCTGATGCCCCCTGCATTTCGCGGTACAAAGTGCGGACTTTGAATCCGATACTTAAGTAGTCATAATTTTCGCGGCCAGGGCTGCCACCTGCAGCCCGCTGGCCACCGTGCCTAGGACTTCAGCCATGCTCGTCGAAGGTGTCACAAGGAATCACAGAACGGTGTCTATATTCTTTTTACCGTATTGGATTGGATGCACATGAGAACAGGTTCTGGGCATATGAGCTTGATCAAAGCGGGGAGAGTAGATGCATCACACGAGGTTGAGAGTCGCGTTGATTAAGGCGCTATGGATTTGTATAAACATTTCTACCTGCACCAAGGCAATGTGTTGATGTTGTGTTGACGGTGCCGTCGCATTGAATACGTGGACTCTAGGTACCTACGCAGTACATTTGTGAGTAGTTGCACGCTCTGGCAAACAACATGATAGAATGAACCTCGGCAGTGTGACCACACCGTGCTCATCATAACGGTGTACAGCATACTTGCTGCGGGCTGATTTTCGTCCTCCAAACTTGGTGCCTCGGCCCCCAGTCAGCCTTCACAAGGCTGTCGTGCAAACGATGGGTGATACTCGGTCGTTGTGCCCTTATTCTCTCCTCGATTCATGACCAGAGCCCCTCCGTGCCACACTTTTGATGACCACAGATCTTGCGTCAGTGTTGGACAAGCACAAGATGGAGTTGAACAAACGCAAGATGGGCACACGCTCCAATAGACCGCATGGCCCATTCAGGACATATACCCTGAAGGCACCTTGTCTCCGTGTCCGACCATGTGGGTGAGTGCACTTCCCGGCGCCTTGTATCACTCGTGCTGAGGTCCAAACTGAAGCCTCTGCTTACTCCCGGGCCAAAGATCCACAGCTGTCCTGGGACCGAGTCCCACGGTTTGACCCGACCCCAGCTCGGGTAACTACACGTATGAATCCGTGTGATATTCCGAGGCAGAATCGAGAGGCTTGAGTGCATCGCGTCGTCGGGTCAGTGATGCGAGTGTGACCAAGGGAGAAAAATCTCTTGCATTCGTTCTACCTCCGCCGCGGTCCTGTCGTCTTCACAGGCAGGTTGCACAGGTGCGGCTCCCATCATTTTTGAACAGTAAGAGAGCCCCCCCGACTTCGGGAGTCGCAAGTTACCACCTCTTTCACCAACACAGCACGTATGCCTTCTGACTTCAACATGGTCCGATACGTAAGCGACTGTCCTTGAGGGAGGCATTACCTTGGGGGGGGGGGGCTGGACTTTGCTCCCAGGAGCTGGTTATTTTCCTCTGCCATCATGATGCCGTTTTGCTTTCATACCTGCCTCCATAACTCCACTGCTAACGCCGAAAAGACAAGATATTTACAGCTTCGCAAACACGGTAGGCACAGTACCGCTCATCTCGATGAGCGTGCTCTTGTTCCTCGTCCAGTTCTCGAGCCCCTTCCTGCCGTTCTCCACGCCCAGCCCGCTCAGCTTCCACCCGCCCACGGCCATCTCCGCGGGCGACTCGCCCCATGTGTTGACCCACGTGATGCCTGCCTCGAGCTGGGCGATGACCTGGTGGCACTGGTTGATATCCTTCCCGAAGACGCCCGCCGCCAGGCCCATGTCCGTGTTGTTCGCCTTCCTGACGGCCTCGTCGAGGGTGTCGTAGGGCAGGATGCACATGACGGGGCCGAAGATCTCCTCGCGCACGACCTTCATGTCCTCCGTGCAGTCGGTGAACACGGTGGGCTGGACCCAGTACCCATCCTTGAGGGGGGCCGGCACGCTCACCGCGCCGGGGGAGGTGTTGCCGCCGTACAGCAGCCGCGCCTTGTCCGCCTCGATTCCGTGGCGGATGTAGCTGACGACCTTGTCGCGGTGCGTCGCGCTGCTGAGCGGGCCGAAGTTTGTGTTGGGGTCGAACAGGTCGCCGGCGCGTATGTACTGCATCCTGTCGACCAGCACGCGCTCGAACTCGGCTTGCAATGCGCGCGGGACGAAGACCCTGGTGCCGTTGGTGCAGACCTGGCCCGAGCTGAAGAAGTTGGCCATCATGGCGCCGTCGACGGCGGCCCCCACGTCGCAGTCCGGCAGCACGACGACGGGGCTCTTGCCGCCCAGCTCCATGGTCACGTACTTCATCCCGCCCGCCGCGGCGCCGGCGACCTTCTTCCCCGTGGAGACCTGCCCCGTGAAGCTGACCTTTGCGACGCGCGGGTGCGCCGACAGCTGGGCGCCGACGTCGCCGGCGCCGTAGACGACGTTGAAGACGCCGTCGGGGAGGCCGGCGTCGCGGTAGGCCTCTGCGAGGCGCTGGGCGTGCAGCGGGGTGAACTCGCTCGGCTTGTAGACGAGTGTGTTGCCCGCGGCCAGGCAAGGGGCCGACTTCCACAGGGCGATCTGGATGGGGTAGTTCCAGGCGCCGATGGCGGCGCACACGCCCAGGGGCTCCTTGGTGGTGGTGACGGACGCCTCGGGCCGCAGGCGGAAGCTCTCGCCGTTGAGCCCGCCCGAGGCGACCAGCGAGGCGTAGTACTCGAGCACGTCGGCGCCCGTGACGACGTCGACGGTCGAGGTCTCGGAGAAGGGCTTGCCCGTGTCCAGGGTCTCGACGCGGGCCAGCTCGTCGTTGCGCTCACGCAGCAGGGCCACGGCGCGGTGCAGGACGCGGCTGCGCTCGATGGGCGGCGTGGCCGACCATGACGGGAAGGCGGATGCCGCGCTGGCGATGGCGGCGTCGACGGACTGGCGGGACGATGTGTGGATGGTGGCTGTTGGTTTGGCCGTCGACGGGTCGACCGTCTGGAATGTGCCGGGGCTGTCGGCCGACTGCTGTGCCTTGCCACCGTAGAAGGTATGGCGGTCCTGCTCCTGGGGAGATGCGACGGAGCCCATGGTTATTGTGGTGGTGGTGGTGGTGGTGACGAGACGTGGACGGTGATCACTGACGTGAAGTGGATGAGTGAGTGAGTGACCGTACGGATGTAGTAAGTGAGGCTCTAGACTACCCGGAAGACGGCGTAACATGCAGCTCCCCTCTGACAGGCGGTACGGTGCGGCACGGTGCGGTGCGGTGCGGAATGGTTACGGCAGGCCCTTCGGTGTGTGCTCGGGTCCTGCTGCCAAAAAGAACCTAGGTAACCAGTCCGACGGCGGCCGGATCTCGGGGGTCGGCAGGGAGAGACAGACAGCACAGTAGGACTGCAGTAGCACGAGCAAGCGTTTGCCTTACTATTAGCGGCGATGCATCTGTTACACGGCGTCGTTGCTACAAGGGTCTTGTGATCGTCAAGAGTCGAGCCATGCGTGCGGTGATAAAATCGGATCAGGGGTACACAGACATGGTCTGCCGGGAACTACCTCTGGTGCTCACCGACTAGAGTACATAGATAGAAGAAGATGGATGATAGGAGATAGGCAAGATACATGAGCTAGCAGGTGGGTTTTTTTTTCGGCCACAGTATTCGTGTCAATGCTCACAGCCTGCTTCGGCCTGCTCTGCCAGCTACTACGCACACTACAATGCCCACTGTCCGTGCTTTTCTTGTTAGCTGCTCACGCGATGCCGCACTCGAGTCCCCGATCTCCAAGCCAGCGCCCCGTCCCCCAGCCCGTGGGGCCCTGAACATGCTCGCCCACAAGGGTGCCTGGGCAGCACCAGGACCGCCCAGGATTTTCTCCAAGTTGTCGAGGATTTGGCGAGTCAGACTTTGTCATGAAAACCCCATCGACCACGCCATTCGCATGCTTCCGGGACCGAAAACTCGTGCCAGTGGTGACGTCAGCATCCTGGGCTGAGTCCCGTCTGTGGAGGCGTGGGGCATGGGGGAGGAGAGAAAAATCGACGTTGCTCATGGCTGTCCTGGCTGTGGTGGTGGTTCAAGTGCGTGCTGCCGAAAATGCTGAACGCATACATACACCACAGTCCCTTGTCTTGCCGCGGTGGAGCACACCATGGACTGAGTCCGAAGCCTACTGCCTGAAAGATTTTTCTGGCCCTTGTCTCCTGGATTGTGCAGAAACGGGGCGGCCGTTGGTCAATGCCTGGCAGTAGTGGCCGAGGAAAGGAAGCTATGGTGGAAAACCTGCTACCGTGCAGTATTCTTCTCGCCGTCTTCCGCCGGGTTTGACGGGCTTGACAGAGGGCCCTGCAGAACTGGCTTCTGGGAGAGTCCCCTGCAGCACGGCATGACGCAGGATAAGCCCAGCCAGGCTACTGTGACGGTGGTTGTTCCCTCCAGACTGCAGGCGGTCATGGATAGGGCCGACTGACTGAGTAAGCCTCTTCACTGCCGCCCCCCCGACCCTAATCAATGCCGCGCGACGCCAGCCTTGGCCAAGGAAAGTTGCATTTAATTTGTCGACGAGCTGTTAGAGAACTCCCCCCTCCCCTCCACACCTTCTCCACAATCCCGACCAGATGGACCCTTTTTTTTACATGGAGGGGCACAGCAGTAAGATCTGACACTCGTCCAATCGCCCGGCGGGAATTCTTTCAAAAGGCGAGCTGGATCCCACCAGACACCCGGAAGACGGACCCCTCTGGTCTCCACGCGCTCAAGACACGGCCCTTTCTCATGCGCAGCTCAGGCCATTGACACAAACCGCATCCTCATTGGCGAATCGTCCCTGCTAATTTTTAAGAGAGTATCTGACTGCTTTTGCTGCTGCACCGGCTCACCCTGTTCGGCTCTGCTGCTAGCGGGTGTGTGGTCCACAGTGCACACGACAACCAGACAACTCATCTTATCCCAGACAAGACAAGGAAGGCAAACTGCTCGCGTGGCCAGCCTGCTTCCATCTTCGGCAAGTATAAAGATAAAAGCAAACCCTCGCCTCGTCCCCGACGACCCCGGCTCCCAACCCGATCGAACATCGACAAGCCCAACGCCCTCGGCCTCCCAATCGTCACCTGTCCATACAATATTCACTTGTCAGCTCTTGACTGAGTCCGGCAAGACTGAAGCCATCAGAACCCCGATCTCGACCTCTTATCTGCGTATCATATACCGTATCTGCCCAAGATGACGACCACGTACCTCGCTCCCCACGAGACTGACCGCTTCGACTATGTCGTCGTCGGCGGAGGCACGGCCGGATGTGTGATCGCATCCCGTCTGGCCGAGTACCTCCCTCACAAGAGGATCCTCATGATCGAGGCCGGGCCCAGTGACTTCATGGACGACAGGGTCCTGGACCTGCGTCAATGGCTGGCCCTCCTCGGCGGCGAGTTTGACTATGACTACCCTACCACCGAGCAGCCCATGGGTAAGTGATTGATATGATGACGATGATGATGCGCGTGAGAAGTGATGCGCCGGTGTCGACCCCAAGCATGAGCCGTAGTAGACGTCCCAAAGACTCGAACCCATGCTCTAGTCCTGGCTCCGGCTCCAGCTCCAGCTCCAGCTCCAGCTGCTCCTACTTCCTCCCAAGATGTGAACTGCGATGCTCACCACTGTGCCCCCTGAACAGGTAACTCTCACATCCGGCACTCGCGGGCCAAGGTCCTCGGCGGCTGCTCGTCCCACAACACGCTCATCTCGTTCCGGCCGTTCGAGTACGACCTGAAGATCTGGGAGTCGCTGGGGGCCAAGGGCTGGGAGTTCAAGGACTTCATGCGCATCATGGACAAGCTGCGCAACTCTGTGCAGCCCGTCCACGCGCGCCACCGCAACCAGCTCTGCAAGGACTGGGTGCTGGCCTGCAGCGACGCCATGAACATCCCCGTGATCCCCAACTACAACGAGGAGATCACAAGACGGGCTCGCTCAAGCAGGGCGTCGGCTTCTTCAACATCTCGTACAACCCGGACGACCACCGCCGCTCGTCCGCCTCGGTCGCCTACATCCACCCCATCCTGCGCGGCGAGGAGCAGCGGCCCAACCTGACCATCCTGACCAACGCCTGGGTCGAGCGCATCAACGTCCACAACGACACCGTCAAGGGCATCAACGTCGTCCTGCGCGACGGCTCCAAGCGCAGCATCAGCGCCCGCACCGAGACCATCCTGGCCGCCGGCGCCGTCGACACCCCGCGCCTCATGCTGCTCTCCGGCCTGGGCCCCAAGGACCAGCTCCAGAGCCTCGGCATCCCCGTCTTCAAGGACATCCCCGGGGTGGGAGAGAACCTCCAGGACCACCCGGAGTCCATCATCATGTGGGAGCTCAACAAGCCCGTGCCCCAGGGCCAGACCACCATGGACTCGGACGCCGGCATCTTCCTGCGCCGCGAGAAGCCCAACGCCGCCGCATACAAGCAGCCTGCCAACCCCAACGCGCTGCCTGATGGTGATATCGCAGATGTCATGATGCACTGGCAAGTACACGAGTCTTCCTTGAACTGTTCCTCGGAATATTCCACAATGCATCGCCTTAGGCTCCATAGCAGTTCATAATAACTAACACATAACCACCAGCTACCAAATCCCCTTCACATTCAACACAGAGCGCCTCGGCTACGAAAAGGTAGCCGACGGCTACGCCTTCTGCATGACCCCCAACATCCCCCGCCCGAGGTCCCGCGGCCGCCTGTTCCTGACCTCGTCCGACCCCTCGGTCAAGCCCGCCCTCGACTTCCGCTACTTCACCGACCCGGAGGGCTACGACGCCGCCACCCTGGTCTACGGCATCAAGGCGGCCCGCAAGATCGCCGAGACGGAGCCCTTCAGGGGCTGGATCAAGCGCGAGGTCGCGCCGGGCCCGAAGGTCCAGTCCGACGAGGACATCAGCCACTACGCCCGCAAGGTCGCGCACACCGTCTACCACCCCTCGGGCACCACGCGCATGGGCGACGTCGCGGGCGACGAGCTCGCTGTTGTCGATGCCAAGCTCAGGGTCCGCGGGCTCAAGAAGCTCAGGATCGCGGACGCGGGTGTCTTCCCTACCATCCCTACCATCAACCCCATGCTTACGGTCCTTGGTGTTGCCGAGAGGGCGGCGGAGATGATTGCCGAGGAGGCTGGGTGGCAGCACAGTGCCCGTCTGTAAGGCGGTGCGGTGTGTGCTATGATACAGTGGGATGGTAGTTTGATGGGAGGGGCAAATCCCCAGCGATGGCTGGGGCAACCATAGAGTTGATTGAGCAGCCCTTGTATAGATGCGCAAGTTGCATTGTACGCATTTTTTGGGATAAAAAATAAGCCTGTTTTTATGACTCCATTTTTCTCTGCAGCCCTTGAGGAAGTTTGTGACACACTTGTCTTACGTGCACCGAAGCCTCTTTTCTGCCCGCAATCTGAGCATGAGCCTCATAGTGGTACCAAATGCACATGGTTGATACGCGTGTGGACAGGTGATACTCAAATTGTATATCACTGGAGTCAATATCAACGAGGAAGTCTATGGGGCCAATAACGTGCAAAACCAATTTTACAACATCATGTCAGATGGGTAGTTAAATCTAGGAGGCGTGAGTGTGACTACGACATACATTTCTGATTCTGTATTACATCAAATCAATCTTGCGAGGCTCCCTGCCTTCGAAGATAGCAGACCCGCCAAACGCTGCCCTGGAGAAAAAGGTCCCAACACGATAGAATGTATCCGCGGGAGGCTGCAGGGTAGAGCAGGAGGCCCCAGATGTCCCGTCTCAACGTGTGATCGGAGCAAGGATCACAGTGGGCCGCGGCGTCAAAGCCAGGGTGGCTGTCTTCGTGGAGAGATTTCCTATACCCAAACTTCAATGCTTCATTCCAGGGTTTGCTCTCCATCAGGTTGCTGGGCCAGAGACCGTTGGAGCTTTCCGTTGATCCAGCCTCCGACCATGCTCGCTCACCACGAGGTCCACTCTGAGCAGTTGGAGTATTGCTACTTCTGTTCCAGTCCGAGCAGCAACTAGATATCAGCAGAAGTTGGAGTTGCACTCGCATCGGCTTTTTGACACCTGTAGCCTTTCCCTTGATTTGGGACCCAATCGGTATGCACAAAGGCCCAAAAGCCCGGCAAGATCTCGCATTGCAGTTGTTCAGAGAGCCTGTTCTTGAATCCCGGTGAATCCGGGGGCGGTCCTATCGTTGCACCAATTAGGGAGATCGATGCACTTCCGATGCGACCATGCGTGTTCACTCCATCGACGAGGACACGCGATTGCAAAGATTTGAAAGTCCGCCCGCAAGTGGCGTCGCACTCGACTCGTGGAGGCGGCATGGTTCGTGATCTTGAACTCCAGAAGGGACCGCCTGCTAGCCCAACTCCACGATCTCTTGGCTCTGTTCTTCCCAGTCTGTGTTGCCACCGTCTTGTTGGATGCATAGAGAGTCGATCCATAAATACCGCAACCCCAGAACCCGGCACACGACGATGGCGTCGCGAAGGACAGGAGTAGTCAATCCCGAAGGTACTATAGAGTCGTAGAATTGGCATTGGGTCTCCGCGGTGAGTTTGAGCTGTTTCTTGGATTCATCCGCTGGTCCCCAGCAGTAACTCAAAGTTGCATACCTCAGCCCACGGGACGCCCACCTCAGCTTGCTGACCGTTGATTAGCCTAGGCTCGGATTGTGTGCTAACGCCGACATCCAGGAGCCTTTTTGGTCGGTAACAACTGGTTGTTACAATCTCTTCACTTAAGGCTAATTCGCGTTTTGTGAATTCAACGTTGGCTGGATCCAGACATGTGGTTGCCGGTGAGCGGAAGATACCAAGCTTGTCGGCAACATGGTCTATAAAAGGTCAGCCTTTAATTATCATCCCGCGATCATACCTGGGCAGTCACCATTCGTTGTATCTATGGTGAAACATAGACTCTTTCCAGAGCAGGGCGAATTGCCGGCCAAGTCGACCCTTACCGATCCAGGGGATCCTGTAACCGTGTACGCTGAGACCCCAATCCACACATGGACCTGGTCTCCGTCGAAAGCCTCAGGTCGCCCCACAAAGAGTGAAAGCAGATGCTTGCGAAGGAAAAGACAAAAATTGCATCCCTGCAGTAATCTTTCTTCGAGAGCAGGAAGAGCTGGCCAATCATCAATGGCAAGCAAATAGGGCGGTGGCTAATTCCGGAGACTATGTCCTGGGGTCACCTGGTCTTGTTGGGTTGGCCCTCTTGCAAGTTGTTGGAACGACCAGTTGCAACACTGACACAACCGAGTAATGCCTAATGTAGATAGATTAATGGACATTTGAGTTTAAAAAAAAAAAAAAAATGTGGCCGAAGCCATTCTAGGCTAAACCAAAACAGCTTCTATATACCTCTGACGGCTTCAGAAGCGGTAGTTAGTATTGACTAATATCCATTGTCGAAATATGTCCCAGGAATTGGCATTCTCTTCTTACTGCCTAACCTGTGAACGCAATCGGTACAGGGTAGAAGTCTTAGACTGTCAGGCAAGCCTTAGGCCGATAGCACACCGCCCTCATTCTTCACATTCGGCGAGCTGATGGCAAGCATCTTGGCAAAGTCGGGGGTACCTATTCAGAGTCAGCCAAACTTTTTCTTCGAATCAATCAAAGATTTCAGAGCCAGGCGGAAGAGTGACCCACCCAGTCCAGTCACGGCATCCCAGCCCGGCGCAGCCACCCAGCTAGCCCCAGGAATGGCCGGACTCCCGTTGGGCTTCCCGTGGAAACGAGCCTGTCCATCGCAGCCAGTCGAAGCCCCCGTGGTGATATCATTCATCGCAGCCGAGGCGTTCGAGTACAGCCAGGGGTTGAGGAACCCCATCGTGGGCTGGCCGGCCTGCAGGCGCGCCGAGTTGAGCAGCGTCACGATCCCGTTGAACGTCGGCGCCGCGGCCGAGGTGCCCCGAACGGCGCTGTCTCTCCCCTTGTCGATGACGTGGTAGTTTACCGACTGCGCGGCGACGTCTGGGAAGCCCCGGCCCGAGGCGTTGAACATCCCCGTGAGGTTGTTGCCGACTGCTGTCTGCAGGTAGGTGGACACGGCTTGCTCTTGGTACGCTGGGCGGGGCCAGACGTTTGAGAAGCCGCCTGACGAGAAGAATGTGGCCGTCTCTGGCGCGATACCCTGCGTCTATGCGGGTGTTAGCCCCGCGTGTTCACCACAGGATCAACTGCCCAGATTCAAGTGTGCTGTGTACTTACCCCACCGACAGCTGTGACATAAGGACAAGAAGCAGGGAACTGAGGTTGGAATCTGGTCGCATTGGTCCCATCGTTGGCCTGGCAGAACGACCCAACGCCAGAGTCCCCGGACGCGATCATGATTGACTTCCCGCGAGCCCCCAACTGTGCAAACATGTTGCAGACCTGGGTCGCGTAAGGCAGTGGTATTTCCTGTTCGTTCTCGCCGTAGGAGACTGAGATCGAGTTCGGAATCTGGCTGTTATCCATGGCGCTCAGCGCAATGAGCCACTCCAGAAATGGCTCGTTAGAATTGCCCTCCTGCGTCGGTGACTCTCCGTCTGGGACCAGTTGGCCGAGCCCTCCTACGCTGAACTCCGTTACTGGCGTATCAAAGCCCACTGCTAGCACGTATTGCTGGTCTAGATTCGCCTCGCCAGCGTCGGCTTGGCTGGTTTGGTCGTTGATTCCCCCATTCATCGTGACAACCGAGAACTACCTTGGTCAGCAAAATACCAAAAGGGTACAAATATACCGAGTGAAAGGTCCGTTACTCACGTTTCTGTTCGCAGCAAATGGGGCGTACACTTGTTCGAACATGGTCATGTCGGTCAACCGAGCAGACTGGCCCACAAACGAGACATACCCTGCAGTGTTGCCGCCGGCCGGGTTCCCCTTGAAGTTGACGTTGTACAACTGGAACAAACACTGAGGCGTGATCGCCGTGTTACACGCGGGATCTACCGCGTTGGCAGCGTTGACTTTTAGGTTATCGGGTGCAGACACCCATTTCGAAGTCCCATCGGTTGGAGCTCCGCCATCCATGATGTCGACATGGGAGGCGAGTCTCTTTGCGGTCCCGAACCGTGTCGTCGGCTGCACGAAGTTAATGTGCGCTGCAACGTCCTGCGGGACTGAGTATCTGGTCGTCCTCATCATCTGCACGCCGTCTTCGCCTCGGTACCAGTCGAATTGCGTATCCAGTAGCGTGTTTGCTGTCCCGACAGTCGTGCGGAACATGAGATAGTCGCCATCATCTTGAATATCAGTGATGTTGTTGTCCTGCAGCCAGCTGATTGCAGTCGCCGACGCCTCGTCAGTCGGCCTCAGCAGGCTCCGCAGCTCGTGGCCTTCGTAGTGTTTGCCGTACTGAGGGTGATCCGGTGTGGACACTTGTAAGAGGCTCTCGTAAAATTGGTCAAGGTTCTGCTGTTTAAGCGAGACTCTTAACTTGATCTTCTCCGTAGGCTGAGCGCTTTGTACACGGGTCCAGCCTCGCGGAACCTGGTTTAGGGACTCAAAAGCATTGCTAGCTGCTGAAGCACAACAGGGCAGAAGAATAGATACAGAAAGTGCCCGCACGGCCGAAATGAATTGGACCATGATTACGCGTAAAAGAACTATACATGAATCACATCTAGATGAACTGGAAGGGACATCAGCGAGCAAGTCTTGATGTTGAGTAGGATTTGATCACTTTTCTACGGGCTGCAGAGGCGGATTCTTTTCGTCAGCCAGCTTCGTTGTTTCGTCTGAACTCTGCCTTTGCTTCGGATCAAGGCGCGTTTCGGCTGCAGCGGCAGGATTAGGGGCGAGATTCGAGGCAGGCCGAAGATGAGACGACAGGCATGAGAAGCTTGTGTCAATGCCAAGCTGCGCTCTCGATTGGTCAGGGAAGACCGCGCGGTATGTGGATAACCTCCAAGGTCTAATAAGGTTTAGTTTTCTAACACAAACGTGTGCACTCACCTGAGTAACTGTGTCTCAGAAATCTAGAGACTTTTTCGGGGCTGAGTACCTTGTTACAGTGGGCTGTGCTTGCATGATGCAGTGGTTTTGGGTACTATTGTAGCTAGGTGTACCGCTCATCGTTCCATTACAACTCAGAACAGGTCATAATTGCGAGTATGTGCTCAATGCCTGCCACTAAGACAAAATCTGGGCCTTTTTGTGCTGGTCGAAGAACATGCATGCTACAAAACAACTGTAATTTCTGAACTGGAGTGTCTGTGCTCAGAGTGTGATCCGTGAAGCTGGACTTTGGTCATGAAGAGAAATGGGAGGGAATCTTCTGTCCATCGGCTAACCTACAGGCTTTCTCTTCAAAAGTGCCGATGATGCATCGCTGTTGTGTCATCGAGTGAGAATAGCACTGCCGCTGTTTGCGTCGCACGTATCATGAGACTCGTGTTCACGTCCTAATAACTGGTCTGCTATGATACACAACATGATGCTCCCGTGGGCGAGAGGCCGCCTTTAGATGCTGTGCCTTTGCATGGTACACAGGACCTTTTTTTAGAATGGGCATAGGCCAGATCCAGGCGGTTCCGGTGATCCCATGCGACGGCCGCTCTTCTCCTTTCACTCACAACGAACGGTGCCGAGACTGTATTCAGACTATTCATCGTACCTACTCGTCTTTTTGGATATAAGGTCCTGTCCGACATCCGATATGGCTGAAACAGTGGGGATCATTGCGAGTGGTATTCAAATTGCAGGTCTCATAGGGACGATCACCAAAGCTGGATTGCAGATCCGAGCACTCTACCATGAGATCCAAGATGCCTCCGACGACGTTGCCTTCCGTCTCCAAGAACTCCAGATCCTGTCCGGAATCCTCGAAGACTCAAACTCGATTTCGTCAAATGCAAGGAATCTCTGTGGGCTCTGTCTCTCTGAACTTCATCTAGTTCTTGCTGAACTACAATCACAAATCCGCCGGTCCAGAGGAATCAGGAGAAAGGTGGCGTCGGCGAAAGTGATTGTGAAGAAAGATGTAATGCAAAAATTGGAGAGACGACTTGAGAGATCGGTCCAGTTCCTGATGCTCGCAAACCAAATCCATACGTCGTCGACCCAAAGCTTGGTACTTCGAAACCAGGACACTATGCTGTAAGTCCGAATACTTTTCGAGGATACAACTGATTTTCTAAATGCGGATTGTCCATAGGTGCCTCCTCAAGACTCATCCAAACCAATTGCAGATGCCTGGACAAGCAGTCGGCCTTTCTACATTCGAAGACCACACAGAGCACCACTCAGCCGTAACACGTACCTCGCATACAAGCAGTCACAAGGACTGTTCCTCGATATGTGTCGAGGATTCAAGCGTGTGGCGTCTTGCCTGGTCAAACACCCACACACCCAAGACATCTTGGACATTTGGACTACCATTCGCAACGGGCGCCATTCAGTTCGAGAGGCTCGCCATCCAGGATACCCATTCCGAGCTCAGAAAGGAATGTGTCACTACAGAGGACACCGCTGCATGGTCGTCGCCCACCGTACGCGTCAAGGTCGTCTTACCCCAATGGCTGTCTTACAAGACGTTGGATATAATTGCTTGGAAGGCACAAATCGGGTGGAAGCAATACCTGCGTGTGCGAAACATATTCCCTAGTGACAAATCGATGAATGGCCCGGGAACGGCGTTTAATCGGGCAGCGACGACAATAGCTTCTGGGAGTCTGAACCAACTGAGGTCACAGTTCGAAGGCCGAGAATTAACACCATGGGATGAAGACAGTCGTGGAACGACATTATTGACGGTGGGTACGACCTGGATGAGTTGTTTCTTCTCTTGCTTTGCAACCTCACAGACTACTAAAGATGTGATAATATCAGTGCGCTGTGGCCCAGCGTCGATGGGATATTTGCAATTACTTGATGGACCTTGGCCTGAGCATACCGCACGTATCGGCAACATCTGAGGTAAGTCCAACGACCTTATCCTCGACATCGGTCCTAATGAAGTCGTAACAGATACCAATTATCTATAAATTAGATTATCAATTCATTTCAGCACCGATGTCACCTTTCGAGCAGAGGCCGAGGGGTGAAGTGCTTAATAGTTGTCGGGAGTTCATAGGCCGGTTTGATGAAGACCACTCTGCAATATTCTCCCTACTATCCGGCTACAAAGTATCCACTGGCATTGATGATTTCTTGAGCCTCAGGCGCTCTGTATGGCCAGATTCACTTTTTTATCATCCTGACTTTTCATTGCAACGGATGCTCATTGCGGTTGGCATTGCGTGCGATCTCAATAATACGTGGATAGCAGCACCGCTATGTCGCTCTGTCCTAGGCCTCGACGATGGTACCGTGCCAAGCATCATCCATTTCCATGTGCGAACTGACATGGGATATACCTTGTTCCATGGTTTGGCCATGAAAATTGGCAAAAGTCATGGAACAGAGACCGCAGGCGAGTGGCATACTCTTACTCGAAATGTCCTCAGACACTTGGCGGACATCAGGCTTCTAAGTCAATCCCGCTCTATGAGAACATTATCCGGAGGGACTCCATTGTCATTGCTGATTTCGGAAGGGGTCAGAGCACAAACGAGCTTTCGCCGGCAACGCGTTGCCAAATGTCCGACGAATTCAACTACTATACTAGCCAACTGTGAGAAATCAATTTTTGCCTGGCTCGCAGATCTTCATCAGGGCGGGATCGACCTGAATCTTTACGGGGCGAATGAAAAGGAACATTTCCAACATCGATTCGAGGGCTATCCATCCGACGGGATGACCTACGACTATTTTAGCCCCGAGGCATACAAAATTGGTTGCGATAATCTCGGGCTGTACAGGAGACATCTGCACTGGGTCCGACTCATCAACTTCCATTACGGGAGACTTCCCACAGATTGGAAATTCTGGTGGTCCGAGCCCTCGGATGAATTTGCTGGAGACTTTTGGCTTCTCCTAGAATCTGGGACTCAAGAAGCAATCATGAGTGTTCCAGGGGCTTGGGTTGACTGAGGGCTGTTGCCATTGATACAATTGAGGTCACTCGCGGAGCCCTAGCAGGCATCGGAGCCGCGTGCTAGACATGGTGACAGGACGGAACGAGCTCCTGTGCCTCATAGGATTCGAGACCACTTAATCCGAAGAGTCACAGGTGTCAATTTCAGGAAAGTGGAGAGATCAGTGGAAGGCCATGATGATGTGAGCTGGCGCTGTCCAAGCCGGGATAGACATTTGGCGATGCCTAGCCCGTGTTCAATGCTGAAGACGTCTCATACAACAAGCAAATTCTATGCCGTCTAGAAAGTTTTCATCTCCCAGTCCTCCAATACTCATCCAAAACATCCTGCGTAACCTCAAAAGCCCAATGATGACAAGTCTGATGCATAACAGGACTAACCTCCGGCGCATCCTCATCAGCCCCGTCGTCCCAGACCTCCCGGACCCCAGCAGCGACGTACTTCTTCAGCAACATCCTCCGCCACCGGCCCGTCTCACCCACACACCTCCTCCACCGCCCAACCTGCCTCTCATCGTCCTCGCACCGCCGCCCCTGGTAGAACCGGCAGTACCACTGGAACCACCCCCTCACGTCAAACCGGTGGTCGATCCACCCGGCCGCCTCCCACTCCTCGATGCTCTGCCCGCACGCGACCTTGAACTTGTTCGCGTCGGCCTCGTACTCACGCGCAGTCAGGTACCGCCCGGCGTCCAGCCCGGCCGTCCAGTCCGCGGGGAGCTCGGCGTGGTCCCCCGAGATGGTGATGCGCAGCTTCTTGGAGTATAGGGGGCGGAAGTAGGAGCCGCCGAAGGCGCCCTCGCGCAGGACCTCGGCGGGGGTCTTGTTGGGCGTGAAGTCCGGGTGCGAGGCGAAGTGGAGGACACCTGTCTCGTCGCGGGATGGGGCCGGCGCCGTGGGCGTCCACGAGGACCAGGAGGCTTGGAGGGCGGGTATGTCTGCTGTGAGGTCGCTTTCTCGCGGCTCTGGGCTCCCACGGTCGTCATCCTCATGCGTCGCTGCAGCTGTAGTCTTCCCTTTCCTCGGGGCCTTGGTCCCAGCTATAGAAGGGACAGCGGAGGCGTCCTCGTCGTAGGTTGGCCTGACTGGGGCCGACGCGATCCGGGCTGAGGTACGCGTGGGCACAGCTGGAGCCCTTGGCTTCTCCACGCGTCGTCTTTTCGTGGCACGCGCATCTTCTGCCCCGTTTGTCACTTTGACCGGGCGGCTTGACCGGTGAATCGCTTCAGCCTGCGCGACTGCCCCGAGCTCAGCGAGCACCTGCTGGTTCCGCTTGATGTTGTCAAGATGTCTGGAAGAGAATCTGTCCATGGTGGACTGTCTTTGAAAATGGGCAGGTAATGAGATTGGAGTCCTAGTCAATGAGGTTCTGGCCGTGATGCCAAGTACGATCGCGTCTCGTTCAAAGGAACCGTCGCGTGGCTACGTCATACAGAGCAGCCGCTCGAAAGCGAAAACCGCAACACTTTGTCTTGGACACAACGCCCATAAAATCTAAATACAACGTGTTACTGGGGAGATCCTCGCAGCCAGTGATCCTTTCAAGAAGTGAAAAGCCTCGAAGTGAGATACGAGTACCAGGCCCGCTCTATCGACCTTATGGCTTGAGGTTGGGCATTGGCAGTCAAACTCAAGCTTCCCGGAACAAATGCACCTTTGAAAGGGGGAACCAATGCCTCTACAGCAATTCACTGCCACGTAGGTAGATTGTTCATGTTCTTGAGCATTTGGTCAGATACTGGGAATTTATCTAGGGCACTCCAGCTCCAAACCCGCCACAGATAGCCCAAGGCTGCTTGGTTGTTCGAATTCTTGCACCGACATCCGCAGGCGCCATAAGCCTGAGGCGCAACGGTCTTGAACGCCACTGAGCCACAGAGATCAATATGCGAAGAAGCCGGGACAGCTTCCAGCACCGAGCAAATTGCACACACCCGATCCTGTTCTTTCGCTCGCCTTCTCTCACCTCACTAGTAACTACGCCCGAACATGGTCCACGACTTGGCCAGTCCCTGGCACTCGGGGTTCAGACACTTTGTCTCGCCAGCCACGAGGCCATCAGGCTGAGAAGGATGTTAGCACACGTCGAAAGGGAGCACCACCACGAGCAGACTACGCGATCAACATACCTGAGCAAATGGAATGCACAGACTCTTCATGCCCATGCCTGGCATCTTGCGCCCGTTCTCATCCTCTTGGTCCTCGCTGCGGGTCAGCTCCTTGATGCGGTCCTCACACTTGATCTCCTCGCAGAACGGAATGATGACAACGTTGCGGCTGTCGAGGGCAGGGACGACACGGTCCCACTCCGTCAATTTGAGGCGACGGGATTCGAAGGTAGTCGCCGCCTTGGTGTACATATCATCTTGAATCTTCTCGAGCAGGGCTGGGACTTCGGTGGCCAGCTCTGCCAGCGGGATGGTTCCCTTCTCACCGTTGTCACGTCGAGACGTCACAACAACGGAAGCTGCGGCATCGCGGAGCCCGAACTCAAGGCGCAGAGGAACACCGCGCATCTCCCAGTCGGAAAACTTGAAGCCCGGGGTGCTGTTGATGTGTTAGAAAACCGTCGGGCGCACGACAGGCACCCCGAAGGGAACAGGCGCAACTTACTATCCATCGCGGTCATCGACTTGGACGCGCACACCGGCTTTCTGCAAAGTCGCCTTCAGCTCCTGGATCTGCTCCATGTGCTTGTCTTTGTCCTCAGGCTTCGTCTTGGCGTTCAGGCCAACAGGGATGATGACTGTTTGGATGTTGGCCACTTTGGGCGGGAGAACGAGGCCCTTGTCATCACCGTGTACCATGATCATAACGCCGATGACTCTGGTCGAAAGACCCCTGTGCATGTCAGCGAAACCCCAATGCGTGATGCAGCCGTCCCAGTCTTGACATACCAGGAGTTCTGCCAGACGTTGATGTGGCTTCCCTTCTTGTCAGGGTCCTCAACAGTAATGCCGAACATTTTGCTGAAGTTCTGTCCGAGAGCACTGCACGAGGTTGCTGGGTCAGTGGAGTCAACCAAAAGGGACATCTGCGTAGGATCTTACTGAGAGGTGGCTCCCTGGATTCCTCGTCCATTCGCTGGGACGAAAGCCTCAACGGTCGAGGTCCAACTGGCGCCAGCAAACTTCTCTGCTTCTGTCTTCTTGCCGCGCACCACGGGAACCGCCAGCAGCTTCTCAAAAATGGCAGCGTAGAGCTCCAGGATCTCGAGGACCTCTTTCGATGCGAGCTCCTCGGTAAGGTGAGCGGTGTGTCCTTCCTGCCACAAGAACTCGCGGGCGCGCAGGAAAGGAGTTGTCTGCTTGGCTTCCCAGCGCACGACGCTGTTCCACTGGTTCAGGCGCAGGGGCAGATCGCGGTGGGAGCGAATCCACTTGGCGTAGTATGGGTACATGACGGCTTCGGAGGTGGGACGCACGGCGACAGGGACCTGCTCGTCGTCAGTCTCGGGGGCTGGGCTCAGGTAGGACAGAGCGAGTGGGGGCGAAACCAGACCTCAAGGTCCTTGTCTCCTCTGCAAAGCCATCGTTAGCTGTCGGGGGAATAGATGCAGGCTCCCCATCACCCTGACCAGTAAACATACGCTTTCGTAACCCATGCCAGCTCTGGGGCGAATCCTTCGACGTGCTCCCTAGTTCCAATCAGCCTCTGCGCCCCTGTGTATCCGTATCGTTGTGCAGTCCGTACTTCTCCTGTGATCACGACGCGTCAGCTTCTGCAGCGTCGTCGAAGCAGGTCGTTGTGCCCCTTACCTTGGCCAGCGATGTCGCAGACAAGAACATAGGGAAGCTCGCTTCTTGCACGCCCATATCCTCAATTTTGGATTGGAAGAACTTCTTCAGGGTACTCCAGATGTGCATCGCAGGGGCTGTGAGTCATCGTCAACCGTCGGTCGCGGATCGGAGGCAGGGAGCTTGGAGGTGTGCTGGGACTCGATTGCGTTTATACGTACGTCGCAGGATGTAAAATCCGGAGATCTATGCAGGCATTCATATCATGATCAGCTGGAGTTGCGCAGCAGGAGGCAGGACGGTCAATCGCACGCCGACTCACCTCAGAGTAGTACTCGACCAGCTCGGCCTTCTGCACGACCTCCACATACCACTGGCCGCAATTGGTCTCCTTGGGCACCGTGATGCCGACCAGCTTGGGCACCGTGACGTTGGCCTGTTTGGCTCCCTTCTTCTTGGAATCGGCCATGGTGTTTGCTTGTCACCGTGTTGGAGGACTGTGTCTGGGAGGGCGCTGAGTGCGAGAGGGCTATGCGTCGTGTGAGCGCCGAACGGAGGGATGTTTTGGTTTTGGGCCAGGTCGAATTTCGTGCCTGCCCAAGGGAGCTGCCAAAAGTTTGGAGGTGGGGGATCTACAACCCCGCCTTGTCGGGGACCTGGGTACCTCTGAGGAGATAGAGAGATAAGCGGCACTGGGCAGAGTCAGACCGGTCCAGGCCTACGACTCATCCGGGCAACAGTTGACCGTCTTGAGACCTGCAGACCGACCTCGACGTCGATGCTCATTCGAGCAAAAGTTGATCTGGGCTGCATTTTCTCTCTCTCTTTCATCATACGCACTTCTGTTTAAGTTACCATTCTTTGCAGCCAATTGATCATCAACCTTAGTCGTGATCTACCGACTCAGAGCTCCAGATGCCCTGTGAAGCTTCTAGCACTGCAAATGTCAACTCCAGCTTGAGATGTCTTTTCTCTTGGTCGAGCCGAGCCTATCCATCCCACAACGATGGATGACTCACTCGATCATACTGCTAACTTCCGACGAGATTTCCAAGAGTCCAGTCCGATCGGCTGGAGTCCTGGGCTGAAACGCCAGGCTCTGTCTCTTGATAAACAGGATCATGTCTGCAGCTCAATGTGTCTCGGATGAGAGACCTGCGGCCTTCCGCAATTGCTGGGGGACTCCGAGGCAGTCTCAAGTTCAGAGGCCATTGACTTGGATTTTCCTAAGAGTCTTTGTCAAGTTCTTGCACTTCGACACGTACTCATGAGCCGGGTCGTCATGTTCACCTGCCGCAAATGTCTGATCTTGTCAATGTTGAGATCGAATTCGTTATATCTCATACAGTCTCGTCTTTCGCATGATCAACGTATGCATCATCCTTCGCAGCTTCTGGTGTATGTACAGTCTTCGATTAATTCCAGAAATGTACTATCATACTCGTGTCAAAAGGTTGGGTAGGAGGGAACGTCAAGAAGATTATATAACACAGAGACCTGCCTCCTCGACGGCCTCTTATCCCTCATCTCATCATCAATTACATCAATGCGGCTGCAGGTCATAGACCTTGCCCGACGTGTGCGAGCCACATGCCTAGTTATCGAAACCAAACCTCCTCAGCACCACAGCGACGGGGAACGGAACAACAGACCAGTCGTTCTCGTCCGGGCCCAGGCGGTCCAGATCGCTCTGGCTGATCGAGGGCATCATCAGGTTGGAGTTGGTGTCGACGGCGGCCCCCTTGCCGCCCTTGCTGTTGCCGTCGCTGTCGTCACCGCTGATGCCCAGGGCGCGGCCCAGGCCGTCGAGGATGTCGGACAGCGCCGGCACAAGCTTGGTGGGGATCTTGATGGCGCCCCCGCGGCCCTGGAACGCGTTGACGGCCGTGGTGAAGTTGCCCTGGATCTGGTCGTTGATGGGCTGCGCGATGCCCGCGAGGGACGGGTCTAGTGCGGCGATGAGCTGGGGTCATGTGTCAGTCAGCCTGCACTCATACAGCAGTCATGGTTCTCCGGGATCAAGTGAAAACCGGCCCTGACATACCGAACTTCCCAGCTCCTTCGCGCCCTGCTGCTGGATGGAGACACTGTCCCTGATCAAGCTCCTCACATCCAGGATCTTGAGGCCGGCCTTGTCGAAGTCGGGCTTCTTTGCCGCGAGGTTGTTCAACAGTGTGGTGATATCAGGCTGGATGCCCAGGAACTGAATGCCGACCTGTGTTCTACACGGTATCAAATCAGTCAGCCCCATCTGCAAGCTCATGCCTCTTCTCCCGAAGGGATCTCGTCGAGGAGGCGACTTACGAATCCGGTGCGCTCAGCCTTGAAGTGCTGTTTGCGATCCCCGTGGTGTCCGTGATATCATCTCCGAGCTCCACGACGGCCGAGTTCACCTTGATCAGCCCCGTCAGGCCATCGATGATGCCATCCGCACTGAAGTCGACAACAGTGTTGTTTGCCGCGGCGAGCTCCTGCTGCAGGGTTGTGATGGAGGCCTGGAGAGCCTGGAGGCCGCTACCGGTTTGCCTCTTGTCCTCGGTGGGGAGTAGTGGGCTGGCGGTAGCGAGCGACGCAAGCGTGAGGAAAGCGAGGGAAGACGTCGAGCCGAACATGGTGAATTATTTTAGGATTGTTCTGTTGGGGGTATCTCTTTGTTCTATGGCTGGGCCAATGTTGGATATCTGCCAAGAGCCGCAGACTGATTGTATTGCGGTCGTAGCGAGATCAAAATCTGGCGAGGCAAGTGGACAACGGATGACGAACGCATGGGACGCATACCATTGCCCTGCATAGTTCAAGGCAAGGCAATCGCTTTATGTCGACCCGCACACCCTCGGGGTAAGCGATTCCCCGTGGGAGGGTTCGGCCCCGGTGAGGTCGGCCAAGTATGATTCACAGGATCACAAGCGAGAAGGCCAGCATTCTTTCGCCGAGGCTGCCACACCTGTCCCCCGGCCCTCGAGTCTACTTTGAAACTCTAATCAGGTCACCCGGTCCCCTTCCCACCGCCGCTCCGGGGTTGCTGCTCCCCCGCGATTGCCGTGGAACGATGACGGGGCTGCATACCTTGTTTCTGCGGGGCAGAGCTAGGGTGACCTTGCACAGCCTTGCAGGAGGGCATATAAGCATGTCTGCTTGCTTTGCCCATCTAGGCTTGATCGCCGTGAAGGGACTGAGGAGTATCATAAGAGTCGCAAGTAAGGCGACCGTTCTTTAAATGTATGCATATCCGCCGTAGGAGACCGATCATCTGCCGGCGCATCCGTCGTCTGATGTGCGAGAAGCCTATATTGGAGTCAAGCCAACTGGCCAACCAACCTTGGAGTTCAAGATATGTCATCTCGATATTCCCAGGGGACGCAGCCCAAAGCGCCACAATGACCTTGGACGGTGACTCTCTGTCGATCGTGAGTGGGGCACGGCCTTACGGTGCAGGATTTACATAGCCTGTCGGGTCAATAACTTATTGGACTGACCGGATGTACTCTGGTAGGCCGGCAGGGCGGGGCCAAGCGTAGAGTAGCTCGAGTAGGTAGGGTCCCCTATTGGAGATGGGCGCTACTGCGCATGCGGAAGGAAGTCGTCACATTAGAATTCGAAACATGAGACGCCTCGGCCAACCAGTCGCGACTATACCGACTCCAAACTACCGTTTCTCGCATCATCCTGCCCTGACGCATGGCTTTCCATTTCGGTATGGCCATGCGAGCCAACTTGCATGCGGGCAGGCGGGGTGTCGCCTCTTCTCGTTTCTCGCGCGGTGATCTGCCAGTCCAAAAGCTGAACTTTGGGCCATACCATAAGCTTGATATATTGCCTTGGATATACAATGACGCTATGTGTATATGGGAATCGGATCACTGGGTAGCATTAGGTCGATCGAAGGATGGCGTCACAAATCGCTCGTCACCAAGCTGAATCACGGCCTCAACGATAGGCTCACGTTCAGCAGTGGCACATGCACACAAGATGAGCCGAGTATGCTCAGCACATTCTGTGCAGGACAAAACTTGGATGTTAGTCTTTTGTATTTAGAACAATCTTGTCAGTACGTGAAAGGATAAGAACATGAATCGCGGGGAAGCCGTTTTGCGGTTCGATTCTAAGGCGAAATAAGTTCCCAGGCCAACTAATAACAGCCTGGCGAGTGAACACGTCCGAGCAACATGCAAGTGATCGGATGAAAAAGCAAAAATGCTTTTACAGTTCAATGTAAGTTCCTATCCTCCCCTCTTCCTCGCAAGGCACTCCTGTGTGTTCGACATTCGCGAGCAAGAACGTTCGCCAGGCACACGGTTCCCTGATCGCTCTATTCGAGCTCGGTTCGGCACACGGGACAGGGACAGGTATTGATCTTCCATCTTCCCTTCGTTCCCAAGTCCAACCAAGAGACCGGGAGAAGAAAAATGATGTCAACGTGGAGGTTCCGGCTGCAATCATGCCAAGGGTGATCTGAGAAGAGCAACTGGCATATTGGATGAGAAAACCCACTGGAGGGCAAAAGACAAGGAGCTGGAGGATGGAAATCAGACGATAATACTTGCCAACCATTGTCGCTGAATGTATTCATTGCAATTGGATTCAGACAAATCTCCAGCATACTCTTCCTTTGCATTGTAAACCGATCCAGAGTCCCGACCGGTACCCCCGGATTCATTTACTCCTCGGACTTGTATACCACCTTGCTCATACGATGACTATTCGCCGAAAGGCTTTACAAATATATATGCTCGATCCCTCTGGAAACTGAAGGCCCAAAAGTGAACTCTTGAAGCGCACTAGGCACAGATTATTCCTTATTCTGCAGGTATGAGTTTGTCTTACGTCCATGTACAAAGTATGGAGGCCAAGGATCACGAAGGTTCCTGTTACTGCCAACCTGCATCAGTGTTTCCAAGTTGTCAGACAATTTGCAACGGTCAATTGCCATGATTGAATCTGGAACAGAGGCAGAAGCACTTGTTCCGTTTTTGGCTCGAAACGATTTATAGATAAAAATGTCACTGATTTCACATACTCCCTCAATACTAAGACTGTTCCGAGGTGTGGAGATTCTGAATACTTGGCACACGCTCTCTAGATATTGTGATGAGAATCACCAAGTAAGAATATAATGATCCCGGACCGCAGTCCTGTTTGACAAGACCAGCACAGAAGCTCTACTGAAATCGAGCGCTCAGGGTTGGCCCGGAGATCACTGGCACATTTCGAAATCCGACAATATGGACTGAAAGAGAACCCATGCAATGAAGGCCCTCGGATCGGACTATCCGTTCAGGGCCCCGAAGGATTTACAAAAAGCCGCACATCCACATGTGATCTTCTTCCTTGGTGGGAAATTATCACTGATAAGCAACAGCCTTACTTATTTTGAAGCAGGAAACAGTTTCTTTGTGCTACTGTGTACACATCAATGGGGGCCGTCTCATGTCGTTGTGAAAAGGTACAGCGTCCTCAGTGATCAGAAATGGTATGTGAGATGCGACATTGTAGACCAGATCCTATGATCTACACGAGCGCGTCTGCCACTTTTTGAAATAGTTGGCTCAAGGAATTCGCAAATGTGTGGTTGCCATAACAGAGCGTATTTACACACAAGGCTTGTCCCCGCAGGCGTCCAACAATCCTCGAGATCAAGAAGACGAAGTGATATGATCAAGTAGCTCATAGACCCGATTCGTCTCGACCCGGCACGCCTCGCCCGGCCTCAGCGCCCTCCTGAACCCTGGGCCGAGCCACGCCCTGATGGTGGTCACCTCGACACCACTGAAGTTCTGCTGCTCGATGATACGGAAGGCAGAGCTGCACGGCAGGGTAGACTCGCCGGGGGCCTGCGGTGGGAGTCCATCGCAGCCGCAGTCCGCGCTGTCCTCAGTCTCCGCTGCTGGAGGCGCCACAGTCGTATCCGGAATATTTGGAGATTCATCTGTGGGTAGCTGTAGCCCCTCTTGAACGGGTGTTGGGTCCAGGGGCTGCGCTTCCACGTGTGGCACAGCAGCCAGAGCTGCTGTGGAGAGTGGACTCTGAGGCCATGCCGAGGATGGTGGCATACGGCCACGTAGGATCTCAACCTCTTGGGCCAGATGGCTGATGGTCTGCAGGGCGGTCTCAAGCCTGGCGTTGGTCTCCTCAAGGCGCTTCTCGAGATCCTGGACGTGGCCCTTGGCGCGGGCGCGGTGCCGGCGTTGATTGTTGCGCACTCGGATGGCGTTGTGGTCTGCTGGTTTTGATGACCACTTTAGGACTGTGGGTCCGGAAGGAGCCTTCGTCTTCATCTTGGTACTTCCTTTCTATGTAATGCTTCTCACATATGCTATATGTTGATCTGAAGGGGCGGGAGAGGGAGAGGGAGAGGGAGTCAAGTCCAGCGGCGACGAAGTTTGACGAATGGAGAAGTTTGACGGTGACAAGCCGTTTCTTTCCCATATTGAGTTTAGCCTTGGCTGGTGACATACCGAATCACTGCCGAAACAGGGATAGCGTGAACTGATGATGAGGTCGCCTCTTGGTATAAGAACGACAGCGTCCGCCAGGAAATAGAGGGATGTTTGGCCTGGAATAGATTCTACAAGTGGTTCGGTCCATCAAATTACACCATTTATTCTTATACAGATCAAAAACACTGAAAATGTCCACCCAAGAGCTCTACGATCATGTTACCGAGCGCTACAGTGCAGCGTCCCGAGGCACCGCCCTTGAGTACGGAGCCTCAGTCGCCAAAGCGTTCGGCTACTCGGAAGAGGAGCTCGCAGATATTCCTAAGGAGTCCAACTTGGGTCTGAGCTGTGGCAACCCGATGGCCATGGCGAGCATACGCGAGGTGTGTTGGCCGCTCTCGACCATCCATTCAGCACAATGACCAGCTGACCATGGACTCTGCACTTGTAGGGAGAGACAGTCATCGACCTGGGCAGCGGCGCCGGCTTCGATGTCTTCCTCGCTGCCAACAAGGTCTGGCCCAGCGGGAAGGTCATCGGCGTCGACATGAACAAGGCAAGTCACGCCTGTTTCTCCCTCACGTACTCGTGCCGAGCGAACACAGCTAACTCCGGCGGCCAGGACATGCTCGCCCGTGCCAACGAGATCAAGGCCAAGCACAAGAAGACCAACGTCAGCTTCGTCGACGCCCAGATCACAGACATGTCCGCCATCCCCTCGGGCACGGCCGACTGCGTCATCAGCAACTGCGTCATCAACCTCGTGCCCGAGGCGGACAAGCCGCTTGTCTTCCAGGAGATGCACCGCCTGCTCAAGCCCGGCGGACGTATCGCGATCTCAGACATTCTGGCCAAGAAACCCCTGCCGGAGAGGCTCAGGGCCAACATGGCGCTGTATGTCGGCTGCGTCTCCGGGGCGAGCCTGGTCGGGCAGTACGAGCGGTACCTGGCGGAGGCGGGGTTCGAGGCCCGGAGCGTTGTGATCAGGGACGATGGTGCCGACTTGAATGTATATCTCGAGACCAACCCGGACGGGACGAGGACGGTCGGTGGGACTGGAGGCAACTTGTGTTGTAATCCGAGCATTCCAAGTGCTGCTCCCGCTGCCCCTTCTGCCCCGGCTGCGTCGTCCTGCTGTTCCACGAAACCGGCCGTAGACCAGCCTTCTACGACAGAATCCTCCTCTTGCTGCTCTGCGGAGAAGAAATCCGCCCCGGTGGTAGCTCCTGCTTCGTCTAGCTTCTTCGGAGGCAAGTCGAAGGCTGACGCGGTCATGGAATCTGCTGCTGCTGCCGCCGCGGCGGCTTCGTCGTCTTCGTCGTGCTGTGGAGGAGGGAGCAAGCGGGATCAGTCGTATGCGTTCGACGACAAGGATTTGGCCGATCTGGAAGGCGAGAACCTGAACGACTGGGCTGGTGAGTCGACCGCCTTTCCGCTTCTGTATGCTCTCGGCCGTGACTGTGCTGTACTAACCTAATCTCAAGGATCGTACAAGATCTATGCCGTTAAGTCTTGACGGTCTAGAGAGTGTTATTGGCAAGCTGGAGGGCGCAACGGTCGAGGTTCTGGTGGAGGTCAGGGCTACGCGTCGGGCGATGACGAATGGAGCGACGCGACCATGGCAAGGCCATTCGCTTCTTGATCCATCATGGTCTACTGTGCCTAGAAAATTAGTACTAGTCAGTCAGAACCTCTGACTTGTTGACGCGTTGCTGGCACAATGGGAATCTTACCTAAGTATCTATGCCGAAGAGACCTCCCAAGGTAGCCGTGCTTTGGGAGAACCTGGCAGCCTTGTATATGCCGCGATCATGTTCACGTACCTCACATCAGAACTATGCGACCAAAGGATTTCTGTTCAGTCTGTTGTCTACTCGATAGTACAATTGAGCGCGAACGTAGCACCCAACGCCTTCTTCTGTCCTCAACTACAAATGGTCTTCTGCAAGAATGCTGTGCTACGAGATGGGAGTTATCCCTCTACCTAGGTGGAAGACGCAAGAACAAAGAGCTCCATTCTCGGATGCCTAGAAATCTAAATCTAAATCCTAGTCATGGCATCAAAGGAACCTATGGGCCATCTGTTGACAGTATCTATAGCCGTCGGAAATCCTCACAACGTGCTCAGGCCGTCCCCATTGCCAGCCTACCCTGCCTTGACAAGCCTGTGAGGCACCCCATCCTGCTGCTTCAGGCGCTATATTCTAGCGCATCACCGCCTGTAGATTCCGGAAGCACCGCCTAGTGGCATCCAGACCGCATCCCAACAGTGCCTCTAGCTAGGCACTCTGCTCCCTGGGCATGCTCCTATTAGGCGCGTGACCCAGAGTGCGCTGTCGACTTCGAGCTTCCTCTAGCCCGACGGCGATTAAGTATTCTTCGGGACAAGGTCGGATTCTCTCTCTCCCTCTCTGGCAATTACTCTTTGATTTTGGAGAATCTCACTACCAAAGAAGTGCACACAGACACAACTTCTTCTTCGTTGTGGCCCAGGCAACAGCAGCACTCTTCTTGTACTGCTCGAGGGTTTCACCTGCCCCAACGCGTTCTTCGTCAGATAGGACACGAGCAAGAACATCACACGACCACAAGACCTCCTCTTACAAGCTCTGTCGGCCAGATCTGGCGACTCCCGGGGACAACCTATCCATCAATCACGGACTATGTCGCTGCCACAGGACACCGGCTAAGCTACCTTCCTTCTGCTCCAGTCATACCTCCACAACACGGCACCACAAGAGCTTCTCCTATAAGCCTCCAGCTAACCATTTCTCTCTTCAGCAGCAGAGACACGAGAGTCCCTCTGGCCCCTACTCCAAGCCACCAGCGTCCGAAAATCCCGACACTCCTGAGCTACCTAGCTGCTGGTGCTCCCCCGATTGCAGGCCCCGACAAGATTTATGCGTGCCCTCCCAAGAGATTCCAGACAATCCTCCTGGGTATTGACCCATCCTCTACACTCCATATGGAGCTGACAATATCCCTGCCCCTTCCAAATATTCCGCTGAGCTCCGATGCATGCCAATCGACCAAGATACCCAGCAGAGCATCGCGACGGCAGACATGGTGTGTTCCCCAAGCACTCTGCGTGAACAATCCCCAGGCAGTGGAATTCCTTCCTCTCCATCCCTCCTACTCTGAAGCGTGGTTCCAGAACTCCTGGGCTGTCAAGTCTTGGGTTCACATGCAGATAAACATACCCACGGGTACAGTGGAGACTTGCTGGACCGGCGGCAATAGCAAGACTCAATAGGCACCCTCGGCCGTCGCGAGGAGGAACGGGAACACTGGCTTCGAGAGAACGGGCTGGGCTCCTACATTGAACAGAAGGCGGAGGGAAGGATGATGAGGGAGGGAAGAGATGGGAGAGACAGGGAGTCCAGCCGGGAAGTATACCACAGAAGACCAAGAGCAGGTCAGACACCAAGGTTGTCAGTGCATTCTGTCAATTTACAGCTACCTAGGTCCTCAGATAGGAATAATTGATGGTTTAAAGATGGGTATGGCTGTGCAGCCTGTGCTGGTCTATTTGCTGTCTTTTGTCCAGTCATTCAGCGGGAGCAGAGGCAAAGACAGTTGTCACAGGGCACTGGCATATGTAGAGGATCACTGTAGTCCGGAACCATCAAAGAATCACACAGCCGTAAAATCACGTATGCATGAGATGGAAGTATTTTGGTTGGTCAAGTTTGTTTGGTCAATTGTCTGTCCTTCATTGTAACAAAAACAGCCCATCAGCAAGTCATCATCTCATCTTCGTCCCCTGCCAGCACTGACCCACTATCGTGACCGTGATTTCAAAGAGCTTTGTCGCCTAAACAAGTAGATGATGAGGGCTGTGTGTCAAAATCAAGATTCTCCTCGTGTTGAAACTGGTGGGAGAAAGAAAGAAAGAAAATGAAGTAACTTTTGTCGGACTTGGTGCCGGAATCCTCCCTTATGTCCATGCAAGCCAACTCACAGCTGGGTGACTGGTGATTGGGGGAAGAGAAGACGAAAATGTGCAGAAGAAAAGAAGTGACGGTGACCAAACCGATTTGTGTTGTTGCAATTACAGCAGCAGGCTGTGGTGAGACGGTGTTGTTCCTCCAGGGGGCTCAAGAGCCGTACAGGATCGTCTAGACGCCAATCTCCTAGTCCTCATCCTCGAGATAAGCCTGAACATCATCAACTGCATCACCATCATACTCAGTGGCGATTCCCTCATCCTCATGGAAGGGTGCGCCGAGCTCGCGCTGGTTGATTCCGGGGCGAGGAATCCATCCACCAGGAGCAGAGGGAACTTCAGGAAGAGGCCTGTTGCGGGAGAACAGCCTGCTGTAGAAGGAAGGACGAGGCTTCTCCTCTGGCAGGACCTGAATATCCGTGGTGGGAACCTGGTCAAGAATAAGTTTATGAGACACAAGGGAACTGGGCAATATTGTGGAGGATTTGGTGGAGTGCTGAGGGGGGGGGGCGGGGGCCATGAGGCCTGAGTGGGATCTGGAGTGCAAGGGGACTGGGAGTGGTCATGATATATTGTTTTTGTCAATGACTCACCTGATCCTCCTGGGTCACCGGTATCATAGTAGAACCCGTTGAGGCCTCAAGAAGTGGCTTGTAGATCTCCGTACCGGCACGAATGACGGTATCAGGAGCGGCGTCTCCATTCTCGTCCGCGGTTGACTTGACAGCAGGCATGTTGTGAAGGTCATCGGTGTCAGCGAGACTCTTGCTCAGGCCACTGGTCTCCTAGTCCAGGCCCTGGAAGGGGTTGTCTTCGTTGCTGCGACCATCAACAACTTGCTCACCGTGTCCGCCAGTGCAGCTGCAGTGACTGAGGCAGGTCATTGAACCCTCGATGCCATCATCATGGGGCTCCGTGTCATCAAGGGGTCCCACGCCATTACCTCCTGGCGGGGTGACAGGGGGTGCAACGTGGAGCTCGCAATCATCACCACAGCTTGCGAAGACAGGAGAGCCCTGGCAAATGTCGGCCATGGAGCTGGGGGTGCAGATTAGGTGGCAGGTGTTCTGCTGACGCTTCTCCTTGCTGTAGCCAGGAAGGATCTCATCGTTGTCAATGGGGTTGCCAGCATCATTGTAGTGCTTGACCTGGGCGGCCTCCTGGCGAACGTTGACAGAGATGAAGGAGGTTCCAGACGGGGAGGCAACAGAGAGGGTGCCAGTGGAGTTGGTGACATTGGGGAAGACTCCATCATTCTGCTGAACGACCATGGTGGGGAATGCCTCTCCCGCAACCTGCAGGAGGAAGATGGAGAAGATGACAAGGAAAGTGAAAGTCTTGTCGGCGGTGAACATTTGTCAGTTTGGAAAGACTGAAAACAAGCGTGTTTGAGGGGATTGTTGGAGTGTTTGGTGATGAGTTGGCTGGTAACACAGGGAGGCGGAGGAAGACTTACCGCCATGATCATCCAGGTGCAATGGCTTGCTTGAAGGGATGGATGAACGGACTGATTGGTCTTGGGATGACAGTTCAAAGACGAGCTGATGGTTTGACACAAACGCGTCGCGTCGTAGATGACGTTGCAGTGGTTCTGTCAAGGAGTGACTGTGCCTGAGGCAGTGGGCTGCTGGCGTGGTTGATTTAGTCTTACTTACACAGAAACAAGATCACGACAGTGATGATTATGGCAATGGGGAGAAATGAACTGACTGTTTGTGCTTGTTTGTTGTCGAGTTGGTTGAAGTGAATGAGGTTGCGTTGGTGATGGGTGTGGATGTTGAAGGAAAGGAGACAAAGTTGGGAATGTTGGGAGAGGAGAGGGAGTTTGTCTGCAGGAAAGGTAACAGATGAAGGAAGGTCCTCGGAAAAAGTGGGCCCAGACTATGGGAGCTTGCTCAGGTGCCTGTACACTGGAGGAGCTCCCCTGAAGAAAGATGTTGGGACGGCCTGGCTGGCAGGAGGAGGCAGGAGGGAGGAGGACAAAGGAGGCGGCAGGAGCAAGCAGGTCAGACAAACGAGAGTCTCCCTTCAGCGCTTCCTCTTCTGGCAGCTATGAGCACTGGACATAATACTACGTAGTTATAGGCCTTTCCCAAGCCATGGGAAACACACGCAGAAGCCCAGACTGCTGGGGGGGGGCGCGCCCAGGGACGTGCCCAAGGACGCGCTCAGGGGGACGCGCCTTAGGGGGACGCGTGTATCACTTGTGGGCATCAGGACTTGTTGGAACTGAAACTGTAGCCTCAACGATGTGCTCTTCGTTTGTAGATACTGTCCGGTGGCCGTCTATATTGAATTCTCAAACGAGTGCAGAGGGACAGCACCGGAATTCACTTCCGTAGCAGGTATTCCGAGTGTCATGTAGACCACAACGGTCGACTGGTTCCGGAAGCAGTCTTTGCGGATATCTGGGCGATGCTTGTGACTGCCGGCACCAGACTCGGGACTGAGATTGTGTCCTGGACGGTGTTTGAGTTCCGTAATTGCCTTGGAACAGTACAGATGCCTTCAACATCTCCATCACTCGCTTTGATACTTGATGTTGGGTGCCCTTGCAGTCAGTCTCCCTGCCGCGGGCTGCGGGAGCTTGGCTATGTACAGGGCGAAAATCACCTAGAACACTCGGCTGACTGCCAACATTTCCAGTCAGAAAACCACTGAACGTCTTCCCCACTGAATATCCTTTCCTCGATCCTATTCCAGTCGCCTTGCTATCAGTCCTGGCATCTCTGACTGTTGCTTTCGATAGCCAAACGGACGTTGACGGTTTGCAAATCCTGCAAGCAACACCAATCTTCTTGGAAGCCGCCAGCACGCTCTGCGAAATCCGCCAATGCGGAACAAACGGTGTGGCTACTACAAGCAGTGTTGAAGAATCCTCTTCCAAGCTGTACTGATTCTACACGCCGCGGTTCCACTTGCTCGTGGTTCCATCGCGACTGTGCCCTCGTTGTCGCAGCCGACGAGCAGCGTTGTCGCAGCCGACGAGCAGCGTCGTCCGGAGCGAAGCCCATCAAGACAGCATTCTGTTGTGCTGACAATTGCTTACATCTAGTTCCAACGTTGAAGACACATCCGAAGCTGTGTCAGTACCGCGACACTTGCCAAAGACCTAAGCCAAACGAGTTCCCCTTCGGACCGCAGACGAGAAAAGAAGACCAAGTAGCCCGGGAGAACTTTGATTGTTTGTGTCAAGGGGAGCAATATGTCCAAATGGAATAGGAGCCGGAGCTCGGGTGCCCCCTGAGCAGAGCAGTGGAAGACTCTTTCCAACAGCGACAAACACGACGCTTAGCACACAATGGTCGTTAGGACCGACGGTCTCCGAGCTGAGGCTTCAAGAAGTGGACCGTGACACCGGCAAGTTACCTCCCAGGGTCCAGCCCTCGAAGCCATCGAGTGACGCATCCGCATAGGCAGGAAAACGGTCGGTGACGGTGGCGCACTGGCTACAAGCCTATGCCAGCACGACAGATGCCCATGCGAAGGAAGAAATAGGCTGGCTAATGACTACGCAAAGGAGCTTTGGAAGCAGCAGAAGTAGCTCCCCTTGCAGAGGTCAGTACACTCGAGGTGTCAGATCCGTTGGGAATTGCGGTCCGTCGAGTGCTGATGGAGTCGCCAGCGTGTGAACAGGTCTCCCCGGCATCGTATCCACAGCCTCTCCTCCTTCAACCAGCTGCCCAATCGAACAGACGATGCAGTCCTGCTCAAGATCTTCGAACGCTACCTTGCCAAGGACACACTAGCTCCGGAGCGCTAGCTCAAGAGTCGGGTCTGTGGAGCTACAAGAGACTTGTCCTGCGGTTGAGTGGGTTGTGGAAGACTTCTCTGCCGTGGTTGTGGGATATATAGTCAGAGAGGCCGTGGGGTGCAACAATATAACGACTTACACAATGGCGGGAAGTCTCGGCATGCACAAATGCACGTCGCCATTGGTGGACACCGTCTGACCCCGGCACATCGAGAGAAGCCTCCCCCGGGCCCGGACCCGGACCCGGCCGTTGGCTGGAACTGGTTGTTCTGCACAAGGCTTCCGGAAGGACAGAAACAATCGAGTTGCAAACATCAGAGAATACGTCCATGCAAAAGATTGGACATGTATACCCGGCGGCCCGGGAAGGGACAAAGAAAGAGCTATCTAGGCATCACAGCTGAGGTATTGAAAGAAGAGAAACCATTACCAGACAGCCCAAGACACAGGGTCGGAAGAGTCACAGAAGCGTCAAAGGGCCTTAGGTCAAGAGTGGACAGGGGAACAGCTGAAAGGTGGCCGGCTAACTGTCAGAGACTTCCTGTTGCTCACAAAGACATGGAAGACTTCTTTGCACATTCTGGATAGGCTGATTTCGAAGCCGTGCTTGATACCAGGTGCTTCTCATGGCAGAGATTCGGTAATTAGCTACGGAATTATTTCTCCAAGACATGCTGCAAATTGCATGTCCTCCAGTGTTCAGGCTTCGTTGTACCTAACAATATGCCACCTGCACTCAGACGGGCCCAGTCTGACTTGCCATTAATTTGAAAAGTGCATTGAATCAAAGCATTGAGTGTTTAGGCTTCTCTGCTGTGGGCCTGGATTGCCGTGCCGTGCCGTGCTGTGCTACAGCACAGTTTGACCTTGGCAGAGCTGCCCAAGCTCCTCTGACAGCACCACACAGGTCCACTTCCCACAGCAGTACTAAAGCACACCAACACAGCCAACACCAACCACTTGCGCCATCCTCAGAGATACCAATCAACCTGGCCAAGGTATAGATCTCTCCTAGTTATGCTGGAAAAATTAACGGATTTCGACAGAACCCATTCTGCAAAGGACTGTTCTTACCCCGAGGCCGACGCCCAGACGAAACCCAAAGGCCCGTCCTTGTGCTGCTCCAGTCCCGCTCTCGTCCCCCTGTCCTCCTCCCCGATGGAGTGATTCAGCCTCTGCGGCGTCCAGAAGGCCCTTGCGATGCCCTATAAGCAATGCTGTACCATTGACAGCCCCTGGCCTTGGCCTGTGCATGGCTGGTCACAACATGGTGGTTCTGGGCTGTTGGCACAAGCGACTCGAGTGTTGTGTCCTGTGAAAGGCACGGGTTGACTGCTGTACTATGCAGTCGATACAGAATGCAGGTGATGTTAGAATGGTGTGAAAGACTGCTACAAGCAATGTGTGCCTGCTTGTTGGATAGCGGAGGATGGTGATTGATCTACAAACAAGCTCAACATAACACGAGCCTCCAGGAACCAAAGGGTGACCCCAGGGATCGTTTGTTGCTGGTGAAATCAAGTAGGCGCAAAGGGCACCGCGCGGTGCTCCCTGACTCTCTCTGGGTAGGGAACATTCGAGAAGACGCTCTGGGAACGGTTGTTATAATAGGGATGGGTGCTGGTAGGAGTTGGCATATCAAGCAAGTTCCGGCAGTCTCGAGCTTCCGGATGATCAGTCCACAATATACTTCCAATACCCGGGGAGTCCCCAACAACAAATGAACCTGGCAGTGCATTGGGTTGTTGCAAAAGAACTAAAGCCAACGGCATGGAAGTCTCAGTATCTAGAGACTCCTTCGGTTAGTCAATCTGTGCTGGCAAGAAGCTGGTATTGAAGTTGTGGGTTGTAGATCAAATCTGAGGACCAAAGGATTTGGTGGATGATTACACCAAGGCTCCCGGGGTAAAGGACAAAACACTGAGCACACCAAGCAAGCTCAAGACTTAGGGTGACATGGCTGTCTCAAAAAGTGTGATTTAATGAGCAAGTTCCAAGCCGAGCATAGACAGTGTGGCATCATCTGTCCAGAGTTATCACAAAGCTTCAACTCATCTTGTCATTGAACAGGCCATGGGCTTGTGCCCGTCTGTTCCCAAAAGTCTATCCTCTAGAACATCTCCGGACTTTTTGAACCAGCCGGTCCGTGACCAGGGCTCTGGCTTGAAAGAATAAATAACTGGAGTATGAATACATCCCACCTCAATTCGTATTCCAAGTGAACATCCCGTTTTGTTGTATCTTTACAAAACTGTCCCACCAGCCAATCAAGATTGCCCTCGCCCGCGTGCCCTACCACCTCTCCCGTATGACCCACGGCCGGGCCTCCCTGGGCCCGAGGTCCCACGAGATGACCCCCTGAATGTTCTCTGGTTTGAAGAAGAGTCTGACTTCGGCTGGAGGTTGTTCGAGGTCGGGTCATGCTTCGCAGTCTTGCAGGCCGCTGTGAACTCCCTCAGCAGCTCCTACGAAACCATCGAAAAGACGTCAGTATCCACTCGCTATCATCGGGAAACAACAATACAAGTTTCCAAAAGCACTCACATCAAAGTCCTGGTCCTGCATAGACTCCCAAGCAGAACTCTGGTGCATCTTCAGCTCCCTAACACGCGGGCTCATGATGCCGAACGCGACTCTCGCCAGGAACCGCGGGTCATCTCGCACGGGACACTCCGCCAGCACGTTCCGGATCCCTTCTCTATCGAGCGGCGCCTTCCCCGCCTGCGGCCGGGGCACCCGCTGCCCACCCGAGGTGCAGAAGGTGCAGTGGCCGCACTTCTCCTTGCCGCCGGGGAGGCCCATGCCGAAGTGCCGGGCAAGGGCGAGCGCGAAGCAGGTCGGGCCGGTGATGAGGTCTACCACCTCCCTGCTGCGTGCGAGGGCGTCGCGCTCCCTCTGCTCCAGGTCGGCGTACATGGCCGAGGCGAGGTCGTCGAGCTCGTCGGCGGTGGAGGGGAGCTCCTTGAGCACATGGAACTTGGGCACCACGCCCTTCGCCGTGAGCTTGATGATGTTGTCACGGTCGAGGAGGTCCAGGATCTGGATTATGTTGGCGCGCAGGTAGCCCGTCTTGCGCACTATCGCGTTGACGTCGACGTAGGTGTACTTGGTCTTCTTTTCCGAGTTTTCCAGGATGGCCTTGGCTTCTGGCCGGTCCTTGCTGGCCATGTTCTTCATGAACATGTAGTAGGCTCCGGTTATCTCAAAGGAGTACTGGCTGTATTCCGGGGTGATGGCTCGGATGAGGTTGTGGTGGAGCTCGAGGGTGGATGACGCTCAGGGGGCTTGACCGGATATCGAATTGCTTCATCTGGGCATTTGTGTCCTTCTTGAACTCGGCGCCGACCTTGAGGGATGTCACCTCGTCGTTGAATATGTCCCCGATCAGCTGTCGAAACGGCTCGTACGACGGCAGGTCTCCTCTTGCGAAGTTCTCTCGAACGTAGGAGTCGGCGTCGCAGAGATAGAACATGCAGTTGCTCTGTTTACCGTCTCTTCCGGCGCGGCCGATTTGTTGGCTGTATTCTTCGACCGTGGACGCGAGGGTGTAGTGGACAATGTTGCGTATGTCAGCTTTGTCTACTCCCATCCCAAACGCAATCGTGGCAACGACGACCTTGACACGATTCGCCATGAAGTCGTCCTGGACTTTGGTCTTCTGCTCCACCTTCATGCCCGCGTGGAAAGCTGTCGCGTCGAATTTCTGGGCGCGCAGCTCCTGGGCAAGGTCTTCGGACTCCTAAAGGCTAGCATTAGTGCTCTGTACTTGCTCTTCCGCCCACCTTCTTTGCTGACTTACCTTTTGTAATGTAACGTAAATCAACGTTGGGCCTGCATTCTTTCGCAGAAAAGCACACAGTTTGTCGAACTTGTCAGCGGGTTTTGGGACGGACTCGGCGAAAAGGTTGAGGCTTGGCACACATAGGTCAGCAAAAGGGATTCCCTTGGTAGCATGGCCGTGGGCGAGGAGGGCTAGAAGCTAGAACGGAACTCACTTCGGCCGATATGGTGAGGTCCGGAACACTCCGTGTTCTTCAATGTCAAACGCCTTGCGGACGTCCTCTACAACCTTGGCCGTTGCGGTGGCGGTTAGGCAGATGACGCGCTCTGCATTGATTTCTTGGACGAAACGGGCGACTGGAGGCCAAGATATGTGAGACTCAGTAAGCTTCTTCTGGTGAAATGAGGGTGCAGAGGAGTAGAAACAGTACGATACGAACCTTTGAGATACTCTGGTCGGAAGGAGTGGCCCCACTGGAACCATGTCAGCAACATTGTGCCGTGCCTGTGGCGTGAAGGTTGGGAATTACCTCGGATATACAGTGTGCCTCGTCAACAGCAACTAGACGGACACCGCCAGGCACGTGTTTCATATGCTCAACGAATCGCTCGTTGTTGAGCCTCTCCGGGGAGCAGTATATCATCCTCAACTCGCCCCGGCCTAGCTGCTGGTTGATGGCCTGGAGCTCGTCCCAGGACTTTGTCGAGTCGATACAGTCAGCAGATATGCCACGCCTCTTGAGTGCATCAACCTGGTCTTTCATCAGGGCGATGAGGGGGGAGATGATGATGGTGACGCCGGACTGGCCGGGCTCTCTGTGGCCACGAGACCTATCCAGCTCAGGGAACGCCACTGCTGGGATCTGTGATTGCATTCAGCAGCCATATCAGAGTAGTCGGATGTGGGCCATGTCATTCAGACAAGGAGACAGTGCTCACTTGGTAGCACAGAGACTTCCCAGCGCCGGTCGGGAAGACAACGAGCGAATTCTTGCCAGACAGGATGCGCCCGATGGCCCCTTTTTGCTCGTGGCGGAAGTCATCATGGCCAAATTTCTCTTGCAGAATGCGCTGTACTAGCTTGACGTTACTCTCATCATTTGCTTCATCGTCAACATCATCTGGAGAGCCGGGCAGCGAGGTAGTCGTGGCGGTCGTGGTGGTCTTCTTCTGCCGTTTGGAGGCAAAGGAAGAAGTGTCTCTGTCTGCCGACTTGCGCTTCGTGGCTGGGGCTGGCTTGCCTTGGACGATGTCGTTGACGTCGACATCGTCAAAGAGGTCATCTCCCGAGTTGAAATCGTCGCTCATGTTGTTCTGTTAGGTTGGATTTGGAATCCTGCTCTTGATGCTGGTCATCCCTTGTGGGTTGTGCAATATGACGCGTCGAGTCGCGTCCCGCCTAAAGTGATCCACGAAGTCAGGTGCCCAGGCGCTGCACACAGGTGAAGACAGGTGGGCAGGGATGCTGGTTGGGGGTTTGGGGGGCCGGTTAGGCCCAACAGACTGACTCCCTCAAGTGCAGATTCACTAGTTATACAACCTTCACAGCATGCCCACGACTTATATCAGCCTCAAACAATTATAGGAAAATCCAACCAAAGAAATTAAGGATCATGCATGTGTTTACAGATCGCTTTCAAGCCACATTACAGCATGGCACAAGGAGATTCTATTGCTATCATAGTAGAACCTGGACATAACCCTAATCACTTACCCCCCCCCCCCACCCTTCCCTCATGCTGTCTTCAAGCTCAAAATCCACCTGGGCAGTTTCCAAGGGCAGTTTTCAAGGGCATGTCAATGTTTCTTTGATCAAGCAACATCATGTAGATAAAGGCAGAAAACTAGTCATTCAGTTTCAAGGCTTTCCAACCCAACAAATGCTCCTGTTCACCACCACAATCACCTAGGAAACGAGAATGTCCTGCCCACCGTCCTGACAGTAACTTTCTTCCGCGGTCCTACAAGTTCACTCTTGGTGACGATGCCGTCGTCGCGCCGGAAGAAGCTCATGAAGCTGCTGATGGCATCAGATGCGCGTGCTTCCAGCGCTTCCACTGGTCTGTGAAGTGTTAGCCCTGGAACTTTGGACGGCATGTATGCTGCTGGTCTCTGACTCTCTGCATGGGTGTGAAATTGTTGACAGCGGAGTTGGCGAGACTTGCCCGTTTGGCATCGGCGCGGCGCTGATGCCGGCCACAGCAGCTAGCACTACAGCAACGGCAGAGATCTTCATCTTGAATTCAGCTGCTCGCTATGAAAGTCACAGAGTGTGGTTCCGAGTCTTGCCCGTGACTCCTTGCTGTCAGAGTATGAGCTTTCCAGGCCCTGGTGATGTTCTGCTGTGTGTGTCTCGTTCGAAGATATTAAGTTGTAGATGTAGAGAATTAATTGGCTTCAAGCCTTTGGAATAGTAGATGAACTGATTACGTTGAGTGCAACGGGCTCTTCTGTATTTATACCGCTGAACTCTCCTGAAGCTGTACACACGCGGCCCCTGTTTCCTCCAAAGCTAAACTTAAGCATGCTTGACTCGCCTGCTGAGTCGCCGCGTTTATGCCCTTGCGGCGCTCATGATAGAGTTTGACGCCTGAGACACCGCTAGCCTCAGCCTGATCGTCTCATACCCTCGTCAGGTCGGAGAAGCCTCTATAATTGACCGCCGAGAAGCTTGGTTATTTAGAGTTATCTCGCTTATTTCCCGATATTTGCTACTGCGGGTTGTTGGGCCTTAACTTTCTGGAAGACAAAATTTTATTATTGTTGAGAGCGCCGAGAATTTTTAGTGTCGTTCGTGAACACATCGGCCTTTGCCACATCAAAAGTGCGTGGAATCCGCGGCCAGTTCCGATATATTTCATGAAGCCGGCGAGATTTCCTCGGTGCAACATCAACCCGACACCTCCCAGTCCAGCTCGTCGGCAAATCCGTATACCCATCCTTAATTAGTTGTCATGCGCACCGCGCGGAGTCCCTCCTTGGAATAGCCGGCACCTCTGGCTTTTACGCTGGGACAAACCCCAAATCAGGCATCCTCATAAAACGTAGCGATGTCCGTCCTGACACCGATCTTGCCCGAGGGCGGCGGCTGGCGCTTGAGATAGATCGCCTCCTCGCTGCTGTTGTCCTCCACGTTGTACGGGCTGCCCTGGCCGTGGTTCCTGACGCGCGTGTCGACGCGCAGCGGGCTCGGCTTGGCGGTGCCGTCGTCTTCGGCGCCGCTGCGGTCGCCGCTGGCGTGGATGTCGACCTCGCGCCCGCTGCGGCTCTTGTCCATCATGTGGAACCTCGACAGCTTGTTGGTGCTCAGGCTGCGGCCGGCGCCCGCGGAGTGGGGGTGGCCGCCGCCGCCGAGCTTGTAGTCCGACCCGCCGCGGTTCGAGCTGCCCAGCAGGGCTGGGGCGTAGCGCTTGGCGAGCGCCTTGAAGGAGGGAATCGATGCCGCGAGGATGGCGACGTTGGTTTCGATGGCGGACCAATACTGTGTGGTAGAGGCGTTCGTTAGCTGGATGTCCGTAGCTCTATGCCATTCTAGATGACGGCACTGGCGTGATTATCCTTACCATGGCTCCTGAGATGACCCAGGTTGCGTCGGCGTCCGCCGCGAGCATTTGCGGGATGTAGGTGATCCGGATGATCGATGACAAGCAAGCGCTGTAGAGGTGAAGAAAGCGTCATGGTCAGCCCGTTGTTCTCAAAGGCCCGTTGAGAAGTCTCAGGTCAGGATTGGCACGTCTGCAGCTTACAAAAATCCCAGGGACATCATCACACCCAATCCGATCTTCTGGCGCTTGGGCATTTGCAGCTTGGAAACCATCTTGATGGGCAACGTATACGTCAAGAAATCTGTCGAGATGTTCACGGCGGCATTGGCCAGGTAGAAGGCGTTGATGTTGACGCACGTCTTTTTCGTGATGTTGAGATCGTCTGCATATGGACGTCAGAGTCATTCCTTCATTATGGTCGAGCAGGTATAGCCGGCAGCGCACGATGGGATTGGACTCACAGGCAGCCTGGACAGGCGAACATTGGAAGATGCAAACTATGACATTGGCGCCGGCCTGGCAGGTCACAACGCCGACAATGACATACGCTAGCCGTCGAAGGTTGCGGTCACCAAGACGTGCGTAAAGTGCCAGCACTGAGGTCTTGACGAAGCCTAGGCAGGCATTGTAGAAGATCGAGGACAGCCACACTATCTGTGAGTACGATATGAGGTTGTCCGTGCCCCGGAGCATCACATCTTGCATGTGGGATCCGAGTCCATGGTTGACAGCTACAATCATGAGTCAGTTCTCGTTCCCGGCCCGTCCAGAAAGAACCATGTGCGTACCAAGTATAGTTGCGATGATAAAGGCCCATGCCAGTAACTTCGATCAGGTCAGTCATAACCACTCTGCGTGTGGATAGATGTAGCAACCTACAGCAGCAATTATAATGAGTGCTAAGAAGCAGAGTCAGCTGGTATTAATGCATGGAAGCCCCAGGCGCATTGATGCAGGGACCAACGAAAGGCGTGGCTTACCATCATCAGGTCCGAATGACTTTGTGATGTGGATCCTGGCGAATAATCGCAACGATATCGTCAAAATAGTGATGACGCCGAAGACGACAGACACGGTCGTCACCGTGGGCCCTTGAGTTTCAGCCATCTGGGTTCGAGGAGGAGAATGCGGGAGTAGTAAAGAGAACAAGAAGCCAAATCACTTGAGCAGCCCACTTCCACGGTGCGACAAGGAAAGAATGCGCCGTCGGCGTAAAGTAGCGGACCGAGTCGAAAGGAATGGAATGAACGCAATCAAGGTCTCCGTGTCTTCAAGACATTACGATATGAAGTGGGTGGCCGAGGAGATATTTGGAAACGGAGACATGGAAGGAGGCGACATGCCTCCCTCAAAACCCAGGGGGGCAGAACCCGACTCAGTCACAATTCACAAAGAAGGGAAAAAAAGGCGTTGCATGTTTGCAGGGGACTGGTGCGACGGCATGGTTACGAGCAGATCTCTTGCTTCCTTCAGGGCTCGAGGTCTTGGGAGTTCACAATGGCGAGAACATCGAGTACCCACATAATATGACGAGAGGTGTCCGGCCGGCCGACGAATAGGAAGCCGTTGGCCGGGAACCTGCGTGAGTGAAGTGAGTAATTTTCCTGGTCGTCGTCCGCGGGCGGCACCCATCTCCCGGAGGTAATCTAGATTATTTTCCCGTGGAGTTTCACGAAGTACAAGGGGCTTGAAAGTGCTGAAGTGTTCTCTTTATCTTTACAGAAAAAAAGATGCGTACGAGGGTGAAATGAAGATACCCATCGCCCCTTGGACAGAACCGAGCGAAGTAGACGACTAGTGACAGCATGGAGGCCTGAATGTGATACGTTACCGACAAGAAGGAAAGCAAAACGATGGTTCCTGTGCCGAAACGTGGTACAGGTGCAGGTGAGAAGATCCTTTCCCGGACCGTGACGCCACTTGTATGCAGGCAGAAGCAGCGTGGGTCACGGGACCGCTCGTAACTGTCGAGTCTGGCAGTCTGGGTGGTGCTTAGGGTCCTTGCCCCAATTTCAACAGCATCTAAACTTAATTCAGAGGTGGCCCGGCGCCGGATGGCTGTGCCGGTGAAAGTCATTGTTCCTTGTGTGGACCGCACGCACGGAGACGACGATCAACGGGGACAACGATCTACATATCACCACAACGGCTTAGGCTCCATCAGGTGATGTGATGTGCTCCTTCAGTGGTTCTTCGCTCCATCGTCATCTGTAATAAGCCGAGCCGTTTTCTGTCACCAATTCCCCGAAATGTGTACCGCTCTCCTGCATGTTGCATTAGGACCAACCCTAGTATACAGGGGTATGGAGCAGACAAGGACCCATAATTACAGGGGAGAAGCGACCAGTCGCAGATAGTCAGCGGTGCCCTCATAGATACGACTTTGATAGCTAACAAGATGCAGTATATACGGCACACCTAAGTAAACCCAAATTGTGTCTCTAGAGCAGTCTTGGAAAGAAAAAAATGAGTTCCGAAGAGGATGTTAAGTTTGTATCCAAGAGAGCGCAACGAGGATCATTACCAAATCCATGCCAAACACCGACCAGCTTTTGTTCTCCGGCAGTATGCTTCGCAAGGTCCAGGCCTTCACTGGCACTTGGCAGTTCCAACTTCTGGCAATCAGGATTTGGAGGCAGTTGTTGTAGGCCAACCACAAGAGTAGTCCAGGTGTTGGTCCCCACATCCACCAAGGGGCCAGCATCAATCTGAGAAGTACGATGTTGGGACATCCTGGGAATTTCCTCAGCCCCAGTACAACATAACTCTTTTTGCGGCATCGAGGCGCAGATCACCAGGCACGTATGGTCGCAGTGCAGAATAGCAGAGTAGGAACCCAACCTCCCTACCGGCCGGGCTAATCACCATCAAAACCGACAAGTTGGGCCTGATATTACACCCAGACACATTCGCAATTTTGACAGGTGCGGGCACTTGGTCGGGATGGACCGTTACTTTGGACTTAGCAGGCCAATCGCGGATTGTCCGGCTATCATCGATGGGCCTGTCGCACATCTGGAGCCCACGGCCGATCCCCACAGCCGAATCTTGTTAGTGCTGGCTGTGTGTGCCCAGCACTCTGACCCTTCTTCAACCGGCTCCTAGCTGCCGAGTCTTCCTCGGCCGGCGGGAGCAGTCAACGGCAGCCTATTCGCCCCGGCAATGTGGAACCCAGCGGGGGCGAGGAAATTTGGGGGTGATGCGATGTTATATGGGTCTGCCGAATCCAGCAAGCAGTAAGCAGCCGCTAGAGCCCCATGTAACATCAAATGCCACACACGTTATTCGCGAATCACTGCAGAGGGTGGGGAATGATCGGAGGCTCATGATCGAAGGAGGGATCCCTCCTGTCGGTGCCCATCATGGAGTCCACCAACAGGCCGAGCAGCTCGACATAAATACTTTGCACACAAAACTTGAACGGCTTGTCACTCACCGAGGCGCGCAACACCCCAGTCATCCTGACGAGCAGCACGTCAAGTTGGCAGCCAGCGATATACTGTAGGTACTGAAGCTTGGCTGAACCAAGGCTCTACTCGGTTCTCGGTTGCTCCACCATCTGAGAATGCCCTCGATATTGAGGATAGTGGGAGGCCTGATCCTCCTCGGGCTTGCACATGTCATCGGCAGCTTCGTCTACCAGATCGTTTACTATCGCTTCTTTCACCCGCTGGCCAAGTTCCCTGGACCGTTCTGGGGATCGGTGACCCGGTTATGGATCACCTACCACAACATCAAGGGCGACGAGCCTGAGACTTTCCAGGCCCTGCACCGCAAATACGGTATGTGAACGTGCTCTCACCATGCATGAGCGTGAGAGAGGACACTGTGAAAGCGCATGCGATAACTGACATGTCGCGACCAGGCCCCATCATCCGCGTCACCCCCGTCATGCTGCTGGTGAGCGACGCCACCAAGCTGCCCGTCATCTACAGCCGCCAGGCCAACAAGTCCAAGCACTACATCACGGGCAGCTTCGGCAAGACCGAGTCGCTCTTCAACATGCAGGACTCCAAGACGCACGCGCGCTTCCGCAAGGTCGCCGCCGCGCCCTACAGCTTCACCAATATCAAGAAGATGGAGCCCCTCATCGACGCCCGCATCTCCGAGTGGATGGACCGCCTCGACGAGCTCTTCGTCCGGCGCGAGCCCGGTGCCAAGTTCGACTTTGCCCCCTGGGCCGTCTACATGGCTTACGACGTCATCTCCGAGGTTGGCTTCGGCGAGCCGTTTGGGTTCATACAGCAGGGCAAGGACGTCGGGGGCCTGATCCAGGGGTTCCATGACGGGCTCACGCCTTTCGGTATCATGGCCAGGCTCTACCCTATGACAAACTGGATCAAGAGCACTTTTCTTGGGAAATACTTCGTCGCGACGCCCGAGCAGGACTCCGGAATCGGAACGCTCATGCGCTTCCGTGATAAGCTCATCGACCAGCGGTTCAAGGAGATTGAGGCCGGAACAAACGTGCGATTCGATCTGCTTCAGACGTGAGTGAAACCCATTGCAGCATTTACCACATCCGCTTCTGACAACTTCTCCAGATTCATCGAGGCCCGCGACGAGGACGGCAAGCCCCTAGACCTGGACTACATCAAGGCCGAGATCCTCCTCGTGCTCCTCGCCGGCGCAGACACGACCGGCACCGCCTTCCAGGCCATGATGGTCTACGTGCTCTCGAGCCCGCGCGTCTACGCCAAGCTCATGGCCGAGCTGGACGCCGCCACCGAGGCCGGCAGGATCGCACCCGCCGGCAGCATCCCGCAGTACGAGGACATCGTCGCCCACTGCCCTTACTACCTCGCCTGCGTGCGCGAGTCCATGCGCCTGACGCCCTCGGCCCCCAACATCTTCCCGCGCGTCGCGGGCGCCGGCGGCGTGGACCTGGGCGAGGGCAGGTTCGCGCCCGAGGGGACGGAGCTCACTTGTAACCCGTGGCTCGTGCACCGCGACCAGAAGCTCTACGGCGACGACGCGGGCGAGTTCCGCCCGGAGAGGTGGCTCGAGGACCCGGAGAGGGCCAAGGAGTTCCTCAAGTACAACATGGCCTTTGGGTACGGCGCCCGGGTTTGCCTGGGCAGGGAGATCGCGAACATGGAGCTGTACAAGGCGCCGCTGCAGTTCTTCAGGACCTACAGGCCCGAGATTGCGAACAAGGAGGTGCCTGGTCGGTATGTGATTAACGGCGGTGTGAGCTACTACGAGGACATGTGGCTTAGCATCAGCAAGAGGACGGCGGCCAAGGCTTGAGGGGATGTGGTCGGGATTCGAGCGTACATATATGTGTATATGGGGAGGTCTATATAGGGACAGTCTCATCTAATTATTGAATAACAAATAGCGAAACCATACATACGTTGCACTCCCGATGTAAAAGGCCGGCTCAACATAACGATTAATGCTCAAGTGCGTCTTCTATATTGCCTCGGCGAGTTTTCTGTGTATGCAGTCTCGAGTGCTTTGTTCATCTATCCGGCATGCCTCAAATTCCCCAAATTTTCCGCCAAGAAATGCAACAAATCGCTCAACATATCTTTCGAATACCAGTGGCCGAGGTCATCATACTCCTTCCAACAAACCCTCGCTCCCAAATTGTCCAGACACTCGGAAGCTCTCCGTCCCAGCTCGATGCTGACTTTCTCGTCCTGCCATCCGTGGCCAAGGAAGATTGGAATCCTCTGCACCGACAGTAGTAGTTCTGATTGCTTCTGGAGAGCGGGCAGGTCCAGCTGCTCCCTCAACCAAGCCACAGCTCTTCGTGCCGGGGTATTAGCTGCCCCATCGCTCGATTCGCCTTCGTGACATGCATCGTGCGTGAACGGGTCGAATCCCAGGGGTCCATCATCGTGCTGCTTATCCTCCTTGCCTCGGATCTCCGCCATCAGACTTTCGGCGAATGGAAGCCGCCCGCACATCCCTACAACGGCACCCAAACCCTCTCCCTCCCATAGCAACAACGCTACCGGTGAAGCCGCACATCCCTGGCTGAGCCCACCAAGGACAACACTTTTCGTACCCCCGGGGACGATGGCAATCTCTGCACGGAGGAGCTGGTGCAAGTACTTAGTCGTCTCGTGCAAGCCCTCGATCTGCAGCTCTTCCCTGTCTGTCGCCGGCGGGTCGAGTTTCCAGTTGTCGAACCACTGATGGGTGTGTGCGCGCTTGTATATCGTGGCACGGCGTCGTGCAGCGGTAGGAAATACGAAACGGGCGTGTGGGAATGCCGTCCGCAATGTCACGGTGGGCTCTTGGTCCCCTGAGACTTTCCCAGTCTCATCGACTAGGGGCTCGTCCTCGCTGCAATTTGGTAGGCAGGGCCTAGTACTTTGAACAGGCGTTCGCAGCAGCTCGGGCCCGAACTTCTCAGCCCACGAGCCGCGTCAGTGAAGCAAGATGAAAGTCTGCCGGTGCGGCAGCTGCAACGGCTCGAAGACGAGTGGATCTGGGTAGTCCATAATAGTATCCTGAAAGCCTTCAGTTTCTGTTTCCTTGATTTTCCATCCTTTATCAGGCTCATCAAGGTAGGGCAGTGACTGAGGGCTAATAAGTCTGAGATCTCAGGGGGTCTCCACTGCGAACAGTGGTTGCCTATATGAGGCCAAATCAGGCAACTGGCGAGACCTTCCTGCATGTGTTGGCCGCAAATGGAATACAGCTTGCAGGGGTTCACAGCCCAACATAGATTTTGAAAACTAGAGAATACTGTGGTGTAGACAGTCAGACTTGAATTCAACGTGGGACAAGAATGTTTGCAAAAATACGAAAATATATTCCCCAATAACCAGAAAGTCTTGTCTCGAGGACTCCTACTCCATAGCGACTTGTCCAACACAGTGCTATGGTGCATGAGACAAACAAAACGGTATTGAAGTATCTTGTAGATACACGGTGAATTGCAAGCCTTGGCGTCCAAATCTGCGAGCCGTATGCCTCAGAAAATAAAAAAAAAGTCCTCTACCACTGATTTCATATCCTGACAAATTTTCGAGCATCGCTGACATGATCTCATCCTTCAAAAGTGTATATGAGTAGAAGACCATTCGTTTGCGAGGTGGGATTATGTTATAAGTCAGGAGAGCAGGCACCCTACGAAGAGATCAAAAGGGAGATGATACGTTGTCATGGGAGTCTTCGGTCTGACCTATCCCGGTATCTCCGCTCCAAATACCACACTTTTCGGCCCTTTAAATGTAAAAGACCAGTCTAATCGTGCAAATTACGTAGTATCGGCAGACAATGCGGGAGTTGTGCGGAGAACCCAGGAGACTGGTGATTCGTCGTCAACCAGGAAAGAACGAATAGCCTCACGGTTGTGTCCGGTATTTGACCCGACCAAGTGGGAATGGCAGTCGCCAAGAGCGGGATTAGCAGGGGCAGAATCAGCTAAGCTTGCCTACTATGACAAAATTATGGCAGGGCACATGACTTGGAATGGTCAGGGTCTCCATTCGGTCCCCACGCGAGTGTTGATTCGGACCGTTATGTGTCTCCACCTCCACACCAGACCGTGCTGTGTAAAGATTGGGGAAGTGGGACGTGAAAATCATAGCGTAGTAGACTATAAAAGGGGAATATCCCGTGGGGTAGGTTGACAATCTGAGTGATTCGCCAGTGGTGACGAATTGTCGATTTCCTCTCGAGTTCATCTCTTACTTCGCTTCGCGTCGGGTTCAACCATGTGGTTCCTATTGATGCTTCCCTTCTTTGCTGCGGCCGTGGCAGGGGATGAGGCTTCTTGCTCTGCCCTCGCTGGGAACTCGGGGTCTCTGGGTCTCAACAGGACAGTCCTGACCAATTCAACCTGGATCCCAGCAGGTGCCAAGAACGTGTCAGGGACCTTCAACGCAGCGGCATTCTGTGAAGTGTCCGGGACGGTATCCTACCCTGCCGACAACTATGTCGTTTTCGAAGTCTGGCTGCCGGAAGAAAATGCATACAACGGCAGGTTCCTCGCTGTTGGTGAGTACTTCCCGCATTACGTACTTAATCATTACTCGGCTTACAATTTGCAGGAAACGGTGGCATGGCAGGCACAATTGATGAACCTGCACTTGTCGAGAACTTGAACAGCGGGTATGCAGTTGCCGGAGGGGACAGCGGGCATCGAGCAGCGGAGAACAACGGCGGCGAAGGCGAAGCCGGGGTCTCAATTTCCTATCTGCATGACCAGGACCAGATTCTCGCCTGGATCCACAACTCTATATCCTACTTCACGCCTCCTGCCAAAACAATTGTGGAAGCCTACTACACCAGTGCTCCACAATACAGTTACTACAAGGGATGCTCCACGGGCGGTGCTCAAGGCTTTGCTCTGGCGCAGTATCATCCCGAGCTGTTTGATGGTATAGTAGCCGGGTGCCCAGGGAATTGGTACTCTCATCTCACCCTGTCGTTCTTGTGGAACGCACAGGCTTCTGAGGTAAGTTCCCAGAACAGCAGAATATCAGTTTCACCCGCATGGCTGACAGAGTACGGACCACAGGGCACTGGCTTAGAAGACGAGACCGCCGGCCAAGCAATCCTCGACTTCGTTGAGAGCGCCGTGTTGGACCACTGCGATGAGCTCGACGGGGTTAAAGACGGCCTCATCGAGAACCCCCTCACCTGCGACTTCGACCTTACCACGCTGGCATGCGACCCAACAGCAGCCAACTCGACCCAGTGCCTCTCCGCATCCCAGGTCGCCGCGTTCCAGAAGATCTACGACGGCCCGCGCAACTCCACCGGGCACAGCCTCTACCCGGGCTTCACATTCGGCAGCGAGAACGAGCTCATCCAGCAGACGTCCGGCTCCCTGTCTAATTCTTTCACGGCGTCGATACTGCAGAACGTGGTCTTTGACGACCTTTCCTACGACGTGAACTCCTTCGACTGGGACGCGGACGTCGCGCTCATCGACCAGCGCGTGGGGACCCTCATCGACGAGATCAGCCCGGACCTGTCGGCCTTCCGCGCCAGGGGCGGCAAGCTCCTCGTGACGCAGGGCTGGGCCGACCCGTACAACGCGGCGACCTGGCCGATTGATCACAAGAAGCAGCTGGAGGATGCCATGGGAGGAGATGTCTCTGACTGGTTCTCCCTGTTCATGTTGCCCGGTACGTATTTTCCACCTCACTTGGTTGGCTGGTCCGGCCCGGAGTCAGATTTGTTCGACTAACAATATGCAGGCGGGGGTCACTGCGAGGGAACGCTCAGACATAAGTCAACACCGCAGGTGCCACACTCGTTGGAGAAGCTCGTCGAGTGGGTCGAGAAGGGAGAGGCGCCACAGGAAATGCTCTTCAGCAACCCACCTGATGGTGGTAATATCACACGGAAAGCATGTCCCTGGCCAAGCACAGCTGAGTACATTGGCGGAGACACCAACTCCTGGTCTTCGTTTGTCTGTAGCACTTAGAAGGTTTCAGGGTGCAAAGGCGATAATGATCAAATGTGCCTTGAGAACGTTAAGGCTTTATCCCGGCTCTTGTTGATCTCTTGACGCGAATCTTTGCTCGTTATTGTCGCCCAGAAACGCGCGCCCGTGCCAGTGCGACTCTTAATGTCCTTACTCGATGCTTATCGCTATTTCGCAACAAGGCTATGGCAAGACTTTAATGTTGCCATGCTTGCTCGCCGGGAGTTGAAGAACCCTGTAGATCTTTGTGGTCCAATGTCAGCACTACATGCATGTAAGAAGGCTTGGCATCATACTACTCATGGATGTCCAAGATAATGACTCTCACCATATTAGTAGCGGCCGGAGGAGTTCCTTCTAGACTCCCTTCTGATGACAGAAACGTCAACGGGGGCCATGACTGTAACTCGTACTACTACTGGTTATGATGCTTGGGGGTCTCAAAATGATTTAAGAGAGGACCTTTATCCTGGTGTCAACTTTGGGTGCCCGCCCTTTTATTTCCTTGACTGTCCCCGGTCCACTAAACACGCTCGGCGCGAGTGAGTCTGGAACGGCACATGTACAGATGACCAAACAGCCTGGTCTGCATACCTTGGTCTCACAGATTTTAGCTCTGGTTGATGGTGGAAAGCCTGAGATAAAGACTCGCCACTCAGCCATGTTGTGCCACAACGGAAAGCTTTTTTGAAAACTATCGATCTTCGTCTCACCTGTCCCTGCCCCAGAACCGCCAAAAAGGGCCCCCAACCACCGCGGCATGCGCACATTGGTTACACTCAAATGCGTGATTTCCACAGCCTTAGTACTCGGCGCTTCAATGAGGGGCATAAATTGCCAGTGTAGTACAGCTCCGGGCGTGGAATCCTTCATCTCCCACTGTACTCAGCTCTAGAAAGTGTTTTGAAGCGATCTGAGCTTTCCTCCCCCTTTTCCGTGGCTGAATGTAACATACTGTGAGGCTCTGTATCCAGCCTGCATCTCAGCGGTAGGTGCCCCCAGAAGCTTCTCGTGTGAAAATGATGTAACCTGCCGTCGGCTCCTATTCTGCGAGGAATTGGCTGAGACCAGTATTTCTTCCTTCCCGTCATCTTAATGATTGGTTCCAACGCACTCATGCAGCCAAGGACAAGCCGGGCGATACAACAACCAACCATATGCCAACCCAATGCCCCCCCCCCCGGGGTCTCAGATTGCCTCGGACAGGCACTCCTCAGAGCCGTCGTCGCAGACATCTAACGACCCCTTGAGACCGCTCGCCCGCACAGTGAAGCAAGAGCGCCTCTTGGTGGAACAGAATCCCCTCATCGAGAAGGTATCATGTTGACTCTACTTGATGATCCCAGCAACTCGTCAGGCGTCCTGGCATTATTCAGCAGAAAACAGTGCTGCTCTGCACACCAGTCCGGCGTCCGCCGCCACTGGCCTTGGTGGACGGTGTGTGCGGGCGCGTATGGCGTGTAGACTGGCGGAGGCTCGGTGACATGGACCATGGCCGGGCTGGGCATCGACATCTCGACCGCCTGGCCGCCCTGTTCGTTCGTGTTCGGCCGATGTTCCCCGTGACGGGAGTTGAAAATGGCTCGCTCCAGATCTGCCCTTTGCTCCGTCTGTCGACGCTTGAGTTGGCTCACACGGCACTCTTCGATCTCAGAGGCAAGCCAGATGATGGCGGTGGTGGAGATGGTGATTGCCAGTATGACTGGCCATAGGAGTGATGGCACGAGGACAAAGAGAGCTGTGACTGTGCCCCGGAGGATAGTATGGTCTTGGACCGTGGCTGGCAGCTTGCGTAGAACCTTTTCGCGCCAGATTGAGATGTTCATGGCGATCATGAAGGCAGTGAAGATGGCCAAAGCGCCGTAGACGGTGCAAATCGTGGGGACGAGCCAGCCCTCGTGGATCTGTGTGATGTAGATGCGCGCCATGGAGAAGACTCCGCTCTCCGTTGGTTGAAGAATGACTGGTGACTTGTTTCTAAGGACTGGTCGGGCCAGTCCAACTTGCTGATGATTGGAGACAGGGTGAGGTTTTACCTACGTGGTAGAGGAAGGCCGTGGCACTTTGGGACTGTTGTGTGAGGTTTGCTGACCAGAAACAAGTTGACTGACTGTGCTTCTGTCAGCAAAAGATGGACAAGGAAGACAAAGTCAAAAAGGTGAGGTAAGGAAGGGAGAGAGAGTTGAGGTTGAAGACCTTGCTAGAGATGGACTTGATAATTGTATAGGCTTATTAGCAATAGGGAATGATTCATTCGAGCAAGTGAATACCTATTACGAATGATTTTGATGCTAGCGTGGAAGGGGACGACGTAATTGAATACTCGTGATGGCGGCGGAAGTTCCGGTGGAGGGCACAGCTGCCCAAGTGAATGCGTACGTTATGTTACATACTCGAGGTACCCAAACACGTCAACATGATCGTGAGACAGAAGCTAATATTCTTCCGAAGAAAATGAGACCAAACGTTTTCGATCTTATATGCCCTTCAAAGATTACCCCCAATGCCCGTTTCCACGTACATGTAGTTAGCAGCCGATAAGTATGTCAGCTTTAAGCCAGTCAATTCTCGTGTAGCACATAATGCGTACGTCCAGGTCGAGTTACATTTATTTATGATTTTCAAGGACGCGTTGTTCTGCATACGTAGAGACCCGCAGGATGTCAGATGCCTTGCTCTTCCCATGAATGTCTTGCCTTGTTGGATCTCACTATTGCCACCTAATGAAGCACGCGTCACAAACGGTTCCCAGTCTCGCGGCTTTTGAAGGTAGTGGTTCATGCTCGTCTATTCGTCTACGCCGTCTATCTAAAACCTTCCAGTCCCAGTAGCACTATTCCATCTTTTTCCACGTTACCCGCTAAGAAAATTGTACACTCGCCGTGAACCAGCTAATACTTGGATATTCCCTACAACTCCGTGTTGCAAACAGGCACGTTGATGACCTGTCCAATCTGCAGCAGCAGAGGATCGACGCCAGGGTTGGCAGCCTGGAGGGCGTCCACCGTCAACCCCAGGCTCGAGGCAACAATGAAGAAGGTCTCCCCGGACACGATGGTGTGGGTGGCGTCGCCGCTCTCGACGCAGTCGTTGTCGTCGGAGGGCTCGGCGAGGCACGAGGTGTTGTCCGGGTTGCAGGGGAAAGTGGGGACCTTTAGGACCTGGTCCAGGGTGATGAAGCCCGGGTTGGCGAGGTTGTTGAGCTTCGCGATGTCGCAGATGCCGGATGACAGCTTCTGCGAGATGATGGTCAAGGTGTCGCCGGACGACACCGTGTAGTCGACAGTGGGTCCTGGGCTGCAGGTCACAGACGGCGCAGAGCTCTCGCTGGTGCCTGTGGGCGAGGTTCCGGTGGGAGTGGGCTGTGTGCCATCGGGTTGCTGATCATATGTTAGTCTTACTGGCGGCCTGCTGAAAAGCAATGGGGATAGCATACGGGCATGGCTGCCACAAGGCCAGCGATAGCGAGGGTAGAGAAGATTGAGGTCTGCATTTTGGTTGAGGTCTTTCGAGTGATTTTGCCGAAGAGCGACTGGTAAAGAGTGTATAGAGTGAGATTTGATGAACGAATGTGATTCAACGAGGTGATTGTCGAAGAGATTGGTGATGATGACAACCTTCGAGATGATGTTGTGACGCCAGGATGCCGTATCTTATATGCTCTTCACATTCGTGACGTCCCGCCGAGCATTACGATGGCCCCTTACTCGGAGCCGATGTAGTGTCCGGCGACGAACGCATGTTCGTCCAAATTGACTCGCCAAGGCAAGACAGGGTGCCCATGTGTTGACTCTTGTGGCTTGGGCCTGGGCAACTCGAGGTCCTTCTCCCGCAAAGAACCGTCTCGTGTGCCAGCATTGATCTCGTGTTCGGGGAACCCAAGGCGAGCCAGAGGGTAAACATCTGCCAAGTAGTCAGGGGCGCTGTGGAACTGGTCACAATGCCCCCTTCCCTGCGAGGCTGAGATAAACTTTAAACTCATGCCAGCCGATGAGTCAGTTTTGACAGCAACAGTATGCCAAGCTGGAGTCACTTCCCTAAAGCAGAACTCGATCCAGTTCCACGGAACTGGTGAAGCCCCCTTTTCGATCTCGGCCGCGGACCCTTGTTCTTTAATCGGTGGTCATCGCTCGGGAGTCAGGGAACGCCGTATCAAACAACGGAGAATGCATCCTAGAATTGGGAACCCGCGGGCATGATTTATTTACGTTTTCATATTTGAATGAAAGTCTAGATCTGAGATTGAACTTTGTTCGAAAGTACGATGGAAGGCCTACCTGAAATTTCGTGTCAAAAGGGGCATTTGACGTGCCTGATTCACCCAGTAGATCAACTGTACACCCCACCAACAGTACAAGATTTGTCGCGAAAGTTAACGGCTCCTGTGCAGGCAAACATTTCAATTTTGCTTCGCGTCGCAATCAACGTCCATCTCACACGTCGATCTTATTCAAGTACTGCAACGAGAAAAAAAAAAAGGACAAAAAAACTCGGTTGGGCTCAACCGGGATTTGAACCCGCTATTACGGTGTTAAAGAAGGTTCATTTGTAGGGAGTTGAAGTTGCAACTTACGGGCCTCTTGCAGTGCGCTGGTAACCCAAAGCAAGAATCATACGACTAGACCATTGAGCCTGTGACGTGGCGATTTTCGGGCGATTCAAGTACCAATAGTTCTCACCCGTGCGGGGCACAAGCCGAATGCGGTGACCAACACCACCGACAACTGCCGTGTGAGACAGTCCACCTAGGTACTCTACTTATTTGCAGATGGATACCTTGCACCACCCAAAATTCTGAACGGAGGCCATTAAATAGTTATGCGGTGGTTCAAAAAGTTTCTGCAGTGGTACAAATGCTATCAAACGGCTGCAAATGAAACGTTCGAGCTAGAGCGCCGACCAAAAGCCCACAGAAAGTTACGGTAATTGAGATTCATGATAATGCAAGGTTGTTGCCAAAGTGTGGACTGAAAGCAACAATTTCAGTTTCTCCAGGACCGCATAAGTGTTTGAGTGGATGAGCTCCCGACGCCGTGCGCCTTCCCTTTGACCAATTCCTCAGCACAGTTTTGATGGAGATTGTCATCATCCGGCGGCTACTCAGCCCTGTATTTTCTTTCTCCAGCTAAGCTACTAAAAAGTATTCTGCCTGATGATTTCCTCGGCATCTTCGGTCAGCGAGATTTGCTAAGACGACATGTAATGACGGCGACGCACACAACTTTCGAGCTTCTCAAGACAATGCGCTTTCTAACCTCACCGAACTCGGAAGCTCTATTTATCAATCTCGACTCATCAATCTCCAACTATTCGATAACCCCGTGACTAGGTCGAAGTTTCTGAAAGTGACCGGGCGGGGAGCGCGACAGTCTGGACATAGTGCCTCTGATTTCTTTGGGCGATACCCAAGTAGTTTCCGAACTGAAATACTCCATTGTTTTTAATGAGTCAGAAACGGATAGCCCAGCTGAGTGACCGCTGCCTTGGAACGCAAGGACATCAACATGATATGATCTGGTAGCGTGAACTCGGCCCAGAAATATCCCCCCACCTCCAGGCTTTCGCTTCTTGACATGGGCGGAGCTGGTCCTGGCCGGTGGCCTTCAGTGCCGTTACACCTTCACATCTTACAGTTGTGTTTATAGGAAGCTAATAACTAATGCTCAGAGCAACCATCTGGTGGAAGATACTGATATCTTTGTGTCTATGTTGATGCGAAAGGTGGGCAACCTGGTGTGCTTGCCGATTGCTGAGGTTGTTGACAGCCCATGCTTAATGTAGACAGAGACGTCGACGGGGAACCGGATTTGTTAACCCCGAAGTTGCACTTGCCATCTTTAGTATCCAACCATAGAATCTCTGGGTTGATTTCTTTACGTTTGGATTGTCCAATGATCAGTTTGAAAGCTCTAGCTTTGTGGATGATGGGTTCATGGTAGCCTACGTATTTAGCCGCTTCTCGACCGCCCAAGGTTGGAATTCTTCTCCAGGCAGTCTAAGCGGACCTTGAAGTATTTCAGTTTGTAAAGAACTCATCCGGAGGCTTATAAGATGTTATTCAGTAAAGTCCTAAGTTGAACGAGAAACAAAATCCTGATGTACTCAACCGACCTTTTCATTCCAGGATCAGCACACCAACCACGGCAATACTAAACGTTTGAGAAGATAATGGTTTTGCCTTGTAAAGAGCCTCTTGAGCTTAGAGCTTGCAGGAAGACGGAGTTTTGGGACCCGTTGCGAGGTTTCCACAGCTCCCGCTTCCAAATTGGAACTCACCTGCCATAATATGCTGCCAGGAGAATAATAGTGATAAAAATATGGGTATTTTATAGTGCATATGCACTCTAATTGGGCTATCGGAATCAGGAGTATATCGGAATCTGGGCCGGGGACGTTGATCCGACGGCCAACGGACATTCCTTCTTCACCGATATATGAAACTGGATGGATGGATCTGTGCGGAGCGTCCTGGGGCGGTATGTTCGTACCCCCTAGCACTGCAAATCGTGCTCAAAGAGTTCTGCTTCCAACAACTGAGGCCGGCCTCTTCTTTCTGGTCGCGGCCGCTCCCCAGCTTCCTCTTCAGCTGTAGCGTAACCGAGGTATAGCCCAAGCACGCGTAATTCCCCCACAAAGTCTCACACTGTAGCCATCACGATGCATGAACACCAATCTCATCTCACACTGATATCACATGCAGAAGGATTTCCCATTCTCCAACTCAAGCCCACGCCCATGACGTCGAGCTGGCCTGACAGCTTGCCCAGCGCCCGCCTTACGAAGGAGCCCAGCCCTGGGGGGGGGGGGGGCGCCGCCTCGTTTCCCCAGGCGCCCCCCCAGCGAGGGACGAATTGAAATGTCAAATTTGCTGATATCATCATCACGCGACATCGGAGGCGAAAGGGGGTTCACAAGTTGCTGGTGTGCTTTCCCACCCCAGCCCAGCCCAGAACCTGGGGGGGGGACGGACGATCTTGTCGATCCGCCGATCCCCTCCCCGTATCCAGGGTCCACACTAGAGGGTGCTGGGCCCGATTTGTTAAACCGGCTTCTTGCCCAAATCCCAGTAGGAGGGAAAACCTGGGGAAAGGCGCGTCGAGAGGGTTTCCAAGCCTCTTACGGTGACGACAGGGCTCTCCGGTCCCCACACTCGGCCGGTTGGCTGCTGCGACTGTCAGAGTTTAGTAGCCCCCGAGAGAGCTGAGGGAAGGAAGGGGGTGGTTGAGAGCAACTGATACGGATTGGGCATGTGTAGCCTGATGTTGCCTCTGATCAACAGGCCCGCTCTGTATCACCCTCCCCCGGAGATGGTGGTGGGGTGTACATACTGTATTCCTAAGGCACTAGTCTAGTCTGTACACGATACTTGGGAGGGACATGCAAAGCTGCCAGCCTCAATGAAGAGGCCCATATTTCTCCTTTCTACATTGCATGATCGACCATTTGTATAGGGCAACGGCGGAAAGACTTGCTTCTGAAAGTTGTGAACCCCGAAGTCATCACCATCAGTGTGTTACATTGTCTAGAGAGAAGTATACGCAGTCCTCGGCTCATCATCGGGCTCGGAGAATGGACAGCAGTAGACTCAACCCGTGAGGCTCTTTCTCGGCGTATGTGAGCACTTGCGAACTCGGAACACCTGTGACATTACGTGTTGGAAATATCGTGCGTTAATATATGGTCTGTATCACGATGGTGACTTCGCAACATGGTAAACATGCGTCTACATTGTAATATCAAGATATCAACCCTTTGCTCGTGACAACCGGATGTTCCTTCCAAAACCACTTCCAACGCCGCGATTATCCTCCCAATAAGGCACGAGTATATTTTGATTACACTGACATCAACGCATTACGAACAACACTGACTGTCCAATGCTACGGCCTATCGTCGGAACCTTAGCTTCCAGTTTCGTAACACGGAGAAGCATCGGCTACTCCCTTCCAAAATGCTACCCAACTGGAAACTCTATTAAATATTTCTTGCGCTTGACTCGGCGAATTGGGTTTCACATGTACGACATCATTGAATATCCGCTCGAGGTGCTTGCTTGCATGCTATAGACAGACAGTGTGCATGAAGGCATTTCCCGAAAGGAGGGGGACGGGCAAGGGGATGGATGGATGTTGACCGTGTTGATGACGTGACATCACTCGCTACAACATCGACACAAACGATGTTGACAAACCCCCCCCCCCCAATCACTCTTCGCGGAGACGTGCCCCATTTGTTTTTTTCCCTGATCCGTCGGGTCTAGAAGACGCAGCTAGGGGCCACAGGCTGCCACCTCGCCCGTGCCATCGCGGCGTCCGGGGTGCAGGACGCACGATACTGTTGCAGTGGCATCAGCGGCAGCACTGGCCAGGTAATAAGCTGGCCAGAGTGAGTGAGTGAGGTTGACCGACAGCCAGAGAGGTGACAAAAGGCTCAGCGTTTCACTCAACAAAGCTATGCGGATACACCGCGGTGCACACGTACGTAAGCTCGCTGAAATACATACAGAGTATCCACCCCCCAGCCGCACCCCGTAGTAGGCGGCGATACGGTTGCTGTGCAGTTGGAGATTGGACGAAACGCATAAACTTTTCCCTGCTGTGTGCACACTAGGCAGTGCTAGGGGTCGCCTAGTCTGTGCTGATTTCTCTGGATGGCTGGACAATGGTCCTTGAATCCTTAGTCCCTTGGACCCTGATCGCCCAGCCGAGTCCGCGCTTGGTGTCATCCGTTGTCCGCAACGCATGCATGCACCCCAGGAGATCGATAGAACCACAGAAAGTAGTAGCCCACAGATGAGCCTAACGTTAGCAGCGGCAGCGGCAGCAGCAGAGGAGAAAACAACAACACTGCCCCTGTGTCGACGCACGTCCACATCGCGCACGGGCCTGGGAAAATTTCCATAAACCCAAATAGACGCTGTGCGCAAGTTCCCCAGAAAGCCAAGTCGACAGCTTGCAGTGCCCACCACTCTGGAAAGCAACGGTTGACCGCCCGCCCATACGCTGAGCTTGCTGTTCCCCCGCTGGCACTACCACGGCGAAAGAAACACTCTCATAGGTCCCAGGTCCTCTCGAGTGGCACGCCATGGAGGCGTTGCGGAAACGCCACTTGGCGTCGCAAGGCCCACGTAATAACGCCCCAGAGAGAGCTCCCCGTCCGGTCGGGCCGGGGGCGGACGACAGGATCGCGAGCTCACCTCCGACTCGGAGCATGCGGGAGGGTTGAGGCACGCACTGTTGGATGGAGTATGCCGTGCTGGGGGCAAGCGGTAGTTGGGATGTGCTCAGGCTGTGCACCACCCACCACCCCAGGCACCTCACGTCCCATCCCGGCATCTGTCGAGGAGCTGTCGTCGAGAGCCGGGGCTGGTGCACCGGGATATCATTAGTGGCAAGCAAGCAAACAAGCCGCAAGTGTAGTGTACAGTATTTTGACATCCCCCCATGGATGGGGTCAAAACTCGACGATGTCTCCCCGCGGACACCACCCTTGGTATATAGTGCGCCCGGTGGTGGGGAGCGACCCTTGGAACGCCGTGCGGCGGAGAAGTGAACCATGCAGATCTTAGTCTACCGAACGACGTACGTCTGGATGCCTCTGTAGAGTGCATGGTGGTGACATCTCCCCAGTCTTGCCATGATGATGATGATGATGATGAGAGAGATCGGGAAGCTCGGCACGCTCCTTGTTCAACGCCGGCAAGCGGTATCTATCATCTGAACTCTTGGACCAGGATGTCGACGTTGCCGCTCGCTCGTAGAGAAAAGGATGGCGAATAGTGTCGGCGAAACGGCCGTCCCCACTCACAAAGAGGTAGGGCGGCATACCAAACGAGATTTGAGTCGCAGATGTTTCGTTACGGTACAGTGCTTAGGGAAGGAGGGAGCGCAGAGCCAATACAAGAGATAACGCAGGTCGCCGCCTAGACCAATCCAGAACCCACACCTCCCGTGTCGGGCAGTTTCAATGCTCGGGGAATTTCTTGTCAACGAACAGTCGGTGTCAAGTCGACGACGGCGCGCCGCCTCTCTTCTTGGCCCGCAGGCGAGGCCCAGGCGCTACGGCAGGAGGTGCAGCTTGCAGATGCGCCGCCGCCCTGGCTTGCATACGGCCACACACACACAATCTCCCTCTGTTCTTACATGTACAGGCAGTAACGTACCGTACCGTACAGTGCCCACCTCTGCAGCACAGACACGAGGGCCTATCGTCCAATAGACGCGGGCAGTCCAGATCCCGTATGCGTCGAGCTTCTGGGTGAGCTGCAAGGCAACGAACGATGACACCCCTCCTGCCCTCCCGGTGTGGACCAAGGGTACAATGGTGTGCTGCTCGCGCCTCTGAGCTCCCGGGGGCGCGAGTCATCGAGGCCCAGGATGGCGAGCAGGCTTATAAATCCGCTCATATATGCCTCCCTCCTTTGCCCGCAAAATCTCTGCGCAAGCTGCCCCCCCATTGGTATCAGATTTCGGGTCTTGGCCTATGAGTTGCCGTCGTATCCCGTTCCGGTGCGGGAATAACATCAAGATAGGATGAGATGGTGTCGTCTATATTGCAAAATTAATAGTAGATGGGCCCCCATGCGCCCCTGGAAGAGTCCCGGATCCGAGTTCGTCTCGGTGCATGGTCACTGATATCTCGGCGGGCGGCAGCCAAGATGTCGAAACAAGTAGGTTATCGTTCATGAGGGTGTTGGCAACGAATCTCCACAATCCGACCTATCGAGACGAGGCATCCGCGTCGTCAGGGCGAGCGTCGTATGATGATGACCCACTGCTCCAGCGGCCCCGGCCAGTTCATCAGTTGCCCCAGTCTTTCATCGACCGGTTAGGTTCCACATCTATCACCAATTGACAGATTCTGTGGACCCCGGATGGGCGGGGGATTCGGGGACTTGGTGCAATGCCTGTGGTGTACCAGACTGTAGATTAATGGCAATCAATGTGACAGACACTGGGATTTCTGGGAAAGCCCGGTATCGTGCGGTCAGCAATGACCTGATTTCCCATGGCGCCAGTCCAGAGGGCAACAAGACCCGGCAGATCCGGAGATCCGGTGCTCGGCAGCGTTGTTCCCGCCCCAGTCCTTGCTGACAGGTTTTGGTTGTCCTCTGCGCACACACCAGGGTCCTCCGAACCCGTGCAGCCTGGGCTGACTGTTGTAGTCTGCTAGGCTGCCTATCTATCTGCCATGTATTGTACTGTAGGCTCGGCTGCCCGTGTTCAGGGGTCCCGGCGAGCACGGCGTCAAAATGGGCCATCTCATTACCCCAGCTCGCCCGATCTCTCGCGCCGACACAGCTGGTGCGAGGGGACAACAACGGTCAAAATGCCCGGACAGTCGAGGCCACCACGCACCGCACGCCAAGGACCCCTTGGGGAAGACACATCCACCCTACAAGCTCGTCATGCTGCAATGCAATGTTGCATATGTCTATCCCCCATCGCGTTTTTTTGCATGAAGGGTGGCCGGCTTAGCCTGACACCGGCGGTGGAGATCAGCGGGCGTAGGTTGCCTGTTGTGTTTGATAAGGTGCAAGAGGCTCTTATCTCGTGTGTGAGTTTGTGTGTCAGATTTCAATCTTGATATCGGTGGCAGCGATAGTCGAGAGAAAAGTTTTTCTTGTTGAGAGAATCGCCACCCGCCTCACAGGCAGACAACAGGCCGACAGCGCTTCCGAGGCGGCGGTGGCGGGCATCCTCACACCTCCACGCTCCAAGTGCAGTGGCGGAGAGGCTTGGGTTTTGCTTCAGACCAGTGCAGAGTTGTGGAGTCAAGTTGGTGGCCGAGATTCCTTTCGCCTTCCCCTCCATTCCAGTAGCTTTAGTAGACCACGTCCTGTCCAAGCTGCAGTGTGGCCCCTCATGGAAGGAGACTTCCGGCGCCGGGAGCTTGGCGAGAAACCAACCATGCCAAGCTCGCGGACCTTGACGTCCAGCCCAGCCGGTGGACCCTTCACTCCGGCGACAAAGTTCAGCCCGCATGGGGGTTTCTCCTGCATCCGAAGAAATGCCCCCCAAGTGCCAGGAAAGGCATGAGCCCAGAAGCACAGCTTTTCAAGGACCCTCCCAGCTCCAGCGACAACTCCTCCACACCCCTGAAACAGAGATGGCCATAGGTTCGCACCATTGAAAACGCGGGGAAAGGATGTCTGTGGGTTGACTAGCTTCGAGCTCAACTACACTCGGGGCCGTGGAAACTGTTCACACCCGCCGCGGTACTCGCTGTGTCTCGACAGACTGTGTGACTGCTGTTTGCAGGAGACAGTGCGAACGCCAGGAGGAAGAGGCTCAAATATGGCGCAGCTTTACCTGAAAGGGCAGGCATGCTTTCTTCTTCAGGTAGGTTGCATATGTCGAATGCCTCCCCCCCCCCCTTCACTGGAGGGTGTGCCATGGGAGGTTCCTCTGATATCACACCATGCAAGCATCCTACTTCTCTGGTGGTGTCAATCCTTTTCCCTTGGTGCTGTAGCTCCGCATCGCTTTGCCCACTACTGTACGCCCCGCCTACCTGCCAGCTGCCTGCACGGAGGGTTCAAGAGGCGGCGGTCCCCTCTTTTCGTGCTACGCAACAACACCAGGGCAGAGACAGGGAGGAGATGCAACGGGGTTGGCGCAGCTGGGTGCTCCAATGCCAGCAGGCCTCCGTTCCCGGTGCTCGGTCTGGAACGCCCATTGATCTTGTTTTCCCTCGTGGCAGATCCCTCGGGCTGCCGTAGTGGCATGGTTCCTTGTTCCGTCACGATGCCGCAAGCTTGCATTGGGTCTGTACTGCCAGATCTGTAAGGGTGTCTCTCATTCGATGGTGGGAGCAGCCTGTAGACCGTGGATACAACACGGCTCGCTGTGTCCTGTCGCGATGCATGCAAGAGTGAGGCAGACCTGGTAGCATCACGATGACCCTGACAATCAGCCGATATAAGATGGACTGGGTGCCTATCTAATATCAGCCACTGCATAAACGAGCGCCAGATAATCATTAGGACAATCCTACCTTGCCTGACCGGCTGCGGTGCGACCAACCTCTAGATCAGGGAATATCACATCTGATCGCTTTGAGCCGCCTGCCGGGATACCTATTCGAGGCCGTGATGGGCATTCCCCAGACGCCACAGCCAAGGAGCCAACCACCATGGATGCACAGTGACGGAGGAGTCAAGCCCGCACCGCACCGCACCCTCGCCATGAGGGATGGCTGACACTTTGGTCTGATGGGAAATTCCATCAGTCAAAGTTGAAGCCCAACCACTGCCCTGCTGTCTGGTAAACAAACGGAGGGTATCGCGTTTGCTTGTGATATTCCCCGCAAAGCCCCTCTCGCTGCATGCGGTGTTGGTCGTGGCTTGCTTGCGGCATGGCATCTAGACGCCAACAGTGTCACGTCACACGTGGATTCCACTTTTAGCTTGACAACCCTCCACGGCCGCAGCTAGTCGTCCTCGACCAATGCACCAATGCCTAATGTGCAGAGATGCAGCGTCCATGGCAGGCAGAGCAATGGCATCTCTGCTCGAGACGACGCACACTCGCACACGCACACACGAGAAAACCCCTCACGCTCGACAGCGCCGAGCCAACTTGATGCTGGCGCCGCCCGTCAGTGGTTGATATTCCAGCGCACAGCGTGATCCGGTGGCCACTTGACCTGAGGACGACCCATAGAGCGCGGCCGTCTCAGAATGATCTCCGTTCGCCTGTCCACAGCCACGTCACCGTCCCGCTCGCAGTAGTATGTGAGGGCTTCGTGGAAGGAAGAAGTCAAGCCGAGGGGTATGGATCGACACACCAGACCTCGGGGCCACCCCTCGAACTAGCACTTGTCCCTCAGCGTCTCATTTCTCACCTGCTTCCGCAACGAACGGGGAGATCCAACGCGACCACAGCAGCCAACCGAACCCAACGAGGCGTCGACGATCCAAGCCTGGATCTTCTGTGCCTCGGCCGAGTGCCACGTCTGACAGGAGCCAAAGAGGAGACACAGCATCTCACTGTGGTCACTTGACCTGGAAGCACTCTTCCCCTCAGAGAGACTGTGCATACCCGCACCGTAGATGCTCGCAAACTGTTGCTACCCTTCGTGGACTCCCACAAGAGCTAGCTTCTAGTTGCGTGGGCTTGGGCCTCGATCCGAGAGCTCGGATAGTTCGTGATATACCGTTGCAGAGTCGTGTGCCATGCGACCTTCGGAACCGAGTTGCGACTTCGGCTCATATGCCGGGATCTCACCAATCAAAAGAGATGAAAATTCCGGTCGGTGCTGCGAAAGTGAACTCCCATCACGTCAGCCTTGCTATCCGTCTAATATCGCAGGCCATAGAGGCCATTGATTCCCCGTAGTGTCCGCGTGGGCGGGTCCATAGGCGTCTTGGGGCCATCCAAAGTAAGCGCCTTGAGCCACCGAGCCGTGGTCCGCCGACGGACGCGACCACACATTGGCCGTCTCGCTGATCCTGGGATACCGGAGTCCAAACCGCAAAGCGAGCGACAGATCAGCAAAGTGCCAAGGCAGCGCCGGGCTGAACGTCGCAATATCTTGAGGCTCAGTGAACACCAAACAACGCTCACTTCGACATGCCGAAAAGGGGTTACTCAGTCAGCCTCGTCAATATCAGGATGGGAGAGAATTAGACTTTTTTGACGTCTAACACTCACCGCTACTCTCGATCTTGCATCGCCGATTTAACAAGGAGTGAGATCGTACATTCAGCGGGCCGGCCGGCGCCTAGACCGGTAGGTCAGGAAGGCGAGGCAACGGGGGAACGGTAAGTAGCCTTGCCGACGGGGCCTAGCAAGAAAGCGACGTTGCGGGCTTGCGCCGTGTGTGTGCTAGCCACACTAAAAGACAGGTAAGGTAGACCTTGAAGGCCAAAGAACGACCCGAGTCAAGAGGCCGGACTAGAAGCTGCGGCCATGAGTTTACGCAGCAGAATGACTTGGCTCCCGAGAGCATATTTGCCAGCGCCTGTCCAGCTGCCAGCAGATGACGATGTGAGTCGTGCATATGAGGCTGCTGCAAGACATGGGCCATCGTCGTACGGTCATCAAAGGAATGCTCTCGATCCGATCATGGCCCAGCATTGACAGCGAGGTATCTGGCCCCAGCGAGACCAGTATGTCCTGGGCCGGCCGCGATCTGATGCAGGGGCATTGCCTGAGCAGGAAATGGCAGCGTTCCCGAGTGAGAGGAAACACTCCCATTGGGCAGTCATCCCTCGACCTCCCACGCGGGATGTCAATCCTCTTGGCTGCTGTCGATCGAATCGTTTTCTCGGCTACAACTCGAGTCACCTGCCCAGACAGAGCTGTGGTGCGACCCGGACTCACGACGCCAGCCGTCCAGCGTAAGCCATCTCATCACTTTATGAGGCAGTGAGTGGGCAAATCTGGTCGGTCAACGCAGACCGGCCGCAGGCACCGGCACCAGCAACCAACCACGAGAGCCCAGAGGAAGAGGATGTGGCTGACAGTGCCACACCAGGCGAGCTCCCTGGTGTCAGGTGCGAACCATGGTGAGATGTTGAGTGTCGACATCAGGAAGACAAGACAAAAGCAAGGAGCAGATAGGCGTGACCGGTGGATGATGACATGTTACACCGACTTATGTGCACTTCCTCGGAATGGAAACCCGACGATGATAATAATAAAGACACCCGAGAAACAGCTAGGACGTGCTTTCAGCCTCATCTACCGACCACGTGCACGCTGGCATTTCGCTTGCTGATCTGTGTTGATCGCCCACAGCGCAACGCGGGATGCCAGCAGGCGCGGCGGCGGTCGCCACCCAGCCAGCATGATCACTAGAATGTCGATGCCGTAGAACACCTGTAGGCTGCTGTGACGAGCTTTGAGACGTGAGAGGAGACGCCTGCAGAACAGCGCAGCAGTGGGTGGTCAGCCCAGATGCCCGCCTCTCCGCCATCGCTTCTAGTCACTTCGACAGTGCTACGCCGCCATCTGATGGGCGCCTGGGACTTCTGCTTCTCGCAAGCTTAGCACATTGCGCCGGAAATTGGGGGTGAAGAAATCGAAGTCCAGGCCCTAAGCGAAGCTGACCAGGCTGGGGTGTGACAGGGCATCCGCCTTGGTTTTTCGCTCTTTGCTGAAACCAGGAGGACTTTTGTTGAAATGGCGCCGTAATATCATCATCATTGTCACCAGGCCGACAAGCCGTGTCAGGTGGGAGCAGTGGTTTCCATACCTCGCCAGGTCGACCTCTCTATTCGCAGCGTATGATTTCAACGGTCTTGCCAGCCAAAAGAAACACAACTGGCGTCTGCGTCGAATGTCTCGCACGACTGAACTTGAGGAGCAACAGCACGAGTCGTCGGCGGTACAGTGCCAGTTTGCGCAAGAATATCCCGTCGCTCAGTGGGTCGATGATCGTACAGTGCCCGCAGCTCCCTGTAAAATGCCCCGTATCACCATTCACTTTCCATGGTTCTGGGGGCGGAGACACTGTGAGAATTTCTGGAGTGGGTTTGACAGCGCGCTGTGGGGGGCTGTCTGGGGGCCCCTGGGGAGGCACCACGGTGGGACTCAGCAAAACTGCGGGCACAGGCACCAGCGTAGGCCTACTCTTGGTTCAACTTCCCCGATCTTACACCAGGCCACCCGATGCGTGGCATTGGTCACTGAAACGCGGCTCAACGTCATTGACGGCTGAGTTCTGCATCGTGTGGTCCAAGACTAGGCTTGTTCCGGACAAAGCTCTCCGCAAAAATGCTCCGGCCCCTGTCAGCTCCAAGCCCTCCTGAGAACCTTTGGAAGAGTTCTCGGGCTCGAGCGCTTGGCCGTGCTGGCTGACGGAGCTCTCTCCGAGAGTTGGATTGCGGTTGGGGTTGCGACAGGCCTGAAGGTTTTGGGAATCCCAGGTGATTAGGCCACGAGACATGCAATGATCAGACTGTCGAACGGTGCCATGGACAAGCCGAGGGAGCACAGAGCCAACTCTGCGAGACATGCTGAGCCTGGAAGTCGTGTTCGGAGTTGAAGACGCACCTACAGTAGAACCGGTGAACTCGGGACGCCGAAGTCTATTCAAACTTCACGGAAATGCTAAGCGGGCTCACAAGCCACTGAGCTGTCTTGTCCCAGACACGGAACATTCTCCAAACTGACCGCCTGACCGCCTCGATGCTGTCGCGTTCCGTCGTGTCTGACAGAGCTTCCACAGGGCTTCCACAGAGCCCGACTGCCTTGAAACGTTTGCAACCATCACGAAGGGCGCGCCGGGGGCGCTATTGGCTGAAATGTCTAGGTCCCAAGAGCTTGGGGCCAAAGCGGCAAGCCCAGTGGCGATCAGTGGGCCCCGGCCTGCAGGTGGCGCAAAGTCCGCCATGAGACCCATGCTTTCCGTCACACCGTTCGAGGTTTCGGGCCCCACCGACGCCCCCTCCTGCGACGAAGGAGGCCGGGACGGCAGATTGTGACCGAAGAATTCGATCAGGACCGTGGTGAGGAATGTTGAGAATGCCATGTTCCGGCGGCCTTCAGGCTGCTTTGAGCATCGGTGGTTTGAGCTGTCCCTTGTCCTCCGAGGCACTCTGGTCCCTGTTCGACGCGGGTGTTCCTGAACATCAGGGCACGATCAACGCACGTCGTGGTCCCTACCTGCTTTGAAATTGAGGCAGAGGAGAAGTGATACTACACTACCGTGCACAGAAAGTGCAGTAGTGACGGCGGCCAGCTCCAAGGCAGTGGATGAAAAGCGCAAGTGCCGCCCCATGTGGAGTACCGAAAGGGAATAGTTGAGACATTCACTCGACCAGGTCGCTACGCAGAGCTTCCCTGCAAGACGTGGAGTCTGAGAAGTCCAGATTCAAGTGGCTCCCGTGTGAGCGGTTTGTCTGGAATGCTCGTGCCCGTGCCCGAGCCGGTGGGGATTCCCTGGTATTGGTAGTTCGGCTGGAATTTTGGCTCAGAGATATGTCTTCTGCGCTAGGTGTGTCATGACCATGACCATGACCGCGACTGCAGCCAGCCAGCCAACGAATGAGCTGCATACAGTCTCGTGCTGGGTGCGACCTGCAAGGTGGGCAGAGGTAATTCCTATTGTACAAGTAGCGTCCTGTCGCTTGATGAGTCGTGGATAGCTGGCTGCCTCTGGCGAAGAAGGGAGGAGGGCAGTGCAGAGGATGTCGCACCGAGCTAGGCCTTGGTGCGGCAACGCTGCGCGGACACAATTGCTGGTGCACATTCGCAGTCCAAGGGTGGTGGTATGCATGCAAGCCACCGCGTGCGGCAGGCTATCGACGCAGATGATGGCGACTGACTCCAGCAAAGCCTAACGTAGGCAGATTTGTTGATGTGGTGGTCGAAGTGGATTGATTGCCCACATCGCAACACACACGAATGCGATGTTGAGATTTGGAACGCGATTGAGAGAGAGCAAGGGCAGGAGGGGTGTCAAAGTCAATTCCTTCTGTCATCAGCGATGACATCGTATCGTGCACTGACAGTTTGGCAGGACCAGGCCGCCCCTGCCTGTTATCGCCTGTTATTGCCTGTCAACGGCCGGCATCTCGAGTAGTGCCTACCTTTCCTGGCAGGTACTTAGATACCTGCCGCAGTACTTAGATACCTCACAGACAAAGCCTCACAGGGAAGCTGGGACGATACTTACTTAGTAATCTGGGGAAGCTCTCACGTAGTTCAATTGGTCAATGGCTATCAGGACAGAGCCCCGCAGTCGGAGCTTGGACTCCGTACCCCTGCCCCGGCCGGCAGCTCCAGACTCGTCCAAAGTCGGCCTGGCAATCAAGTCACTGTGCGAACTCGGCCGAGATTCGAAACCAGGCTCTCACCACCATCTTTTTGTTGGTTTCCTGCAAAACACTGACGAGCATCTCTCTATCCGTGCTGCCCCCACAGGACCACCGTGGGCCGTCACGTATCCCACAGACTGATAGCATCATGATTACGTCTTCTGCATCAGCTGGGGAGCAGCCTGACTCTCTCCAGCAGCGCTGGTGCTCGAATCAACAGCACGCCGGCGGCGGCATTAAAACCGCCCAGAGATAAGAAGCAAAATAGTCGACGTTGCAGGCACGCGGAGATCCGATGCGCCAACGCAGCTGGAGCCAGGCGATGCAACTGTTTGCATATAGTCGCAGTTACAGTTAATGCAGCACCAGCTGGTGGGCTCAGCAGCCTCATCAGCAATGCCATTTTACCCATGGGCAACGCCGCAGCGGCCAGTGACGCTCGCCAAAATGGGTGGTGATGTCCCCAAGAATTAAGGTTTACGCGCTGGACTCCACACATGCAGCAAAACACAGCGGGCTGCACTGTAAAACCCAGCAACTCCACCCACCATCACGATCCGACCTGAATCATTCAACGACGCTCGACCACCAATGTTCTGCCCGGAACTCGAGACACGCCCGTTGGAGACCTGAACGGCATATTCGCCTGAATATTGTCCAGTGCATCGCGCCCAGAAACACACCGCCCCACGCCCGCAGCCCTCTCTCCCCCCACCATTGCCAACCAAAAAAACCAAGGACGGACTATCAGACGGAAAAGAATGGTCGACCAGTTTCACAGGCAAGGACAAGCCTCCTCATCTACTGAGTGCATATTTGAGCGACGACCCACTCCATTGAGTTTGCTGCCCCAGCGAAACACAAAATACTGCACCCAAGGTTGAACTCTAAAACGCGTCTGACGCCACCGCACCGCACCGCATAGCACGGCATGCATGCAAGCTCTCTAAAAACAGGGTCTCCAAGACTGCTCCGATTCAGCCTTGTCGCCTCATCATCTGCCCACATCCTAACTCAGTACGTCTGTTCTGCGCTTGCGGGGCGGGCGTGCGAGCGAGCGTGTGCAGCTAGCCTGCTAGCTGGGCTGGTAAGATTCAGAACACCCTTGACCCTGCCCTGTGAGGATGACCACACGGCCTCTTCTTAGGTCCCCAAAAGCAAGGTCCGTGAAGGATATATCGTTGTGATAATTATGGAGCGATCGTCGGGAGGAATTGCAGAGCGGCACTGAATACCAAAGCCGCCGCGGCACCAGGCATATTGCTAAAAATTAACCCAACCCGATGGGCCAGGGCGCCAGGTGCACGGGGCTGAAGAGAACCAAAGCGGGCCTGATATCGCGGCCACCCGCACCGCCCCCCTGTTGGTTCACTGTGTAGTGCGCGATCTCCTTCGGGCCCGGGCTCGGCCAGGGCTGACCCTGGCTCTGGCCTGACCGGTGTACATAGATCTACCTACCTGCAGCGGCATCCAGCAACGACCCGAAATGGCGGCCCTGGGGAATGTTTCAGCATGGACACTGTGCCTCCCGCCGTGTTGGAAGGAATTGGGCTGTCTTCGTTGGTTGATATAATTGTATCTGGTAGCCTTGCAGCAGGATGCAAGCCCGGAGGGCACATGACCGCATAGTACAACTTTGTTGGAGACGCAACGCCTACACGTGTTGGCCTGCGGGAAGCCATCCCAACCGCGGCAGGCCAACCCCGCGGCCGTGTGTACATATCGATCGTTGAGAGCTTGCTCGGGCTGCTGTGCGGGACAAGCCGACCGAGTCGACTCACATCATTCGATCGGCGTCCGTGTATGAGTGGATGTGGACGTGGGATGCATGCAGTCGACAACGTCGAACCGAAGCTCTGAAGCGGTGCCCGAGCTTTTCTCCGGTGTGGGGGAGAGACAGATTCTCGGGATTCTCACATCTGATACCAACGCCATTCAACCAAACCAGACCAGACAACAGCTGTCATGATTCGGGGCTGAAGACTATCGACGTGGGGAGAGAAGGGGAGGAGGCAGATAAGCGCAAGGCCAAGTGATTGATCAACTAAGAATGGTCAGCAAGAACTCAATACTCGATCATCCGGACCCGGTTGACTCGGCCAGAAAGCTTCGCCATCAGAACAGGAGGAGGGGTGAAGGCATCTGATAGGCAGAGACAACTCTCAATACCCGACAACGCGTATGCTTCTGCAGGCTATACATGTGACATTAATCTTTGCTTTTCTTTGAGCCTCAACCTTGCACATGTCATGTCAAATATCATAATACCCCACATGCCGCCTCTCCCGCAGCCTGGGCTGCCTGCGCGTCCAAACTTACCAAAAAGGCCGTATGGTGCAAAATCGACAATGAGCTGGGCCGGCCGAGCCGACGATGCCGGGCGCGTCCTGCCGCCGCCACCGCCGCCGCGCCGGCGCCTGCATATTCGTGGGGGGTGAAGCATGTAGAGCAGCAGCAGCCCGGCCGGCCGCCCTGGGCACTCTCCCCAGGGCTCCGTTCTTGACTGTTTGGTTGGTCGGTCGGTCATCCTCCTCGCCTCAGTGGCCCCACCAAACAGGAGCGGGCGGAAAGCCACAGGCTTCCCATGTGAAGTGATCGGCAGCATTGTTCTTCCTTTGTCTTGCGCATCAGGCAGCACTTCCTGTTCTGCTTGCTGCAGCTCCGGGAGACGATCAGGGCCAGGGCACGGGCGCTCTCCCCCTGGGCCCCGGGCAGCCTTTGTGATACCACCAGCCGCCTTCTGCATCATGCTGTCTGTCCTCGACTGGCTGAAAAATATTTGGGTGGGAAGTAGGTGACAAAGGAGGACTCGGGATGGCAGGTTGGGCACGGCAGAGCTCAGCGCAACGGCTCAACTCGGCGCAACAACCCCTCCCGCGTCGCACTGATTCAGGAGGACGCTATCTGTTGGCGAACGGTGGTCTTATCGAACAGACCAAGTACAATGATTGACTTGCGCCCCGCCGTTCCCGGGGGTCCTTATCAACGACGACGATATGTATTGATAATGACATCTCCCGTGGGGAACAGTCCGCGGGCCGGATTGTCCCTCGACAGTGGGTTGCCCAGATCACGGCGACCTGAGCTCTGATCATGCAATAGTCCCCGCGAGTCGGTGTGTCGTAGATCTGTCGTTACACGCACTACAGCCGATGCAACCCACCGCAACCACCAGTGTCTCCACATCAGAAAGTCTATCATAGAGAACCGGCTGCTTGGGGGAGGGGGTCCCAGAAAATGAGCGGAGCGGCGTGTCGATAGCTTCACCACTATGGACGTCAGCTCCAGGCGAGTTGGGCGGGCAGAATGTAACTAATAAGCCACTGCACGACCCTGAAAACCAAGAAAGTGCTGCAAAGCATTATCTGACATGATGCCATTTGCAGATGCTGCACGCGCGGGGATGGCGTGATACATAACCCGGCCGGGCCTCGATATCACTTAAAGCCAAGGCAGCAGCGGCGTCACTTTGACTAACCACAGAATCTGGCCGCACAGTACTGAAGACGTAAAGACGAAAAACAGATTCAGAAGGCCGAAATGTAAGTGCCGTTGCTGCCGTCAATTGCCCCATGTCGACATGTCATGTCGAACGCTCGAAGCCAGGCGGCCAAGCATCCAGAGAGATGAGCCTCATTGCGCCGCGCGCTCGTATTCGTCGAAAATTTTCCACAGCGGCAGGAGGTGGATTCGACTGGCTGGCCTAGGCTGGGTGAGAAGCTGTCAATGCAATGCAGAACCCGCTGTGTACACAGTGCCACGCCCTGCCGACGAATTTATTTAAGCGACGAAAATCACTGTCCCCACCCGGTGCAACAGTGATTGCGCAACAGACAGGGCTTCCCAGCAGAGAGCATGGGGTTCTGGGGTCTCTGAGCTCGGATCTCCTGGGGTGAAAAGTTGAAGGATGGGAAACTCCTTTCCAAGCTCTAGCCAATAGGCGCCGTTATCTGACTTGGTTCCTTGCACCTGGAGGATGAGGCTCGGCGTGTCTATGGATAGTTGGAGTAGGAGATGGGAGGGTGGGAGGCACTTGGGCGGCCATTAAATTAACGATCATGACGATTACGTGAGAAAACGTTATTTCAAGATCGGAAGACCGAGGGGGCTGAGCAGAGTTTGTGGCACGCAAATCTGATGCAGCGACTGCGGAGGAGTTCTTCTGTTCATCTTCGCGAATTATTGAGTTACTCTGTGTGTTGTTGATTCAGAGCGGAAATCCCAAGTTCGCCGACAAGGATACCATCCTTGCAGCTGCATGCACGCCAGTGCTGAGAAAGGGACGCTGCATGGCCTTGATTGGTGGCGTACCATGTTGTCGCAGAATGCCTCGCTCATGTTGAGAATGAGCTGAGTAGCGACTGACAATTGCGAGTTTCCGGTGAGGGTGTGTTGAGATAAGCCGCATGCAACGGCTCTTTAGTACGCTGCACAGCAAACCAAGATGTCGACAGCGAGGGGGTGCTTCTGGTGTTGTACGGGGAAGAGCTGATAAACTGGAGATAATTGGCGGGCACTGGCAATCGAGCCGCGTCAGATCCTCAAATCTTTCCATCGTGGGCTGCTTCAACTCCCCACTTCCCCACGTGACGCCAACATCGGCTGGATGAGCATCTGAACCTGGAGATGATTGGACCCATCTCCAGGTTTCATAGATCCGGGGCACGGTTAACTCCAGCTGATGGGGTGGTGCATTTCCTGGTCCACCTCATGGCGCGCCTGCACCCCTACTGGAGGGCGTACGCAGCCGTCATCACCAACTCCGAATGTTGAGATTGAAATTGCCGAACACCACATACAGTACAGGCAGCCCGGCGGCAGGGTGTTCGGAGTTATCAATTGGCTGAACGGGCGGTGCTGGACAATTTGTGAAACAGAAACAAAGCAGGCATTGACGCCGGGACAATGGCGGGACTCGGGAGATGATGGTGGAATCTGAGTAACGGCCGACGCTGTTGACATTGTAGCGATAACCGGAGCGAGACTGGGATATAGCTGCCCTTTCGGGTGACAAGGGTGCATGGTGAATTTCGATTTTGCATGCAGTCCGACGTTTACAGCATCCCGAGGCAGCAAGACAGGACCAGGGCAGGCCGCGTCAAGCCGGGACGAGACTGCAGCGTTTGCTGACCGGTGGCGAGGCGCTGCTGCGGCCAGAATGGGGGAGGGGGACGAGAGTTGCTATCTGATAAGACGAGGCCGTGCTGCGCCGGCTTGCGTCCGTAGTTTGAGCTTGCTCGGTCGCTGCTTTGAGTTGAGGAAGGTGCATTGCAGTTGACCCATCATCCACCCGCTGCCCTGTAAGCCAGACGGGATTCGGATGGCGATCACACAAGAGAACCTGCACCAGCCAGCTCGTCCTTGGTTCATCGAGGACGCAACTACGGAACGTTGCCGCCTCTGTGCATCTCATCCTGAGCCGGCGTACCCAGGTAGGCAGAGGCCCCTTGACCAGCGATGCTAGCAGTCGGTATGGCCCGAGTCCGAAGCCATTGCCTCAACAAATTGGAGATGCTGCGCACGAAAAATATAAAGGTGTTCGACGAGATGGTCGGGGTGCCTCCTAGTGCAACAGTCTTTGCCTTGGTGAGCGTTGCCAACGCTTTGGTCGCCGGCGTACCCCGGCAAGCTTGGAAGCTTGGGCGAGGCGGCTCGTCAAGGGGCCAAGGCCACGGCCAGGCCAGACCAAGCAGGGTGAGCGACATACTACCACAGCACACAGTACATGTACAGTAGTGGAGCTCGCGCTTGTTGACAGCATCTGGCGCTGGTGTGGATGTGGTTTGATGTGGTCCTTATCTCCTGGGCCTTGTCCCGTCTGGGATGACAGCTCCAAGAATCATGGCCCTTGACTGGAGGATGCTACCGGATGTGGGTTAGCCAGCCAACTGGTCTCCCCCCACCCTGCTGCTCTATTTGGGGACGGGCTGGAGATAAAAATGGCTGATGTGGGATGCGGTGGTGGCCGCGTACCGTGCACCGTGCCGCAATCCTACGGTGCTCCAACTCTTGTCCGGCAACGCTGCCTAGCAGTCTTCCAGCTGGCCGGAGTGGACAGGCCTGACAACGTGATGGAGATGGCGCGAGTCCTATTTCAGTCAGGCAGGCAGGTAGGCGACTTGAGGCTGAAGGCTGAGAACCTGGAGAACATGAGACGCGATGATCGGCGGGGCAGCAATTTTTGGAGGCTCTTGTGGCGTGGCTGGCAGAGAGGACATGAATGGCAACGGCAGCCGTATGGAGGGTATTACACGCTGCTGCTGTGTGCTGTGTTGTGCGACGGATGAAACAGGTCCTTTGCATCGCCTGCCCTGCCCCAACATCGCCCCAAAGACAACAACGCTGGTTTCCACTTCAGCTCGCCCAAAGCGTATTTATTGGAGAGGCATGTTTTGTGTCCGGGTCTGGTTGGTCTGTGAACACACGGGAGGGGGCCTGGGGAACTGAGGGGACTGGGGAAGGGGGGAAAATGGACAGGCGACAGCACAGCAGGCGAGTGGGTGCGATGAGCTGTCTTCCGATGTGAACGACGCCGTGAGACGAGGCCCGGATGCGAGGGCATGCGCTCCTCTGTCCTCTGGGTCAGGTCATCGGGATGCAGAGCCCGACTCGACAGGCACAACTTTCGATTCTGGGCAGAAGGATGCTTGGTATGAACTTTGGTAGGGCCTTGGTAGGCACCTTGGGGATCAGCATTGGGAGGCGTCTTGGAAGGAATTGGCGAATGACGGGAGTCCGGGGATTTGTGGTAAGTACAACTCGACTGATTGGGAAGACGGGCCAGCTGTTAGCAGCGGCAGGTGCCAAATGGCCTGTGGGGCGGTCTCGGCCAGGCAGAATTTGGCGAGGACTCAGGAAGCGGCCCAACAGGAAGGAGCAAGGCACAAACAGCAAGGAGCAAGGAGCAGAAAGAAGAGAGAAAAAAAAGCAAAGACCATCGACTGCCCAGTGAGACCGAAGACGACGTCACTGCGAGATTGGCTGGCTCGCGTAAACCCAAACTAGAGGATTTTAAGAACATTCACATACACACACCGTATGGCCTGGATGATGATGGATCGTGAGATACTTGCTAGAATGAGTGAGGTCAGACGTGCCCTGTGCCAACCCTACTTGGCCTGGCAGCCTGGGCCTTCGCTCGCTCAGTGCAAAAGATTTGTTCGGTGCTGGTGGAGAGACGGAGGAGAGATGGGCACATGGATAGACGCGCACGTACGCACGCACGAGAAAATTCTCCATTATTGACAAAGGACATACGTGATCTTCACCCAAGCGGTCAGCAAACACGGCTGTGGCTCCCTACTGACGACACATGCAGCAGACATACACGCAAGCTTGGCCCAACCCAACTCAGACTTTCCCGGGTATAGACGACTGCTTTGTCCTGCAATGAGCCCGGAGCAAGTGAAGAAAGTGAGCTCAGGTCAGGTCAGAGGCCAAGTCAAGCCAAATCAAATCCACCCCAACACACCAACAAATAGGGCTCTTGAATCGTTTCCTATTTACAAAGGTGGGTCAACTGGAGCCCGGGTCGACAAATCTGGTCTGTGGGTATTCCGCAGGCCCCAGGAGAGGAAGTGCCCGTCTCCAGAAAAAGCAGCAGTGACAGCGACGGCCCCCGTCGCGATCATCGCCCGTCCCGAGGACTGTCTGGCGGATGGAGAAAGGAGGCCGTGATAGAGTTTTCGCTTGAAAATCTCGACCGCATCCTCAATGGATCAACCGATCTTTGTTATGTCTGATTCATCGCCAGACGGCCTCAACAACACACGTCGAGGCCAGGCCGCGTAGAAAAGCTGAGCAGAAGCAGAGCAGAAGCAGAAGGTGCAGCCGAGCAGGCTGTCGTCAGTCCAGAGGGAGGGGACGGCCGTCAATCGACTCGACTGCAGACCGAGGACCGAGGACTCGAGGTGATTGAGCGAGCATAGACAGATATCTCATCTCATATCAATCTGTATATCGAGGTTAATCTGCTGTGGTCGTACCATAGCTAAGATGCATCACACCGTCGAAACCCCCCAGTCTGTCTTGCCCCCTGCCTCCCCTCCCCCCATGCACCGCAGCAGGAAGGCTAGACGACAGTGCGGGACAGTGCGCGGCCGACTGCTGAATTTTCAGTCTCCTTCCTTCCCCAAAATGTCTGTCGCCTTCATGCCTGCTCCCTGTCGCTTCCGCCAAGCTCCCTGTTCCCTGTCCGTACTTCCTGTCTCTCTCTCTCTTCTCTCTCTCCACACACTCCTCCTCCTCCAGACGCCCTCCGCCTTTCTCTCCTCGCTCTCTCCAGCTGCTTCCTTGCCCCCAGTCCCAGTTTTTTTTATTTTTTATTTTTTACAGTGGTAGTGCGCAGTACCGTACCGCACAGGTACCCAAAACCTTGTCCCTGCCCATCCCTGCTGCTGCTGCTGCTTCATCTGCAGCTACAGCCAGCAGCTTTCCTAGCAGCAGAGCACCAAGCATAGCGTAGGCCCTGGAGTGCCCAGAAACATGAGAAACCCAGAAAGTCCATTTCAAGTGCTACTGTGCTTCTCTGTGCTGCTCCAGGTACGTACCGTGTGCCGGGCACCCTGACACCCCTGTACCCCTGCCGCACCTTGTACCCTTGTACCCTTGTGCCCACTGATGTATCCTGTACCCATGTACCATCCCGTGAAACCCGCCGCACCACCAAGTATGTATGTGTAGCCTCTCCTCCTTCTCCTTCTCCTTCTCATCCTCACCAACTTGAGTTTTGTTTCCAGTTCCTCCCTCCTCCCCTTCCTACACCTCACCCTCTCGAGGCCACGAGCTGATCTCTTCGCTCCCGCCTCTCCGCCCTGCCCTCAAAGCGTGTTTCCGGCATTCCACGCATTTTCTTCGACACGGCGTTGTCCCTACCGGTGAGTGAGTGAATTTAGTGCTGGTATTGCACCATTACCTGCGATTACCGTGCATCTGGTCTGGCCTGGCTGGCTGGCCTGGACCGGCCTGCTTTCTGGTGCGAGGCCTATGCCATGCTAAGGTCTTTGCTGTTCCCCCTGGTGGTGGGTGATTGACAGCATTTTTTGTTGGCTTCAACCACCCTCCCCACGCTACCTCAGCGCTACCACCACCGCTACCACCAATTTTTGCCTGTCTACCTACTTTTACTCTAGACCGTCTCCCACCCACTCCCACACCACCCCTACACACACACACACACACACAACTCCCGTCCCGCGCCAGCATTCCTGCCCATTCAAAACCAGGCCGCTTCCGCACCCACCCACGCTCTCCAAGCAACCTGTACCGTCCCAGCCCAGCACCTCTTTGGCTCCCATTCCTCGTCTATCCACAGCTTGCCCGACCGGCAAACCAGATAGATGCAAACGGCTTCTTCTCCCTCGATCCCGAATCATCTATATGTCTCTGCCTCGCCGTTGCGTCAATCATCGTGACTAACATCTCGACGGACGAGCCAGCCTCTCCCACACCTGGTCCTCGTCGATCTGTCTGTCGCAATCCACTTCTTGTTGCGTCCACCCACGACTGCCACGGGGAACAGGCGGCGGAAAAGAAAGCCTAGCACCATAATAAAGGAAGGAAAGAGCAAAGGATACCCATCAGGACATCCTCATCGTCAACGCCACTTTGCTGCCGTCGACGTCGCCCTCTTCCTGCCCTACGAGACCCAAGAGCGAGCCCGCCCGCCATTGCTCGCTCTCCACCAAGCCCCGTTTGTGATCCGCACAACACATCACCACACACAAACTCGAACTCTCGTCCATCGGCGATCGAGACGAGTTGGCCCGTAATTCTTGCGGTTATCCCACGTCTTACCGCCACTTCCGAAAGGCTGCTCAGTTGCTGGAATATTGCCTGTGCATCTTCTCACTTCGCCCGCTCCTTCCGAGACAGTCCGTTTACTGCCTGGTAAGTGAATGTTCCAGTCCATGGCTTGCAAACAAATATCACTCTGGATCTGTCCTGGCTGGTCTCTCGACTGGTCCGGCCTTGAAATGGTGCACGACCCGCATGCTCCAGTGTCGGCGTCGACTCTTCCGACCTTTACTCACTATCCTGGATTGCCGTTTTTGCATTCTAATAAATTTATTGACTAACCCCTCCTCTCTTCTGCCCAGATCCGCTTTGCTGCGTCGATCAGCTGTAACACCAAAGCATTCCTCCCCAGATGCTTGTGCTGTCTCACCCTCTTTCACATTCTACCAGAAACTTCCCGTACAACAGCCCAGCCGCTGGGATGCCTTACACGCCCCCTAGCAAGTCTCCTGCCTCGTCAGCTCCCACATCACCAGACACCAGCCGTCGCCCGTCTCTGCAGGCATCGCCTGGTGGTTCTCGTCCGGTCCTCCCTCGCTCCGCTTCGTACTTGACCAAGCACCGGAGAACACCGTCTGCGGTGGGAGCCAGCCATGGCCCAATAAATCAACCTTCGCCCGAGGCCACCGTGGCCGACCTCAAGGGCATGCTCAATCACAGCGTCCGGCAGTCACCTCCTCCCGTCACTGACGGCCAGACCATGCCCAACGGCGCCGTTATCTCACCACCCGAGTCGTCAGCATCTAGCGACGATGACGACCTACCACAACTTCGCGGTCGGCGCATCGAGAACCTCAAGAAGTTGCACGACGCCATCAGCCAGATCCCACAACATCGCGAGGGCTCTCCCAGCAAAACACAAGATGTTGTTGAGTCCGGGGACTTGCTTGTTCTTCCCTCACAAGCCGAGAAGATCGCCGACGGGGTGCATCACAGTTTTAGCGCAAGCTCGTTGGACGACCTTGCTCATGCCCGCAGAACTTCGCACAACAGGTCCATGACAATGCCAGACGTGGGCATGTCTAAATCCGCCGAGGCTTCAGTAACAAACTCGGAAGAGGAGGAAGAGGACGAACTCATTCCAAGGCCTCAAATGCTGCGTAAGAAGTCCGGCGAGCTTGTGCGTCCTGCCCTGCGACCCGCCTCTCGCCGCCGGCCGTCCAGCATGCCCGGCACCCCTACCTTCTCCAAGGCCGTCCACTTTGACTCTCACCTCGAGCACGTCCGCCACTTCCTCCAAGTCGACCGCCCACTCGCTGTCAGTGCAGGCTCCTCGCCAGTCGACAATTATGATAGTGATACTGAGTATCCCTTCGGCAACGAGGACAAACACGGTGCCCGATCGCCTCCGTTCGAGTGGGAGATGGTGATCCACAACTTCCCCTCTGAGACGCCTGCCCGAAAGGCTCAGCCAGTACGCCTAGAGCGAGTGTGGCTTTCCAATGACCACAAATTCCTGATTGGTTCGGTGGCCGTGGCCAACATCGCCTTCCAGAAGTCCGTTATCTGTCGATTTACCCTGGATTACTGGAAGACAACATCCGAGGTCACCGGCGAGTATGTGTCCGAGGTCACGCCCAGGACGACTGAGCAAGGACACGACAGGTTCAACTTCAGCATCAAGTTGGCTGATCTGGCAAACTTGGAATCCAAGACTTTGTACTTTGCTATCAAGTTTATGGCCAACGGCCAGGAACATTGGGACAACAACAATGGTCCCAATTTCCAGGTGGACTTCCGCAAGAAGATGTTGCCCCAGAACGGCAAGAAGGGTGCCATTGGTGCCGAACAGACCTGCTCATTCCCTTCCCAGGAGCAACCGCCGGTCAAACCCGTCCACAGCCCCACGGCCCAAGTCCATGCCTGTGGGCTTCGACGATTTTGGTGACAGCCCCAAGGTCAACTTCGACCAGTCGATCCACGAGTATCTGGGCGAGCCCGGTCCTGCACTGCGGCTGAAGAGCTCGAAGTCCACTACTAACATCCCGAGCGACAACCTGTCCAACCGGCTGTCCGCTCCGAGTGGGCAGGCCTTCTCCAACAGATACGACTTTGGCGCGTCCCTCACAGCTGCGATGCAGGCCGCAAAGGATTCCATGACCAAGCCGGACGACTTGCAAATGAAGTCACGCCGTAAGAACCCGTCTTTGACGACAACCAACATGGGGAGACCGCTCTCTCAGGACCAACAACCCACCGCGACGAACAAAACCTCGGCCTCTGCAAAGAGCACACTGCCGGCCGTTCCTGGCACCGGGTCTCCTGGGGCAACGAGCATTGCGTCGTCATCATACGAGGAAATTGTCAACAAATACTGCTTTGTACGTACCCATGGATGATGTCTGCTCTCGAGCTCCTTCAGCAAACCCCGGCGCCGGACCGCCATCAGCGACGACCTCAGTACTAACATTTATTTTTTTATGCAGTTTGGATCGAAGCAGTCAAGTCCACAGATGAAGGACGGTACATTGGGAGGCGGAAAATTCGATGGGGCCGATGATTCCCTGGCGCGTGGGCTGAACAGCAATGGGGCCAGCAACAGCGGCAGTCCTCTTGCTTTTGGCTCGCAGCCACGCGGGCGTGGATCTCAACGACAATGGGCAACGTCGGATCCAAACCCCTACTTCCAGCACTCGGCCGTGCTCCCTCCCGTGGGGGCGTCCCCCAACGTCTCACCCCTTGGCAGCACCATTGTCCGGGCCGATAGTGCCTCCAACGGGCAGCCACGATCCTCGCCTTCGGTGATGGGCCAGTCCACCGGACGAACGGCCTCGCCGGCGTCCATGGTAGGTGGGTTCCAACCCTTCACCGGTACGTCGCCAGATGAGTTTGCGAGTTACATGCACGATCGATTTCCATTCTCCGGTCCCGACGCTCATTCTGCGACAGCTATTAGGGGCAACTAGCGGTTGAAAACCATGGCGGATCCACATGTACACTTACACGACACCCGCCTGAGATCCTTCTCACTCAGTGCGTGTTGACCAGTGGCTCATCATCATCGGCCACAATCCACCTCACGCATCCCACCACTCTAGTCCCCGGTGGGATGCGACATGACAGCCGAAGTTTGTACGCATCGGCTTCACACCAACCACTTTCTTTCTACCTTGTCTTTCAGCATATTTCTGGTTTCATGGCGTACGGCAATCGCAGCGAGCGAACACTATCATGGCATGATGAATGAGGTCCCCGAGCATACGAAGGGTGGGGCGTCGAAATTGTTTGGAGAGGAAAAAAGGGATAATACTGAGGGGTTTTCAGGTCGGGGTGCAACGGTTCCACAAAAAACGGAGTTCCGGATGGTCATCATACCTAGGGTTGCTTTTCAAACTGTTTTGCTTTCTTCCTCATTGCCGCATTCTGCTCTCTCGATCGCTTGCTGCATCTGGGCCCATCCAGCTTTGATAGCGTGTCAGTTGGTTCTGGTGACAGGGTTTGACGGGGCCGGAGGGAGGCATCATCTGTGTAGCCAGCAAGCACTGTGTCGCCGCTTCAGGTTTATGGTGTGGTTGGTTGGGACGGCTTTTGCTCACTTGGTTTTTGGAAGGCAGACGCAACCAGTGTGTATCTGCAGAATTAATGCACAACCAGTCTTCCCTTCCAAGAACTCTATTCATCCCGTGTCCTTCTTACTCTGACATTCTCTCCTCACTGCATGAGTGGACTTTGTTGATGGGTTTGCACGGTCTCGTCGAGTTCTTTATCCCCACTTACTTTCCAGGAGTCTCTGGTCAAGGAGGCCTTCTGTTCTTTGGTTGATTCCTTATGCATGGGTTGGCCGGACGAGGCCCTGGGAAGCACACGATGGGAAGACGATGGGACTCGGACATGATAGATGAGGTGGACACGGGAACCTCGGGACAAGCGCGCGTGATGCCGCCGAACTGGGTAGGGATGGAGCAAGGAATGCCCAGCAATGGCAGGTTCTTCCTCGAGACTGGTTGCTCCAAGCCTGCTTGTTTTCTTTCTGCTAGGGACATTGGCGAGGTTCGGCAGCGGCTTCGGACAGAAAGGGAAACGGATTGTGTTTTCGAAGTGACTGGGTAGTTAGGTATAGAATTGGGGTCTGGTCTTGGGAAAAGCTATAGGTATCGATATCGAGATCAAATTGAGAATTTACAGAATATGTACAGCCATCAAGATCAAATGATGACGGCAGTGACGTGTATGCTTCTGGTGACCTTAATTTCCTTTTCCTCCTCCCTTTCTTTTCTTTTCGTTGGACATGTTCTTCATGGCAGTTCGCGTAGGTGATAAGTCTCTATTTGTCCGTGCTGGTCTCTTGCTATCAGCATGGAAATTGCTGCTTTCGAAGGGCCCTCCTAACTGTGAGTACAGACCGTTGAAATCACCGTGGACGACCGAACCCCATTCTGTGCATTAGACGGACGAGAGGCCTGGGCTTCTCTGCGCTAGGTTTCTCAAGCACTGAGTCTTTGCTGAACACGTTTTAATTGCCTTCGGTGCCATGTTCAGGGTTGACTTGTCGGCTCTGGCACAGTCGCTGCTGCATGAAACAATAGGGTGGGAATAGGACAATATTGCGTTAAATATGTCAACAGAGAAGATCCATTTAGTTGTATTCTCTCTGGAGGGGCGATCACCTCTCATGCAGTAGTACATACACAGGAGCCAGGTTCTCGTCACCACGTCCCCGTGCCGCTCTGGAAGACGACGTTCGGCAATATATCTTAGTTGATGTAATTATGATGGTGCTTTAGATGAAGACAACCCACACTGGAAGTATGGCAGAGCCTCGATTCGCAATTGGCACTCACTCTAGATTTCTCCATGGGCCCTCGAAACATGTAGACCACCTATGTCTATTCATATCGAAGTGGACTAAGCCATTAATTACTGAACGTTGCATATAGAATGAGATCCGTTATGAATAACACGAATGTAGAGTAGGAGATCAAGACTCTGGCAAACAGACGTTGTATCTCAGCCTTTTTTCTTGGCCGACCCCGAGCTCGTCATGAATCATGTCTATTTGTTAACTCCAAGCTGTCTATCCCAGGCCTAACCCCCCCCCCCAACCTTCCCAAAAGAAATATGGATGGATGTACGCATGTGTATGAGTGACAGCCCTTTAGCAACCAAGAAACCAGCTTTAACAAAAACTCGTGCCAAAGGCGTAGTACAGAATATCGCGGGCTAGCTTCGCTCACCTAAACAATACTTGACTAAAGATTAAGGCAGCTTCAACTGGTCTTCAACAGATCTCAGATATCGAGGTACAACACCATATGTCAATTCGGGCAAGGCAAGGCGGTGCAGCTGCTTTGAATGTGCACACCCGTCTGCAATTTGTGGGAACCTAGCAACTGATCGGCCGTTGGTATAATATTTGGACCACTTTCACCTCGTATTCAGGCATTCCTACCTTCGCAAGGTACTTGCCAGAGTCCTGGCCTGGCCCGTGTGGCAGGCTTGAGAGCTTTGCTGGCTCAAGTTTCGGTCACTTGAATGCCCCCCACCTCCCCCGGTATTGGGGGGTTTTCCCTGGTTCGGGCTTCAAACTCCACGGCTTATGCACCACGAAGCCCGGTGTAGGTGATCTGACCGCAGTCTGGAGGGAAACTTCCTCTTGAGAGACCACCTTGGGGGATGGCCCACCCTGGCGTCTAATTGTACTTTAGCCACGTCCTGCAAAGGCCTTCGCTGGCTTCCCAAATTGAGAAAGTACAATGCACAATGAACACTTGGCGCCTGTGACAAAAGCTTTGTCAGGTTTCTCTACTTTGAAGAACTGACCTCGTGGTGCCAACACATCTCGAAGCTCATATTATGATTACAGCTGAGCATTATTTGTCAATGTTAAGAGTAACAGAAAGGAAAAATAATGTCTGCGTGCATTTGACGTCTAACTAAAAAGGTGAGTACATGCTAAAACAATCATCCCAAAGCCAGCCCCTGAATTACACAAGGCCCTGTGCGACCCAGTCCCGACAGTTTATCATATCCTACTATGCTTACTGCCCCGCCGCGGCGAATCGCTCCAGATGGTCGTCATAGAAGCACCGGCGCTGCTGGCCCCGTCGTCGATGATGGTCTCCGCCGCGGCGGTCCTGCCCCTGATACTACCGCCGCCGCCGCCCGCGAGGCTGTTGAACCGCGACATCGGCACCCTGCTGCTGCTGCTGTCGTGCGACGCGTCCCGGGAGAAGGCGCCCGTCCTAACCCTCGACCTCGAGCGGCTCCGGCTGCGCCCGCGGCTCAGCTCGATCGAGTGCGTCGGCAGCCGAGGGGTGGTTGGAGGGGGTGGTTGCCCGTGGTCGACGGACCGGCTCGTGGGCCTGGAGAAGCTGTGGTGGCGCGAGTGGGGCCGGGGGCTCGGGAGGCTCTCGTTGCGGGAGTGGCTGCGGATGCTGGAGTAGATGGGAGCTTTCGGTGAGTATGGGCCGTTGTTGCTGCTGTCCTGCCAGGACCCGCTACACCCGTATCCGTCGTCCACCCTCGGCGGCGTGGGTAACTTGCTGAGCGCCATGCCGATCTGGCTGCGGCGCGGGAACCGCGGGTCAACCTCGGCGAAGTCGTCGGGCTCGTCCGGGATGGTGGAGAGCAGCGCGGCCGGCTCGGGCTTGCGCATGGAGAGGCTCGAGTCCTGGTGCGAGAGGGAGCGCGTCGAGTTGACGTACGTGGTGGCCGTGCTCGGGGGCGGCGGCAGCGTAGTCGAGGACGCCCGGACGGTGCTGCTGTATCTCGACGAGGGCAGCTGGGCCGGGGTCCGGCACCTGAACATGTCGTCGTCGTCATCTGCGCGGCTGCCCTTTCGGAGGAACCTGGGCACGAAGGCCCTGTACATCTTCTTCTGGAACGTCTTGGTGGTGCCGAAGACTATGAAGGCGAGGAGGCTGGGCGACACCCCTGATAGGTAGCCTCTGACGCTGGAGAGTGCCCGTTTGTGTGATGTGTCGGGCTCGGGCTTGTATGCGCTTTCTACGACGTGGCCCTTTGCCGTAAGCCTGGGCCCAACATTGGTGTATTCGAATACGCTGGGGTGCGGTCAGTTGTGCTTCAGACATCGTGGAAGGAGAGGCGGCCAGGAGATAAGATGCTGATGTGGAGCAAAGACCTACCATAGCATCACAAAAGCTATTGAGAGACGGATGACGAGCCAGTTGTCGAATGAACCGTTGGTCGGCCTGTTCCTATTTGAGTTGGCCCGGCTCCGGAGGCTTCTCATCCCTGATGTAGCAGTTGATGTCCCCCCCTTTCCGTACTGGACCCCATCCCATGTTTTCAGTAGCCGGCGCGTCTGCATGTACTTGAAGAGAATCATGAGCAGGAATATACATGCTCCCACAAGACTGAGCAAGACTATATGGATGGTGGTCAGTTATACAATTCTGCCCGTCTTCAATACACAGACACGTACATTGCGCATTTGCTATGGCCATGTAGACCATGAAGTCCGCATGAGTGAAGTCAAGCTGGAGCAATATGATCATTATCACTGCCAGGGTGATTGGGACGATCCGGCCCGTAATGGATAATATTCGTAGGGCTTTTGGCTTCTTTGCCCACCAGCCATAGACGGTTGCCGTCAAGGAAAAGGAACTTGCGTCTTGGTTAGTAGGAGCACACAAAGTCATGAGTTCAGAGTGTACTTACAAAAAGAAAACCAAAGTTGATTCCACCGTGAAGGCGAAGATGCCTGCTCATCGTGGTGTGTTAGTTGAGAAGATGTCTTTAGGCCTGAGTACTGGCTGGCGGTGGAAGACCGCGAAAGCTGCGCTGGTCTCTCTCATGATGGATCGCGCAGAGGGACAGGATGTCACGGATGAGGTGAGAAGGAGAGAGGGTGGAAAACACGCACGGATATATGAGAGAACCAACTTGAGGCCGAAGATGCCCTTCTGGTATTGCACCTCGGCGTCATCTGCATGGTCCTTGCCATAGTAGTACTGCGCGACCATGACGTCCCTCCAGAAGATGTAGTCATAGAGCTGCTGGATAATACTCGAGTAGGTGGCGATGAGAGTGAAGTATGCGATGAAGGCGATGTCTGATTTGTTGTTAGTCGAATGGTGGCGAACGAGCTAGAACAATTCCAGCTTGTTTGTGTGCTGGACCTCGGCGTCGACGTACAAGTCTTCCTCTCATTGTGCGTCCAGATCAGCCAGACCAGGAGGCTGTTGGCGATCAGGCACAGGAACGAGTAGATTAGGCATCCGATAGCATCGCCCAGGACGCTGTCGGGAAGCTGAAAGGCTCCCATTCCACGATATTGTCATCCGGTGGCGGCCGTACCATAGTGTTCCGGAGGACCCAAGGCCCCGCGAGTATAAAGGAAGCAGGAAGGTTAGGACGGGGGAAGGAATGACGAGATTGGACCGGACTCGAGGGACGGAAGGGATGGGTGGTGCTGTGGTAGGGCGGCGGGCTGGTGCAAGACATGGCCCATTGGAAGTGGGCCATGCAGCAGTCCGGGTGCCGTCGCGGACCCCTTGGCCGGATGCGAGGTGGTGGTGGGAAAAGGCGTGGTCGCATTTCGGAGCAGTTCCTGCATTCGCAGAGGGCGGCATCCATGACTCGATGGGGGTGGGCGTGGGCCCCACGTGGGTTGGTGATCCCGGTGCAGACTCACGGTTTCGGGTTGAAGGCGCGGTGCACACGGGTGCCCACACGAATCAGCATGGCGGGAACCACCGCGTGGAGAAGAGGTTGCCCGGCCTCATTTCTGAGCCCTTGATGCCTGCGGCTGGCTGCAGCTTGATCATGAAGCTGCCGCTTTGAGCATGAGCGCGCTCGATTCTACATGCTTGCTGCAGGATGGGAATCTGTCTGAAACACAGCTGCCAACCTCGAGGCCTGTCAAACGCGATGTAAATAGCAACACATGGCACTATGCCAACACAGATGGGATCTCAGATTGAGGCCTGGAGAGCCTCAGCAAGGCACCGTCTCCACCTGGCCAAGACATCCATCTTTGCAGGGCTGGAAATAGTGCCACCAACGGTTGTATCATGGCTGGCATGGAGGCCAGATCTGGACATGCGAGTGCGGCTATGGGGCCGGATAGAGACTGATACATTAGATATGGGCTTAAGCGATGTGTGGGCCGGGTCTTGTTTGAGTAAGTATGTCGGTATGTCGGTGGTTGAATCGTGTGCGCGATGTACTGTGGTAATTGCGCACGAGGGTGGAATATCCGAAAATCCATACCGGTAACCAGGTCAGGTCAAGTCAGGTCATGACTGCGGATTAATGGATCAAGAACGAGACGTGCTATCTCTCCTTCTCGCTTGCAGATGCATCCCGGCTGTGACATGTCATTTTGGGTCACAGCTAGTTCAATGTGACAGTATTGCGTGAGAGTGGAGGAGGCACGACATCGAAATCGGCAACATCGGATGGCAGACGGCAGTCCATTGAGAAGGGGTGAGTGGTAAGTGATGATCACCTTTGAGTTGGATTTGGACCATATCATTAAATCCAAAAGGTCCCTGAATGAGGGCAAAGGTCAAATGAAGATCCTGGCTCATCTTCGGCCGAGAAGAGGACCGGAATGCGACTCCGGTGTGAGCGCACTACGGCAGCACGCGTACCCACGATGATTTGCGTTGGAGGGTTCAACCGACGACCAATTTCGTCTGAAGGTTGATGAGTCAGCAGCCCGTGGCTCAAGGATGGGCAGCTACCACAGTAGACTTTGCGTAGACGGCCAACCAGCTCCAAGCTGCACGCGACGTCTTTGGCTTAAAATTTCCTGCATTTCACCCACCCCAAATTCGTCACACCGTGACCCTTATTCTTTTGTATCTGGCCAGATGCACAGACAAACCGAGACGTCATTTCCTCGACACGAAGCTCTTTGACCTTGCGGGATCGTTATCCGGGCGGGGACGGTACGAGTGCAGGAGTGGTGGATCGGAAAGGGGGCGGTTTTGCGAGTGGGCGTGCGTGCACACACACACACACACACACACAAACACGCACATCGGGTTGGGTGACATGCGAGGGGACCACGGAACCGATCCGATCGACACGCTGCCAACTGATTCTCAACAGGGTTTTGTCTGCTGGTGATTTCCCGGTCTGCCAGTATCGGCATTGTCATTAGAATTTTGTGTGATTGTTTGTTGACGCCACTGTAGCCTCAGTCCCGCCGTGATCTGTGTGATCAAATCTGAGCTTGGTCGGTGATCAGATCGTCGACCTCCCTGTGCTCCCCACCAGCAGTTCGACATAATCCTTGGCAGGGCGAGAGGGCGGGCAATACCGAAGCCGAAGCCGATTTCGATGTCACCACCGTCAATGCCCATGCGAATGCCACCCCAGGTTATTGTCGTCTTCTGCTGGGTCTCTCACGCTGCCGGCTTGATCGCACGGCTGTCCCTCGGCGGCTTCGTCCTCGGCACTGCTCTTCTCCTGGCTGTAGCGGTTTACCGTCTCTTCTTGCACCCCTTGTCTCGCATTCCAGGCCCCAAACTTGCCGGCGTCACCAACTGCTGGCTCGCCTACCATGTCCGAAACGGCCGCATGCTCCAGCTGGGCAAGACGCTGCACACTGAGTATGGCCCGGCTGTCCGGGTTGGCCCCAACGAGGTCTGGTTCAACACCAAGGATGCCTTCAGGTTGATCTACAGTAAGCCACCTGCCATTGTATTACTTTGCATTTTATTGCTTTGCAGTGGCTTGCCATGCCTGCACACCTGTCAGGCACGGCCTGTCTATCCCTGGTCTCGAGAGTCTCCTTCACTATCACAAACTGAATCTCGACCAGGCCCAACCAATGGCTATGACAAGTCATCCTTTTACTGTACGTGATACCACCTCGGCATTCGCTTCCACTGGCCCCGGCGCCGCCAGGTCGGGGGCTGCTCATGTCATGTCTAACACCGCCCCTGCTGCAGTGGCCACGGAGCTGCTCAAGCCCAAGCTCGACGCGCGCCTCGGCATCCAGTCGCCCGACACGCTCGACCTCCTTGCCGAGCGCGACATGAAGCGCTACCGCCTGCAGAGGCGTCTGATCGGCCCCATTTACCACACCAACAATGTCAAGCGCTACGAGGCCGCCGTCGACGCCGTCCTGCTCCGGGTCATTGACCAGCTGCGGGCGCTGGACGGGGCCGAGGTGGACCTGAAGGAGTGGATGCACATCATCACCGTCGAGTGCCTCGGCGCCGTCAGCCTGTCGTGGTCGCCCGGCTACCTGGCCGAGAAGTCGGACGGCGCCTCTGGCAAGCACGCCTACATGGGCTGGAGGCGGAAGAGCGTATTCGGCCTCTTCCCCCTCGCCGTTATCATCGAGCCGCTATCCAGACACTTTGGCCGAGCCTTCTCCGTTCTCTGGGGCGTGACCTACCACACCCCCAAGGAGGGTTTCAAGCCTTTCTTCCCTGTGAGTATATAGATCCTCCGTACGAGAGTCTGTGGGCACTTTTGGCCCTGCTGACACCGCAGACAAGGCCGTGCAGAAGAAGATCAGCTCGCGGGTGCGGGCAGTCCTGCGCGGCAAGTCCCGGGGCGACAACCGCAGGGATATCACGGCCGACCTGATCCAGCTGCACCAGGACCGGCCCGACGAGTTCAAGCTGCCGTACCTCCGGCGCATGGCCATCACCAACTTCGGCGCTGGCCACGAGACCATGACCTCGACGCTGATCTCAACCTTTGCGATGCTCGGCACCCACCCCGAGGCCCAGCAGCACGTCGCGCGCGAGGTGGTGCCCTTGCGTTCGGAGCCCTTCGCTTACGACGACGCGGTGCGCCTCCGGCTCACTCAGGCGAGCATCAGGGAGGCCCAGCGGCTCCATCCCGTGATCGGCATGGCACTGCCGCGGAGGGTGCCGAGCAACGGCATGGTCGTCCACGGGCTGGCCATCCCGCCCGGCACGACCGTCGGCTGCAACCCGGTGTCCCTGCACCGCAGCCGGGACATCTTCGGAGATGACGCGGACGTCTTTAGACCGGAGCGGTGGCTTGGCGGTGATGATGATGACGGCGACGGTGACGAGGAGAAGACCAGAGCCATGGAGCGGTATAATCTCATCTGGGGTGGGGGCGCGCGGACCTGCCCTGGTAGGCACCTCGCTGAGATGTTGGTCTCCAAGATTGTGCCTGCGCTGGTTGCGAACTTTGAGGTCGAGGTCACCATGCCGCCTGAGGAGGAGATCCCGTATTACTTCATGGCCATGCTTACTGGTGTCAGGGCCCGGTTTATCCCCAGGGAGTTAGCATCAGAGGAACACGAGGTGGTTGAGTGTGGCTCTGTTGGCGCAAAATCGGGTACCTAGCCCATCCCGTTTCGCGACTCTGAGTGTTCGAGGCATTTCTGACGCCTCCCAGACACAATGCCCGTATCAACGACCTGGCACTGTGTTATGAGTGCGCCGTGCTGTCAATTCACGCGCACGCAAAACTTTGCGGCTTGGAAAAGCCCGACTAGGCCCTGGGCATGAGATCAGTCCGATCGCTTGCTGGAGTTGTCCAGGTGCCGCTGTGCACGAGCTGTCCGCTTCCGGAATGGAGGTCTCGGACGGCGGTTCATTCATCGGCTCGCGACTGCAAAGCGGCTGAGGAGCGCGACAAAGGAAAAGATTGCCCAGCGAGCGTGAGAGGACCATTTACTTTGTGGTTCTGTTCTCAATTGAGTGCAACTGGCAGTATGCACTGCAGCTGCGTCTCGAGATGAGCTGGCGAGGTCAACTAGCTCTCACGCGTCGGCTGTCGAACCGGATCAACACGTCTTGTTCGTTGGTGATCTCAGTAGAGCAGCCGACGCCAACGAACCCTGGCCCTGGTCAATACATTGGTCTTTGACTGTTTCATGTATGACTCGGGACCGAGATATACCCTGGGGTATCGGACCGGCTGGAATGCAGCATCAATCTGCAGAGACCATCCGGGTGCTCACTCGCGCCCGCCCAGGGTCAGTCAGGCATGCAAGACGGGTAGACAGACAGACACGTGCGGACAGGGTTCTTACAACGTGGGAAAGGATCTCGACTATGTGAATATGTAGACTACGTGGTGATGTCTTGAGATAGGCTCTGTGTCGCATGCCGCGTGTCTGTCTCACTGCTGCTGCTCAGTACCGTGGTACGGGCTGTACGTACCTTTTCCATTAACCGTCTTAGCGCTCGGCAGCTGGGCTTATCTTATCGTGACATCACATGGGAAGCTGAGCTCCGCCTGTGCCTGCGCCCGGGCCTGCCTGTAGCTCTCTCTGCCTACGGGACGACCTGCTCTTCAATCCATTGTTCTTTTCTCCTGCCTGATTTCATCCTCCATTCTTCTCCGACCACCAACATCACCAAAGATGTGACCAGACTGCTGGACAGTGCAGCCCACGCAGTCGTTGTTGCTATCAATTACCATTCTCAGGGGACGAAAGGCAGTGGAGGTTTCAATCCAGTCCGCTTAGATCGCAGATCGCATCGTCCAAAATGGCGGCGAGCTCAGCCTCGTCGTCGCCTGCAAACTCTCGACATGGCTCCTCGCTCCACGCCGCCGGCCCAGACGACCAAATTGAGCAGCATGGTCAAGATGTCTCTTCCGCCGCATCCATCCCTGTCGAAGTCCTCGTCGAATACCTCCTCGCCGCCAAGCGTGCCCTCTCATCCATGACGCTCGTCCTCCGCGCCAACGACCTGACAAGCCATGCTCGCCAGCTCCACGAGGAATCCGTCATCCTCCGCGCCCAGACTGCGTTTCTCACCAAAGGGATCACAGAGCAGAGGAGGCTACTCAACAAGGTACGGCGGAGCATGATAAGGACGTACGATGCCGGCAAGAAGGAGTTCAAGCACATCATCAAGACCCTCGACGTCGCAAACGGAAAGCTGGAGACCACCATGGACATGCTGAGGAATACAACTGTCGACGCTCTTTTCAGACCGGCTGGCGAGGAACCGAAGAACCTGTTGGACTTTGTCGACGAGAACCAGGTCCACGGCATGCGCGAGGCTCTGAAAGCCAGCATTGCCGAATTACAGGTATGCATTGCCCCCTTTTCCGACTGACTCTCCCGACCCTTGCGCCATCCATCCTACCAGTACAGCCATTCTTATCATTGATGTATGTCACAGGCCACGCAAACCTCCTTCGACGGCGACCTCTTCCGCTTCGACGACGACCTCCGCGCCATCGCCAAGATCCTCAACTCGTCCGCCTCGCCCACACCGTCCAAGTCGCCTGCTGACTCGATCAGTCAACACCCCCCAAACCCTCCAATCTTGGACCTCCTGGCCGCCCTGACAGACCACTCCCATTCGATGGCCGAACACCTAGCCTCCCTCACACACCACTTCGACATGTGCGTCACCGCCGTGCGCATCACAGAAGGCGGCACCGCCCTCGCGCGACGCAAGGCAGCCGAGGACAGCGGCGGTGCCGACGCCGTGTCAATATCAGGCGTCATTGCCGAGCAGGAAACCAACGTCGCAGACCTCGACCCGGAGGAAAAGGCCGAGATTGTCCAGGTGGTTATGCAAGACTCCCCTGAGGTGGAAGAGGTCGTCGCCGACCTAAACGTGGAGATGCAGCAGATGGAGGTCGAGTTTGTCCAGCTCAAGGACCAGGCGGACCACATCAGGTCAGGCTACGCGGCCGTCACGCAGGCCTTTCATGTCCTTGAAGACATCGGGTCGCGGCTCTCGGGCTACATCGCGGCCGAGACCGAATTCGCCGAGCGCTGGGAGGCCGAGAAGGAGGGTATCGTGGCGCGGCTCGCAGAGATGGAGTCGCTACGGGACTTCTACGAGGGGTACGCGAGCGCGTACGATAGCCTGATCCTCGAGGTAGAGCGGCGCCGCGCCGTCGACGAGAAGATCCAGGCCGTGTGGCGCAAGGCTAAAGAACAGGTCGACAAGATGATCGAGTCGGACTGGCGGGACCGCGAGGCATTCCGCTCCGAGGTCGGCGAGTACCTGCCCACCGACCTGTGGGTGGGCATGAGCGGGCCGCTGCGGCGGTGGGAGGTCGTCCGGGCCAGGGAGCAAGAAAGGGAAGATGAAGGCGAGCTCTCTGTGGGCGATAATAATGCGCAAGGGAGTATGCCTAGGCAGGATGACGGCAGTGCTGTGACGTTGAGCCGCGAAGTGGTCGATGCTGCGAGGGAGAGGATTAGGATGGGGGCATCTGGGGGAACACGAACAAGTGAGTGAGTGAAGCAATGAGTGGCTCGGGGTTGTAAGTGGTGATCTTTGAACCCATTTACGAGTGACTACATCCGGTTCGGGTGTTAGTAAGCTTCTACTTGACTGCTTTCCTGGCGTTTTTGGACGGGCAAGCCGGTCGGTCAAATGGGTTTCATGTGCTTTTATCATACCCTCCGCCACCTCGAGATTTTATGGTCCTGGTGGGCACAAGGCGTTCAAATTGGGTTCCCTTGTTCAATTTTCGTGTTTCCTTCTGGCAGAGATAGACTCAATGGAAGACCACTTCACTCACTCCAAGGCTGTGCCGCTGAGCCGTTGATCCTAGCCGTATGACTTCATGAGACGTGTTTATGAAATATGTCCCCAATGGGAAATTCTGAGAGGGCCCACGCCGATGAGGGACTTTAGCACGTTAGTCTCGACCATTTTGCCCCCGTCTCTTCTTTCACTTTCTCACCCTCTTTCTCCTTTTCGTCTCCTTTTGTCTTTAGAAGGGAATCTATCATCTATAACCCCTCCCTAACATATTTTCAATCAGGAACGTGTACTCACGTTAGGAAATAATGCCAGGTGTAGGAGGCTGGTTTTTGACATGAGATCTGGATGTATAACGGGACCAATAATTATCAGGCGGCACGTTTCAGTACGTTTTTTATTCTGATTCTCCTGAATTATGAATACCCTTCAGTCCGGATTGACAGTTCTAATGCTATGACCAGACAAAAGAAATCCTTCAATAGGGACGATGGCGTATATAGAAAACTGACAGAGTCCACAGTGCCGCATCATAGGTGCACACCCGCAAGACGACGGCATGCTCCTCGGGAAACAAACACGATCCTCGACCACATCCTCCAAGTTGCTGATACATTCTTCCCCAGTCCATCTAAGGCACTCGTGAGATCCGAGTGAGGAAGCTAGGCGGATACAGATCCTCTATTCCGAGTCCTTTCATGGTTTCGCACATTGATCTCTCCATAAGCCTGAACCAAGGCCGCCTTAATACCATGTCGGCGGCGGCCAGGGGAAAGGATCGCCATTACCGACGGGCTGGTGGGGCGCGGCGTTGGCATCGCAGCTGCAGTTTATCCCCAGATTGCTGAAGTAGTTCTCGCCGTAGTGGATGCAGAGCTGCTCGCCCGCGGCGATGTCCCTGTTCGCTCTGAATATGACGGACCGCCTGTGCCCGTACATGCCTACGGCGGCGCTTACGTTTGGGTCGCAGTGGTGGTTGACGAACCGCGTCCAGTTGCCATAGTCCTTTGCCGCTGTTGGTGGGCGTTAGCCGTGTGTTGATTCTTGGACTACAATAACTAGTGATTTGTGTGGCCTCGGGCCCCCGGAGTTGGGTTGAAGCCTCCCACACGTGCTTCAGCTGGGAGGGAACCTCGCAAGCACACCTAGGAACGGGGCGGCGCTGGGAGACTTACTGATGACGAATTCGCCCTCGATGGTGAAAATGTATGAATCAGTGGCGTCCACGTACCAATCTGCTGGCACGAGCTCCCCCAGGTACTCGCCAAGCAACTGGTACTTGGGGATGTCTTCCTTCGCGAAGACGCCCTTGCCCAGCTGGCCGGCCTCCCCGATCTCAACCAGGTCTAGTTCCGCGTAGTCCGCAAAGTTGTGGAAATCATCCACGCATGCCATGTGCCGGCACACAAGCCCATTCTTTCTTCTGGAAGCACCCACTCTTCCACAGACAACGCATCTTTGGTTGTGCCAATTTTGTTCGACGAGATAATCGATTGTGTATTCGATGGGCCACTGCCAATGAGATTACCATTCGTCAGTGTTTTTCGAGCTTCTCAAACGATGTAGCATCGGAGCTCAGGGCTCACTTAATTACTTGTAGGCGAGGGAGGAAGCGGGAGGCGGGGAGGGGGCAGCTGGGGTGGGTGTGGTTCAAGGCGGGCGCAACGCTTCGCTTACTTTACTAGGGCTAAGCATATGTCCTGATATCCTCGCCGGGCATAGACGCTGAATCGTTCCACTCGAGTCCCTGAAATTGAAAGAGTTTTCGGCAGGGACGGCCATAATAATGGTAGTCAAAGCTGAACGTATTCTGTAACACCAGTTCTGATTGAAACAAGAAGTAACAGTTCCGAAGGACCTTACAGCATTTGGTGGAACTGTGGAAATTGTGAGGCATCGGAGGATCGAGTCCCGTATTCATATATCAAAATGATTCTTCCTTTGATGGCGCGGAGAGACCCCGTTGTGGTATCCTTGCGTCTCGTGTTTCGGGCCTGGAGGATAAGGGAATCTAGGAAAGAGGAACACTTCTAGGCTTCCTGAGCCGTGCCGCGATTTGGAAAGCATAAAGGACTTTCATCACGGCAATCCTGCTGAATTGGGCAATGTTGGAACCTGGTGAATGGAAGAAGGCCGGTAGTGGGCCGAGTGAAAGGGAGCGCCGGAAAAGACCATACTAGAGGACCTCGGAGACGAATTAGCTGCCAATCTCATTTGGATAATGGTCTGAAGTCGATGCGTTGAGCCCTGCACGCCTTTACAGTATGCTTGACGAAGAAGTTCATGATTGAAGACGAGATCGATTGTGATCACTGCAACTGCCAATGAACGAGACACAGGACTCGGAGCTGGTAGGATACTTCAGGAAAAGAAAGGATTTGATCTCGCGCCAACTTTGGCTTCGACGCATGGATAGTGTGAAGGCTTCCAAAGCCTTTCTGGGGCATTGATGCATGCAATTCCGACGGGACCCCTGTGACAATGCTATGGTCTCTCTTCCTTTTGCTTGAAAATCTGCTTTTTGCAAACATGAGAAGATTAGATATATTATCACTAACCGGCCCACCTCCAAACACTTGCGAAAGTTTTCATGGCAGACACATCTTGATGGGCTGTGAGATTGATCGACACAAAGTTGAGGTTTCATCGTGCTCTGTGGAGATGCAAGAGCACTGATAGTGGTGCCCGCTATTGTGTATAGGCAACTTGGAAGGATCTCAGACCTCAGGATCTGCAATTTAAAATGGAGCGCTATGTCCGCCGAGAAAGCCACTCATGCGGAATCTAGAGAAGATTTGAATAAATGTACGGAGGGGACGTAATACGCGCTTGAAGCTGGATAGGTAATCAAAGGCGATGGATATTGCAATGCAGAGCTTGGAATGGCGGATGGGTGGCTATGAAGGGAGGTTATCAGAAAAGAGACAAGAGGTTAGAGGAGCCACATACAAAATCTTCTATTTTCTACATGATATGAACGCTGTACTCAGCCAGCTGAACGTGGGCACCCTAGAAGTCTGCTCTGCGGTGCAGACAGCGCCATGAAGCAAAGGAGTGATACTTGAATCCAACAGTTTGTTGGGATGATTATTTTCAGAAGTGAAGAGATCAGTAATATTTGTTATGCTCCTGATGGGAATGAAGTCTAGTATGTATACTGCGTCTGACTACGGTTTACTTCCCACGACCCGTCCGTCCAGATATGTGTTGCTTCCCGTGTATCAATCCCATCGTCCACCGCCGTGGCCTGCGATGCCCTGCTCTCTCTTCACATATTTACTGAGCTAATTCTGCTATGACCAGACTCAAACATCCTCTCCCTTAGGGTCCTGTCCCTTCCAAACGACCCACCCAATGCTGATGACAAACTTGATCGCAAAGACAAGCCACAGGACAGGCTGCACCTGCCGGGTGGCCTTCAGCATCCACCCCCCAATGATGCTCCCAACCAGCGTCAGCACGAACCCGCCGACCCTGTTGTTCCTCTTGCGGTTGCCCGTAAACACAGGCCTCGCCAGGAGCCTCGGGTCGGACATGAGGTCGCACATGAGACTGGTGATGACGACGGTGGGGATCTCGTTCACGCCCAGGACGCGGCTGGCGACGATCTGGCCCGCGGCCTGGAAGCTCAGGAGGGCGATGGGCGCGATCTCGCGCCAGTCGGTGTGCTCCCCTTCCACCTGCCGCTGGTTGACGGCGCCTGCCTCGGCCAGCGCGGCCGAGGCGCACACGCACGCCGCCTGGATGAAGAAGCCCAGGGCGAGGACGCCGCGCTGCGTGGGCCGCGGCGCGAGGTGCTTGTGCAGGCGGCTGAAGAAGACGGCGCCGATGGCGAAGCAGCCTATCGAGACGAGCGAGCGGGCCCAGTCGTAGGGCTTGATGTTCTGGTTGGAGGCGCCGAGGGCGAGGAAGATTGTGTTGCCTGTCTGCATGGAGACGAAGGTGCCGTATGCTATGGAAGAAGGCATATTAGTAGGATTTAGAGACTCAGGTCTCACTTATTCTCACCTTGGAACATGGTCGTGTCCAGCAGGCCGGTGATGAAACAGCAGGCCAGGAGTGGAACATTGGCAAGGCTGAGGTCGACAATGTCGTCCAATCGCCGCCTCATAGAATAGGAGAGGCCCGAGTCGGCTTTAGGCTCATACTGTCCATTCTCGCTCGCTTCCTGCTGTTGATTCTCGACGATTTTGCTCATCTTGAAATTGATAAAGCTGCGTGTGCGTACCGTCACTCCTCTTGGGTCTTGGAGCTGGCTCCCGAGAGAAGATGATGCTGGGGGATGCTGAGACCTCGGAGACCGTCTTTCACATCGGTATTTCTTCGGCCTGAACTTCAACATCTTCGCGGATCACGGCGGAGGCAGGCCCCATGTCCGATGGTCGGTCCCTTGGCACATTCCAGGCGGATAATGTCGTGGACGCTAGACAAGTAGACGCGGCAGCCACAGCCTTGGCTTTGCTGACCATACATGCCTTAGGCGGACATGGGAGCAAGGAAGAGAAGAATCAAAAGGGACCGATTGATGGTGATCTCGGCCGGGTGTGACACAATTTGGGCTATCAGAGCGAGAAAAGCGAGTCAGGGTCGTCGTCGCAAAGATCAGCCTGTTGGGCGACAGATATTCCGTCCTCTTGATGCCGTCTCAACTGATCCATCTCCTGCCAGGGAGGGTGACATGTCACGTACTTAGACGCGCCAAGGGGCGTCTGCGAGCCCTCGCGCCCAGTCGCTTCTGCCTTGGCCATAGACGCCGAGGATTGTGAGAGCGGGTCGCGAGAAAAGGAGCCCAAGCTTGGATAGCAGTAGACGAATGCGGAGCTGGCAAGAGAGGAAATTATGATGTACATCCATCCCGCCAAGTTAGACTGGTGGGGGATGACAAAACACGGCTCCCTCCATGTCTGTCGTGCATATCTTGACCCGAGGTTGTGCGACGGGCCTCAGACGCTTGGGAAGGACGTGACCGTCGGGCTTTGGAATGCCCCGGCCGAAAGGACCTCGCGTCAGCTGATCGTCGACGCCAGAGATGGAGCCTGTCTACCCGAACACGATGAACCAAGATACTAGGGTTGTACACTCTGGGGAGGCGGCGCCGCAGACAGTGAGCCTCCATCGGTGATCGACAGCAGGCAGCACGGCTGACCAACCCACGTGGGGATGGGGCGAACGCACAAAAGAAAAACAAGCAAGCTATCGGGACTTGGCCCGCTGGCGCATCTTCGGAGTCCGGATGAGAGTAGATCGAGGCACGACAGAACCTTCTAGCCCAATACAGACCTGACACCTGGGGGAAGTAGACTCGGGAGCTCCCGCCCTGCCCGCCAACGGGAGTGCCAGGAGGACGGCCTTGGCGGTGACGACTTGGACTCACTGGGCTGCCATCCGGAGCAACGGGCGACGACCTTGGCTCAGCCTTGGCGTGACAACAGCCTCTTGGCCCCCATCGAGTCTCGCCGATGTCTTCACCGAGTCAGGGGAAGCACGTGTAAAAGCCAGCCCTTGAGCCGTTCATGCAGTGTACCTAACCTAGCCCTCAGTCGGCCGGCTCCATGTCGTCCTCATGACCATCTCCTGAGCGCGGTGGTTTGCTCCGGTGGTGAATACTCAAAGTGAGATGTATGTGTGCAAGTAAATGCGAACCAATGCGAATGTGAATGAGCACGAAGGAACGAGTGTGCCTGCCCCGTGACCCGCGGCCGCCCTCGACGCGGCCCAGAGGTAGAAGCGCCCCCACGCTGAGTGGGTGGAGACATTTTATTCCCTCAGTTGCCTCCCACGGGCCTGCAGTGCATATCAAGATACGATGCGCATATGCAGCCGCTCGCGGCCTGCCCCGGGCGGATTTATGCGCAAGCCATCAGTGCTTGGGCCCTACTTCATCCGGCAGCGCCGTTAAGCCCATTCTGCCGAAAATGTAACATTCACGTCCCCATTGGAGCTTCGAATTTCAGCCTCGTCTACAATACGCACTTGGCACTTGGCGACTACCCCTTGGCAGTTCCTTTTTGGCCTACGTCGGATTTTGGTCCCATGCATCTGACACGGAAATCAGAGATTAGAGCTGTCTGGGCCCCTTGCCAATGCCGAGCTCGATCGGTCCTCAGCGGCTCGATGCCGATGTTGACGATGCCAAGTTCCGCCCAGCCATTTGCCGTCCTGGCGTTCCGCGGCGGGAAAGGCCATGTGTTCCACTCCGCTGGCAATGCCACTTTCATGAGAGTTCGGGAGTTGCATTCTGAGCGGCGGAATAATGTTGCTGAGGATTGTGCACAGGATTTCAACCTGGGAGTCGTATGGGCTGGACAATAGGATTCAATGTGGCCATACAAATAGGATTAGCCCAACAATTGTGGCTTGAAAAGCTCTTCACAGTGTTTCCTGTTGCGCACATGGTGCACTTTGATTTGAAATCCCTCGAGTAGGCAAGGCTCGGGGCATTACGGGGTAATTGGGCGGAACCCAGCTCCTAGCCAAGCTCCACAAACAATGCGAGGCCGTATTGTGTCAAATGACAGCCACCTCGGGACGTTTCAGAGGCCGGCGCCTGTATGATTGGCTTACAGAGGTGAAGAGCTGTAACGTCGTATGAATGGCCCGTCGATCTTGAATCCTCAGTACTTTTATTTTTCCAGTGTGGATGCTGATGAACATAGCCCGGAGCCACTCAGGACGAGGCTTGGGCCCCCGGATGCGGAATCTAGAGTCCTATTCTCCGGTGGGCGTGGAGCAAAGCCCGGAGTCACGGGTCGTTACTTTCAGTAATGATAGGATGCCCTCGTCTGGAAGATTTGTCACATGCACCTGGGCCGCGTCTTGTGCTGCTGGACTCATTTCGACTCACGGTCTTATGCTCCGTCCTACGCTCCGCACAACGCGCATCTCTAAGGCGCCTGTCATTTGTGTAACACCAGCCCGTCTTACTCGAGTCAGATTGCTTCTGATTGAGGCGTAGCTGAATGAGGAGTAGAATAGATGGGAATGCCCAACAACTAGTTTCCAAAACCTGCGTGGCGCAAGTATTCGAGTTAGAAGAGTATACGAGGCTTGGTATAATTAATGGCACCCTCCTTTTCCTCAGCGTCTCCTGTCGGTATCACTTAGTCCGAAAGTCCTATTGGTGATGTTCCTACGTGACACAATCTCCTTGTTGCTATCCTCCGCCCCTGTTGTGGCGAGTATGGCGTAGAAAATTGCACAATAGCCGTGATAGGCGGATGCAGGGGGGGCTAGAGTATGCAAGTACCATGTACGTGACTAGGCTATCTTGCTTGCTGGACCCACAGCCGAAGACAAGCATAATGCAAAGCTTGTGTCCATGCTTGTCTCTGCGTCCATGCTCTCAACGTCTTACTGCATCAACCGCACCAAGACTCGCCAAGACCCCAAATGGAGAAGTGGCCGGCTGAGATGGCCAACGATATGCACGAGAGACCAACAGCTGGCGAGAAAGATCTGTGGCCCGCTTCCCCGATGTGTGTGAGCAAGAAGTTGGCTCCCTCAACCCATCGCGACTCTGACAACAGCATCTCTGTATGACATCGAGCCGTCGCTGACATGGCTGCAACCTTGGACCCTTGGCGGGCGCCTCTGCATCATCAAAGCTCTGGTGGTGGCGACGCCGCAATCTCGCGCCCGGGTGTCCGAGACGGCGCGCTCCCCACACCATCACGACGACGACGAGTTGCTGTGTTATTTGATTATCGACTCGGTGATCTTGACCATAAGTGCGTCGTGCCGATGAGACATCACATCTTGGCTGCGGTATCGCGGGCCTGGTATCGAGGAGTATTGCCGGTATCTTGGCTGCCCTCCACGCGGGACACGGAGGCCAAAGTTGAGACGCGAGGGACGGAAATGGAAAGAGAAGACACGAGGGTTGGCAAGGGGTATGGGAAATGAGGTTTTCCGGAGATGCGTCCGCCTTGAATATGGCAGCAGAAAAGGTATAAAGTAACGCGCTCGCACTGATGAGGTCGGTCGACAAACACTCGCTTCCTGCACATCAGTCTCATCATCCTTTGGAACTCATCAAAAGATACAGAACACCCCTTCAATATTTGTTATTTGCTACGCCATGGCGCCCGCTGCTATCGAAGAAATCAAGCTTGTCACCAAGCACCTCCCAGGTGACCTGTCAGAAACCCCAAGCCCAGACGGACCACTCTACGCAGTCCCGTCCTCGAGGTCTTCATCCATCTCGACGACAACTTGGCTGAAACTCAATAGCAACGCACCTGCTCACATCAAAGTTGAGGAGGTCCCGTCCATTTCCCATGATGAGCCCTTCACAGGAGCAAAGAAGCTCCGTCATCTCTTGGAGAACACAGACGAGCTTGTCGTGTGCCCCGGAGTCTATGATGGACTGTCTGCACGGACAGCTATTGACCTTGGATTCAAGTCCTTGTACATGGTGAGAAGTCTTGCTTTACTATTCTCCAAGCCTCATCAACTGGACACAATACACAATAGCTAGATTTACTTGTGCTGACCCGTGGCTTTTACAATAGACCGGTGCTGGCACAACAGCATCTCGCCTCGGCCAGCCAGACCTCGCTATCGCCCAGCTTGCCGACATGAGGGACAACGCAGACATGATAGCCAACCTCGACCCCTTTGGCCCCCCTCTAATTGCCGACATGGACACTGGCTACGGTGGTACGTATACAATTCAGAGAACTCCACACCCATCCCCCTCCTCCCCTCCCCACCCTCGAACAAAACTGACAATACAACCTGTCCCCCAGGCCCAATCATGGTCGCCCGAACAGTGGAACACTACATCCGCTCGGGCGTCGCCGGCGCCCACCTGGAGGACCAGATCCTGACCAAGCGCTGCGGCCACCTGTCGGGCAAGAAGGTCGTCCCGCGCGAGGAGTACATGACGCGCATCCGGGCGGCCGTGGCGGCCAAGCGCCGCCTCAAGTCGGACTTTGTGCTCATCGCGCGCACCGACGCGCTGCAGTCCCTGGGCTACGACGAGTGCGTGGGGCGCCTGAAGGAGGCGCGGGACGCGGGCGCCGACGTCGGCCTGCTCGAGGGCTTCCGGTCCAAGGAGCAGGCGGCCGCGGCCGTCCGGGAGCTGGCGCCGTGGCCGCTGCTGCTCAACTCGGTCGAGAACGGGCACAGCCCGCTCATCACGGTCGAGGAGGCGCGCGAGATGGGGTTCAGGATCATGATCTTTTCCTTTGCCACGCTTGCGCCGGCTTATGCTGCTATCAGGGACACGCTGCTGCGGCTTAAGAACCATGGCGTTGTCGGCACGCCTGATGGGATCACACCGGTCAAGCTGTTTGAGGTGTGTGGGCTTGGTGATGCTATGCAGGTGGATATTGGAGCAGGGGGTGGTGCGTTTTCGGAAGGCGTTTAAAGCCTGTGAGTGCTTTTGTCTGCATTCAATATGAAAGTGGCTGGCCACTCTGTTTTTTTTTTTTTTTTTTTTTTTTTTTTTTTTTTTTTTTTTTTTTTTCTCTTTCAAGCTCCTCATCTGCTTTGGAGGTTCTTGTTGTCTGTTTTCTCTTTTCCTATCACATTCGAGTCTAATAGCTAAATTGATCCATTTCAAACATCTCTGTACATGTTGTCGACCCCATGCTCAACGCTTGTAATTGTTTGAAAAGCGACGTGAATTCTCTTGTCCAGTGAGATAGACTGAAGATGGATTCAAAATCTCCAGGAATGTTCGTCTGAGTACTGATTTATCCATGTCTTCACTGAGTGCCGCCCTCAGAAGAATTTGCATGGAGAAGACTTAATTACCATCATCTAGGCTCCAGCTACAGCTTCAGTATCTTCCTCCTCCTTCCTAGCTGCAGCAAGGGCTAGAGATAACTGCCATGCATGATGTGAGCTGCATGATACAGACGGACCTTTGCGACCTCGGTATTGCAAGCTAGCCGACGTGCATCAGGTCAGCGGCTACTCTCGTCTCGCCTGATCCGGACGCAGGCTTCTTGCAGTTGGGAATCTGGAATAGGCTGCATACTTCGAGAGGGGCGTTTTACGGCTGAACGGATGCCTTTCCGTACCTTGTGGAAGTCATCACCGTGCATAGTCATGGGTGTCAAAGGTCAATTCGATATGTTATCTCGCCACCGGTTGCACACACAGGGGTGCGAGACCTCGTCTCCCGCCCGCTATGTAAGCCTCGTGCATATATATCATTCCCCTTGCAGGACCCCGTGGACCCGTAGGATCCAAGTACACAGAGTCTCCGCGCTTCGGAGATAAGCTCCTTGCGGCTCGGCCACCGTGTGGCTTGATGTTATAGAGCCCGGGGGCCGAGGTGTTCAACCAGCCTTCGGGAGGATCGCCCGCCGGCATGCCCTGTGTAAGGTGACACGGCATGGTCTGACGTCCCCGAGGTGCATCTAGCCGCAAATTGGTGCTGACCACTCCGAGGCGATCCATGATGCAGCTTCCCGTGACGCCTATCATTTTCTGCATTGAGACATGGCCCGAAGTCCCTCGCATGAGAATTTCCAGCGTCCAATCCTGTCATAAATCGAATGCCTACGGGTCGAGGTCCGAGACAGAAACGTTGCAATGGCCGAGAAAGTCTGAGGTACATGCAACTATTTCGTGGTAACTGATATTACTCCCAACAGAACTTGCTTTTACTTGTCTGTGGCAATTCTTGCCGAGGTGAAGGTAAGACATGGTGGATCTGTCATTTTTCTATCCTGTTAGGAGTGCATACCGGTCAGTTATACGCGGGCATTTCAAATACGCGTAAAACAAAGGCTAGCTTCATGACCAGTCTTGTGCATTCTAGTGGGGGTCCTGGTTACACAACATGGTTTTCTGCATGGCCATTGCTACATAGCCAGCCTAGGAATTCACCCAACAAGCCGTTCGTCGCTGAGAAAGCCGCTTACAAACCTTGTTCGTAAATAGACTCGCTCCTAAAGGTCACGAGAGTTCAAACTGTTACGAAAACACATTTGCAATTCTTTTATCTGCTGAGCGAGTGAGCCCACTTTCAGTCACCGCCAGTGGCTGGCACCACTCGGAATCGAATGCAATCAATTGACCACTCATCGACCCGGTCACGTTCTTCCCTCAAAAAGAAACCAAAGCCCGTTCCACAGCGTGGGCTTGGTGCATGAAAACAAGCGCTTGGCCGCAGGAATCCTCGGTATTTCATCTTCAACCGTTGCCAACCACTTGCGCACAGCTAGGTACTTGGCATTCACCAAAAGGAGTCGGGATGACGCGTCACCGCTTCTTCAGCATGCGACCAGAGAGCAGAAACGTTGCTCCGTCATTAGCAGTGTGTGTACGACACGGCCTCGGCCACGCCGTGTGTAACTACAGTAGAAGCGGTCCTTCTCGGTGCATTTCTTTACTTTTCTTTTTCTTTTCCTTAATTCCCCGATATCGAACAGTTCAAAGTGGCGATTTTGAGTATCTAATTAATTGCAATATCAACAAGTGAGGGGGCATCAACTTCATCTCCACCGTTCGAAGTTTTACGCGTTTTCTTGTGATTCAATATGACATATGAGCAGAGAAATTATAGTTCAGCGTCTTCGTGTTGGAATTGAAATTGAGGTCGCCAAGAGCGTAGACCGGCTACATCCATGGCGTATTCTTGGAATGTAAGATGGCTGCTTGGCTGCATCTACTTCACTCGTCTGGCCGGGCAGCGGCGGACGGAAGTGGCTTCAAAGGAATATCATCACCATGCAGGCCCGCTGCTTGATCTTCATCGTATGCTATTGACTCTTCGATGACGCTGGCAAACACGTTCTCCAGCGTCGAGTTTGTGACAGTGGAGTATGCAATGCCAAGCCCCTGTCCTTGTTGTCTTCCAAGAGACCGATCAGCTGCCCCATGGACTCCGTGCCCGGCACAATCAGTCTGATCTGGCCCCCAGCCATGTCTCGCTCCAGCTCTGTTCCGGGTAGCATGGCTGCGATACTATTTCGTACATCTTACGTCTCCTGCTGCGTCGAGCCGGGCGCGCTGGTAAGCAATAAGTTAATGTGGAACAAGTCGCTGTACTTTCCGTTGTCCCGATCGCCAAGAAGCGTCTCTTCATGATAGCCGTTCGAGTCGCGAGTGCATCTGCTTCCTCCATGCTGTAGGTCTAATGGTGGAATGAGTTAGCTTTCATGCCTGCTGTGGTTTTATCCATGTTGTGCTCTTAACATACCGTCAAGAGGATGGACCGGTCCCGGGCCACACTCCGCACAATGCCCCAGAACGCCCGCTTAGCCAGGGCATCCATTGCCGTAGTTGGCTCGTCAAGGATGAGGACAGAAGGCATGCCCATCAGCGCAATGGCGAGACTGAGCTTCCGCTTGTTCCCACCTGACAGCTTTGCGGCCATTGTGTTCTCATGAGGGGACAGGCCCAGCTTAACCATGATGCACTTGGCATTTCTCTTGGGATCGCGGACCCCCTTGACACGGGCGTAAAAAGGTAGATGCTCCTCGGTCGTCATGAGATCCATAGCGTCGTGCTGGGGGCAAACTGGGTCTCAAGTCAGAACACGATCGAGCTGATGGGACGAGACACAAAGGGTCTTACCTCCGAGGTTTCTCTGCGCCGAAGGGCTCCTCGCGCCATCCCCGCAGAGGATGATGCTGCCGCCGTCAGGGACAAGCTGTGAGTGAAGCATGCCGACCAAGGTCGACTTGCCCGCCCCGTTCGGCCCAAGTAAAGGCAGGATATCATTTCTTGGCAAGCCAAAGCACACATCATCAACGGCGTTGAGGGCGCCAAAGGATTTGCTCACATGCAGTACCTGCAAAAGGTCATCGTGAGACCCCTTGACTCTCATCTGCTCTTGCTGAACCTCAGGACTGGGGACGTAACCTGTTGGTGCCACTACAACTCGGCCCGGTCGTTTTTGCCGCCAGAAAAAGGCAAGACTGTTGTTCTCCAGGTTGATGAGTATCAGCAGCAGAGCGGTCGATTGAAGGATGAGGTACAGCAGAGGACCCCCAAGGCCATATATCGAGCCTGTTGATGAGATCTCGTCTCCGGAGCATGCGAATTGCAAAATGTTCAGCCCGATGAACATGGCTCTCAAAACATTGCCTATCGGAAAGATCAAGTTGAGACCGAATGCGAGGCCCATGCTAGTCGCATCATGCTGCGCCGCGTCTGCTTTCTGGGCACCAACCTGCAAAGAGTCAGTAATGATCGGGTTGAAACTGGTGTTATGCACAGTCTGGGGCGGAATCTCACCACAAGTGCAAGAAATGACACAGCGTAGAACACAATACTCAGGGCAAAAGTCGTGATGAAGGTTTTCAAGGGCCCGCGGGTAAAATGAGAAATGATGTATCCTGTGAACACGCCTGTCAAGCCGTACAGGGCCAACACGCAGAACATGACCCCCGGGGACCCGTTCAAGTTCCGTGTCGAGAGCAGCAACGTCACACCTGCGGATATCAACAATACCCACATGAATTCAAACATGCCGTAGGCGACCCAGATCGGCCCTCGGGTGACACCGTTGGCATACTCGAGAGCGCGCACCTTGCGTGATCTCTCCATGGCTGGGTAAAGAGAAAATACCGCGGGGTATATGGCTTGTACAAAGGCAAAGAACATGACGTATATCATGCCGATAGAGCTTCCTCCCTGTAATTATCCAGTTAGAAAAGCGACCAGGAAATGCTAGATTGGTAGAATCTTACCGGACGAGCTGTCGATCCGAATGTCCCCCGGGACATGATGATGTCGACTCCGCTGATCATCTGGCTCCAAAGGTTGGCTAGGACGCTGGCTGTACTGCTGCCGACACGCTGGCGGTATCCGATCAAAGGGAGCGAGTCGTCCGAAGGGAGAAACAACCCGCCCAGATTTTCGTCAGCGTTGTTCTTATCATAATCGACAAATGCTGAGCGATCATCTTGGACAGCGGCGAACGCAGTCGCTGCATCGGCGCCAATAGAGGTAAAAGCCTCCTTCTTCGCCCTGATGAGGTCGAATAGGGACGAGTTAGCAGAAGACGGACCCAGGGTGAGCCGGTCGCAACCAGACGTCACACAGGACTCGTCCCAGGTCAGGACAGGGGTCTCGGCCGCGCCCATGGGCGTCTTCACGAGCTGGCATGAAGGCTGGTTGTAGTCCATGAGCATCCCCTGCAGCTGGGGCGTGACGGCGAAGACGATGACGACGGCGTAGAAGCACGGCCACCAGAAGTGCTTGAGGATGGTGAAGCGCTTCCTAGGATCTATCTTACTGCTTTTCTCCGCTTTGACCATATTATCTAAGTCCCGTCCGTCCTAATAATCCCTCGATGACTTCTCCTGAACGAAGAGTTCATTGCGATGGCCGCTCTAATCACCCTTCCTTGCGTACGATGACAATTTGGGCAGTAGCCTTGAGAATGATATTTCCATTGCCGTCCACCTGGTAGCCGGGCTGGCTCGGTAGGAGCTCCTTGTACTTGGCAATTGCCGTATCCCACTGCTCATCATCCTCCTTGGTCCACCCACCCTTGGGCTGGCCGATGGCGCTCCAAATCGCAGTGGCAAGGTCGTCCAGGTCCTTCACAGGCAACAGAGCTGATTGCTCGTACAGCTGGCAATCCTCGAATTTGAATCCCCCCTTGACCACTTGTGTGTGTTAGTCGTCTGCTACGACAAAGGACCGTAAAACTTATACTCACACAGACTCCTGATATAGTTCTTGTCGCCGTGCTGTGGGTTGGGCTCGATGTTAAGCCGGGCGTCCGGGCCACGGATCGCCCGGCAGACCTTGACGCCACACTCGCCCTGCGGATTGTGCAGCCAGAAGGCCGTGATGGCGGTGCCTCCCGGCTTGAGCGTGCGGTACATCTCCCTGGCGGCGGCGACAGGATCGTCCATGATGGGCAGGCCGAAGGACAGAAACACATGGGAGAAGCTAGCGTCCGGGAAGGCGAGCTTCTGGGCGTCCATGACCTCGGCCCTGCAAGGCCAGTGCCTGGCCTCGGCCGACTGGTTGTAGACGTTAATCATTGGCGGGGCGATGTCGGTTGCGTGGATCTTGACGGTCGGGGCCGGCGCGGTGGCGAGGATGCTCTCGGTGACGGGCCCCAGGCCGCATGCGGCGTCGTGGATGACGGCGTCAGCAGGGAAGGGAGGAGTGGGGAGGAGGGTCATCGTGTGCCGGGCGATTTCGAGGGTCTCGCCGGCTCCGATTATGTCGAATAGCTTGCTGTCGAAGGCCATAGCCTTCTTTGGAACGAAACTGATTGGGGCAGACATGGTTGCGACTTGCTCTCAGTTTGGTGTAACAGCTTTCGATGGCTATGCGTATGACTTTGTTCTGTACTTGATTGTTCTGACCGACAGGCCACTGCTTGGGGTCAGGGTGATAAGATGGTTATCACCAAGAAGACGGAGATTCGCACCGGTAAAAACGGAGGATGCACTAGTACATCGCCAGCAGGGAACTAGGGGTTTTACCAACATCCACAGCCAACAACCACAACCAACACTCACACTAAATTCTTACACCCTACTTCCACACTCAATTTACATACCTAATTAGCACCTAGTTGGCCTTAGGTGGGCAAATTAGCCCTGAATATGTGAATTAGGTGTCTGAATTGAGTGTGTGAATTGGGTATGTGAATTGGGTATGTGAATTGGGTCTGTACGTAGGGTTTAGGTGATGTGCTATAATTGGTTGCTAGGGCTTCCCACCTTTAATTCCCGAGTCGGAGCATGTGCAGTGTCAGCCAGAGTCCGTCCATGACCACTGCTGTAATTGAGTGTTATTTGTCTTCGGAGCATGACCACTATTGGGAGAATTGCCACCAATCAAAGTTGAATGGTGGATCAGAACCATTGCCGCTGAAGTAAAGGAACAAGTCCTGGGTTCCAACGGCTCCAGTAATGGTGCATGTGACTGTGGTCGACGTTTGCCAACCACCGGTTCCGGGAACAGAACATGTTCCTATATGTGTGCCATCAAGACTACCGATGCGTAGGTCGATGTTACCGCCAGCCAATGCCGAAGCAACCGATGCACTGAAAAGTGTGGCACCAGTACCAAACGCTACCCCTTTGACTTGGATATAGTCGCCATCATTGATCCAGCAGACATTAATACCACCTTTGCTACTGGCCTCTGTCTCTACTCCGGAAGACCAAGCCATCGTTTCCGCCTCTTGCCGTGAATAAGTATCGAGTGAACCGACTTGAGATGGGCCGTCTAGAGTCATTTGAATGGTAGGTAATGAACCGTCAGAATCGTAAGTGAAACTCTCAACAGAGACGGATCGATCGAATCCGTTACCTCCTGGTAGAGCGCCATTGTGGTCAAAGAAGTAGGAAGTGCTGTTGAAATCGCTGAGCCCCGGGTGATTGGTGAAGCTGCCGCCTTGACACTCGGCATGATGATGCCGCCGTATGTCCATGGCCCTGTATCACTGGTACCTGTCGAATATCGGATATCCTCGGCGCAGCAGTTCGCAGCGTATACAAGGTAATATGCTCATATATCCAGGGACCTTCCTCGAAAGCGGTCGGTCGTTCAGAGTTGCCATCACGAACACCAAAGCCTGCGGTTGTAAGTTCGACCTTGGTGGGCTCCCCATTGTAGGATACCATGTCTTCGTTGAGTTTGACATACCATAGGTCTGGATTGCCCCAGTACATGTAGGCTTGGCCGTCATCGTCGATGAAGACCGATGGGTCGATCTGCCCGTGTTCGACAAGTGGACTGATGCCAACACCAATAGCCATGCCGCCAGTTGCGTTGTTTGTCACCGGAACGTAGTAGTAGAATTTGCCGTTACGGTCGATGACCTGTCCGGCCCATGCATTGGCGCTGGCCCAGGAGAAAGTGCTCAGGCTTATAGGCACACCGTGATGCTGCCAATTACCCATGTCTTCTGACGAGAACAAACGCCAATCGCGCATGTCGTAGTTTGTTGCAGAATCCTCATCGTGGCCGGTAAAAACGTAGACCCTGCCATCGTGCACCAGTGGAGCTGGATCTGCGGTATAGATGGTCTGAACGATCGGGTTGATGGCTGCGACCGTACCTATGCTGCCTAGCATTCCTATCATTGCCAGGAGCGCCTGGAAGCTCAAGCTCCCAAACGGTGGCAAAGATAGACGTGCCTTCATGGTGAAGACTTGATTTGAAAGGCTAGTATTGAAGGGGAAATTTTTAACGGCCAGCTTAGAACAGCCGGGATGGGTGATACTTGTGATACGATGCTCCCAAAGCGTTGTCGACAATGAGTCGTCAAATCCAGTATTATATATGCACAGTCTTGAATACCAATGGCCTTACTACAGGCATTTGGCTCTCAAATATTTAGCTTTGATTTCGCGATGCGAGCCAATGACTCCCATGATTCGAGTGCTTTCGAATGGACGGCGCGTACTGGACAAGGCTTGGGTAACCGCACGAGTCGGCCTGTCGCGTGTTTCGCGGCGACATCACGACCCAGATACCGACCTTCTATTGTAAGAGATGCGAAAGACTGGACTTTAATCCGCCAATTGTGGCTCTCAAGTGCAGTTTAGCAACATGTGCTTTTTGGTATTAAATTGTGAATATGATTGTGCAGCAACCAATGCGGGAGGACAAGTACATGTGGGCTGACCAAGTCCAATCCCAGGCCGTTCTGGCTGGCCAGGCTGGCGTCATGCCAAGCTGGAACACCCAGCGGCCGAAATGTGATGCAGCAGCTCCGTGAGAATCGGTCTAGAATGGGCAAAAACTGGCTGGCTGCAAAATGGCGCTATCACGAATTGGCTTGGTGAGTCTGAAGTCGTCTGAAACCGTGACGGTGTTGACGTTAGCGCCGCGAGAGTGGCGGTGCCGTGCTGAGATGCTGGTAATTGTGACCGCAGCGAGGGGTGATGAAACGCCAACCTCTCGGTCCGATCTTCAGACTTGACCCCCTACTTGCCTTCCGCCCCTGACGAGGAGCTGCATGCGGGACACAACGTTATAAACAAGCTTAATTTTGAGATGGAGCCCAAGTCCGCAGAATTGCGTACGGTATATGATCGGTCAAAGTCCAGCACACTTTCTTTAGTCTGATAAATTTCCGGACGACAGATTCACACCCGTCTACTAGGTTTGTTTGATTTCATTGCGAACATGGCGACTCACACATCTCTCTGGCTGCTCCTCAGCCTGGCAGCCACGGCTTTCGCCCAGGGAAGCATCATACCGTCAGGGCTTACCTCCGGGTTCACAGACAGTCTCGGCCTCGAGGTTAGCTACCAAGGCGTGGGGACCAGGTTCGACGGAATTCCAGATGGTAGTACAGTCTCGGCGACGGACGTGTCGACAGACCCGATATTCGCCCTCTCAGACCAGTCTGCCATCAACACGCGCATCGCATTCCTCATCATGATGCTCGACACCACCGACCCCAACGCCCCCGTGCTCCACTTCGCCCAGGACCAGTTCAAGGCCGACGGCGTGCAGACCGGTATCTCCACCCAGGCACAGCCGCTCGTACCATACGCCCGCCCCGGCAGCCTCGGGGAGACGGGCCAACGCCAGTACTCCTTCCTGCTCTTCCAGGAGCCCTCGGGCACAACCATCTCCGGTCTTCCTCAAGCCGGTGAGACTCTGAACGTCGATCAATTCCTCGCCTCGAACAACATGCGAGCGGCCCGCGCGGGTGTCGGCATTATGGTCGACAATGGAGGCGGTGGTGGTGGTGGTGGTGGTGGTGCGGCGGCCCCGTCGGCGCCTGCAACCACGGTGGCCCCGAGTAACACTCCTATCGCGACATTTACTTCTGTCATCCCTACTCCTCCTATTGCCACATCTGAAGCAACGGTAAGTCTCCACATTCCTCCTCCAGCGCCCTTGGGGCATGGCATCGCACACAAATACTGAGCTCATCTCTCTCAGGTCCCAATTACCCCGAGTCCGCCAATCGCAACAGGACAGCCTCTTCCCTCCAGCACGCTGCTCACATCCGCAGCCACGGGCGCAGCGACTCCCTCGGCTTCTGCAACATCCGGTAGCTCGGGTGCTTCGAGCAGCGCGACGAGCTCTGGCAGTGGTGCTGTCACGGCGGGCGGCAGTGTCCTCGAGGCCGTGCCCGCTCGGACGCTGGGCCTGGTCGCTGGTCTCATCGGCGGTGTGCTGCTGATATGAGACGAGGGTCAGCAGCGCTGGTCGACGACAAGGCGTGCGTTCAATTTGTTAATCTCTGAAAATCCCCCCCGCCATCATGTGCAGGACCTCTTTTTCTGGACACGGAAGTTCTCACTGTGGCAATCCCACGGTCAAAAGCCTGCGACATTAACAGGGCCGACCGAATGATGGTTGCGTTGCGCAGGGGAATCATACTATACTGTGCGTGCCACAGCCGGTGGAGTCATCAACACCCGCCAGAGGGTAGCGACTCATGAACTACATCGAAACGTAGAACGCTCGATGATGGATATATTCGCAGGCACGTGGTCTATGTAGAGCATCCAGGGATGCCTCAAGCTGCCGGATTACATGGTGTGGCCCTATGCTTACACATTAATCAATCAGAGCCCCCGGGGGCCATTTAAAGCCAATTTACTTGAATGCAACGTGGTCTTCCCTCAGTTTGAAAGGATTTGTTGTCTTCTGGACAGGCAAGGCTTACCCAACTATACCGTGGTCGAACATCCGGCGCTCCTAGTCGGAATTCCTCTCATTCTAAATGCGATTTTCCCTTTTTTCTTATGGGGACTTGAAGTAGTCGAGGACCCCTACATTTTCTTGTTTCCTATCTCATGAGATCTCTCCTCAGTTCTGAGATGGCACATGCCTGCCTCGGGGTCACTAGAGGCGTTCATACAAGATCAGCGTTGATGCTATTCCCTTTGTCGACTAGTCATCAACCCCACATTCCCATTCCCTTCATATACAATCTACGTGACAGCTGTCCCTCCATGATGAACGCTCGAAGCTTCTCTAACCATTGCTCTGGCGTCCCTGAGATCTCTTGACCACAACAAGATCAGTCAACCCCAAACCCTTCCTCGAGATAATTCTGAGCCTTCACAATGTGGGGCATGAAGCCTACTGAGACGGCGCAAAGTGGCCGCATCGTCAAGATGGGAATCATAGGGTTTGTCAGGGGCTGTCAACACTTGGGCATTGGATTGCATGCTGAATGATCTTAGATGCGGCTTGGTCACACAAGTCGTCCACGTGCCATGCATGAACTCGTTATCCCACCTCTTCCAGGTCACGTACCTCTACGATGTCTCTGAGGATGCCATGAAACACAGCCTGGAAAAGCTCGCAGGCAACTCGAGACCCAAGACTACCAGAAACGTCGAGGAACTATGCAACGCGCCTGAAGTCGACTTGGTGCTGGTAGCAAGCAATCACGCTTTCCACGCATCCCAAGCGGTACTTGCGCTGCAAGCCAACAAGCACGTCTTCATTGAGAAGCCCATTGCCTTGACCTTGCAAGACACGGACCGCATCATCGCTGCGGATAAGGCCGCAGGCGGTGGCAGAACTATGGTCGGTTACATGAGGAGATATGCCGCGGCTTTTGTTGACGCGGTGAAAGAGGTCGGCAGCATTGAACAAGTACGTTACGCTCGCGTTCGAGACATCATCGGACCGAACTCGGTCTTCGTGGGACAATCCGGCACGTTCCCAAGGACTTTCAACGATTACCGAGACGAAGATTCCGAAGCGCTGCGGAAGAAAACGACTGAAGACATAGAGCAAGCTCTTCAGACCGAGCTTGGAGTCGCCGTCACACCAGAGACGGATATGATGTGGCACACGCTTTCTATGCTCGGCTCGCACGATTTGAGCGCCATGCGGGAGATCCTGGGCATGCCAAAAGGTGTCATAGGATTCTCGCCCTGTGCCACTACCGGCTCGCCGTTCTGGAGGTAGTATCCCAAGCCCGATACCAAACTTACCCCGACTGACCATGACAGTGCAATATTTCAATACCCCAACTTCGCCGTCGCATACGAGTCTGGTGTCGACCAGGTGGCACGCTTCGACGCATCGATAGAGGTCTTTGGCGACAAAAAGACTGTAAAAGTGTGCATAGATACCCCGTTCGTCAGGGGCTTGCCGACGACGATGGTCGTCAAGGAGACCCTACCGGACGGATCGTACCGGGAGTCCACAATCCGGCGGACATACGAAGATCCATTTCTGCTCGAGCTACAGGAGGCGTACAAATGGGTCACGGAGGGAAAGGTCCCCAAGACAACCCCAGCCGATGCTCGACAAGATCTCGAGATCTTGGGAATGCTTATGAAAGCTATTGCGGCATGATTGGTGGGAACCTATAACCGACCGTAGACGCTCCGCGAGATTCGCGACTTTTTGTCCTGGCAATTGCCTACCACTTCCCTCCTGACCATGTGTTAGGTCTTTGGGAGTCTCGATAGGCTCTCAGCGGGATATTGCACGTCCCAGCCTCTCATTATCGTTCAGATCTCGCCCCACTGCGCTTTGCATATATCGCTTGATTTCTTACTTGACATGGCGCATTCTAGGAGGACTGTTTGTTGATCAGAATATTTGGGATGCGTCTTGGATGAAGCCAGAAAACCCGCAAACTCGCTTGTGTCTGCTTCTATATCGGCCACGCCCAAGATTACCCACCTGTCTGCACACAGCATTGAATCATTTAATGCCGTCCTAAACTCATCGAAATCGAGGTTAATTCGTACTCAACTGATGATCGGTAAATATACGACTGTTTAATAACGAGTCCAGGTCCCTTGTAAATCTAGAGAGTCACTAAGGAAAGAGTATAGATGCTAGATATAGTAGGGAGCCTAAGTGTGTTAAAAGCCCTGGGAGTGTCACCTACCAAGTGTATAGACGTACTTGGTTAGCCTTCCTGGTTGGTGGGTTGCACAACAGCCCGTATATGCGGAAGTCTTGGATCGGGTGGCGGCAGCGTCATCAGCTGACCGGTCTGGCCACCGTTGTGGTCACAGCTCGAGACAAGCTTGCTTGCATTCTCGAACTTAACAGACGAGGCACTTTGTACTTGATGTCCTCTAGCTTGGTCTTTCAGCCGGCACCGCATGCGAAAACCAAGGAATCCACTGACATACTCCCCCAGTGGTCCAGTTCGCCTATGAAACGGCCATAGTCACCACTTTCATGGAAATTGCGGACTTGGAAAGCTTCCAAGTGTGCGCAAGGATCATGCGTGGCTTTCACTTGCATGCCAGTGAGGCTCCCTATGATGAGAGAGCCTCTTACTCCATCGAGCTGGGAACACTCTCCGATATCATAGAAACACCCTCTCCTCACGCCGACTGGGTATTCAGGGTGTGGAGAGCATTCGTGAGGACAAGACGGCCGCTCCCCAACGGTGGTCTGCCTGGATAACGTTCTATGGCCGCGGGACGATAGTTTTCGACTTGGATGGGAAACCTCAATTCTCGAGGCCGATCAGGCTTGTCTCCAGGCCTGATAAACCAGGACCTCCCGGCACGGCAAGACTCCTCGATCCGCAATGGTCGGATCCTTCGATCCCTCGTGCCTGGTATAGTGCGTGCCAGGAAGAACACGGCAAAGATTGTCAAGAGCAAGCCGTGATCAGATCAAGTCAGAAAACCATGGCAATGCCTGAGTGGCTTGTAGATGTCGTCGACCAATGCATAGTGCCATGCGATGCCGAAAGATCCCGATATATCGCGCTCTCATACACCTGGGGCGGCGTGGAATGTCTTAAACACACTAGAGGGAACCTTAGGCAATTGAAAGAAAGGGGTTCGCTACACCCTGATAAATCACCAGGCATTCCTCGGACTGTTCGGGACGCCATGAGTATAACCAGGCTTCTGGTTGAGAGGTATCTCTGGGTTGACAGCTTGTGTGTTGATCAAGACGAAAATACTGCGTCCAAGGATCTGAACTGTATGCATCACATATACCACAACTCGATTCTCTGCCTCGTCGCGTGGGCCGGAACAGATGCAAATCATGGGCTTCGAGGCATCCAGGGGATCTCGGCACCAAGACCCATGGAACAAATGTCTCTCGACATAGCTGGCGGAGAGAGGATCTCCTGTCTCAACGTTCCTCAGGGGAATGGCTCCAAACACCAGCTAGGTTCTGTCGAAGGATCACATTATAACCAACGAGGGTGGACATATCAGGAGTATATGTTCGCTAAGAGGCGGCCGATTTTTACTGACGGGCCACTTCACTGGTATTGCGACCGCGGCAGTTGGAGTGAGGAGGAACACGGTCGCTTGACTGTTCATACCTTTCATTATGAACTGGATGCGACTTAGTATTGGATGCATTGGTCATTCGGTCTCTTTAGATTGATTTGGAAGGTATCGTCATTGGCGACTTGCTTCTCTTACAATCATGCGCTACATGTATGCGTCTCAATGGCAGAAAATATTTAATGCCTGCATACCGTGTCTGAGAGCTCTATGCATTTACTGCTCAGCAAACGGTGTGATAATCTAGTAAGTGATTTGACACAAGCCGTGGCACGTTTTGTGATTCTGGTACCTGACGCCTAATCCTTGTGCCTGTGCCAGTGAGTCGCCGTGCAGAGCCGTCCCCTCCAAAGCGAACTTCCTCTTTCCCGGCTTAGTCTCCTTTGATTGCTGATGTCGAGGGCCGTCTCGAAGTCAGTTGGTACTGAGACAGCGTCCCACACCGCTACACTATAGTAATAGGATAACACTAAAAGTTTTTGCCGGTGCGGATATCCGCATTCTTAAGACTTACAGATCAATATGGGTGATGATTTTGAAATCAGAGAAGAAACATATTTAAAAGATCACCTTATTTCACATCTTCTTCACTACTATGAGATGATTTTGCTATAACTGCTTAATAGTAGACGTTGAGATAAAAGGACAAGTACTTTAAGTGTAAAAGCAGGTCGTTATAGACTTTCTCTGCCTTCCACAAGAACAGAGAAACAAAGAATACCTGGGACTGACATATATACTTCGCCGTGGCACTAAACGATAGTAATGGTTTCTGTCCGCCCGCGGTTTTTCATCGGCTTCAGGTGCGCCAGGGCATCGCCTTGATTGGAGACAAGTCCAAGACGCTCATAAGCACCAGGCCTTCGAACCGATTTTCCGAGCACGAGAATGCATTGCAACTCCTTTTCGTCGTTGTATCGGATGACTGTACCCAAGAGTAGCATCCACACCACACATCCACCAGACTCGAGGGGACCACCTAATCGTGCTGTACCAACGCCATTTGGAGCTTCTGCAGCACGAGCTCCTGTGCACCATACTTTGTCCTGGTGGTCTTCTGGTGATGATGTGGCTACCGGGGCGGCTCGAATGTGCGTGTCGGGGCAGAATCCAAGTACTTCCCTGCAAGTCGCACCATCATGGTCTTGCGTGTTGTTATCAAGAACAATGTGGTACTCGCCGTCGATATATTCGATCAAGGCCGGAGCTAGTCGGCCACGAAGGACTATGCATCCATCGACTACGGCGCCAAACTGGGCACCGGTATGCCTCAAATCGATATTGAAGTCGACCACCACGGCGTCGGGAGTGAAATTTTGGTAGTGTATCCAACGGTCAATCTCTCGCGGTCCATTCACAGAACACCACGAGAACGTCGGCGCCGTATAGTCGCGGCAAAACGATTCCACGCCTTCGACAAAGGTATTTTCCCAGCACATTTCATATACAAGAGTCTCCAGCCACATACCTGCCACGTATGTTCCACCAGTCGCACGAGCAACCCGCTGAGCGATGCCGGACAGCGACGGCAATATGTCCCGGGGGTAGGTGAGGCGCCGGGCACCGTACCGGCGTACCACATCATGGTGCCAGTACTTGAATATAGTTAGGACATCATCTTCTCTTTGCTCTCTCGGGATTTGCTCGTCCTCCTCGGAAAATGGCTCGGGCCATTGGCTATAAACATAACCGTCGGAATGACACTCGCAGGCAGTGGCCGTTCTGCATCGCCACTGCATCTCCTCGGCTCCAAAGACAACCAGGCGCCGGGCCAAAATCTCCTCTTGTAAAGTCCAGCCGCGTAGGCGCCATGGATCTGCTTGGAACCGGGCCGCGTGTGTGACTGTGCGAATGTGCCAAGCGGTGGGATCGCGTCTGGCAGACACGGTGGTCGATGGACAACCCGGTGTTGCCGGCGGGACCGTAAATTCCATGGATTGTCTGCTTTGGTCACGTCTATTGCCAAGATATGCCACGTCCACCGAGACGGAGGAGCCCGCGGCGATCGTCAGGTGGGAGTTTGATAGATGCTGCCCATGCGAGCCGACTCTTCCGCCCAGTCGTCCTCGTCATCTTGCACAATGCACAATGCATCGATCCAGAGGTATAGCAAACCGAGCTTGCGGCACAACCCGATGGTCTCTCGCATTACGACCGGCAACGAGGCGATGAGAAATCCGTTTCCCATCAATACTGGCACATTGGATCTTTCCGCCTTGAACTTTTGGTCTCCACCCCAACAGTAGCTCAGCGTTGCGTAGATAGCGTTGGCATGTCTGCTACCAATGGTGGTTTCGACAAGGGTCGCGTGGTGGTCGTTGTTGATATGAACAAGACGCTTTGGCATTTCACCGGTTTTTGCGTTAGTACATAACGTATGCTCCCTTATACACTCCGCAAGACGCTGATGCAAGAAGTCAAATGCTTCGCAGGAAGAGCCAGATGGACTGATTTCCCGGAACACAGGAACATGTGGCAGGCCGTGTTCTTGACCTGATATAGAGGAAGAGATCATCAGTTTTCTAGAACGAGGGCAAAGCTAATAACACAGAGTGTGCCGGGCTGTAGACCTCCAACGCTGAGTGGAGAGCGCACACTTGCCTAGTCTTGTACTGGTATACAAGGATACACTAGTAAGTATATGTTTGCAATCAATCACCCATGGAGGATTGTTTTCCGCCAGTCCCAAGGTCACTTGCGCATCTCGCGTCCGGGCGGGCCAAAAGTGATCAAATACTGCTGCCACAAGACCACAAATACGACACCCCAACTCTTCGCTGGCTTTAAAAGCACCCAAAGTCTGGTCGAGATTGATAAAGCGATTGCCTCTAAAGATACCGATTTTCTTCGTCGTACTCGGCTCCACAGAACACAATGGATTCAAGTCACAGCATGTGTCGCAGGGCTTCTTTTCGTCCGTGGCATGCTGCTGACTGAAAGACGCGGCCTCTGAAGAAGGCTTTGTGGGCTTCGACATGCTATGCAATCTATGAGCGTCTGCTTCTTGGGTATAGTGTCTTAGGCTTGTCCCAGAATGCCTGTTTAGGAAAGTACGATGAAATGTAGGATAAATGTATGAGATTCATGAGACCAATTTTAGCAAAAGTCTGCCATGGTGAGGACCATGTTCCCCGCTTATGGAACTTCAGGTGGGATACCTAGTGGGCCACATATGTGCAGTCACGTGTAGTGGTCAATTCTGCTGACAGGGGCGTGGAAGTCTGGACAATCAACATATTGATATACACAGCAGACAAACTCCAGCATACACTTATTACACTAAGTAATTAATTAGTCTCTCATTTACTCCTTCCCCTTTCTTGCTCTACCGACCAGTTCCTTTACTAGTACTAGTCCTAGTACTACAGAATTACTATAGTCATTCCCTAAATCTGAAGGGACCCTTCCAACGGCAGGTTCCGGCTGCTGGTGCCGACCCAGACCTTGTACTCCCCGCCGCCCAGCGCCCACTTCTGGGCCACCACGTCCCAGATGCTCAGGTCGCGGCGCGTCAGCGGGAAGACCACCTCGGCGGCCTCCCCGGGCTCCAGGTACGGCTTCTCGAACCCCCGCAGCTGGCGCGCCGGCACCGTGTGCGCCTCGTCGTCGAAGTAGCGGTAGTCGACGAGCCGGGGTCTGCCCAGGCATGAGACTAGGCACTTCATGTCTTATCGACGGTACCTGGATTGAAGACGCGCGATTACCAGCCGTTTAGGTCTCGCTGTCTGGAACGTGAGGGTACGGGGGCGTCCCGAATTGCAATAGCGACGTCAATATTTCTTCGTCGTGATGATCCAGCTTCTCCAACACAGTCTCTGATTTGTTGACTCCAATGGTCTTGTTCTCGCTAGAAAATTGGCTACAATTCCTACAACCAAGATTCTTACGACTCTGATGTGGAAGTGGAAGGATTTCAAGCCGAAAGTCCTCAAAGTTTGGTCATACTCGAACCGAGGACATTGGGATGGAAGCGGCCGTAAAGCCAGACAGCTTCCGAGAGCAAACCAACACTTACAACGGACCCCACAAGAGACGCACGCAATCCAACATCATCCGTGGCGATGTTAATAGCGATAATTCGCTATGGTCTTCGAATGCACGGGGAACGCTGTAAAAAATTAGTATCGAGGTAGACATAAGGAGACTGAGCTCCTGCGGATCCGAAATAATACGATGGCAACGAACGTGTGCGCGTTAAGGAGACACGCGTTGGTTGATTACATAGCACGTCCTATTCTTGGTTAGGTTCATTAGTGAGATGAGCGACAGCGTCAGAGACGCGATGAACCAAGAGTTTGGGTTCTACTGAAGGATGCAGGAGCAAAGCCGCACTCGAGACCAAGTTAGACCCTTACTGGAGACACTTGAGCAGCTGTGGACTTGAAGCAAGGTGTAACCCAAATCAATATCACCACGGCCTCTAACACAACTACAGTCAGGTCGTCCGAACGATGGCACCGTTCAACATTTAGCGTTCGGCTAGAAACGGCGGCGAAACGGCACTAGTCCATCTCACCACCCACCGTATTCAGCCAACCGTATCAGAGTTAGACAAGCAGGGTTTATCTCTGACACACAGACCTCCTCCAGCCCGCATAACTTAGCGCATTTCTAAACGCAGACTCCTTACTAAATTTTAATAGGAAGCCTGCTAAGGCTTATATAATTATGGCTAGGAAGGTAAGGAATGTTATGTAAATAAAGGAGGTTTATAATTAAATTATAATTATAATTATAATTAAGGTATAATAATTATTTAATAAAATTAAGATTTATTTATATTATTATAAAAATATATTATTATTAAATATTAATATATATTTTAAAATTTATAAAATTAAGTTATTATTTTAATATTATTTATATTATATTTTAATTATTATATTAATAATAATAATAATTAATTTTTATTTAAAGTATATAAGTTTTATTAACCTTTTAATAATTTATTAATACTTAGTAATTCCTTTTATATTTAATAATTTATATATTAATATCTTTAAATTATCTTTTTTTTTTAAATTTATTAAACTTTATAAATATAAGTTAAGTAATATAATATAATTATAAAAGTTTTTAAATTAATATAAAGAATATTATATAATTAAATTTTAAATTAAAAATTATTTATAAAAAAAGTTTATTTAAAAGCTTTTATTATAATAATTAAAGTTTTAATAATAAAAAAGATATAAAAATTATATTAAAAAATATTATTTTTAAAATTTTAATGCTTTAAAAAAAGCTTTATAAATTTATAAGTAAAAATATTAAAAATAATAAAGTTTATAATCTTTAAGTATTCTTTATTAAATAATTAAAAGATTTTTATTATATATTTATTATTATAAATACTTTAAAATATTTTATTATTTATAAAGTTTTTTAATTATTTAAAGTTATTATTTATAATTTAAATAAAAATAAAAAAAATATTCTTTTTATTATAACTTTATATAAGAAAATAATAACCTTTTAAAAAAAGGATTATTTTTAACCTTTAATTTATTTAATAAAAATAATAAATTTTTAAATATATTAAGCAATTTAAAAGTAATTTTAAAATTAATTATTAAAGCTAAGTATATATAATGTAATATTAATTATATATAAATTATTATAAAATAAAAAGCATTAAACTTATTTATGCTTTTTTTATAATTTCTTTAAAATAAATATATAAGTTATAAAAAGATTCTTAATTTTTTTATTAATAAGGAAAAGGAGTTATAAATTTACTTTATAATATTATATTTTTTATATAAATTTATATATAAATAAAGCTTTTTTTTTAAAAGCTTTTTAAATTATATTTATTTTTTAATAATATATATATTTATATAATTAATATACTTATTAATATATTTATATATATAATTTATAATACTTAAAGCTATAATTAATAAATATAAGTATAAGTATTTATTCTTTATATAATATATTAAAAATATTATAATTTTAGCTTAGTTAAAAAATAAAAATTATATATTTTTAATTAAGTATAAACTTTTTACCTTAATTAAGTAAAGAGTTTATATTTAAAATAAATAATTAATTTAAGATTTTATAATTAATATTTATAAGTATAAGTATTTATTTATTATATTAAATCTTAAATAAGTTATTAAATTATATATAAGTAATTATTATTTAAGATTTTTATTAATATATATATAATTTAAAAATAATAATTTAATATAATAACTTTAATTTCTTAAATAAAGTTTAAGATTATATTAATAAAAAGTATAATTAATTTATAAATCTTATAATTATAATATGCTTTAAAGTATTTAGCTAAAAAGGTAAATATATTTAATAAATAAATTTTAATTTAAAGTAATAATTTATTATATAAATAATTTAAAAATATCTTTTTTTATAATAAAAAAGTTTTAATAAAGCATTTAAATAGCTTTTCTTATATTATATATATTAATTATTTATTTATAATAATAAAGACTTAAATTTATTATTACTTAATATTAAATGCATTAAGATAAGGTTTTTTAAAACCCGTTTTCTTTAAGTTAATGCTATATATAAGGATAAGGGTAAAATTTTTAATATTTATAATATATATAATAAGCTTTTTAAAAAGTATTTATATTTAAATAAAGATTTTTATAAAATATATATTATTTTAATATATAATAATTATAAGATTATTAGCTATATTTAATATATTAAGTATAATTAATAAGAATTTTAAGATATTTATAAGGTTTAAAGATAAATAAAAGCTTTCTTTATTAGCTTTTATATTAAGTTAAATTATATTAAGTTTTTCTTTTATAATTATTATAATATTAAAAACTTAAAAATAAAGTTTTTTATTATTATTTTATATAATATATTATTATTTATATAAATTAAATTTATTAATAAGAAGAATATTAAGTATTATAAGATTATATTATTATTTTATTATAATTTTAATGCTTAGCTTATTACTTTTATAATTAATGCTTTAATTTAATATAAATTATTAATAATTAAAGTTAATAAAGTTAATATTTAATAATTTTATAATATAATAAAGTAAATTTTTAATAAGATGCTTAATAATATTTTAAATAATATATTTATTAATTAATTTTTAGCTATAAAGGCTAAATAAGTAAATATAAAGATAGAAAAATAATTAATATTAAGTTTTAAAGTTAATATTATTATATAATAAGCATTAAGATATTGCTTATTTTTAATAAGGTTACTTAATATAATAATTATAATTTAATTTATAATATTATTATATAATTTTTAGCCTTTTTTTAAGATAGGAAATTATATAATTATAAATTTAAGATACTTAATATAATATAGATTTTAATTAAGGAGGTAACTTTTAATATAAAAATTTATAATAATATTTTTAAAGCTAAGCTTATTAAGTATATTATTATTAAATATAGCTTTAAGCTTATTAATTAAGTTAATAAATATATTAATAGTTTTTATATTATAAATATTAAATATAATAAGAATTTTATTTATAATATTTAATTAATATTTTTTTAGCTTACTTAATATAAATTATAAATATTAATTATATATAAGATTATTAAGAAGTTTTTTAATATTTATTTAAAAAAAATATATATATTTAAAAATTTTAAAAATAATATTTTTTAATTTAAGTAAAAGTTATATATTAATAAAATTATAAAGTAATAATTAAGGTAATAAGGCTTTAAGTTTTTTAACTTAATAATAAAAGGATAAAATATATTAGTTAATAAGCTAAATTAATAAAATAAAATATTTTTAAAGCTAAAGGAAGGTATTATTTAAGCAAGAGTTCTTTTTATTAATAAGGAAAATATTAATAGTAAGAACTTTTTAACTATTTTAAGTAATAATAACTATTTATATTATATAAAGATAAATAATATATAAAATATTAATTTAGGTAATTTAATATAAAATAATTAATAATTATATAGCATATTTATAAATTTTAATATTTACCTTTATTTTATAATAATAGGTATATTTTATAATAAGAAATTTATTAATTTTAATAATAATTAAGGGAAATTACTTTATTTTAATAAATTTCTTATTAAAATTTAATAAGAAGTTTATTAAAATAAAGTAACTTTTCTTAATTATTATTAAATGCTTTTAAGTATTTTTATTATTATTTTATAAAGTAATAAAAGTAATAAGTATTTATTTATAAAGTATCCTTTTTTTTATAAAAATAAAAATAAAAAGAAAAAGGATAATAAAAATAAAAAGAAGGATTATAAGCCTTAAATCTTATCTTAGCTTTATAAATACTTAATAAATAAACTTAACTTTTTTTAAGAAAGAATAAAAAGAAGGATAATAAGAATAAAAAGGAGGATTATTAAGAGGAAAAGGATTATTAAAAGTGCTATATTAAAAGTATAAATTAATAAATATAAAGTATAAGAAAAAGAATTATAAAAGAAAGGATTATAAAAGAAAGGACCTAGGTATGCATACTTAAGATATTAACGTTTCTTATTATTATTTTAAAATACTTTAAAAAAGGAAAGGATTATAAAAAAGGGGAAATAAATATATATATATAAAAAGAAGGTATATAAAAGTATTAAAAATAATTGCTTAAATTAAGGGTTAAACTTAAAACCCTTTATATTTAAACTTTATTATATATATATTTTTATAAATATATAATAAATTAAAGGTTAAATTATATAAAATATATTATTATTATATTATTTAAGCATTTATTATAAAAGGAAAAGAGTAACTTATTTATATAAAAGGAGCTATTTTAAATAGCTTAGCTATTTATTAAAACTTATAAATTTGCTATTTAAATTTTAAGATTAATAAATTTTCTATTTAATTTAAGTAAAAGTTTGCAAATTTTAATAGGTTAAAGTATTAATTTATAAGATTTACTTTTTAATAACTTTTAATAATTTTTATATATAAAGGTAAGATAAATATATTGCAAAGCTATAAGCATTAATAAATTCCTTATTTAAATTAAGTAGAAAGTTTGTTAACCCTTATATATTTAAATATAAATTTTTATTATTAACTTTTTATAATAACTTTAAATAGTTTTTATATACCTAATAAGTTAAATATTATAATAATTATATTTACTTAAATAAGCGCTATATTTTATTTAAGCGGATTAATTAATATTCCTAATTATAAAAAGTAAATATAAAGAAAATAAGAAATAAAATGCTAATTATAAATATTATTTATATATTTATATAGCAATGCAGCCCTTTAAGTTCTCTCTTATATGCTTTATATAATATTAAGTTAAGATAATTTATTTTTTTTATTTTATATTTATTAATAAAGCTTGCTTTTATAAGTTTCCTTTTATTTTATAACTTCTTATAAATAGTAATAAATTAATGTAATAATTAACTTATTAAGCTTTGCTATTTTTTTAAGATTTAAAGAATAATTTTTTAGCTATTTTTAATTTTAAGGCATTAAGGTACCTTTAACTTTATTAATATTTATAACCTTTATATTTAAATTAATAAATAACTTTTAATTATTAATAAAAATAAATGCTTAAGTTAAATTTAAAAAAAGGTATAATAAGTATAAGTTTTTATTAAATATAATATTAAAACTTATATTATTCTTTTTCTTTTTTTTTTCTTTTTTTCCCTTAGTATTATATACTTAATGCTTATAAATAAAAGGCTAAATAAGCTAAATAAATTAAGGTATTAATATATTAATAGCTAGTTATAATATGGTTTAATAGTTTTTAGCTTAATTATTATATATATAGTTTAAATAAGCACTTTTTAAAATTAAAGATATAGAATTAATATTAAGAGCCCTTATACAATTTTGCTATAAGCTATGCTATTAATAATACTTATTATAAGTAGGGCTGGATAAGCTAATAACTTAATAAAGAATTATAATTAGGTTTTTATTAATAAAAAATATATTAAAGGTAAAGCTTAATGCAAAGGTTGCATTATTTATATAATAATAATTATTATTAATAAGCTTATTAATTATTAGTAAATTTAATAACTTCTTAATAAGTTAGTTATTTAGCTTTATTATTAAGTAATATATAATTATTATAGGAATATTTACCTTAATATAATCTTATATAAGCATTAAAAGAAATTATTAAAAATGCTTAATTAAAAAAATAAGATTAATATTATATATATTTTTAAGCTAATTAATAATTCTTTATTTATTAAATGCTTATTTAATATATATTAATATAATTATAAGGGTAAGATATATTTAAGCTATTATTATTTATATTATTATTTTTTTACTGCCTTTTATATTAATTACTTTAAAATTATAAAATATTGCTATATAAATAGTTAATTTAATAATTAAATAAATATATATTATTAAAGAATTTATAATAAATTAATTATTGCTATTATTATTATTATTATTAATATTATTATTATTATTATTATTATTAAGGAAGGAATAATAAATGCTAAGAGTAGGGGTAATATATTTTAAGCTATAAATATAAGGTTATATAGGCTTTTTATTAAAATATAATAAAGAGTTTATTAATCTTAATTAAGTTAATATAATTAAAATTATGCTTATTATTATTTTATTTATAAACTTATATTTAATTACTTTATAGCTTTAATATTTTTTAATACCTTTTTAGCTAAATGCTTGCTATATTTAATTATAATAAAAATATTTATTCTTTTTTAAATTACTAAAATAAAGTTTTTTAATAAGCTAAGTAAGATATTATTCTTATAATTAAGGAATTTTTATGCTTATAAGGCAGAAACCTTTTTTAAAAACTACTTAAAACTGCTTATTTAAAAAGTAATCTTCTTAAATTAATCTTTTCTTGCTTAAATTTTTTAATAAAAATAATTAATAGCTTATTATATTATATTTTTTATAAATATTTTATTATTAATTAAGCTTTAATAACTTGTTTTTAGCATTAAATTTTAAGCTTTAATAAAGTATTATAAAGATAGGATTTTAAGAGCTATATATTAAATAAAATTAATATATAGCTTTATACTTTTATTAATTTAGCTAAAGTTAATTATTAAAAGCTTAAATATTAAGCTATAATTCTTATAAGCTTAATTATTATAATAAATTAATGTATTTATAAGCTGCTTATATTTTAATATAGGATTATTTAGCTTTTAAAGAAAACTTATAATATACTTTTAAAAATAAAAAAAGTTTAAAAATGCCTTATACTTAGGATTTAATATATTTTATATTTTTATTTTTAATTAAGATTATTTTATTAATTTTAAATTTTAAAGATTTTAAAACTTAATATTAAAAGCTTAGCTATTTATTATTTTAATTATAAAATTAATAATAATATTAAAAATATAGCTTATTTAAGACTTAATACTTATAATATTTTATATATTACTTTTATTATTATTTTTATTAATAATATTATTTATTATTAGCATTACTTTATAAAGATAATTAAATTAAGTAAGTTAATATACTTACTTATGCTAAAAAGTATTAAATAATTAAGTTTATTAAATTTAATATATTTGCTTTTTTTTTATATTTAAGTAATTAAATTAATAAGTAAAAGTAAATATAATAAATTGCCTTTAAGATTATTGCTTTTTTATCTTATATTTATTATATTATTAAAAGTTAAATATATTAAGTTATTATAATAAGTTAAATTATATAATAATAATAATATTATTAATATTTAAGTTAATATTAAAAAATATAATTAAAATTATTATTTAATATTTAAAGTTTAGCTTTTTAAACTTTATAAATATATAATTTTAATTTAGCTTATAAATATTTATATTAAAGCGTTTTAAAAAGTTTAATGCTTATTAAGTATTAAAGTTATAGTATTTTTAGAAATATTTAATAAGTAATTTATAAGCTTATAATAATTTATTTTTATTATTAATATATATTAAATTCTTTATAATAATAATTAAGTTAAGAAAATTTATATTATTTAATAAAAAGTATAAGTATTAAAAATCTTTTATATATTTATAAATAAAAAGTTAAATAATTATTAAAAGCTTAAAATAATTAATTAATATTTAAATTATTTTTATATTATTAATATTTAAGCTTATATATTTAAAAATATAATTTTAATTTATATAATTAAAAATAATTATATAAATAAATAATAATATTTAATAAGATATTAATTTTTTAACTTAATAAATAAAAAAAAAGTTAATTTAAAAGCTTTTTTTTATATAATAATTATATATACTTTATTAATAATAATTATATTTATTTAATTATTAAATATTAAGTTATAAAAAAGCTTTTTAAAGTAATAATTTTATTTTTATTTTAAACTTATAATAATATATATAAAATTATTCTTTTTAATTTATTTTTAAATTTAAGGGTTTTATAATTATATTAATATTATATTTTTTAATAAACTTTTTATTTAAATTTAATAAAAAGTTTATTTTAATTAATATTATATTATTAAATTTATTTATATATATAAGTTAATATTAAATAAAATAAAATATATATTTTATATATTATTTATAATATCTTTAATTTACTTTTTTTTAAGCTTTATTAAAAATATAAAGTAAATAATAATTCTTTTTTAAAATATAATAAATATATATTATAAAGCATTTTTTTTATATTTAATAATTATAATAAGTATAATATTTTAATTTTTAAATAAAGCTATAATAACTTTTATTTATTCTTTATAAATTAAAAAGTATTTAATTATACTTTTAATTATATTTATAATATTAATAAGTAAAATTTTTATTAATAATTATTTATAATTTAATAAATTAACTTTTAAATAAATATTTATATTTATTAATAATTATAATTTATAAAAATAAATTAATAATTTTTTAAGTTTTATAACTTAATTTTATATCTTTTATTAAATTTTTATACTTTTATATATTATTATTAATAATTAAAATATAAATAATTAATAATATATAAAGTATTTTTTAATTTTATTTTTTAATTAAGTATATTTAATTTAATAAATTTTATTTTAAAAAAAAATATTAACTATATTAATAAAATCTTTATTTAAAATAAAAACTTAAATAATAATTTTTAAAAATATAAATAAAAAGCATTATAATAATATTATAAAGTATTTTTAAAATATTTTTTATATTTTTATATAAAATAATACTTAAATTTAACTTTTTTTATATTTTAATTTTAAATATTTTTTATATATATTTAAACTTAGCTTAATAATTATATTAATTATAATTTTATTATAAAATATAACTTTCTTATTTAAAATAAATAAAGAGTTTATATTAAGCTATATATATCCTTAGCTTAGCATTATATGCTATAATAATTAATTCCTTAATATAGCTTTTTTACTTAATATAAATAGGAAGGCTATGCCTTTATATCACGGCCAGGCCGCAGGCCTGGCTACGCGTGTGAAAGGATACCTGAACTTTTGAGATAAAGCAGGGTTGGATTCATAGCCAGGTGGTGTTGCTGCCTAGCGCGTGAACGTCCGTAACGCGCTTACACACTTGTTGGGTCGTCGTCGTCCATATAACAGATGGGCTGAGGCCTTTTGGCCACGGCATGTCGATGACCTTTGTTGTTTTCTCTCCTCATGCACCCCATTCCCCACGCTCTCTTCAACGCGCTCTTCAACGCGCCCCAAAACCAAAATGGCCAACACCGCGCCCAAAGTCGCCGAGGTCGAGCGCGAGGAGGCACCCGCCGCCGTCGACAAAAAAGCCCAGGCCCTCGCAGATAAGATCCGCACGAGCAGACACCTGGTCGTCTTCACGGGCGCCGGCGTCTCGACGTCAGCGGGGATAGCCGACTTCAGAGGGCCACAGGGTGCCTGGACGTTGATGGCTCAGGGCCGCGAGCACGACTTGCGGTCCATAGATACCTTGGAGGCGATACCTACGCCGACTCACATGGCACTCGTGGAGCTTCAGAGCCGCGGGCTGCTCAAGTATCTCATCAGCCAGAACTGTGATGGCCTGCATAGAAGGAGCGGGATCTTGCCTGTAACCTACGACTCTTGCCTCTTTGAAGCTGGCCGCAAGCACAACTTTTGGCTAACCTTTTCAGGGCATGATCTCTGAGCTCCACGGCAATAGCAACCGCGAGTATTGCAAAGACTGCGGGAAAGAATACATTCGAGGTATGTTCACATGTCTACCTTGGGTGGGCGATTTCACACACACTGACCGTGTCCTTGTTCTCTCAGACTTTCGAGCCACTGCGCCTGACGAGAGTCCAGTGCATGACCATCGTACAGGTCGCAAGTGTGCGATCTGCGGGGGAATCCTGCTGGACAGCATTATCAACTTCGGCGAGGATCTGCCTGAAACAGACTTTCGGCGCGCACATATGAATGCTCAAAAGTCCGATGTGTTCCTCGTCTTGGGATCCTCATTGACGGTGACCCCCGCGAATGAAATCCCAGAAATTCCAGGCCGGAAATTCAGTCCCTTGCTAGCGATTTGCAATCTCCAAGAGACGCCGCTAGACGCTCTCGCTGACATCAGGGTCTTCGCGAAATCCGACGATCTAATGCTCCGCGTTATGGAAAAGCTGGACATCCCCATTCCGGCCTTCATTCTTCAGCGCCGGCTGGCCATTAAAAATGGACAGAATGCAAGAGGAAAATTCCAAATCCATATCACTGGCGTGGATGTCGACGGAACACCCAGTACGTTTCTCCGGTCGGTCAGGTGTCGCAACAACAGACGTGTCGCCCGCGCCGAGCCTCTCATTATAGACTTCCGCGGTGACTTGGATCCAGGGACGAAAGTCGAGCTCGAGCTCGAGTTCATGGGCAATTATGGCGAACCAAATCTGTTGCTAAGCCATGATCACGTCGGCCAAGCTGACGGATCAGTCATGTATGACCTCCAGTATAATCCAGCCGATGGAAAGTGGGATTACAGCAGAGCCAGCTCCCTGGATTGAGACTCGGTCTGGTGGAGATCGTCTTCTATGAAGCACCGAGGAAATCGAATCGCATGCGTCTCGAAGGTAGTTTCTGTATCGATATGACTGTGATCAGGGAATGCAGGAACATGAAGGCGCCGGACATCAGGGAGCGGGCAGAAACACGTGAATGCAAGGAACTGTACTGTAAATCAGGGTTTCGGTAGTGGGCCCACCTCAGGTGCTCCTGAGACGACAGCGGCCGTTACTGCCGAAGCACCACGAACACTAATATTTTATGAATGACCAACAGACCTCAAATTTCCACCACACTCACCCGAGTATTCGTAGGAGATGCGCCCGTGAATAGCGACTGAGGCCCTCCAATGACACTTATCAGCTAGTGGTCGCCGAAACTAAGAGACAGGAGCCTAGGCAAGTAGCTAAGCGACCTCCTCAGCCAACAACCCGGCGAGTTTATCAAGGACGAACACGGAATAGCGCTCAACCTCCACGCACGATCGATGGAAGCTTGGCTGAGGAGAAGCAGATCCAAAGCCGGCAGTCACGGGGCTGGAAGGGTCCTTTGTACTCTGTACGGGGGCTGAGCCGATTGTGACAGCGGGCCGACCCACCAGACAGGACCCGTCGACGACGTAATGGCCCACAGAATCAGGGGTTCAGTCTCAAATGTTTGGCGGGGAGGCCAGCATTGTGCGAGGGGCTGTGACTCGCGTCGCAAGCTAGAGCAGCAACGGCGTGAAGCTGTGGAAACGAATTCTGTCTTTTATGTGGTGATGTGCTCTTCTCTTCCCTCGTGCTGTTGTGCCGTCCTTAGTTGACTCTAGCGACACTTGCCAGCACTGCCTGCTCAACCCTTCGCGTACGCTGCCATCGGACGAATCTCTGCCCAGCCTCGAGCGACCAAACCGAATCGTACCACAAGATGACTCGCAAGAAGGCACTGCTGATCGGCATCAACTATGCCGGCACCGAGAACGAGCTCAACGGCTGCCACAACGACGTGGAAAACGTGCGCGATTTCCTTGTCAACGACCGCGGATTCTCGGACGATTCCAAGGACATGGTGATAATGACGGACACGCCAGATAACGAGGGCACGCCGTTCTGGCCGAGCGGCGAGAACATCTTGGCCGCGTTCAAGTGGCTGACGTCGTATAACAGAGACGGCGACATTGTGTGGCTGTCGTACTCGGGGCACGGAGGTATGGGCGCGGCCGACTTGCCGGTGCAGGGGCAGAGACAAGATCTGGGCTGACCGACAGATGCTAGGTCAGGTCAAGGACACTGACGATAACCGGCCGACGGGCTTCGACGACACCATCTGCCCTGTGGACTTCACAGAGCACGGCCAATTATCCAGCGAAATTGTGAGTGACAGCCCAGCCTCGGCAGACGCTACCTGCGTAGCTGAACACCACTGACGCGACATTCCCGTTCAGTTGCATAGGAAGCTCATAAGCCCCATGAACCCGAACGCAAGGTTGACCATACTATTCGACTGCTGTCACTCAGGTTCGGCCTGCGAGTTGCCTTTTGTGTACCGGCCAGACAGGGAAGGCAACATCAACTTGATGGACCACATAAAGAAGGGCATTGGGCTGGTGCACGCAGCCGGGCAGCTGATGCGAGGCGGGTTCAGCCGTGACAAGATCGCGGACGCCAAGATGCTGCTCGGTGGTGCGACGGACTTCTTCAACGGGCTGCACCACGCGCGCGAAAGCGAGGCGGACGAGGAGGGTCTGGCCGCGGAGCAGTTCGAGGAGGACTGGGACAAGGAGGGTAAGGATGTGTGGATGTTCTCGGGCTGCCGCGACGACCAGACGTCTGCAGACGCGACCATCTCCCGGGGCTGCGACTGGAGCCATGTCGTGGGCCTTCATTGGGACGATGAGAGAGGATCCAAACCTGACCTACCGAGATGTATGTTGCTTCCTCCTGGGACTGCCAGTGTTGGCGATTATGTATGGATGGAGACTGACCGACGGACGAGCAGATCCTGCTGGCCACTCGCGGGAAGCTGGTGGAAAATTACGAGCAGATCCCGCAGTTGAGCTGTGGCGGGCGTTACGACCTTGACGAGCCTCTGAGGGTACGCTCGCTGACCCCTCATCTGCACCCGCAAACCTTTCTCAGGTACTGACTGTCAGCAGCTATGATTCAGACGGCCACAGAGCCGCAAGAGGACGAAGGGTATGAGGCATCGAGGTAGCATGAGGTCGGTCGCATTTGCACGGAGCCCGGCTGCTTGTTTTGTTTGCGCAGGAGCGTAGCATCCGGATGATATTGACACCCTAGGATCAGCGTCATATAGATTCCAAAATGGCATGTGAAATTGATTGATGAATCTGAACATTCGCTCGCGAGCAGAATTGAGCTTGTTGGTTATGATTTTGACGTGTGGTGGGAAGGAGGGAGAAGGGGAGGAGGAGACAGACACTGACGCAACAGGAGTGACATCCTTGGCAGTGTGCCAACACAGTGTGTGCCAATCCCGGACGGCCCAAGCTCCCTGCCCATCAAGGTTCTAGCTTCTCTCCCTACCTCAGAGCTCAGAGCTCAGACTCAACTTCAACATCGACATTCAATCTCGATCTCAATCTCAGCCTCAACCTCGATCTGCCAACTCAGCACAACACATCACAGCGCGCTAACTCACATTGCGTCGCCCTCTGCATGTTCTAAGTGCACTTGGACGTGCCTGCGAGGCTAATACGGCAATGGAACGCAATCAACCCGCCGCCGCGGCCAGCCTCTTGGGTAAGTCGCCGCCTTCCTTATCGCTGGGCTCAGACTGCGGCCGAGGCTCGACATCGACACGAGGCTTTCGTCATGTGTCCCTCATTTCCTGCGCTTGCAGAGTCAGTCAGATGTCAACCACTGCAGCAAGTCGCATGCATCTGGCACGAGGGCGCCCAATGTCGCGAAGCACTCACCTACCGTCAGCCCTCTTCGAGAGCTTTTCCGGATGCTAACTAGCTACCTCACTAGACCAGGAGGGAAAGATCATCGCCGAGATCCTCACCAGCTATCGTGACCTCGTCAATTTTGCCACTGAGCCCATCACCAACAAGACCTCTACCGGCCAGGCCTCGTACAACAGTATGGCCATGGACCTCGAGACCCAGACCCTAGTATGTGACTTCCCGAACTCGTGCGCTGCGAAGTCATGGCTAACGTCATCACAGATCAAATCAGTTGAGAACCTCCTCTCCCTGACCCGCCGCATTCGTGAGCTCTGGATCGTCGGACCCTTGCGAAAACCCGGCGAGGGCGACCGCACCGAGGAGACCATCGAGTCCGAGGTGCAGCAGGTGGTCGGTATCCTCAACCAGCTGCGCGCAAACAAGCGACAACAGCTTGTCAGCGAGGGAGGCGGCTACGGCCAGTTTGAGGTCGGCGACTTGGCACCACCACCACAGCCAAACGTGCCTGGTGGTGCAGGCTCCACGGCAGCTCCTACAAACGGCACAGCCCCTCAGACAGGCGAGACGGCTTAGAATGTCGTTTCACCAGCTGACGGCAGCGTGCGGGGAACTCAGATGCAGTTGGATGGAGCGGCGCCTACAAATACGGAGGCAGAGCCCACAGGCCAGGTACCTGAGCGGGCGCGCACCCTCAAATTTGACGCATCAAGGGACAGCGGTGAGGAGGCCGTGAGAAAGGGTGTCGAGCTCGTGAGGAACGACTCGGATGCCCCAGCAGAGCGACTTGGTGACACCGATGGCGCCAACGCTGCGCAGGCAAGAGGAGAGACAAAAGAGCACAGGCGCAGAAAGCCGAAGCCCGCACCATTGAATCTCATCAGCTTCGTGCCTAGAATTACCGCCCCAGGTGACGAGGGAAAGACTTTTGGGAAGGAATCTGCGGACGACTCGACATGGCCGACCTTCGTAGTATTTACGCCTACAGCGCTTAGCGCTGCAGCGGACGCTCCGGCCCAGGATGCCTCTGCCGACCAGGAAATTGACAGTCCCACAGCGCCTATTGCGACAGATGAGTCCAGCGACTCTGGGTCGTCTTTGACATCACCAACCGACCGGGATGGTGAGGCCGCAACGGAGCACTCCTCGGTAAAGCTGTCGCCCCCGAGTGCCAGCGCCAACCGAAAAGATGAGATATCAGGCGAAGAGCACGTTGAAGAGCACGTCGAAGAGCGTCCACAACCGACGGACTAGAAAGTCCTTGGGAACGGGGCTCTGAAGACCAGTGCTCTGCCGTTCGTGGCCGCAAATGGTCTTGCCAGCAGTCCTCTCCCACCGCCCAAGAGGGACAGGGGTACAGGGGGTTATGAAACAGAAAAGCCGGAGATGAGGACGAATACTCAGGTGACCAGGTTCATTTCAACATCGACTCGCGAAGACAATGAACACGTCATTTGGACATGAGGGTGAACTGCAGCTGCGGCCTGTGATAGCCACATGCAGTCCGTGGGCCGTCAATCTGTAATGAAATGCGCCCGTGAAGGTAGAGTCAGTGGCTGCCTGGGTGCTGGAGAACGCGGGAGTAGTGAGCAGCTTTACTATCAGTGAGAAACCTAGCTCAATATCTACACGAAGCTCCCATTCTTATTCCAGCAGTTGTGACTGCTGGCTTTTTCATTCCACAAGTTCTAATAAAGTAATTACCTCACTTCTATCCCGCAGAAGGAATAGTCCTCAAGTTGACGAACACAGCCGCATACGTCGCTGTGGAAACCAACAATTCGATATTGGAGTCCTTGATTCCAATCGAAAGCGTGGTAGCAAAGACAACCAAAGCCACCGAGACCGTGACCAGATTATTCACCACGAAAGGATGCATAGGTAACTAGCTAAAATACAACAGGGATATATTACCTAAAGAGGCTAATTGCCCAGCTTAGGGAGCAGCACAGTCTCGCCAAGCCTTGTCGCATGTTGTGAACGCTTTGAGTGTCGCCGAACATGTTCACATCCCGGCTCCGCATGTCAGCAAGCTCCCAGCCTCCCACAGTATTTGGGCAGTCAGCGACTTTTCCACTCACCTCTTACTGGATCAATCTCAAGTCAATCTATCCATCGTTTCTCTAATTCATCCGCGCGTTTCATTCTCCATTCCAAGTCAACCTAGATAAAATCCCAGTCATCATGGCAGACGCAGAGAGCACCCACCGTCTCGCACGTGCAGCGGTGCGGACTCTCTGGCTCTTCCAGGCCCTTACCGGCGGTCTCCTCTCTCTCCTCTGGGCCGTCGACATATTGCGGGAGACCCGTAACCCCAGCTACGGATCCGATGCCTACCATGCCACAAAGGAACTCTTCCTGGCTATCCTTGCAGCCGTGATAGTGTATGCTGTCATTGTTCAGTGGCAGTATCCGGACCCGCTCCCCAAGATTACCGCCAGGTTTGAGCTGGCGAAGGGACTGCTCGCCACCGCCGTGTGGCTCTATCTGCTTCTGGATGCCATCCTCTACATCCCTGACTACGACCCATACTGCAGGCGTAGGAAAATAAGGATAGTCACTTGCGCAAATTCTTTCGCTATCCTATGTCCGTCCTGTCTTGGCTAGAGTCTGTGTTGCATGATGTGTTTTAGCTGACAAATCACCAAGGCGTCTTCTTTTATCCGACTGTATTTTGGAGCGCGAGATTGGCCCGCAAAGCTAGGAAGCAGGAGACAGCAATTGGGGGTGACACGACAGCGGGCGAGAACACACCTTTGCTGCGAGGTGTATAATTTCTCTGATCAGAAACATCTTTTGAGCACTATATGCGCCTCCGGCCTTGGAATTCTACTAAAGAAATCAAGGATTTCGACAGCGAGTGGAATGAGTTGGTCCAGAACAATGATTAGATGGGGAGCTTGCCATGAAAATATGCAGGCCGGATACTTCAGTCTACAGGCTCAGGTCATCTCGATCACTTTCCCATTGATCTCTCGGGCACGAAACCTGGGATTCCCAAGTTTTGGGTAGATATACTCGTAATCTCATGATGATGCTTTTGGACCGCATGGCGCCGTCTTCTATAAAGGGCCACACAGGATCTGATCAAGCTCCACAATGTAAAATGGGCCTATACAGGCAGGGTAAAGGCCGCCGGTCAACTCATGAAACCTGGGCGTTATTGGATAGAACAGACCCTATCCTCACAAATAGTTCTCTTAACACTCCTTATTAAAAGATGCGGAGGCTGTACAGTATAAAACACATCTGCAACCTCTATTTCTCTCATCGACATTGTAGTTCAGAGCCAGACTTTATAGACTGTGGGATAGATTCGCCCATTTCATGAATACAGTCTTGAAGCAGATAGACTGTAGCAAGAGATGAAACCATTATGACTTGAATACGTGCAGAATTATGAGGGCTATCACGCAGACTTTTGGAATATATCCAGACCTCGCCGCCACAGGCTCGTCTGTTGTGCCTTGGCTGATCTGTTTATCTGTTGGCGGCCCATGCGTCTGTTCGGCGAGATACCATATCCAGCACTGGTCTGATCAAGGTCTTTATAAGGGCAGTGAGATTCTTGAGGAGAAACTTTCTGGCGTAGCTCGCAAACAGATATTTCCAGAATGCGGTCCACTTAATAATACCAGAAAAAAAGTGGAAAGGCCGTGGTCAATGTAACCCATTTCCAATTCCTTTTATTAGAGAAATAGACTGTGTCGGGTCCTGGCCATGATGACTTTGTTTCGAGCACCATATACATGCAGTCTGTCTCATATCAAAGCTCGTCCGCATGGAAACTCCAGACCTTGCTGTTGGCCGCATAAGTTGAACGCTTCCTATGTAGTGACATCTGGACCCCACGAATTCAACGGTATAGAGATGCGATCACAGGTCCAAATACCATTCTGAAGATCCTTCTCAAGGACTTTAAGATGTCAAATCAACGGCAGGCGGTCGTTTACTGTTCTCGCCAAGATGGTGCACATATTTCCCCCAGTGGCCAGAATTCGTGAATCACAGGCGCCCGGGTACACGATTTAGCCTGGACATGTACGATGGCATTTGTTGAAAGACATCAGGCCAATCCATCAAGTCCAATTGAATCAATACGAAAGCGCAATTAGTAGCAATGCACCTGGGCAGATATTGCGCCCAAGTTGTTTGTGAAATCATAGAATCGTAGCCAAACGGCTTTCAGCTTCAATTCAGCTGGCGGTCGGTCGATGTAACCCCCTGCGCCTCGCCCAGCAGGACAAGGACGGCAGCCAAGCAGGCGATGGGTGCTTGGGCGCGGACAAGCTTTGGGGCAAAGCAATCGCGCGACTGGGCGCGCACAGCGGACAACAACTTGATGTCTTGGCCGCGGTAGTTTTGGGCGTTGCTGTCATGGCAGTGAATCAGGCACAACTACCTGAAACTGAGGGCTTCGAGACATGGCTGAGATGGCGTTTGCACAGGGAAAATGGGGAGGGTGTGATGCCGCCCGATCAAGGTTGGCGTATTCAGGTCCGGCGGTTGTATTTTGCGGCGTCAGGGTTACACGGGGGACGAAATGAGTGCCGTATGCACTTCAGGGCTATTACCAAACAGCTTCCTCATGCAGTCCTTGGCTGTCCGGCTGAGAAAGCCTATGCCAACTAGGGCTTGCTGTCTTGGTTTGACAGCTTCGGAGCAGTGTCCGTCAGAGGCAACGGGGACCGGCCGTGTGTCTTGGCCCAGCAGTGCTGATCCCTTCCGCCCAGCCTCCGAGACGTGAGCATGTTTGACGCGTTGTGCCGCCAACTCCCCGCGTCTATGGACTCTAGGCCAGACTCTCTCTTTCACACCATGATCATGATGCCTTGGGCAGGCGAACTCCAGGCAGCAGCGATGCTCTCCTTTGCTTATCGATGCGATAGTAAGTTAGAAGGTCGGTAGACGGAAGGAAGCTGCTAGACCGAGCACGCAGTTGCTGCCCGTTGCTCGCGTGAGCAGTGCACACCCTGCCGCTTTCCAGATGGGGCAACAAGATTCGTTTACCAGCAGGTCGGTGTGGGGGAGGGAACAACAGCCAAGCCACAAAGCCGGGCAAGAGCGACACAACGGTAGCTCTCCGACCGGGCAGGACGGGGCGGAACGAGGCGGAACGAAAAGAGACGTCAAGACTGAAAGTGCAGGTGCGGCAATACGGGGATATCAACGGCAGGAAAACGGGCAAGGAAGGTGAGTTGGGCTTGGAGTTGGAGTTGGAACTGGAATTCTGTAGGAAGGCACCGGGCAGTTGGAGTGTGACCAGCCTGATTGCCTGAGGACCCTCCTACCTGACCTTGGTTTCTCGACATGCGTGACCGTCACCCAGTCAATCAAAATCAATCAATGAATCAATCAATCATCACCAACCGACCAACAGATCAGCCAACCAGCCAGCGCATCATCCATCGCTCGTCAATCCGACGGGACATCGGAGCACCACCTGCGCAGCCCGCGCAATGCAACATTCTGCGCATGTGCCAGACGAGCTGGACGACAACCGGCACCAATCACCGGTTTCGATTTGCACTCTGTCGACAATCGAACCCTCCACAGACTTCCTCGTGCGGCACACTTGTCAGCTTGGCGATCCCTCGGCTTGCCCCGATCCAGAAGGTGCCTGGAATTCTTGCCCACCGCGAACCTAGCCTGGTAGCCCCAGCTTGAAACTTTTACGAGCTGGAATCCTTTCCTGCGACTGCGAGCATGCAAGCCCTGGGCCAGATGGCACTAGAATCCTTCTAGAACGCCAGTCCCCAGGTCCGCCGTGATAACGACAGGGCCAATGCCAGGCCAGAGACCGACCACCCACTGGCACGGCAGCATGGGTTGGCCAGGTGGCGAGGGTGTGCCGGTCTGCATGCAGCGGCTTGGAGTGCACTACAGTAGTCCCCGGTCTTGCTTCTGGCCGCGCAGCCGCGCACTATGGTACGGCTCCCAGGACCATCGAGGCAGCGTCTATCCAGCCCTGCCGAGGTCTGTTGTACATGTTCGATCGCACAGGAAGTAGTTTGCCTCGACAGAGTACACGACACGCATGCAAATGTCCGTGAAGGATTTGGCCTTGCCCTTTGTCTCGGCCAACGGGCAACCGGCACCATGAGGATCCCCAATGTCTGTCGCCTTTTAGCTCACCTCGCCTCATATCGCCAGCTGCCGCCCGCCAAGTGCAGACATCTGCTGATATTCCAGCAAACACTGGCCCTCCCAAGAAAACGGCAGTAAGCCGCGTGAGTCGTGAGTGCGCCCACCCAGCCCATCGTTAATCCATCAGTCACGAAATACAGGCATACTGATAAAGATGAGTCGGTCTGTTTGACCCGTCGACAAATTCTTCACGCGACCACTGAGCACGCAACTCTTATCAGTGGGGGGCGACCTGCCAATTGTAGCAGGACTGCCAAGCCACCAATCCGTATTGGACCGGATTGGAGGCAGTCCAAGCATTTCTCAAGCAAAAATCCCCCCAACGCCAGAACCTGAGCCGAAGAGTGTCCCGCCATGGCCCCTGGCCCTGGGGTCTTGTTAGCTCTTACTGTGCCGTTTCTCATCACTCTACTAGCCAGCCCCTCCCCCAATCGGTCGTTTCCATCACCGTGGCCACTGGCATGGTTGCATGGGGCTCGGCTGAGTTTTGCCTCCCTCTCTCTGCCCTTCTGCCCTTCTGCCCCTCGATTGCATCCGCCGGGCACCCCGTCCGGCTGTCTCAACTCTAGATTGGCCCGAGTATAGCAATGGCCGAGGTGCAACCGAGGGGCTCGTATGCAGATGATGAACCAACGCCCAGCCATGTGTGCTCGCAAAATCTCACCAGATGTCAGCATTGAACAGATGTGTTGCGCTTCTGTGGTCTGAATCCCGCCCCGTGGACTCGTTCGTAGATTTAACGTTGCAGTAGTGTGCGCGACCTGTCCTGGCCACCTGGTCAGCCTATGGACCGCCACGCCTACTGCCCCCAAGCCGCGTACCAACGAATCAGCACACCTCGGCTGCCATCGCCCGAACCCTTGAGCCTCTCTCCATTCACCTGCCAGGGGCCCCTGCATGTCGCCATTTCATGGTGGTTGTCAGGGTGGAGACGATGCGGAGGCGGAACTAACATTGAATCGTCCTCCTGCACTAGGTTCCAGCACCGCGGCTAGGTCACTTCTGGCTGCATCCAGCTACCTGGTCTGGCCTAGATAGAGTGATAGACGACATGGGCATCTGAGTAGGGGCGAGATGATCCCGACCGAGCCCTTGCAGCTTGCCAGTGGTCCCCGAAGCCAGATAAAGTTCCTGGCATGTCCCAGGTCTGTGTCTCGCAGATCTTCCCCTCCTCCTCCCTCCCTCACCCAAACCTCTCTCCCCAATTCTCCATTGATCAGGTTCAGCCATGTCGCAGACCGTGAACTTGGACAGAGCTGAGATCGCACAGGCCGAGGCGGCCGTGCATGGCCTCGAGCCTGGCCCGCCTAAGGGCCAGGTTGACGAGCTCAAGCCCGAGAAGGCCAGCATGGATGTCATCAACGTCCCAGACAGCTCCCACGGCGACCTGCTGGACGACGACGACGTCAACTACCCGAAGCCCACCGAGGAGGAGCTGCACACGCTTCGCAGGGTCTCTGGTCACATCAACTGGGCAGCCTACTCGGTCGCCATTTGTGAGCTGGGGGAGCGTTTCTCCTACTACGGCTCCAGCATTCTTTACACCAACTTTGTTGTCCACAGTCTTCCCCCGGGCTCCAACACCGGTGCAGGCTTCGGTAAGGGAGGCCAGTCCGGCGCCCTGGGACTCGGCTCCAAGGCTGGTCAGGGTATCTCACTCACAAACCAGTTCTTTGCCTACCTGGTTCCTCTGTTTGGGTAAGTTCATCGCTGCTGCGGCTGCCACCTGCATCAAGTGAGGGGAAATTTACTGACTGTTTTGCGACAGTGGCTGGCTCGCCGACGCCAAACTGGGGCGGTACAAGGTCCTCCACATCGCCATCTGTGTCTCCATGACTGCTCACGTTATCCTCGTGGCCGCTTCAGCTCCCTCCGTCATCACCCACCCAAACAACGCTCTTGGCGCCTTCGTCATTGGTATGCTTGTTCTGTGCATCGGTACCGGCCTCTTCAAAGCCAACGTGGCACCGCTGCTGGCTGAGCAGAACCACGACCGTCGCATGTACGTCAACACGCTGAAGTCTGGCGAGCGAGTCATTGTCGATCCCGCCGTCACCAACACCCGTATCTTCCTCTACTACTACATGGCCATCAACCTCGGCTCCTTGTCCGGCCAGATTTCCATGGTCTACGTCGAGCTGTACGTCGGCTTCTGGCTGGCCTTCCTGCTCCCCACCGCCATCTTCGCCATCTGCCCCATCGTCTTGTTCCTGATGAAGAAGAAGTACACCCTGAGCCCTCCCACCGGTTCCGTTCTGGGCAAGTTCTTCAAGATGTTCGGCATGGCCATGAGGGGGAATTGGGCCAAGATATTCAACCCGGCCAGCTTCAAGCGCAGCTTCACCTGGGATTCCGTCCGCCCGTCCAACGTTCCTGTCGACCAGCGGCCGAAATGGATGACCTATGATGACGAGTGGGTGGACGAGGTCCGACGTGGTCTCAAGGCCTGCAAGGTCTTCCTCTTCCTGCCAATCTTCTTCTTGGCCTACAACCAGATGACCAACAACCTCACCACGTAAGTGCCTCTGTTGTGGTGTCCATTTCATTGCGACTGCGAGCTAACAACCGAACAGACAAGCCTCAACCATGCAGCTGAACGGCGCGCCCAACGACCTGATCCAGAACCTCAACCCCATCTCCATCGTCATCATGATCCCCATCCTGGACCGTTTCGTGTACCCAGGCCTCCGCAAGATCGGCATCAACTTCACCCCGCTGAAGCGCATGGCCTTCGGCTTCGCCTTCTCCGCCGCGTCCATGGTCGCCGCCGCCGTGATGCAGTACTACATCTACAAGATGTCCCCCTGCGGCGAGTACACCACCGACCAGGAGTGCGTCGCGCCCATCAACGTCTGGGCCCAGTGCCTCCCCTACGTCCTCGTGGGCCTCTCCGAGATCTTCACAAACACCACCTCGTACGAGTACGCCTTCTCCAAGGCGCCCGACAACATGAAGAGCGTCGTCATGAGCGTCAACCTCGCCATGTCCGCCATCTCCTCCGCCCTCGGCCAGGCCTGGACCCCGCTCGCCGGCGACCCCCACTGGGTCTGGAACTACGGCTCCGTCGCCATCATCGCCGCCGCGGGCGGAGTGGGATTCTGGCTCTGCTTCAAGGACCTCGACAAGGAGGAGGACAAGTGGAACAACCTCAAGAAGTCCGAGTACAAGGGCACCCAGCAGCCGAATGCGGGCCACACGGCTGCTGACAAGTCGCTGGAGCCGGAGCCGGTGAGCGAGGTTCCCAGCGAGAAGATCTAAAGCATCTATCTAGGCGTAATGAGGCCTGGCTCATAGAGTTTTCGCCCGAGACCCACACCGCAGAGGAACTAAATAACGTGATTTTAATGATGTATGTATCATGGAGGGGCTTTTTCGGAACGGCGAGGACGCGACTACAACGGTCTGCCTTCTTTTTTGGGATTCAGGTTAGGGATACCCTGGGACGAGACACATGTTTCGTACCGATTCATCTCTCTGTTAATACATACTGGACAGCCCATGGTCTAGTTTCATACAAAACTCCCACTCTTGCTTCGTGAGGTCTATGTGTGCTTCACAGTCCTTCGCATTTGACATACTTTCATGTACCGCCACCATTTCATACTCGTGTCTCGGGCAGGTTCTGAATCGGTCATATCTTCGGGACCGTCTTTGAAGCACGATTATGCACAGCAGCCTCAAGCCTCGGGCATACCTACTTTTAAAGTACCCGCTTATTAAAATAACTGTCTTATATTAATTCGTTCATTCATGTCACGGCTTAGGAAATGAAGCAAGCGACCCCCCCCCCCTTTATACGCTCTTACACTCTCATGGCCCTGCCCTTACCTTTCATCATCCATGGGCTCCTCGGCAGGGCGTCTCACTTTGCGGTTCGTACATATCAGCAAGCACTCTGGTAATGACCAGCACAGGCTGACGTGCATGTAATGGTACGGAACCTGGTGAACGTCGCATTGCCCGTGGTTATCCACCCAGGATGTGTCCAAGACCGCGCCGACGCCCACTCTCCATCCGCGCGCCGGTACAAATGTTTCTGGTGATCGCGTAGGCTTCTGGGCTGCTGCTCGTCGGAGGGTCGATTCTTCGTGGCAGGACCGTCAGTGGCACCTCATTGCAACAAGGGCGGTCGCTTTCACCTCTTGGTGTGGCGGCTTTATGGCTCAATGCAGGTCGATGGTCACTTCATTCGCCGAAGTCCGGCACATAGCACGGCTTGTATGCCACGACAGCGTCCTCGACGCTGGCAGTGCTCTATAGCTTGGGCTGACCAGCTCACGGCTTTTCGTGCAGGGTATGAAGTGGGTAGTAACTGCCTAGGTCCCCCCCTACCTGTTCGTATTATTATTGTGCGCCGTACACCGTATTATTTTTACATGGTGTAGTTGATCAACTGAAGTACACCAGTACACTGTCAGATGGCTTGGAGGGTTCACAGGAATAGCTTACGGGCGCCAAAGGGGTCCCGGAAATCTCGAGCGCTGTTTGAGTTTGACTTGGTTGAAATACAGTCCACTGGCGTCTCAGCCCAAAGAAACCACAGGACTCAAGTACGCAGCCAAATTTGAAAGACCTCAGGTTTTTTCAACAAATTGTAATTGCGCTGGAGTTCAGGATCCGGTCTTGTGGACAAGGACATACCGCTGCTACAGTCTTATAATCTTCTTCGCTTCTTACAACACGGTAGAAGCGACTGGCCTTTCAGGATGCCAGCCCACAAGATCTTCCATCAAATCCTCTAGCAACTGCAACCCCACAGGGGGCGGAGAGGGTTTCTCTTAACGCATGTGACAGGGCAGTCCGCCTGGCAGACAGCCTGCTGCATAGAGGCACCACCGCATCCCCTAAAATAGGGGATCTCATGATCAGCCGCCTGGAATGCATTGAGCTCACCGTTCTCAGCTCTAGGCTGATTTGAATCCTTTTCACTTTAGAAGAATTGAACAGACTTTAAATACTCGAGCCTCAGGTCTATCCAGCCAAAAGTTGTTAAGTAGCAAAATGCTCTAGTGTGCAGTTCAGGTGATGGTGTCCTTCGTATTGACGGATCTCGGTGAGGGTCCATTTAGATCAGATAAGATAATCGTTTCACACATCACTCCACATAGTGGGATCTGACAAGAAGATATTTTCCCTTTTCGCTGCATCTGGAGAACTATACCTCGGACCAGGCCGTCTCACCCGGGGCATTCCTAGCTAATCTGGGAAGGTCAACATCCTGTCTACTGGCCAGAATAAGGTCCTTTTCAGGAGAAGAACCAATGCTCGGAGTATGCGGTCGTAACTCCGACTCCATTACCACGATCATGGTCTATTTACCTCATGACACAAACAGATACCCTTTTTGGCGGATTTGAAAACCCACTCATGTAGCAAGGGCAAGCTCGTAACAAGTCCAGATGAAAGCCTGATTAAAGAGGGCCGCGCCAGGCAATGTCGGGCGATGCTAACCTTTAGTATGAATAAGTTCCGTACTTAGGTACACGGCTAGATTACTTCGGGGGATTTCCACCGCCGGCGGTCTCATAACAAGTCAAATGTCTCTGGATCAGGCAAGAGAAAAGAGACCAGTGGAACTGTGGGTGCAACCGACATCGGTCGGCTGCAAGTCTTGCCCCTAAACTCGGGGCATAACGGATTCATAACTATGAAATGAAGAACATAATTGCAATCACGACCACGCCCAAATTCCCGAGAACACTCGACCTGTGCGTGGGAGAGCCCGCAACGGCCACGACTAGCCATATCGGCCTATTGATGACCCCCGAGATGTGGGCGTCTTTCGACGAGGGTAGATCGTGGCCCGTTGCTGCGAAGTCACCGTCCGGGCTGTCAAGCAACGGTGTGGATGTGGGGGAGGGAGGATCCAGGGGAGGGAGCGCGCCCAGTGTCCCGGGGCTGATTCCATGGTTGTTCCCGACCCTGCAGCGTGAGATGACTTATTAACTACTGGCATAATAAACTACTCAGCCCAAAGACCAGTAATTTCCAATCCCTTAGAAATATACCTAGCAGTTTATAAGCACCATACCATTATATTTCCCCCTTAAGGCCTTTTAAAGCTTTAAATGAAAAAAGCTAAAATGTAATTTTTAAATAAATAATTAAGAATAAAAAGTAAAAAAGAAGGTTTTAAGATTTCTTTATTAATAAAATATAAATAAATATATTAAGTTATATGTAAATTTATGTATTAGCTTAAGGCTGCTAAGGAATAATTAGAAAGCTAAGTAAATAGCAGATAGATTAATAAACAGTTGATTTTTCTTTTTTTTTTTTCAAAAAAAAAAAAAAAAACATAGTGTGGCCGAAGCCACTCGCAGTAATGATCTGCTCGTGTCATCGTCGACTGTGGACGACGTGGTCGCCGGCGAAGACTCCGATCCCGATGTCGCCAGACATCTTGCAGTACCGCAGGAACTGCGAGGACTTCTCGGAGAGGTAACTCGAGCCCACGGTGAAGCTGAGAGTGCCGGTCTTCTATTCGGCGTTCCTATCGATGCAGTAGTCGCACCCGAGGTAGTAGAACATAAAGGCCGACCCAGGCCTGCACAGCCCGGGGCTCCTGCCCGTTAACTGGGCCTCAAGGGAGAGGTTGTTGCACGCGTCGAAGCACGCCGCTGGTATGACTTGGTTGTCAAGGTGGCGGGCTCGTTCCCGTGGCTGGACATCTGGATCGCCGGTGTTATTGTTGAACTTCCGTTCCAAAAGGGAACGGGCGCCCACGGCCTTGTCGACGGCCTTGATGAAGACGCCATAGCCTAGATCGAACCGGACCGGGTCCAGGATGAAATACCCTTCATTGAGCGGGAACTTTCCGTTTTCATCATTGCCGCCGAGATCTATGGTTTTGACGAGCTGGCAGTGCGCACGTCGCAGAGACTGGCTTGGAGGATCGCAGTTGGTCCCTGGTGATCACCCTCATGTGAGGTCTGATCACTAGAGTGACTGCACAGGTGCTGAATCTCTATATCACTGGATTAGTAGTTGGGTTAGTAATGACTAGTAAATACCTGGCGCTATATGTTTTTGCCTTTTTGCAATTTCTAGAGATTGATTTTAAATGTCTTTTATTAACAAAGTCAAATGTTTTATTGATGACTTTGCATTTTCGACTGTATTCTGGAGGATTAGCTCTGAAAACATGCTGAAAGATGAGCTAGCTATCTACTGATAAACTTTTGGCTGGTGTAGCTGAACAGCGGAGCCAGGGATAGGGTCCGAGTGGCTGCCGGCAGTTGCAGCAACGGCTCCACGGCACAGCGCACACCAGCACTCACCGGTACATGTTTTTAGAAACTCCAACACGTCGGGCATTCCCGACCCCTCTCGCCCCGCGTCGTCGCCTTATCTTGCCTTGACGCCCCACGGAAACATTACGGCTTTCTTTGCAACCCCCATTGAACTATATGTAACGAATTCTGATCCTTACGCGCCTATTTCATCTAAATTTTCATGACGGCTGAAAGATCAAAGCATGGACCGCAATACACTACCCGAACCGACGTGCAAGGACTGTCGCGATGGCGTTGTTTGGGTTGTGCGAGAACTCCAACCAATCAACCCAAGGTCTGGGTACTTTGACTCTCGCCCAGGGTTCGATCGCATCCGTGTAGACGATTACCCTGCACTAGCCGGCCTACAAAAATCTGCAGCAGCTGGTTGTGAGTTATGCCGGTTGCTTCATGCCGCCGCGCTCTCAACGCAGGCTATCAATGTCTTCAATGATCAGAGAGTCAACATTCAGGATACGCACACGGTGCGAATCCAGATGGGTTTAGCTTTGATACGAAATCAAGCAGAAGACAGCATGAGAGAGACACCTTCAGACACGGAATCCAATGACTGGATTACGAGCGCTCACTTGACCTTCCACCTCGCTATAGGAGAGCAAAGCATCCTCACATCCGGCCTTCGCCGAGGGGTGTACACACCAAATCACGAATCATACATGAACTTTGTTATGGCTCGTTGTTGGGTCAGTTTACCTCTGACGTCTGGGCCAGGCTCCGGCCCTTCACAGCAGCTCCCGCCACCTTTGCACCCAAATGCCCTTGATCAGGGGCCAGTCAATCTGATGAAGTCTGCTATACAACGGTGTACCCTGAGTTGCAGCCACTCCCACGATAAAAACGAACCGTTTCTCCCATCCAGGCTTGTTGATGTGAGAGGTGATATACTCCGCATCGTCAAAAAAACTGAAATCAGATCGGATTGCCACAGAGATCTGAGATATCTGGCCCTTAGCTATTGCTGGGGTGGCATGTCACAACTCACATTCAATGCCTCGACTGAATCATGGCTGTCGTCCGGCTTCAGCTCGAACGATTTGACGCCAGTACAGGCCGATACGGTCTCCGTCGCGAAAGCACTATCCGTTCCATGCATTTGGATAGATGCCCTCTGTATACGTCAAGGTGACAATGATGATTGGGATCACGAAGTAGAGCTCATGGACAAAGTGTACTCTAATTCCTTTGTCACTATCTGTGCCGTGTCATCCACAAATTGTCAAGAGGGATACCTACATCGCGATGGAACCCGAATCCCCATTCACACCTTTGGCTTGGAAAACCAAGACGAGACAGCCTCTTCGTGGTTCATCCAGGCATTACCCATCATTTCCCACGGGATTCCTTTACATCGACCACTGACCGAGGAGCTGGGATCTAGCGCTTGGCTTCGCCGTGCTTGGACGTATCAAGAGAACGTTCTTTCAACCCGCTGCATGCTTTTTTGCCGCTCTGGGGTGCACTTTCGCTGCTCTAGTTTCGAATGCTCAGAATATCTTGGCGTCGTAGGCCGATCACGATCCAAAGGCCCGTCGCCCCTCAGCACACGAATTCTGTTACGCGATGATTTCGCCAACCCGAGGGATGAAGAGAGTGTCCACTTGGCCTGGGCAAAGGTCATATATGACTACTCAAGACGCGAAATCACACACGCCGCAGACCTCTTTCCGGCCCTTTCCGGGCTGGCAAAGGAGTTCTCCCTTCAAATCGGCAGCCACCAATATGTCACAGGACTATGGAGAAAAGAACTCTTCAAAGGCTTGATGTGGCGAGTAGAGGCGAAAGGAATCAAACCTCCAGATGCAAATTTGTCATTCCAATCCCTGCTAAAAGGTTTGCGTGGTCAGCAATACATCGGTCCGTCGTGGAGCTGGGTCGGCCGTGGACAAAGGATACAACCTTGTGCTCGTGGCACATCGGGCGACATAGTTGGCGCTGGAGAGAGCGCCATATCATTCCCTACGTACAAAAGTCTGGTGCCCTCGGTGACGCCGCTGACAGAGAACATCTTCGGCCGAATATCCACTGCCCGACTCACTTTGGAGACGCCCGTTTACCCTCTCGCAAGTGGGGTCCATTTTCCAGATGTACAGCCACCGATTGATTCTCATGTGTTGAGGAACGGACTGTCGATTTATCTAGGAGATAAAGACGGCCCATGGTGTCAACTCGAAGTCGACTGGAACTTCGCTGGCGACAAAGAAGTCTTGCACAGCTTAACACTTGCACTTTTAGGGAATTCCACCCCTGACGAGGGAGGCTGGTACTATCTGAGGCAATACAAGGGGATTACACTAAGGGAGATCAAGAGCCCTTTCGGCTTGGTCCTCCATCCTGCCCCTGGTAATGGGGAGTATTTGCGCGTTGGAGTTTTTAGCATACCAACAGAGGCCCTTGATGATGAATTTTCGCACTGGAAATTCTTCGAGAACTGCAGGGTGCTATCAATACACGTGATTTAGTTGAAAATTACCACTACAGTTCTAGACATCTTAGCACCCGTCAAGTGATTTTCATGCTGAGGCGGAAGCTGTTGCTGTTTCCGCTGGTCTCGAAGCTGTTACAGTCTCTTGCTTTGCGGACACTGTTACCGTCTAAGCACATGCTGTCACTTTGTCGCCCGGTGCGGTGACAGTCTCTCCGGATGCTGTGACTGTTTCAGGAGGCGACGATATCTCTTGGGTCACAACTAGTGTCGAAGCCGGTAGGACGTTGGCTTAAACTTCGGTTTGTGCCGGATTATTTTGTGTCACTGTCACTGGGGAAATTATAGATGTCCGGACCTGCACTTTCCTTGTGCCATCCAGTATCATTGTTGACGCGGATGAAAAGTTATAGTCACCTTGCAGTGTAGAGACAAGTTTGCCTATCAACATGGCCACATAGTTAGTTCCAATGCGTTTATACCGCTCTGGCTTCTCCTGCTCCCAATAACACGATTTTTAACGTCTGTTAACTAAATTGAGAACGAACTTATATCGACTCTCACAAGACACGTATGTACTTATTTCGACGGGGACCTGAGCCTCCTGTTGTCTTTTCTCCAAACACACGATCGTTGCAAGGGACCCCACCGTTCCGCTGCCCAGACTTAGTCACCCCAGCCGTTCATCGCTCTTCCCGGCTCCACGGCACTTTAAGTTCCGGGAGGGGCCGAAACCCAACTTCGGGTGGCAGCCAACGCTTTTGAAGGTGGGCATTACTTGTACACGTGAACCAAAGCTCGCGTTAAAAGAGAACGAGAATCGGTTGAGCACATGCTAGACTCAGCGGCCAGGCTCCTATCTAGAAGTTGATAAATGTAATTCCGTGCAAGGAGATGCAAACTTGCTATCATGCACTCAGGCAGGGTAGAGCATAAGTCACCGCCGATACTGGCCATCGAAATATTGTCAATGCCCTTGGTTTTAAAGACGCCTCAAGGGTGTCCGATCTAACGAGCGGCACTTCCCTTGGTACCATTTTAAAAACATGGCGAAGTGGTCCCACAGCCCGGGAAAGTTTATGTACAAGATCTGTGGGGTCCTTCGTCTTGTCACCTTGCTAAGATGTTACCAATGCTGGTAGATGTGCACCATAGTACGGCCGCCCCTCATGTGGCCCGAGTTACAAAATATACTGATGGCGTGGAATACTTTCTTCTACCGTACTATACATGGTCATCCTGCTGCAGATTGATAACAGGTCTCTCACACTTCTTTAGTTCTATCTGATGCCTATGATATCCTGTCACAATTCTCTCTGTACTCAGACCATCACCCTTTGGGAGAAAAAGTCTCCCAAACCCACAGACATCGCAGTGGTTCTTGTTCCGACGCCCAAGCTATTCAAACTGAAGTACCTGGGTATGGGTGGATTATTGTGTCCACTAATACGCATTGTTCGGGCGAATCATCCGCCAGTCTGCAATGCATGGTCCTCAAAGTATGTGATCCTGGCAAAGGTGGTGCAGTGTTGGATGGTGCAGTAGCATTCGAAATCTGACAGAAGACTCGATTGCACCAGCGTCCCACCCCCAGATTGGCTCCAACGTAAATTAAAGGACTAAGCCCAGGAAACGGAAGCACGTTGTTTCTGTCATTGAGGGGCCGGTGGAGGTCCCGGCGGTGGGGCCGTCTGTACGACAAGAAACGAAGATGATTGTTCAACATCAGATTCCTTGAATCATTAGTATTTGGCATGAAATGCGGGGCCCCGCAAATGCCAAGAATATGATGCGCTGTGGGACTTAATTTACTACAGGATCCGCGCGTGCGAGCACACCTCTTCACCGCTGAAATCGTGTTCACAGTACATCGTGGTTTTGAACAGATTCGTAATAACATGAGCAGTTTGGACTACACAAGACGTACATGCTTCTAAGTATGTCACATTCTCAGGGCTTTTTTTGATTTTGTTAAGGTTTATATGGGGATATTTGTTCACCCGGAAGCAAGCTAGCCAACATTCTACTCAAATATACAATAAAACATTCTTATATACGGTGCTGGGTTTACGGTCCCTTGGGATAGGGTCCTCTTGACGTCAAGACACTTTTCATTGGCATACATCGGTGTGGGTGGTAGTGATAATACGTCAGATATAGATTGCTGCCCAGGTGGATCAATGGTATCCTGCGGTCCGAATACCCCTCCTTGTCGTTATACGAGAGACTCATTCTATCGGGTGGAGCTCTGCCGAGGATTTAGACTCCATTCCTGTAGGAGCACTATTAGGAGCGAAAACGGCTGGAATGGCTTGGATTTCTCTCCCATAAATACGCGTAAAGCCTCACGCTCAAGACCTCTTCCCCCATCAAGGGCACCTCATCAATTCTCATCTCCAGATCACCACTTTCTAGTGTCCTCATCTTCTCCAGTGATCTTTTCGAAACGCAAGTCACTATGCCCTGCCTCAGCCTAATTCTGACGGCCTTGTCAGCTGTCTGTACAGTACTTGCTGCTCCCAGTGCGACCTACGTCGATTGGAAGACTTTCAAATCCAACGGCGCCAACCTCGGGGCATGGCTTGTCCAGGAGAAGTCTCTCGACACTGGCTTTTGGGACCAGTATGGCGGCAATGCCACTGACGAATGGGGCCTCTGTGTTAATCTTGGTTCCCGTTGTGGACCGGTGCTCGAGCAAAGATACGCGTCTTTCATCACCACAGCGACGATTGACAAGCTAGCCAAGGCAGGATTCAGCTCCCTTCGGATCCCAACCCACTATGCGGCCTGGATTAAAGTGCCAGGCTCTGAGCTCTACTCGGGAAACCAAGTCAACTTTCTCAAGACGATTTCGACCTATGCCATCAACAAATATGGCATGCACGTTATCATTGGCTTGCACTCTTTGCCCGGGGGTGTGAACGGCCGTAAGTGTCTTTTGAACATGATTTCAGCGTTTTACAATACTTGCCTCGGAGCGATCTCTTGGGGTCCAGAATTTGAATCAGGCCATTAGCAAATAGAGTCTTGATTCCCCCGGTATCTCTCCTACATGTGACTTCGTTGCAATACTCTTCCATCATGCTTGGATAGCTAATTCTTGATGCTGCAGAGGGTATCGGAGAAAAGGACGGGAACTACGGGTGGTTCAACAATCAAACTGCTCTTGACTACTCATACCAAGCCGTCGATGCAGTGCTGAAGTTTATTCAGAGCAGCGACAGCCCGCAATCATACACCTTGTCTCCCATCAACGAGCCTATCGACAATCGCGACTTCTCGAAATTCGGCACTCCAGATGCTCTATCAGAGTCGGGAGCCCAGTATACCGCCCAATTTATCCAAGGCGTTCTCTCGCGGGTCGCTGCGGTCAATGCCGGCATTCCTGTCATGTTCCAAGGATCCTTCAGGAAGGAATCCTATTGGTCATCCAAGTTCGCGGCTGGGAGTAACCTGGTATTTGACACTCACAACTATTACTTTGCCGGCCGACCCACTACTTCAGCAAATGTTGGTGATTATCTCTGCGCTGACGCGAAGGAGTCAGCCGGAGACGGTAAATTCCCTGTCTTCATCGGCGAGTGGTCGATTCAAGCTGCTACCAACAACACACTCGACAGCCGGAAGTCGAACTTCAACAAGGGCCTGTACGTGTGGTCCAAGTATGCACAGGGAAGCGCACCATGGACGGCGCGGATGTTGGGCACTGCTCCTGTCGATGGCGAAGGGACCCAGACTGATTATTGGAATTTGGAGGCTTTGATCGACCAGGGTTTCGTGGATCCTGACTCTGCGAATGGTTTCTGCCCCTAGTATATATGGTGACCCGATAGTTGTGTGGCCTGGAGTGTGGTTTATCGGGGGTTGGAGAATGTCCACACAACGAAATAGCCACATAACGCTCGTTTCTCTCGATGTCCAGCCACTTCTGCCCCTAAAACGAGTGTAAGAGGGTCTATCCTGTCATTCTCGGGTCTTCAATATTCCTGCTCAGTCCAGGATCACATCGGAGTCCCTTCGAACTATATGAGGTCCTGAAAAGTCACTTAGACCCTGCAAGTGAAAACGGATGTCTGAGCCAAACACATGAAAGGTGTCCTGGAATGGTAGAATTGACGGCGGATGAAAGAAAGGTCGAAGCAAAAAAAAGGAGCAATTAAAGCCTCACCTGTGATGACTGCTTTCGAGTCATAGCTGGTGGTGCCCACACAGAACAAATTCCTCAAAAAATTGTAACTGTCTCAACCCCTCCTTGAACGTTTTCTACACGACTCCTGTCCATGTGAGGCCAAGATTCAGGCAGTGGAACCCAACAGACGCCAACCCGACGATATGCCCCTGCATCACCCAGACATCGACCCCCAGGCTCGACAGGCTCGAGCACGAGGCCTTGCGGGCCACACTCGAGCAGATTGGTGTCGGGAAAGTTCGGCGGGAATTTCGGGACGACTGGCAAGCAGAAGAGACTTGTGCAGTCGACAGGGGCGATATCCTGTCTCCGTTCGTAAAATCGAATCGAGTAAACCTTGTCATGTTTTTCTTCCAGGAGGAAAACACAGCCGTCCACAGTTATTGAGGCCCTAGCCAATGTCCCGTACGGTGCTTCAGAGTTGCGAGGAATAGCGCAGACCTCGCGGACCCTCAATCCCTGCTCCCAGGCTGTGAGGCTGACGAAATCAAAGACTTCGTCCTTCATTTGAGGAGTTTTTATATAGACTGGATTCTCATGGCTTGCCCATGACCATGAAGGGGCGGAATAAGATGGCAGTTGAGAGTCCTGTCCTTGACTTTCGGGCTCGACTCGACCAGTGTCATCCTCCCCCCAAGTCCAGCCATACTTCGCCAAAGTCCAGTTCTCCTCCGCCCAAGTCCAGTGATCCCCATCCCGGGCCCATAGGAGCTGGAGGGCTAGTATTCCTGATTCGAAATGGTCCTGGGGATAGTATTTGATCTCCAGCCCCGAAGAGTCCTTCACTCTGGATGAATATGCAGGTGAATAGTGCACAAGGAGGCCAGCCACAAATTCGATCCGATGCCCCTGATCCGATGAGTCATTCGACGACGCTGACAGAACAGAAGCAATCCCAGATATGGCCGGCAGCCTGTCCCTCTCGTGACACAGAGCCCGGGTCACATAATGGTTGACAATATTGCTCCAGACCTTTAGTTTCCTCCAAACCAACTGGTGATCGCATCGCCCCGCCGTTGCTCGGCAAACAGCGGACAGTGAGTCGTGCAAATCAGTTAACACATCATAAAGGTTCTTCCCGTATGACTCTGTGCGGCAAGACCATCTGATGATGCGCGGAGTAAAAGTGACCAAGCGATGGGAAAGGTAGTCCTTCCTGCAGTGTCCACGCTCGTGAGTCAATGGCTTGGTCAGGGACGACGTCGAACCTGAGAATTCCCAAAGAGGAAGACTGTTCCGGGATGTCAGGGCTGACTGGGAAATAGAAGGGACCAGTCACACCGCGTCTGTCCTCACGCGGCATTGCATGATCCTGTAAGAGACCTTCGCTACAAGATGATGCCGTCGCTGCCGATATAGTAAAGTAGGCGTTACCATAGTAATGATGCATCCTCGCGATCTCCTTGGCTAACTCGTGCTCCTCGTCCTGCACAAGGCACAGGCTGTCAACCCAGAGGAGCTTGATACCGAGCTCACGTGCTATGCGTATAGCGTCTGCGATGGTCTTGGGGAGCGAACTGATTGGGATACCATGTTCCACTTCGGCTTTGTTTGCCGACGTAGTTTTCATAAGCTGATCTTGGCCCCAGCAGTAGGAGAGCGCAGCATAAGGCTCTGAATCGTTGTCGAGATTCTGTGCTCGTATGACCTTCACGGCGGGGTCTGTTGACCCCCCGACTGAAAAGAAGCGGCATGGTCTAACGCCATTTGATACCATCTTGCAATCCTGATGATTTGCCCGACAATACTCCAGCCACCGTCGAACCTGTCCTATGGCCTGCCTTGATGATGTGTGTCCGTCAATCGACCGGGCTAAGGCATGGTTGGCGCTGGGGTCATCTGTCCCCTGAATGTGAGCAAGATGGGAGGTAGGTTAAATACTGAAGAGGAAAGTCAGAGGAGGAATTTCCTACCCCAATCAGAGATTACAGTAAATGGTCTCCAGCTCATGTAACGTGCACGGAATCCATCTCTTTCAGCTGCAACATTACAGCCTGTGATGTCGTAGAACACCTGTCTTGGGCAGTCGGGGGCTGGTAGCAGCAAGTTATCATCAGCAGACTTGGATTCAACGACAGGTGTATGCTCTAGCTTTACTGCCTTCAGTTCGAAAACCATGGTTGTTGTTTTCAGATTATCTGGTGAAAGGTGATATTTATGTATGGGCTGCTTAATATTTTTCCAGAGCCAGACAAAGAACGGACAGCCTTCCAGGGCTGCTTGCTCAATGGCATTGGGGCTGTGTTTTAAAGGCAGTCGCCACTTTGTGCTCTGCCTGTCGGCCGTGGTTGCAGGCGTGCTGCCCTTGATTGTAAGGACCTCAGTTTGGCAATGGCAGCAGGCGTGCCTGGTGGTACCTTGAAATGAGTTCATTCTCGGACATAGCAGGCTAAGTGGGAATCGTTTGAAGCGAGTGGTGTGAGGAAGCCTTGTCTCTATTACACTTCAACCACTCGGAACTTAAAAACTTTTACGGCGTAGTGGGTCTAGGTCCGTGCTAGTCCTGCAGGATCAAGCAACCAACTGTTGAAGAGAGGCACATTCAGCCACATATACAAGTGGGACTCGTGGGAATTTGGACCACTCAAGAGGTAGATCAATAGGTGGAAATGCCAAAGATATTAGGACGCTGTTATTTCTTGAATATGGTGACTTCTTTGATGACAAAGCTCATGGGAAGTGCCATTAAGGTTTGGCAATATTGAAGAAAATAAATTTTGACAGGGTACAAAATAGATAATATGTAAGGCACTAGCTATGATAGCTTTTAACGTTTATAGGAAACCTTGAATCGTACCAATGCTTGGTCACGGAATCAAAATCGATCCCTCACTGCATCTGGTCACACACAACAAAAGAATTCTAAGACCTAGTTGTAACCGGTGCCTTGACACCCATAACTTGGGTGACCTCTTCCCTTGGCATCCATGATTGCCAATCCTTCGTTCCGCCGTGATTCGATCAATTGAATTCCCATAAGCTTTTTATAAAACGGGACTGACCGTCCCCAGTCTGCTGTGAAGAGCATGCTCCGTCTCAAATGCGGCATCTCCTCGACAACTTCCTGCACACAGGTGACCAACCAGCTCCCCAGCCACTTTCCTTGGTATGATGCATCAACCCAGACATCTGTCAGATAAACGAAAGTAATAAAGTCGGTAACGCATCGGGCGACACCAATGAGCGTGGTCTCTGATGCAGAGTCATCTGGGGGCTGATGGTCACGTTGCTCGTATAAACCAAAGGACAGCGAATTCTGGAGCATCTCCCGCATGTCTTGTGCTGGCAATGGCTTGGCCCAGTAGAAGTACTTGCTGTCAAAGATGTCAATGAGAGTCGGAATGGGAAAGTGAGCGGGGTTTGTTGATATGAGGAACTGGTCTTTCCTCCAAGATCTCTCCTGGAGCTTGGACTTGGTAGATGCAGCGTCCATGACGATCCTTCGAAGTCGGGTTATACGCGCGTTTGCTTGTCGCTTGAATATGATTAAAGGTGCAAGAGTGAGGTGTTCGACAATTTTATGGATGGATCCAAAGGGAGATGACTTATAGCAAGGAGCGGTACCACGCATGCCACTCACGTTCAATGCCGCGCCAGCTTTGAAAGACTCAACTATGGTAGCTGTACTAGAAGCCAAGTAGTTTCTTTGGTATCGCCCACATCAAACAATAAGCATATAAATACTGTCAAGTATTCAGATATAATAATTGTATGCATATGAGTATCCACGATACTCGTGTCTTGTCCAAATACAACTAAGGATCGTTGACGCCCTTGACCCCATCCGTCACGCCAAAGAAGCCGCACTCCTTCACGGCACCACCCGTCAGCGCGGCCCTCTGGGCAGGATCCTCAAGCACAGAGGCGCCGGTGGTAGGGTCCTTAGCTATGAAGAGCTTGGGGTATAGATCCTCGTAGACACATAGCAAGGGGTAATACGCGTTACCCGCCGTGTCGAACGCCATCATCAGGGATTTTCCCGAACCGTCGGGATCCACAGGGGCCAGAGTCCTGCGAAATAGCGTTAGCATTGACACGAATAACCTCATAGGCATAGTTTGATCAGGGGTTTTGGAAGGGTTTTGGACATGTGGAGAGGAACTTACAGCATGACAGATGTCTTGGGAAGGTGGTTTCCATCAGCAAGACGCAGCCTAGAGACACCCAGGCTGGCCAGTGTATCGACATAGCCATGAAGCAGACGGCCCTCAGAATCTCCAACAACATTCCCGCTTGCAGACTCGGCGAACAGAATGGTGTCATCGATGCCATGGGCCGTGGTGGAGTCGTCAAGGATGGCGTACAGGTTCCCATTGTCCGCATAGTGCACCTCCAGACCTCCGTCAGCGGCGTTCAGCACGGTGTAATTCAGGACCGGTGTCGTCATGTTGGAGAGGTTCTCGTCGGTTGTTCGCGGCTCGGCTGGCACGTGGGTCTCGGGCCCGTGTCCAAAGTGCAGTGTCCTGGCTGTCACGGAGCCCTCTAGGCTGCGGCGCTTCGGGATGGTGAGGCACTTGCTGAGGACAGGGATGCTGAGCGTGTTGATGTCCTTCTGGCTGCCCGCGAGGTCGGCATATACGTAGTTGTTAAATGTCACATCCAGCGTAACACCGGCACACTGGCCGTTTCCTATCGTTCCGCTCACGCTGCCACCAGACAGCGATGCCTGGCCACTGACCTTGGCGGCGACGTTGATGTCTGGCTTCTCCACCAACGCGACTTGCTTCTTGATGGTGCCTGCTAGGATGTCGATTCCGAACCCGACGGCGAGAGTAAGAAACGCGTCGGCTGACGCTGCTACTGCCGCCTTGACCTCGAAGACGGGGTTGACGTGTGGCTTAAAGCCACTGGCGGAAGAAGCGCCCAGGTCACCTATATCGATGGTGGCCTGGATGGCTGGCCAGTCAAGCACGGCACCAGCAAGGAGCTGCCCAACCGCGTCAACAGTCAGGGAGCCGCCGGCTGAGAGTGTCACCTGGGGCCCGATTGTGATGATCCCAGGAACACTCAGAGGCGACAGTGGCACGGTGGCGATGTCTCGGGTGTAGGACCAGGTGTTTTTGTAGCTCGCGACGATGCCGAGCTCAAGGGCTGCCTGCACCGCACCGTTTGCCTTGAGGTTGCCGCTGACCGAGAGCTTGCCCACGATGAAAGTGACGGTCCCCGTAACGTGGATTTTTCCCGAGACGCCGCACCCGACACAGTAGATGGCGATGGCTCCGCCGTTCTCGGTCTTGGACAAGAGCTGCTTGCCAACACCCCACGGTGTGGAGTCAGACCCCTTGGGGGTGGCAAAGTTGAGGTCGTTGTCGATTGGGGTAAAGGTCCGTGGCGTGAAAGGGTTGAGGGAGTCATAGGCCTTGGCGGCAGCCTCGACGACCTTGTCTTTAGCATCAGCCGCAGCCTTGGCCACGCTACTGGCGACGTTGGAAGCAGTGTTCGCGATTGTGCTTCCCACGTTCTTCACAGTGTTCACAACGGAGCTCCACCATCCACGACGCTCGAGTCTTGTGTAGACGTGCGTCTTGGAAGGACGGTGCCTCTTCTCAGGCTGGGCCGGTAGGGCAGGTCCGATGTCTTCGCCGGCAAAGTCCGCAAATGTCTCGCCGGTGACCCCAGGGTAGAGCTGCGGCCAGTATGCCTCGTCGTCCACGTCCAAGAAGCCAATCAGCTCGTCCAGGGCAACGTCGAAATCCGGCGAGGAGGAATCTGGGTTGGTCGACGACGGCGGCGGCGAAGAAGAGTTTGTTATAGGGCCACCAGGGCCACCAGCACTGAAAGAGCCACTCCCGTCCCCATTTGAGAGTGTGAAGTTCCCGAGCTGGACCTCAACGGGGTTATTGTCACCGACAGCCTTTGTGAGATCGATCAAGGAGATGCTGGCAGTGGCACTAAGTCCGTCTGGCGAGAACGTGACACTGTTGACAAGAACATATCCATGCTCACCTGATGCAGAAGCGCAGGCAGGGTTCGAAGTGATGGCAACAAAAGAGGACGCCTCAGCTGTCCAATGACTCTGGGCTGTGTCGAAGGCTACTTGGCTAGTGAACTTGACCGACAGGCTCGTAGAATCGCATGTCAGGTCACTTATCAAAGAGGAATGGTCCAAGACGACACAGGGATAGGCCATCTGGGGGATGATGACGAAGGCAACAGGAACATCTGAAGTGTCCGTCAGCCATACCGTAAAAAGCAGATTCAAAGCCAACAATCATTATCATACCATTGCTGGATAGTTCCGGAGCTGAATAGAATAGATTAGCCTTATTGTCGAGACGGAGGTTGGCGACGTTGGATGGGTCGATATCTGGGTGAATAGCCGGAGCGAGCAAAGTGGGATCAGGAACTGGACCGCTCGGAGCCACATATGGCCCGCTCACGAATGTATTGGGTCCTTTGACGACCGAAAAGGTCGGCGGTGGGGGGCCCGCAGCGCAGTCAGTTGGCGCACCGTCATGGACCGTGACGGTGGTGGTCGCAACAATCTCTTCGAGGACGACGACCGGGGTCCCCTCGATGTCGAACGTTGTAGTGAGCAACGGGGAGGCCTTGGCGATCAGAGGGAGACAGAGGGCAACGGCCCCAAGGGATATAGAGTTGACATACATAGTAGCAGAATTAATAAGTTCAGGGTGGAGAAAAGAAGGACTGAAAGAGGCGGACTATCTTTTGTGTCCGTACTATTAGAGAATGAAGCCCGCCAGAGCGGCTAAAGAGTGACGACTGTGAATAAGCCGGTTTAAAAACGCCGACATACGGGCAAAGTTGAAATATTTATATTATTGCTCGTGATGCGTTCAAGGTTACCAGTTCTCAGTGGAGATTTTCCGTATTATCGACGGATTTGTTTCGCCCAAGGGACACGTCCCACCCGATGTCCAATCTCCCATAGTCACCTGCTTGCTGTTCCATGAGCGAAGAAATTATCGTCCTCGCCTGACATTCCACAAAAGATTAGGAGTTCGTCATCCGGCTCACGAAAAACAAACAAAGGCATACGATTGCTGCTGGCCAATGTGCACCGTGTTGCTCTGAAGCTGCTCCTTCTGATGTCTTGGTACCAGTTGTATGGTTCTGCCGCGCCGGTTGGCGACTTCGACTACGAAGGAACGCACCTCGAGTTACACAGACATCCTAGGAAGAAATATAGAGCTAGTTCTAGACTGGTCTATCCCTTGGTGTCTGGGTGCCAGCTGCAGGTAACGTGCAATCCCAGGCCAAGAATTCCAAGACGGACTGGCCCGGCTGGGCCTGGGGTATAGCCCCTTGGCATGCGTTTTCCTTTTCCGGCAAGCTCAACACCACGTCGTTGGTTCTCGACGCAGCTTTGGTTAGCTTGGTATCATCGGCCAGTGGAGAGAAAGCTGAGGAATGAGAAAGTATGAGACAGTCCTCACCATTGACAGCCATTTACAGGACGTCTCGCACTGCTGGGAATGCTCTTCTACCAGTAAATCATGCCATGGCCTGGAGCTTAGTGCAGATTGCCTGTTCGCCGACACGGTATCGTGAACTACCTAAATGAGGGAGTCAACTTCCCCCGAAGGCCTTGTAAGACACAATATCTGGAGTAACCTCAAGCATAAGCACTAACAGGGACAGCTCGTGACGCGAAGGTATTCTGACAGAGCCAAGAGAGTTCCAGAGGGATAGGAAAATTTGGGCCTGGGCGCAGGATCGCAAGTTTTGGCGCCGTCTTTCTGATGCTCTTCTGCACGGAATGTGCCAAAAGCGGGTGGTAAACGCGGCTCAGTACGTCTTCAGCAATCTCGTCTCGCGGGAAAGAAAATTGCCACTAATTACAATGAATACTCACCTCAAGCTTGATGAGACTGGTCCATCAGGACCACTTGAAAACCCCAGATCAGCAGGACCAGGTAGTTAACACATGCCTCGACAGGACATTCAAGATCACGCCTCGAGTGCATTGTTTTGAGCATCGTTTGCAATCCCGGCTTAAGCGCGCTACGGGGACGGCCGGCAGCACGCCTAAACCAACCGCCCAAGTCACTCGCAATAATTACGTCCAGGACAGGTTTAACCAAAACCAGCAAAACTCCAAACAGATCACTCCAGACTCATATAACCATAATTTTAGGACAATCACATTCTGACTTCAGATCCATTCCAGATCCAGGGTCAGCTGAACAGGAGGCGATTATATAGGTGCAGGGATAGCTTGCCTTTTCAGCCAACGACCCATATACCTATGAGGCTGACTTAGGGCAGGTTGGTGTGTTCATATATCTTTCTGCGCCTTCCGACGTAGTACTTATCTTACTCCTTGTATTTTCACGAGCTTTGTCTCCGTGGATATGCGCCATGAGCACCATCCCATTGTTGCTTGAGATCTCTAAATAAAATTCTCATCAACTTTTTGCTCCGGGATGTCTGGCGTCCAATTCGACTTGCTACCTCAGCTAATCAACTATGCTCGCTAAGCACCCAAGACGTAAAAGTCCTGCCGCCATTCTCTGCAAGTGACCAACCGTTTCGTCTACCTATTTGATACTTTGGGCCTAGCCCTCATGAGTAGCTTCGTCCTGGGGTCCGGAAACGACAGCTCGTTGATGAAGGAGGTAGTGGACGTCTCCCCGTCGCGAGCAGGGCGGAAGTCCATCCCAGGTCCTGCGGCTGTAGCCGAAGAGGAAATGGTCCTTGTGGGCCTGGACCATCCTGGCCTGCCTGCGGTATTATAGTAATGGGGTTGATTTGCGATAATAGTTCACTATGTGGTATGGGATTCGAAGAACCCGTTGAATGCAGCCAAGTGATCTTCGACCTTGATGCCTTTCTTCTCGGCTTTATCCTTTGATGCCTGGATCCAGTAGTGCGTATTGGTCTTCATCCGCGATGACCAATATCCCATAATCTCCTCTGTCGGCTTCAGGTCATGTATGAAGCACAGAACAAGAATTGCATTCTTGATTATCCCTCCTCCGGCCTTCTTGTCCACAGGCTTGGGCTGCTGTGTAGACTCGCTCGTGAAGGGCTGGCTCTCAGGTTCCTTGGATAGCAGCTCGAAATGCCGCAATAACTGCGTCTTGAATTTCTCCGTATTGACCCCTCTGCGCTTCGATGTTGCTGTCCGCGGAGCGATTTTGTTGGGCTCGTTTGTAGGCATTGAGATGTCGCCGGTGAACCTTTTCAGCACATCTTCCGGCCTCTCGGAGTTCTTAGACCCGTTCTGCTTGTAGTACTTGGTCATCATGTAACCGAGTACGAGCGAGGCTGAGCGGGACTGGCCCATCTTGCAATGAACCAGCACATTCTTGCCCCGTGATAGGTAGTAGTCCATAAAGTTGAACGCCTTTTGAAAATAGGCAAGCAGGTCTGAACTGGAGTTGTCCTCCAACTCAATGAGATATTGGCCCCTTTTCCCGCCTGTCCACCCCGGTTTGAGTGGCTGGCCTTTCCACTTTTCGTACAGTTTCTCCCATTTATCCTTTGCCAGCCAGTCCTCGGGATGTATAGACACGACGGCACTGATAGCATGCTTTTTCAAGACGCCCATCTCGTTGATTGAGTCCTTGATACCACCAAGCCAGAGTCTTCCATTCCATAACGCAGACGACACCCCTTCTGGCCGAGGGTTGATCTCCGTAACGGGGTTCCACTCGGCTTCGATATCAAGCAGATATGAGATTGTGTTCCGAACAGCTGTTTGAAGGCCAACCACGTGTTCAATCCCGTTCTTGACTCCCACCAGGATTGGGAGATTCGATAACAGAATGTGCTCGGTGTTTTTGCTCTTGCCCTTCGAATTCTTCAGCTTCTTGTCCAAAGAATCGTAGCTATCAAACCATCGCTCATTAGGATAGTTCTGGTGTAGCTCTCTGCGCAAGATATTCCCGTCGAGGGCCTTGTACGTCAGGACAATATGTCTTTTCCTTTGCGGCGACGAAGAAGCTGAGCCTGGCTTGCTGGACGATGCCGTGACTGAATTTGCACTGGCCTGACTGACTGGCTTTCTGGCCCGACGTTCCGCAGGCGGTTCCGGCTTATCGGTCATCTTCTCTGCGCCCACGGCACCTTTCTTCGATTGTTCTCTTCGCATTTGTCTGGGAGCTACACGCGAGGTTGTTTTCCCAAGGCCGAGTTGGGCAGGAATCGACATCGCGGTGCGGGTCGGCGGGTCTTGGCAAGTCATTGATTAGGTTGAGAGGTTGAGAAATCAAGGTTTGTCCGGCGTTGACGTTGCGGATGGCGTGGACAAGAGTTCGTATTGCAGCTCGTAACTCTGAACCCTGCCACTGTACGTCACTGATTCAGGGTATTTTTTGAATCCCTGCTCCCTTTGGATTATCTGTTCGGCATGCAATACGATGAAAGTGTTTTATGTCGCCGATTAATTTGGAAAAGTGTCGGCTTGATTGATGCAGTGCCGAATTTCTTTTTGGTCTGTCTTTCTTTCTTGTCTTGGCAAAACGGGGTAGCAAGGGTGGATGAATACTAGATAGTAGGCGTTGCGTGCAGACACAGTTGAAACAACGCGATGGATGTCTCTGTCCCAGCATCTGTGGAAGGGCGCTCATACCCTTATTTGTAATGGTTGCTTTTTGCAAAGCATTGAGAATGCACTGAGCCATGTCGCAACACAGCCAACGGCCTCAGGATGGTGCATCATCTGAGCAAGAGGTCCACGTCGAAGGCCGCCACGAAAACGGCCTGAAGTTTAAATACCGATCATCACGTCCTACACACCAGCCCGCTGGCCAAAACATGGATTTCGTTTGTCTCCCGGCGTATCTCATTCCCTAGTCTGGGCTGAGATTGGTAACCAGGAAACCCGTGACGGTCTCGGCCCAGCCCTTGCTTCACCAGCCAGGCCCATTGGCCCAGCCACCAACCAACTACACAGAACAATTACTTTTGACCAACAAACACTTCAAAACGCCCCACGGTTGGAGGATCTTAGACCTTCGACGCTAGACTCCCAACCAATTCATGATACTATTTCGAGCTTGGACATGACTGGGATTGGGATGCACTGAGCGATTTTAAAGTTTGCACTCCGTCCATGTCGGGTGTTAAGGAGTATGGGCTGTTAGCCAGCTGAAACGATGCCACAAGGGCAGAACTCGGTTTGGGAAAGTGAAGTTCTGCGGCAAAACCCCTTGCTAGGAAGAGACTGTTCGTTCATTGTGGCACACAAGTTTTTTCCTCCCCTTTTCAAGTCCGCAATCTGTCAATGAACTGATTTAAAGTCTCACCGAAATCGACTAATGTTTATTCAATATTCACGAGCATTTTTCATGTAGACTGTGCTCTGAGAATAAATTGAAGGCATCAATGAAGCCAGTCTCGTATGAACATTGATCTTTGCGCTGTTGCTCTGGACCAGAGATAGCCACCATACCATTCCAAAAAGGTCTTCCATATCATGACCCAGCTTGTGTCTCGGTTCAAGCCTCACTAACAGGCTTCCTAGCAATCACGGTCCACCGCACAGCGGTTGTGTAAGCCCCCTGCCTCGTCTCCTCAACTGCCAAGGGCAGAATCCGACCGAGCTGCTGTCGTACCTTCTCGTTCTGCGTCTTGCGGCGGAATATCTCATACATTATCAGCCCACACTCGTGTAGAACAAACGCCATGTGCGGAGGCGGGTCGCTCTTGTCCACTTCCACTTGGACGAAACCCGCTGCCGACAAGGTGGCGGGTAGACCAGCGAGCCATGTTGGCTTTGCACGTGGATCCTGGATAGAGAACAGTTCGTGCAGTTCGGATAGACCCTCTGTCTTGATCTCCGGACTGGTCTTGTCCGTGCGGATCGACTCAAAGTCGGGCTCTCCCCATTGGATATAACCACCCGGCTCTGAAATTCACACACTTCGTGAGACGTGTAGTCTTTAAGATGTTATAAAGAGTATCTTGAGAGGAGAGTGACCAACTAAGCATCTTGACGATTCGTTCCACCGCAGCTGGAACCTGATCATTCAACAGAACAAAGGACAACGAGCGCAGATGGACGATGTCAAACACGCCGACAAGATCCTCAGGCAAGTCCTCCTTCAGGTCCCAGTGCCTGAACTTCACGTTTGAAGGAAGCGTATCGGCCGGGGGTACGCCATCGAGCGAGATATCGAAACCATCGAGTCGGGCGGAGGGGCTAATCGAGTCTCTGGCGTCGAGCAGCCAGATACTGGTGGCGCAGTTGTCAGTTAGGTGACAAAGTGGATAGAGACGACCAGAGGGCCATCATGCGAAGCTCGGCTTACCCCGTACCGGTGCCGATGTCTGCCACTCGCAGATCCTGTCCGTCTTTGGGAATCTTTGGGTGAATCACATAGCCGAAGATCTTGACCCAAAGACTGTGCAGCAGGTTCATCCTGAGCCATGATTAGACTAGGTTCATATTCTGACGAGAGTCGAATGAGTACATTGTCACGTACCGGTTGATGTCCAGGAAGTCTCGGCTGAAGATGTAATCGTCCCTGGGTGCCACTGTGTGAGGATCGGCTTCCGGCGCCATCGTGAGGTCAATTTGCAATGATAGATGATATGATACAAAACACCAATAAATTGAGTTGCAGCACAACTTAAAGTGTGAGAAGAGTTGCGTGACCCCCTCATAGACCAGTGCAGTGTGTGCATGCGGTTCCAGATGTCAGCATTGAGCTCCCAGTTCGGCACTTGAATCAAACGGTGCACATAAGCTGACCACATGTGCCGAGTTACATTGAGATTGAGGCTTCCGATGCTAGGCTTTGCTTATGCATCATTACTGCGTCCAAATTTTGCCAAAGTCAGATTAACGTATGAGTATCAACCGCTCCATGCTCTCCGATGGCTGAGAGACACTAACTGTTACTAAATCCACAACGAGTCACTCAATCGATGTGAGTATCATTTTCGGTCGAGCCTCTGATGAGCCTGTTCTTGATCACTGGACAATAGATCACATCGACCCCCCAAGTCACAAGCGTGGCCGGTAGAATATAAATTCTTTCCACCTTTCAACTTTCTCCCACTCTGGCTATCACATCATCAGAAGGAAACAGGGAACAGACTCGTGGACAACTTCACAAAGAATTGAAACCAGAACAGCACACAACTAAAATGGCTGACGAACAAGTCACAGAGGTAACCGAAACCGCACAGGCACCGGACCCGACACAGGCAACGGAAATGGTAGCATGCCAGTGCAGGAGCACATACCACTGGCGCCACGGCGGCGGCGGGTGTCCCAACCCGGCGCGGTGGTGCCAGTGGTGCAAGGACGGCGGGTGCGTGCTGGCCCGGCAGGCCGACGCGGCGAGGCAGCCGCGGGACGGCAGCAGGCACGGGAGAAGACGACGGTACAGGAGCAGGAGCAGTCATGGGAGGATGGTGGCGCCCGGTTTTCCCGCGCTGCCCTTGCCTCCGACGGTCCCTTTCCCTATGCTGCCGCCTATTCCCCCGCTTCCCTGCCCTGTGCCTTGGCCGATGTCCACGTCGGGAGAGGGACGTCACAGGGGGCGTGATGCGAGTGATGCCGGCAGTTCGAGTCCGAGCAGTTCGAGCTCAAGCAGTGGCGGCTCCTCGGATGATGGGAGGCGAGACATTGAGAAATTTTCTCTTCAAGTCTTCCGCCCTCCTTGGATGTAAGGACGCGCCGGCAAGTGTGCTTGAAGCATCTTGGTGTGTATAGATCCGGCGTCCATTCAGTTGGTCGACCATGTAGAACAGATATTGTAGAAAATGTGAATTGATTTTGAATATCTGATTTGAAGATGAAGAGGCCTGCAACAAAACAGATACGTGAATGTCGCGCCTTGATCAGACTGTGCTGGGGTCAGACATGTATCCAAGCCAACGGGTGCAAGCCTGCTATCCAATATACATACCTCTTGATTGAACACGCACTCGAAAACCGACGCCAGTCATCACGTTAGTCTGGTTCACAATAATCACTCTGTGGGTCGAATGGTCTGGATGGCGCACAAGGGCAGCCGAGTTAATATTTGGATTGATTTAAATCGTAACAGCCCTGGCACAAAGACCAGACTCGACGCGTGCCACACTATCCAAAGTAAGACTTGTCGATTTGCTGGGTGGCGTGCGCGCGCAGACCAATGGTACTCGCCGGACTCTCTCGCTACTGTACGATGACTGAGTTTCTGAGGCACCCGATAGCTATCCCCTGGAGTCAGTGATAACTGAGTTGGGTGCTTCCCATATCAGTCGGAAGGTAGCAGGTTGAAGCGAAGAACCCGTATCAGCCCGGTATCCTGCTTTACTGTGCCTGGCATTACTCCCTCTGGGTATGTACCCTTTGCCACTCATGACGCTATATTTGCAAACTGGGTGGAAGTCCATAACGCTCATGAGCTGCGTAGGAGAGGCGGAACAGCCGTTGCCACGCTCGACAGGTCTCTTGGCAAGCGTGACCAGCGTGACCCGAAAGTTCATGACGGCCGCGGCCATCTAGCCCTCACCGTTCTCGGGGTCCTCGTCGTCCTCCTCCCCTTCCTCCTGCAGCTCCTTGGGCATGGTCTTGGCGAGCTTGGGGTCGCGCCGTTCCTTAGGCTCAAACGCCGCCTCGAAGCCGTGTGCTGTGACCCAGAGGAAGGAGTCGGTCTCAAAGTTGTCGAGCTGGTGGAAGAAGATGTGGAACCTGAGAACCAGAAAATGTCAGCGCGAACTGCGTAAAATCAACCCAATGCCACCCTGGAAGGTGCAAACTCACGAGTTCTCTTTCTCCTCCGTGTCATATATGCGATTGTAGATCTGCTTCTGCTTGAACTCGTTGATCTCCTTCTGAAACTTTGTGAAGTTCAGGGGTTCTCTGTCGTAGGACCCCTCTGCCTTCCTACTATAGCTCTCAAAGACGGGCCGCTCGAGCAGCAGGCCGAGGCCGGGGGCCTTCGGGACGGATATGCGCGTCGGGCCGTAGCTCTCCTTGATGATGGAGACGGGCACGGCGCATCGCACGCACAGCACGGCCATGGCGACCATCTTGCGGATCTGGTGCATCATGAAGCTCTGGCCGTGGACCTTGAGCGACAGCCACTCGGTGTCGCCGATCTGGATGGGGTTGGGGTTGACCTCGAATGAGCGGATGTGGCGCTTGGCCGAGGGGTCCTTGAAGGGCTTCTTGATGGTGTAGTTGTGGAAGTTGTTGGTCCCCCGGTACTGGTCTAGCGCGGCCTGAAGCTGCTGGATGCGCGCGGGTGTGACTCGGTACCTGCGCTTGGCTGCCACATAAGCCGTCTTGATCTCGCGCAGGGCAAGCTCGGCCGGCGTGGGCTGGTACTTGGGCTTCTCGGCCGGTGTGCCATCGGCAGCCTCTGCAGGTGCATCTGTTGGCTTTTCATCGACATCCATCTGGTCTGCTTTTGCTGCAGGGTCCTCCTCTTGCTTGGTTTCTTCGGCCTGCCCTTCTATGACCTCAGCCTTTCCCGGTGTAGCTTTTGTGCTCTCTCCCTCCAGCTGCTCAGCACTTTCTCGAACATTATCCTGGTCGGTTTTGCCTTTCTTGGATGGGACGTCGGGGCCAGCCTCTTCCTCTGCTTTTCGCTTCGTGGATGACGTTTCCTTGTCCTCATCTTCGGGTGGTGCTTCATCGGTGATAAGGTGCATGGACCGTATGACCTCCTCACGCGTCTTGTCGTCCAACTTGGCGAGAATAGGTTGGATGTGATTCTTCTCCACATCGTCCCAGAAATCCTTGATGTCGTCCCATGGCTTGAAGCGCTCCTCGGAGACGCCCTTCTCGCTGGCGGCACTGATGATTTTCTTGCCCAGGTAGCTCTGGGGATGGGGTGGCAGGAGCGAGTAGCTGGGCAGCAGATACTCGTACCACCTCGAATCGCAGGCCTGGTAACAGTTGAAGGCATTGTTGGTCCTCTGGATGCCCCAGATGCGAATCTGTTCGGGCAGCTGTTCGTTGATCTTGGAGACAATGTCGGGGTCTTCGATGGTCAGCTTTAGCGAGATGACGTTGCCGGCGGCGTGCACGCCCTTGTCTGTTCTTGCGCAGCGGATGAAGCTCGACTTCTTGGGGTCATCCGCGTTCCTCTTGGCGATGGCGCCAGCGGCGACAAAAGCGGCGAAGAGATCACCCTCGATGGTCTTCTCGTGGTGGTTCATCTGCATGCCCTTGTATCCGGTGCCAGCGTAGCCGATCAGCACAGCGACCTTGCGCTTAGGGCGGCGGTCCTCGGCAGCGATCTCTTCAGCGGAGAAGGGGATGCTCATGTTGGTCTGCTTGGGCTCGCCATCGTCGCCGGTCGTGAGGGCTGGGTCAAATCGGCGCTGGGGCTTGGCCTCCTGCGGGCGTCGGTTGGACCTGGGGGCATGTTCGCCCCTGAGGTTTGGGTCAGTCGCCCGGGAATCCTCAATCGGCAGATCGCACAGGTGATGAGAGGGCAGGGGAGGGAAGGAAAGAAGAGAGGGCGGGGAGAAGAAGCTGACTGACCTTGAGCCATCGCGATCGCGATTGTCGGGACCACCCCGGCCTCCTCGCCCGCCTCGCCCGCCTCGCCCGCCTCGACCGTTGCGGGCCTTCCCCCTGCCCCTCTGGCCGCGCCTGTCGTCCCAATTCTTCTTGTGATCAGGCTTGTCGGACCCGTCGCCGTTGGCTGTCGCATCCGAGGCGGCCGGACCAGTGGTTGCTGCAGCAGGAGGGGGATTGGAAGGCGCCGGGGGGGCGTTGCCAGGCTCTTGAGGTTCTGCCATGTTGGTTGTGTTGCGACTGCGCGGTGTCGCATGCCTTTCACATGCTTCGACGCAAATGAGTTTTCTTGGTGTGGAAGCCTCGAACTTTTTTTTAGACTTTCCTCGAGTACTACGATAAGATAACCTGGAGCTCTCAGATCGGTCAATTGCAGATCTGCAGCTCCAACCGGTCCTGACGCTAGCCAGGAACGAGCAGGGTCTAATGGCGGGGTAGCTTCAGCACACATGGGTCGGGCTACTTCCGTACAACCAAGCCCGTCTACTGAGAACCCAATCGTCCACTGGACACACTATCGTCTCTGTTGACGGTAGCTATGTGCATCCCTGCTTGTACTTACATCTGTGCCCCTTTTCATAGGCCGTGTTTCTTGAGGAATGCAACAATGTCGTCCACACCGTGCGGTTCGTTCAGCCAGTGCCCCCCGTCCTCGGACTCGTGCCATTCTACCTGTAGTTCATCGGGGAACCGCTCGAGAGTGTCCCTCAGCGTCCTGCCATGGCTCACCGAGATGACAATGTCATCCCTCGAATGACCTAGAAATATAGGCAAGGGACGAGGACTTCTTGGCTCTGACGGCGCATCACTGCTGGTGCCCCGGTACAGTCTGCCTAGCTGCACCGTCCCGTCCTCAGCACCCACCATGCCACGCAGAGGCATCCAGCCGCACAGCCCGATCATTCCACCAAGACCAGACCACTCCTCCTGCTCGGCAAAGAAGGCCGCCACGGCAATGGCATTTCCCTGACTGATACCACCCACAAAGATCCTGCTCCGGGCCACGCGCCCCTCCTCCTCCCGGACGACGTCCCCCAAGGCAGACACGCTGGCCCTCAGGCCCGGCAGCTGTATCTCAGGCCGCTCGTCCGGGTCCTCGGTCGACCACATGTCGAACCACTGCGACATGTCCGTGTCGAACCGCGCCGACCGCAGGATCGGCGCCGTGGGGAACACCCATCGTACCGTCGGGAATAGGTCCCGGAAGGTCCTTGGCTTGCCCCTCGGCTCCGAGGCCTCGCTTTCGAACAGCTCGCTGGCAAACTCTGCGCTCACGCTGTCACGCCCGTGGAGGAATATGATGGTGTGGGTGTGGGCGTGGCCCTCTGCTGGTCCGACAACGTGGCTGGTAAGCATTATGAGCTGAATTCAATCTCTTCGACAGGAAGAGGGAAAGGGGGAAAGGTGAGTAAAATGTGAGGACTCCCATCTAGGCAACAGGCTGTTGGTCGAAGGAATGCTTGTAAGTCAGTGCACGGACCAGCTCAATGTTCATTACTGTAAGCGCTAAGCAAAAAGCTCGTAATGGCATCCCCGAGGGATTTGTTCATTGATCCTTCGACTGGGCCATTTATTTCAAAAGGAGCTTCGGAAGCACCACAACGTCTGTGATGAAGAAACTGGGCGAACGACCGACAAGGCACATCTAGAAATACTCATCTTTTTACAGCCGGAGAGTTAGTCGAGAGATCGATTAACCAGCACCATGGGATTTCTTGCGGATACGCTGAGCTTTTCTATCCTTTTTGTAACGTTGGGATGTAAAGCCGTTCGGTGCCAGGAGCCGGTGATGGTCTATGGATTTGACACCGTGAGTTTTGGACTTGAACAAACCACAGCCTCCAAGGCTTCTAGGTTTCAAGCTTTCTGACTATCCATCCAGATTGAATCATCAGCTAATCTCACGTGGACGCAATGTTTCGATGGTTTCGAATGCTCCAAGCTGGAGGTTCCTTTGGATTATTCCAACAGGAATCTTGGCACAACATCAATCGCCTTTCTTAAGCTGGCAGGCAAGAATGCTACCGTCGAGTCCCCAAGCATTGTCGTCATTCCCGGTAAGACCTCCATCAGATCCATTCACAAAAGAGGACCTTGGCTCGATATAAATGGATTAACATTTGCAGGTGGTCCGGGTGGCTCCGGCATCGACCTTCTCCTCTCCTACCGGTCTCTGGCAGGGACAATCTTCGGGGAGCAATACAATTTCATCTCCTTTGACCCTCGTGGGGTGAACAACAGCGGTTTGACGCTCGACTGTTTTTCAGGCAACGCAGAAGCAAGATTGGCCTTCAATCGACTATACAGCACAGGAGCTACCAATGTTTCCTCAACAACGTTTCAGGAACAGTACTATTCCGGGTCTATCTACGGAGAGTGGTGCAACAATGCCGTCGAACGTGATTCACCTCATGCATACTATGTGACCACGCCGGCGAGCGCTCACGATCTGCTCACATTTGTCGAGGCTCAGGCTGAGGCAACCGGCCAGCCACCATCAGATTCGAAACTATGGGCTTACGGTGTCAGTTATGGCACTGTCGTTGGCACCACTTTCGCTTCCATGTTTCCTGACCGCGTTGGGAGAATGATACTCGACGGTGTCGTCAACGCTGACCAACATTATGATAACGACCCCAGGGACGCCTCTGATCAAATGGACGAGGCCTTGGAGAAGTTTTCCAGCCTCTGCCACTCTGCAGGCCCTGAGGCGTGCTCCTTCTGGGGACCTACGCCGGGGAACATCACCGCCAGACTGGACGACGTCATCCTTCAGCTCCGTAACCATCCGGTTCCCCTGAGCGGAGTTCAGAATCAAGGTCTACCGGAGCTAGTCACCTATTCAGACCTAAAGGCCCTTTTCATCAACAGCGTCTACAACCCGCCCGCGGCTTTCCCGGTCATGGCCGACATCCTCCGCCAGATCGAGGGTGGAGACGCGTCTGCTCTCGTGGGAATGTTGGACGTTTTGAAGATCAAATCGGACACCCGTCTCACCATCCAATGCGTCGACTCATATCGGAGAAACAAGGCTGCTACAATCGAAGAGTTCAAGGATTTTGCCGAGTACACGGCTTCCCGCAGCAAGTACCTCGGCGACATTTACCCCAACCTCATTGGGGGCGTCGTTTGTTCTTCGTTCCGACCGCAATTGCCTGATAGCATGATTTTTCAAGGTAAGCAGCGCTCATATAGTAACCCCCGATCTCTCTCTTCAAGTGTTATTCAGAAGTCTAACTAGGTTTTCGTATATTCAGGTCCAGTAGGGTCACCGGACAAGCCTACGTCCTTCCCAATCTTGTTCACGAGTAACACCATCGATCCAATAACGCCCCTTATATCGTACGTTTCGACCAAAACGTCACGCCATCTAGCACGTAGCTAATGAACCTATGATCTTCTCAGGGCGCGCAAGATGTCTGCTCAGTTTCCGGGGTCAGCCCTACTATTACAAGAAGGTGTTGGTGTAAGTTTCACCTACTCACATCCGCCACCTTCTGAAATAAGAGCCCGAGCTAACTCGCCGAATGATTTCATTAACTGCAGCACACGGTCATGGCACTAGGGGCGTCATCCTGTTACTTTGGCTTTATCCAGGCATATTTTCAAGGCATTCTTCCACCTTCCAACACCACTTGCCCACAGCAATACGTCCCCTTCGGAGGAAGTACTGCATAAGAGCATAGGTTCCCACTACTTTCAACGATACACACAAGGAGCCTGTCTTCACCTAGAAAGCGCAGTACGACTTTACCGTTCCAGCCTGTGGCATATTTAACCGGCCCAGAGTCGAGTGCACAACCGAAAGACCGATCAGACCCAAGGGTCCGCGGTCCCATAATATATTAGTACTTACCCAATACACTAGCATTAGATAAGAAAACAATACTGATAACACTCCATTTAATTCATCCCTAACTTTGAAGAAAAGTAAAGGCTTTGAGAATGCAAGACCTATGTCTATATTTTGAAGCACTGGGGACGGTTACCATATATGTCGATATTCTATTTCTTGTAGTGCTGACTATCTACCTATGGACTACCAGTCAGACCGTCCGCAACTGCCTCGCAACTAGATGATGCAAGACTCCGTGCTTCCCTAATCCATCTCCCACTGATACACGACTGGACTCTCTGAAGTTTGCACGACCTTGAAGCAGGGGCTCAAGGTGCCCTGCCGCAGCTCGAGAAGTGGCTTTCCTGAAGATACCTCGTTGTAATCAACAAGACTATTTCAACATGGAACTTGTTTAAGGAGTACAGATTCAAGGTCTAGGTGAAGTGTATTTGTCTGTCCAATCTTTCCTTGTATTTCCTCATATTCTTTTGTATGCATCGATTACTGAATCTTGGGACCTCGGAGATGTGCGAAAGAATGAAGTAAAGAGACTGTTGACATTGAACCTCTGTTTGCTTTACTTGATTAGACAATGACCATCCCTCCCCCCCCTCCCCCAACCTAATTCTTTTCTTTTTTTTTTCCTTGCGCGGTTTTGAGAACGCTTCTCACTCATCCAAGGACACCGAGCTATTACTGTTGGAAACGTCCAGCCTGGGGAATCTGCCTATGTGTAGCACAGCGTTGCACCCACTAGGTCACACGGAAAGTGATTCGCTGGAGTGATGTCGCCAAGCTGCACGTAGAACAAGCCACCATCAGAAAGGTGCAGTGCCTTGGCTGTGTTCAAACGGGATTCTTATTTCTGGCTGCTACTCTTCTTTGACTGTTCCTTGATTCCCTTGACTTTCCACTCGAGACAACTCATCTGCCCACGGAATCAAAAACCGCGACCTCTGGGATGGACCCCGTCACAGCCTTCGGCCTAGCCGCGGGCATTCTACAATTTGTCCAGTTCTCTTCAGACCAAGACAGCGTGCGGATCTTATCAGACTCCGCAACGGGATGATGTGGATGGAATCTGTGAGAGGCTGAAAGTGCTCAGCAACGAGCTCGATGACTCTCTCCAATCCGCCGCGGGGTCGGAACGGCAGCCAATATTGCCACGCGCGCATGATTCTAAAGCGGAGTTCTTTTTTTGCGTGATTTGGCGAAGAGTTGTCGCCAAGACTGTGAAAAGCTCGTGAACCGTTTGGGCTTCTTGCGAAACCGCAGTGGGCCGCGACAATTCTGGGCGAATTTTAGAGATGCATTGAACGGCAGTCTATACTCGGGGCAGGACTCACTGCGTCAGATACAGGACCGTATCAAGCAGCCTGAGTCTACCTTGACGGTCCATATGTGTGCAGTCATGGTGTAAGTCTGATGCCTCGATTCGCTGCGATACACAAGGCCAGCGCTGATATCATGACAGTAAGAGCGGAAAGCAACTGCAGCAACAGATAGACAGGCTTATACTACTGGCGACCGAAGATTCAGCTTCGTCTTTTGATAGACGGTTAACGTCTATCAGCCGCAATGTAACCGATACCCTTGAAGCGATTCGACGTATGGTCGGAAGCCATGATGGCAGTGCCGATGCGAGCGTGGGAATGGACAAGCTGGCCGCGAGACTGAAGGAGTTGTCACTCGACACAGTGCGTGTCAAAGACTCAAGGAAGATTGAAGATGTACTTTCCAGTTTGGGATGCCCACAAAGGTCTGCTAGATACGGAGCCATTCCAGAGGCCCACGCGGAGACATTCGGGTGGGCTCTGAGGCGGCCTCTTCCTTGGATTGGCGAGACTCGAAGCACCAGTGTCGTGGATTCAAATCAAGGGAAACTGCTCAAATGGCTCGAGGCAGGAACGGGTATTTTCTGGGTATCAGGAAAGCCAGGCTCAGGGAAGTCTACTTTCATGAAATACGTGGCCGACCACCCTGCTACACCCCAGGCCCTGAAGACTTGGGCGGCGACCACAGGCAAAAGCGTGGCTATCCTGACCCATTACTTTTTGAGTACAGGTTCTCAAATCTAAAAATCACAGCACGGCCTATGGCGGTCATTATTACTTGGACTGTTGAGGCAAGCACCAGATCTGATGCCAGAAGTATGTGAGGAGTTGTGGGACACGTTGGATGATGTGGACAGGCAAAGTCACAATTGGAGTCTCAGTCAACGTCGGAAGAGTCTCGAATGCTTCTCCAAGCTCTCCCCGACCGGGCATAGGTTTTGCATCTTCATCGACGGATTGGACGAATTTGATGGCGACCACTCAGATATGGTTGAGACTCTGCTTCGACTGTCGGAATCTTCCCACCTGAAATTGTGTATCGCCAGCCGACCGTTGAATGTGTTCGAGATAGGATTTGGGGGCGAAGACCGGCACAAAATTGATATCCAAGACCTTACCCATCAGGATATTGTCAAATTTACCCGAAGCCGTCTAGAATGGCGGTCAAGGAATAGTTGGACGCACTCTGTCACCACGGAAGAACACGAAAGACTTATTACAACTGTGACTGACCGGACTCAGGGCGTCTTCCTCTGGGTATTCCTCGTTACCAAATACCTGCGTGAAGGCCTCGACAACGGCGACACGTTTGGCAGCCTACAAGCAATGCTTCAGGCCTCCCCCCTAGAACTGGACCCCTTTTTCAAACAGATGCTTGCGTCACTCTATTCTACCACTGCCAGATGGCTGGGCTCCTCAGGCTGTCCCTAGTTGCTCAAAGGCCGTTGAATTTCATGATCTACCATTACCATGATAAGGAACACGACGATGTCAACTTTGTTGCAAGGACCCCTGTCTCTCTTCTTCATGAAGATACTGCGGCGAACCTCCGCCGCCGGACGTTCATGCGACTTAACGGCCTTTGTAAAGGTCTGCTCGAGATTGACAAACATGATGAGGTACAATTCATACACAGGACGGTCAGAGATTGGTTGATGTCTGGGCCTTTGGAGATATACCTGAAGCACAAGACCAGAGCGGACTGTGACGGAACAGTTTCACTCCTCCGATGCCATCTGGGCTGGTATAAATGCCCTAGATCTCAGGATTAGATCTCGGAGCCACTACTTTCGGCACTCTGGTATGGCAACCTCATATGCGAATATAACGAGACTAACGGCACCAGCATCGCCAACGGAATATTGGACGAATTCCTTTCGGTCACCGCGGACCTTGACAGTCTTGAGTTCGATTTGCCTGGCTTGAGCAATAGTAGGCCACGAGGATCTGGGAAGACCATCAGTTTGACTGCGTTCAAGGCCCGTCTATTTGAATCTGGGCTGTGGGATTATCTTTCGATGAAACTGGACGGAGAGCCCGGTTTTTTGGACGTTCTAGCGAGACTGCCACTTCCAATGGATATTGACCCAGACCTTTGTCTGGATCCCTGGAGTGACCGTGAGGCAAGCGTTCGTTCGAAAGTCGTCGCGTCATTCCTGGCCTCACTGCTGAGCCAGAACACCGTTGGTCCGACGACCGACCCTGTACGTTCTATTCTTGCAATGGAGTACAGTCAAGCAGAAACAGTATCCACGGTAATTCGAACTTTGTCTTCCATGGGTGCAGAGCTGCCTTCGTCTCACGTCCTTGCCGGCCTTCTATCACATGGATTGCCTGGACTCCTTATTCGACTTTTCCTATCTGCATACGACTGTCCTGAACTTTCAGACTGGAAAAGCTATTTCATGACAAAGCTGGAACCGCGCCCAGACTTTTGGGAATATCTTTGCGAAGAAGTCACCAATCTTCGAGATAGGCCCGAGACCGACAGCATGACACAAGCTGCGGACTTTCTTAGATTCATGATTTCTCAGTATCGCCAAATCAAAAAACCGTGGGAGCGTTCTGGCTGGCCTTGGCTTGATCTCAAAATGGCTGTAAGACGTGGTTTCCCGGACAGATGCGAGTCCACGGGGAACAGTCTCACAATGCTGATGGAGAAAATGGGTTTGGCCGCCGCGACCATGGACGCTGCTCGACCCCATGACGAGAGGCAAGTGATATCTGATTTGGAGTCGGACTCAGAAGAGGAGAAGCCGGGGCAGTCGACCCGAAAAAGGGCCGCAACGGAGGACCACGCGATGGACACTTGCCGGAAACGAGCAAGAGCACTATCTCTGAGTCATATCTTGTGTGCTTAGGACAGTTCGGGATGAAATAGTCTGAAGTCCTGTTGCAATTGCTGGAGTGAGAATTGGGTTAGGATCATGAATATCGATTTCCACCATTCTGTGGTGTCACGGCCTGAAACTAGGAAGGTTGGATCAATTAGCCCTTTCACCTCAGTCCACCAGCAAGAGTCCTTCCGAAAGCCCAAACCTTTAGCGACTCATCGCCTTCTCGACCTTTTCCCTGGCCTCATCCTCCCACACATCCCAGCTCAGGCTGTAGTAGAACGAGTCCCTCCACACATCATCCGGATGGCTCCCAGGCGGGAGAGGCTTGCCGTTCCCCAGCTTCCCGTGCCTCTTTCCCAGCGGGAACTTCATGTGGTACGGGATCCTGCCGACCTTTTCAAAACCCATCCGCTCGGCGACCTTGGCACTGGCAGCGTTTGCCGTGCTGCAGTGCCACTGAACCCTGTGTAGCCCCAGCCCGCCGTCCTCGGCCGGCGTGAACGCGTACTGCAGCATCAGGCCGACGGTGTTGCTCGTCACGTGCGAGCGCTGGTACCGTGGCAGCACGACGATGGCGCCAATTTCGCTGCTGAGGTGGGCTTTGAACGTGTTGATATAGCCGACCATGCCCGCGAGCTCGCCCTCCGGGTCCTCGGGGGACCGGTCCCTGGTCTTGTCGATGATGGCGAGGATGGTGTGGGCCGGGTTGGAGAGGGAGAGGATGGTGTCGGGCCTGGTGAATGACGCTTTCAGCTCATTGACCGTCGTGAATGGTATGAAGGACATGTTGGCGTAGAGCTCCGGGTGGTCGGCGGACTGGGCGATGAAGGCGGCGCCGTGGAGGTCGAGGTCGAACGGGACGAGCTTCACGCGGTCGTTGGCGATGGGCGTGGAGACTGGGAAATGGAAAACTGATGCCTCCGGCATTTTGGCAGATTCTTAGGGGCAGATTGGTACACAGTAGAGGTGTTGACCATGAATGGAGATATCTCGAGGGCTTGGTCAGAGGGTGAGAGGCTGCGTGACTCATCCATGGGCGTGGGTGAGGGTTGCACGGAGGGCGAGATGAGTAGAATGTTTGTGGAATGATGTATGCAGGTTGTCTGAGTAAAGGCCTCCTTAAATATGCTACGATGAGGTGAGACACCCTTTCGGGCGTTCCTCCCTGCCCATGACGAATATCCAGGGCCACTTGGCTCTTGAGCACGCTCACCTGCGCAGGAGCGAGTCGGCGCTCGGCTTCGGACCGGAGCTGCAACCAATGCCTCTGACCTATTTTCCTAGACACCAACCCGTCTTTACGCTACCGCCGCGTCGGCCAGATTTATGGAGATTAATTCTTCTGATATACAATTACTGCATGGGATCACCGAGGACCTCCGGGTTATTGATGCTAGACGATATTGGTTTCATCGCGGTGGCAGGCGTCGGTTAGTCAGGTTGATGACTGAAGCGATCTGAACCCTCTTCTTGTTTCTAATTTTGCTTCAACTTCAAAGAAACCGAGGCAAAGTTTTCTCCTGATTTCGCTAGATCACTCAAATTGATGACTTGCTTAATTGTTTGATATCCTTTACGTACACCCATTTCTACGATGTTTGGAAATTGTAGTAAGGGACTCTGAGAACTTTAGTAACAGGGCATGATGTATAGATTAATAGAAATAATAATTGTTTATGGATAATGAAGTGTGCGGAAGTTAGGAAAGATGAGCTATCATGTGCAGGTCATGGGGGCCATGGAGAGGACCATGTTTGGGCTGGGACAGGTCATTTGGGCGCACCGTGATTCGCCCTATGGTCGGCGGGTGTACTCGGCGGGGAATAATGTGACATGGGCATGCGGCGCCACTCATCTGAGGATGTTTATACCGAAGTGCTTTTCAGCGTTTCCAATGCTGAATCGTCATGCACTTTGTTCAGGGGAGCAGCCCGTGCCAGACCCCGACGCCCTCCATCTCAAGCGCCATCACACCGGCCGGTTTGCAAGTGCATCGCCATGCGCCACCAACCCCGTCACCAGACATCCCCGGACGCGACGGCTCCAATGTGTATAGCAAGCCTAGTGCGTTTCACTGCCGCTTTACTCCTTGGCTCGGAGCTTCCCCTAAATTTATCTCGGTGCCTGATGAGAGCATCAGCACAGATCAATAGGATGTGAGTCTTCGAGACATCCACGAAAAAGCAAGTATCGGTACAACACGGTTGATTCAGTTGATACGCTACATGTGAATTGGATGGTTGCACGAGGTATACGGACTGCTTACAGAGAGCCAATGGCTCAAGTCCTCAGGTTTCTGTCGCACGCTGTATTACACAGCGGTTGACTGCGCCAGCTGAGCCCCAGATATGGGGTCTGAATACCCAGGTATGTGCAGGGCTTTGTGCAGCGTTAATGAATTCTGAGTCATCTGCAGCTATCCCTTAATTTTGGAAAACACCCTCGTCCTGCCAACTTTCTCTTGCTGGGTTCGACTTGATTTCTGAAGATTGCTGTCAGCCTGACTCTGGCATTTATTGTTCCTCTGTGCTCCGGTCAATGTCAAACAACTTCTGAATTCAACACTTCCTCGATATTCTTGGCACCAATGTCATTATGTCACAAGACGAGCAGCCTAGACTAACTGCCCACGGTCGTTGTGAAGACCTTGACATTCGTAATTCCAGCCCAGCCAACAACTCGGGTTCCATGAACGCAAGTTCCGTCTCTGACCAAGGCAGAATCGATACAGAAACAAGCACTCCAACGGGAAACATCAGCCCAGGAACTGATTTGCAACAGCGAAATCAGATATTCCATGAAGAGAGCGACAGGGCGGGCCTGGATTCGAACACGACCATAGGCAATGTTGCTCCAGCTGACCGCCAGCGTTCCTCGAGAGGAGAGTACGAACAAGTGAACAAATCTCATGACAAGTTCCAAGGAGAGCCGCTCCAACACCAACCGTTTCCCATAAGGAAGAGGCATCGTGTCTTGCGATTCTGGATCTGGGAAGTCCTTTCGATCTGTTTGGCCATCGGACTGCTGGTGGCTATAGTGCTGGTTTTAAGCCACTTCCATGGGGAAATTGTACCTCAATGGCGATTCAGCATCAATCTCAACACGCTTGTTGCATTGTTAGCGACCATTGCGCGGGCTGCAATGCTCGCGGCCGTTGCAGAAATCCTGGGGCAAGTCAAATGGTCCTGGTTCTCAAGGCCTCGCCCATTGAACAACCTCCAACACTTCGACAAGGCCAGTCGTGGGTTGATCGGCTCTCTCTGTCTTCCGCTCGTTGCTTCCAAGAACCTCGTTGCCGTCGTTGGCAGTCTTGTCGTTGTTCTTTCACTGGCCATCGGCCCCTTTTCCCAACAGGCTATTAAATCAGTGGACTGTCTGCAGAATGTTAGCAGCATGAACGCCTCCGTTCCCATAGCCCACTTTTTTGGACAGCGAGGCCTCGTCACGGAACTTGGGGATTTACGGGCTGACATGAAGGGTGCGATGATTAACGGGTTAGTAAATCCGACAGGGAACGACTCAAAAATCACCGCGACTTGCCAGACCGGCAACTGCACTTTTCAGTCCAACTCTAATGTCAGCTACTCGTCCATCGGTTTATGCAGCGCATGTGTCGATACAACGCCTTTGGTACAGATCATTAGCACCGATGATAAACTTCCTCTGCTATACAATCTACCGAACTACACCCTACCCCAAGGCTCGGGCGCCACCATCCGGGCCTTCGTCCCCAACGAACCATTCCTCATGGCCACGCCTAGTCGGGATATGTCTTGGGCCGCATCGGCCTTTACTGACTTTTACAAGGGGGTTGTGACGAACAGTATTCTCAACACCAGCTTCCTCACTTTCACCCGGGCACCTTGTACCAACGTCTCGGGCGTCGTGTCATGCCCGCATAATGTCACTACAGTCGTTCTAGAGTTTCCACATCAAGTGTATGTATGGGAATTGGACTACGTGGCGACATCCTGTACATTGTATCCCTGCCTTAAAAACTACCAAGCTACCGTGCAACAAGGGGTACTGAACGAACAGGTCGTTTCGACCGCCCCGACCCTGCTCAATGGTGGATTCCGGTACTCTCAAAGCATGTCAACAAACTTCACAGTACTCAGAGATCCTTGCGTCATCTCCGACGTCGAGTATAATGCAGCGAGCCTCGTCAATGTGCCACGGACGGCTGGCCGCACCTTTACCAACATCAGCATCGACGGCGTGAACTATACAGCCCCAGAGGAATGTTTATATAAGCTTGACTGGGATTACGGATTGGATATGCAAAATTTTATGGAGAGTGTACTCTTCAAAGGCACCTGCGTCGCAGCAGGTGCTGCAATGGAGGCAATGTGCGAGGCCTGGTGGCTCTCACCTCTTTACAACTCCCTCAATGCAACTTTTGAGACGATTTCCGATGCCATGGACCAGTTCGCAGAGGTCATCACCAACAAGTTCCGCACTTCCGGCAGTACCAATTACGACATTTCCCAGAAGGACGAGGCGTTGGGTGTGGTGACCAGAATGACCATCTGCACGGCTTTCGACTGGCAATGGCTGTTACTGCCCCTATCCTTAGTAGCCACGACGGCTGTCCTGCTTATTTTGACCGTGCTTCAGAATCTCAGGGAACACAGACAGCCAGTCTGGAAAAGTTCAGTGTTACCTTTGATCTTCTATGGAATCGATGTTAGATCTTTGTCATTGGACACGGAAGAACCCCAACCTGTGGTGGACTTGGATCAGTTGGATGAGCTAGCAAGTCGGATGAGGGTCAGGTTTCAAAACGGCCTGGACGCGGGATTTGTGGGCGTTGATGACGCTTGTGGCAGCGACGAAGGCATTGACATGGACTCGTTGCTTACTGCTGAGCCTGTTTGTCAATCACATGAGCAGACAAGCTTGACGCCCTGATGCCAGGCTCTTTTCAAGAGGTAAACGAAGGAACGTGGTTGCGGACGTAATCTGGAACCCGCCGCCTGTCACACCAGGGTGAAGGAAAGACAAGGTCATGTTTTGTATCAGTTGTCACGACCGACAGGCTCTTGGCAAAAGAAACGATGCAAGAGATGAGGGACAGAGCAGCCATCTCGAGAAAGGGAAAGCGGCTTTGATGAGTTTCTCCATGTCGAGCCGTTGGTGGCTGCACCGGTCGTGATCATGTCGTGCCGGGGTCTTGGGAGACTTCACCGAAGTAGACGGACATACTCATGTGATCTAACAACAAGCTGCCGCGGGTTGCCAAAGCAGAACAGATAGATCTTGGAGCGAATTCTAATCTTGGGGTGCGGCTACTTTAGCTCCAGCCTTTGCTAGATGACTTCACTTGTCAAAGCCACACTTATTGAACCATCCAAACAGAGCAACGCTTTACAATTTCCAGTAGGCGTAGTGGAAAGCCCTTGCTCGCGGATTGGTGGCACTTGGAAACGGGGTTTGAATAGAGAGCGGCGCTGGGCGTCCTCTGGTCACCCAGGACTTCGAACAGGAAGGAATGCAGCCAAAATTTACCAATCCGCAACAAACCAGATCGTGGCGTCGATGCTTGGACTCGCTATCACCGATCTCGGATCCCAAGCAGCTGTAGCGTTCCGCGGCTGAAAGATAAAGGGCGCCTCCATTGTTTCTTGGATCTGTGCACTGCACGTGCGACCGCAGCCGGGGGCTCGTCGAGAGGCGTCAACGAGGATGGAAAGTGAACGAATCCGCACAAAATCTTGCACGTGAAAGGGTTTGACGCCTGATGGAGAGCGACTGGCATGAAGTCCATGGCTTCCATCTCCTTGGCAACAAAAGTGTTTAAATGAGGGACATGTCACTCGAGAAACGAGCCGTCTGCTTGTGTGTCTCATCTCCTTGGCATTCTTGAACCTGCGATAACCTCTAGAAGGCCTGCCTCCCGGCTCTTTAGCTCCTAAATTTCAGCTCCAGGCCCGCTCATCTTCTCAATCTATGCAACTCATGCCCCAATTGAGCACAGCCCACACAAACCATCGTCAATCACAGACCCACACACCTTGAAGATGGCAGCCCCAGCTTACTCCCAGACCGCACAGCAGCCGGCCTCCTCCGGCCCGATCGACAACCATGACATTGAGGACTGGAAGCAGCGCCTCAACACCGTGCTCGCCAAGCCCTCGGAGCACGTCAAGAGCGCCTCGCCCCCGACCGCCCAGGCATGGCACAACTCCCTGTTCGGCTGCTGCAGCCCCATCGACCTGTGCCTCATCACGTACTGCCTGCCGTGCATCACCTTTGGCAAGACGCACCACAGGCTGCGCAAGAACGGCAAGATGGAGGGCTACGAGCCCATCAACACATCTGTAAGTAACGACTAGCTTAAGCCAAAGCCACCAGATCCTCGCTCGGGGCTCGTGATCTGATGATGCACAAACACACAACAGTGCCTCCTATTCTGCGCGTCGGGCTGCTTCGGCCTGCACTGGATCCCCATGTCCATGCAGCGAGCGAACATGCGCGACAAATACCACCTCCGCGGCAACTGCGCGACCGACATCGCCACCGCGTGCTGCTGCGTGCTGTGTGACCTCGTCCAGCAGGAGAAGGAGTCCGAGCACCGCGAGCCCCTCATCAGCCTCGCCGGCGGCGTGCCGCAGGGGTACCAGATGCAGGGCGGCATGACGTATCCCGCGCCGGATGCGCCCACCGCCCCTGCTGCTGCGCCGGCCGAGCCCGCTCAGCAGGAGAAGACCCAAGAGGCTGGTGTGACCAGTGCCTGAGTGATGATTTGGATGGGCAGAGGTCTTTTGAAACCTCTAAGCAGAGGATTGTTATTGGAGGAAAAGTATCTCTCGAAATCCGTCTCTTGGGTAGGAGTGATAGGGATTTGAGAGTTTTATCATCGAACAGCCAAGTTTCTTTTGTAGGCCGTGATAGTGAAGGGATGATCGCTTGCGAATGTAATGGCATCGCTCATACCTAATACCCCAAACATGAGTTTGAGCGTTGCGACACAGTGTATCACAGGAAGTCCAGACAGCTTCTCATTTGTCATCGACCTTTTCCTCTGATTCAAAAAGAAGAGGGGAAAAGAGAGGGAACGAAAATGAAAATTCCTGTAGCCATAGTGACAATTATAAAGAACCAGAAAACAAACAAAAGAAAAACACTCACAATTTGTGAGTGCTCTTAAAACTGTTGACGGAGCAGAAGCAAGTAGTTGGGGGGGGGCAATCCAAGGGAATCAGCACATCGTCAGGGCTCTCTTTGATCATCAAGCAGGCCGTCAGGCCGTCAGACCAAGGATCAAACAAGTGTGGATGCTCCAACTCGGAGTCGAAACGCTCCTACACAAGCTTGTCCCAGCTGATTTAGCTTCTTCATCCGAGTGCTGCAATTCCTTCCCCGCCGGCAATGGCTGATGCAGACAATGGTAAATTGTAGAGAAATGTTCGTTGTTGCCGAGAGACAGGCAAACTGCCTGGCACAGGCCGATTTGTTTATTTCTTCTTTCTAGATGTCGAGTTTACCAATTTCTTCTTGACAGATTTTGGCATCTTCTCTTTCCTCTTCTCCCGCTTGGACTCTTTGACTGCTTGTTTGTGGGCCTGCATATCAAATTAGCAAAGATCCGATAATCGCTGGGAAGTGCCGGAGCCCGAAGTAGCCTACCCTTTTCTCGTCCTTGTCTAGGAACCTCTTTCCACGTGGTCGACCATCACCCTCGTCAGACTCGCTTCCGCTCTCGTTCAGCGATGCGCCGTCGTCAGACTCGTCAACTGAATCGGCGCTCCCTTGAGCAGCTCCGTCTGCACCTGCCTTGTCGTCCTTGGATGGTACAACCTGATCAGCGAGGAGATTTCGGTAGACCAGCGAGTCGCCCTCCCCTGTGCCAAGCTTCTGTCCATCTGCCTCAATATCGTACACTTGCTCGAGTGTCTGTGGGATGTATTGGTTCCGGAACACCTCGTTGTCGACTTCTTGGTTTGCGATGGCTTGATCGTCCTCGCCAACCGCCGACCTACTTTCATAAAGCAACTCGACGCTCTTCTTCATCTCGGCTCCCTCAACCGGTCCTTGTGATTCGATGATGAAGTCAAACACTGTGCGATCTGCCAGAGTGTCGACCCCCTTCCGCCTGAAGAAATCGCCTACATTCTTAATATCCATGCGCAAGAACTCGAGCGATCGAGGGTGGTCGTGTTCGACACTCTGGGACACATCGATGATGTATAGTGTCTGGTCGTGGTAAAGAATGTTGTACTCGCTCAGATCGGCGTGCACAAGCCTACAGACCTGGTACATGCGCCTCATAAGACCGAGCAGTTGAATGTAGAGATCCCTCCACTCGTCGTCGCTCGAGACCTGCGCATCTCGTAGCCTTGGGTACGCCCACCCCTTCTTGTCGCCAAGGAAGTCCATAACAAGTACGTGTAGCTTGAGAGAGATCGGCTCTGGGCACGGTATGCCGGCGGAGTGTATCCTCCTGAGATTCCGGAACTCTTTCTCAGCCCATAGCTTGACCATCTTCCTGTTGTTCCCCTTCTCCGAGCCGCCCTTGAAGCGGTGCTCGCCAGTGATGTACCTCTCGCGGTCCTTGAAGACCAAAATCGCCGTCTTGTAGATCTTGATCGCCTTTTGTGCGGGCTCGGAGCCATCTTCTGGGTGCAGCACGGCGCCGTAGACGTTCGCCTCCTTGCCCGTGCTGATCGCGCCGTGGATCTCGGAGACGACGCCGCGGTTGATCATTTGCAGCAGGATCATGCGCGTGCGCTGGTCCAGCACCAGTTCGCTCGTGGCGCGGTCGGCCTTGTCCTTGTCGCGATCCTGCGTTTGCTTGACATCGTCGAGACGGATCTTGGCGGCATGCTTCGAGAGTGCGGATATTTGATCGTCCACGTTCGCCTGTGTGTTCGCAGATGGTTTGCTCGATCTTGACACGGCGCCTGCTGGCCCGTTGGCCGCTTGTCTGTTGAATGACCTGCCCTCGAATGACCTGCCCTCGGCGCCATCGAGGTCGAAATCGTCTTCTTCGAAAATGTCTTCAAGGTCGTCTTCTTCGTTGTCCACCTCCTCTGCGGTTGTCGTTTGACTTATGGGCTCTTTGTGAGCATCTGATACTGGTTCTTGGGCCATGATGGCTGCGTACGGCGTGGACTGAGGAAATTGTGTTGTCACAGAAAAGAATTGTGGTATGCGTCACTCCGGCCGACTTTTTTGGCGGGATGTCTAGCACCCCGCCACCAGCACTTATCGATAAGGAGGTACCGAGGTACCTGCCCTTGGGGCAGTAGAGGTCTTGTCCACCCCAAACTGTACGAAAGTTTCCTCGTCACTCACTACATATTTTGGACAATTTTGAAAATTCGTATTCAAGTGATCTGTAGATTTTGAATATCTCCAACCAGTAGCCAGCCTGCCCCGCGAAACCGTCCGTTTCCAGATACCGCGAGCACTAAAGCACTGGCCCTCTCGTCCCGGCAGACGCATGCGTATCAATCGTAGCAATCCCCAATCATGCCCTTCCTAAAATAGCAGCAGATCAAGAACTGAACCGCGGCGTTGCTGGTGCCCGCCATGAGGTCTTTCTGAACTGAACACACACTCTTGGAGAAAGAGAAGTCAGAACTCGCCGCCAAAGACCGTTTACAAAGATAATAACGTACCTCGAATTTATCGCCGGGTCCGTTGACGCTACCTGCCGGATCGACCTCACTACAGCAGGTGGCAGTGGTAGAGTTATCCTTTGGAAAGGCAAGCGTGCCGCTGAGCATAGCGTCGATGTCCGCCTCCGAAAGATCCTTCAGTTTGCTGAGAGGGGACTGGCATTCGCAGTGTCTGGTGATAATGCTGGCGCGAGTGGCTCTGACCAGGTTGTTTTCACGTCAGCGGATATACACGACCTCAAGGCACGTCTCTTATTTATGCTCACCTTGCTGATATCAGAGCCAGTAGGAATATGAGAGTCGAAGGGGATTTCATGGCTTCTTATGAGTAGAGTGTGGTTAGAGTGATCACGTTTCCTCGATCAGCTCCGATGAATGATTCTCCAGCAGTAGTTAACACAGGTGCTATCAGCGTTGACTTGAAAGGGTGCAGAAGGAAGAATCCAAGAGGAAATCTTTCCTAGGGACGTGAACCGTACGTACATATGTGGGTGGACGTGCAGGGTTGCAGTCAATCTCGTGTTCGTCACCACTCAAGTTGACTGTGCTCGTCGGCTGACGAACATCCAAAGAGTCACTGCACGATGGTCCAAAGGCATTTTCTATGTATATCGCGGCACGACCTATACCAAGTCCTTTCCATTGCCGTATGCAGTACGGAGGCCACCAATTTTATGGGACTATATCTTTTTGGAGATCATGTGGCTATCAGTAAAGAGATCCGTAGTCAACAATGTAAGGGACGACACTTGTTCAACCTGTGAACTTGGTTGGTGTGACTTCATGTACTCATTAAGGCATAATGAGGTGTTCAGGTATATATTTCCATGGCAGGAACAACGGATCTCGGGTAGATCTCAAGGGCACCTTCGAGAGGGGGATAGACATGGATGAGCTCCTCGCTTTTCTCGAGAAAGGCCTTTCCGCATGCAGCCTCAAAATCCTTGGTCCGCACAGCTTGCGGTACTCGGTCCAAAGGAGTAAGCTAGGGAAGTGGAGGTCGTGGGTGGCCGTCCACGCAGAGTTCAACGTTGGCCCGAACAGGGGGACCTCGACATCCTCCCATGAGTCCATTGGCACAGGCAATGAAAGCGACAACCGAGAAGTCACGCCTTCGAACCAGATCGTTCTGGATCCTATCATGAGAATGATCTTGTTTTTGTTGCTGCAAAAGCTGGTGGCAGCCTTCGAAGCACGGGTTGAGCAAGCCGAGGGCAGCAGCTACGTCGGAGTACCTGAAGAAGTCGGCGTTGAGCTACTTTTTTGGGACACGGTTATTTCCCTGAAAATTAGCACCAGAATTGGCAGTGCTATTTGCCCTCGTACGTATTGGGTTGGGAAGATTGGCGAGAAGCGACCGTCGCGCTTTGAGCGATTCATTATCCCCCTCCTTCCTTTTTCGAAATCTGATTTCCAGGGTCACCCGCCAGTGTTGTTTAGAATGGCCCAGGTGCCATGTCGGAGGGCGGTGTTGAGCATGATATTCAGTTGCTGCATAGTGGCCTGCCGGAAGAAATGGTCGTAGCTTATGCTGTGATTGTCATGAGTGTTAAAGTGTGTTTATCTCCATCATCTTATCAATTTTTTTTTTTTTTTTCAAAATCTATCTCCACTCAACTGTACTATGACTATGGCTGTTCGTCTGGGCGGCGAGTGACGACATCATGTCGATCGGATAATCCTACTGCGTTGACCTCGAATGCGCCCTATCGACTCCACAAGACAGACATCAGTTAGCGCAGGGCGCGCCCAGACAGCCCGCAGTTCAACGCTATCGTCCTTTAGTTATAAATGTCGAGGTCCTTATTTCAACCATTCTAAGAACTCTTCAACTCCCTACGTCGATGCAGTTTCCTGTCCTGCTCGCCTTTTCGCATCATTGCTCCCCTCGGTGCTCATTCAACTTTTGAGTGAGAGCCAGAGATATCACCACCAACATCGCGAGGATTCCAACCCCAGACCCTGAGAAATTCCTATTGCTTCTTTGATTTACCACAACCAAAATGCCAACTGCAGATATGTTCGATCTTCCGGAGACGTTTCATCACAACGGCTGGTCCATCAGATACCTAGCACGCCGGGCCAAGTACGTGGACTCGTTTGCAGCAGCAAGTCCCTGGGTCGTTTTCGTGCATGGTACCCCATGGTCCTCAGACGTCTTCCGGCCTCTGGCAAATGCCTTGTCGGCGGGTGGTAGCTTCAACGTTGTTCTCTACGACCTCCCCGGATACGGACAGTCACAAACATTCAACAATTCTCAGGCCGACTCACAGCCAGACACCTCCGTGAAGGCCCAGTCAGAGTCTCTTGCGGCATTACTGCAACATCTCGGTCTCGACGGCAAGGACGGAAACACGAGCGCCCACGTCGTTGCTCACGACATCGCTGGGGTGATATCCCTGAGAGCTCACCTGTTGCATGGTTGCGAATATCGTAGTTTGTGCCTCTTGGATACGAACTGCGTGCTACCGTGGGGCGACAAACTTTACAATTCAATACGGTCCAATGCAGCCGTCTATGAGGAGCTCCCGGCTGTCGTGTTCGAGGGCTGCCTGAGGGCAATCATCCAGAGCGCCCGGGTCAAAGGGAATGGGCTGGGCCTAGAATGGGAGGATGTTCTCGCACGGCCGTGGCTGACTGGAGGGTCTGCATCTGACTCCAGTCTGCAGTATGATCCACAGAAGAACTTTGTCAGGCAGATCAAGCAATCTGATGACAGTCACACGGCTGAGCTCCTCGACAACGGACTATATCCGAAGGTCCGCTGCGACATCAAGGTTCTTTGGGGCGAAAAAGACGCATGGATCCCGTACGAAAAGATGCAGAGCATTGCAAGGCTGTTGGGAGACAGGCTCAAAGGGTTTGTTACAGTCCCGGAGGCTGGTCATCTCATCATGCTCGATCAACCCGAGCGAGTGACCTTGGAGATTGCTCGATGGCTTGAAAGGAAAGCTTGATATTCGAAAGGTTATATACGTAGGTATGTCGTTGTGCATATGTATAACCGTGCGGTGGATATCGGCGTAGCTATCATAAGACTCGTTTACCTGGAAGGGAAGCTTGTGACATTGAATGGTATGCATGCTTCATTTATGTACCAGTCTGTCACTGTATTAACTCATCTGAGGTTATACAAACAACATCTCGCCGCCTTTGGCAGCCTTCACTTAAGACAACCCACCGCAAGGGCAACAACACCTCCTGTCCCATGCCCGAAACCAACTCTGTAAATAACAGCCAGCATCTATCAGTGGCTCTCCAGTCAACGGCCCATTCTTCTTTGCCCAAGAACTCTTCCAACCATCTCATCAGATCCCCAAACATCCCAAGGAAACTTTTTCACCCCCATTTCTTGAGATGGCTCCACAAACGACGGCCATTGCAAATCAAGAGCCGTCTTCGGCGGCCGACACTGAATCGGTCACATGGTGCATCCCCTTCCTAGCCTTCTACGCCTTTGGGGTCCTGGCCTCAATGACATTGCTCTGGGCTGCTGAAATTCAGCAACAAACCTCTTTGGCCACCCGCCTGGTTCAACAACCGATCTGGCTCTTTGTACCAGGCTGTTCTCTACTTTCCGGCTTTTCTGTGGCTCGTCGTGCTGGCTGTTGGGATTCTGTGCCTTCTGGGCTGCGGCCTACTCCACCTTTGGGGATGGCTGGTTCGTAAGCTTTCGTCTGCAACTGGAAGGACTGGCACTTGTGACGAGGTCTCGCTCAGAGGACAAACGGACGGCGTCGGTCGAGTTCCTCTGACGCCTGTGGGGGGACTTCCGGCGAGCACAACTAAAGGCAGCATCGTTCAAGTCGAACAAGAGACAAAAGGCATTGCGATAGCGGCAGAGGAGATACCAACCAAGATCGACACTAGGAAGCCAAGGGCATGCAGTCTATCTGCACCAGCTATCGACCGCAGACAAGAACACCCAACAAGATCCTGGCGAGGATAAGTAACAGTCTCAGAAGAGCAACTATCTGGAGAGCAGATGCGAACCGCCAGCATGTCATCACTTCTGAGCCTGCACTCTGACTGCGAGCATGGCTGGCTGTCGACAGGGACTGGCAGACACAATTCGACGACAGCGTACGACGGAAATGGATAAGCACGTACACCTTGGACCATACTATAGGTGTCAATGATGTCTTTCGGTGCTCTTCAATCATTCATGGTCCGGTCTAACTAACTTGCCATTAATTGTCGTATGTACATTAGCCTGAATCTTTGCTACGTGGGCAATTTGATCAAGATCTCGAAGTGAGGTATATACACAGTCTTTCTGTTGGCCACGCTTGTCACTATTATCTTATCAAGACCTCCCTGTAGCCTTTGGGAAAGGAACGGCCGTGGTTCCCGACACCAACACAGGTGTTCCCGCTGCCTGCGCCAACATATTTGACTGGCTCGCCACAGGGACAGGCTTCGCGTTGCTGGCAAGTGTAGGGCCTGGGATCTGGTACGTCGTCAAATTTCTGTAGATGTCAATTTTGATGCCCGGGTCGTCCGCGTGGTACATCTCAGTCGCGAGGCGTCCCTTTCCCCTCCTGTCCAAAGCGTTGCCCACTGTCCCTCTTTTGCGCGGTGACCTGACGGCAGCGCCCTTCCCTGCCCCGGCTGCCGTCACCCATAGATTCACACACTGGGGGTAGTTCTGCGCCCCATCCGTCCTGTTCGCGTAGTGCAGGGCAATCAGCTCGTGGCGCAGCACATATGCCCCCGGGCTCAGCGTGGTCGGCAGCCCGACCAGCCAGCTGTTGTTGCTGGCGATGAGCGTGTTGGTGGACCAGAACCCGGGCGGGCCCCCACTTTCGTTGAAGAAGACGGGCGCAGCGTCGTCGATCTTTGTGAACTCCAGCTTTGTCTTGTCGACACTCGCGCAGCCGTCGCTGTTGTTGGTGTTGGTCGAGTCGCAGGGCGCTAGGTATGAGAGGATGGGCCCGACGTGGGATGCCGGCCAGCCGTTCCACTGCATGTGGATTACGTCGCCGGGGGAGACTGGGACGTGTGCTCTTGCTGGAGAGCCGTCCTTGTGGCAGATTATGTCGGGTGAGGTGTAGTTGGAGGGAGGCACGAATCCGTCGTCCAGGGCGGTCTGGGACCAGCCTACGGTCTCGGGTGCGTTGTCTGCCCCCAGCCTGGGGATGAAACCGGGATACATGAGGCCGTTAACAGTGACATAGTCGATGTGAGAGTGTGCTGCCACCGTGGTCACCAGAAGCACAGCGACGAAGAAATAGGAGGGGAGGGAAGTCATCGCGCCGGTGACAAGTTGCATGCCGGCTGGCGAGTTGGAGCAGCTGGCGTGTGAACAATCAAAGGAAACTCCTGTGAGCAATCCAGGATATATCAGGTCTTGTACAGGAATAGGCCCATATGATACCTCAGGAAGACTGCCCTGCCGTCAAAGCAGGTTGCAGGCATCGCCCAGGGATTCCATGGATTCCATGCAGCCGTGCTGGAGGTAGATGACCAGCAGCCAAGCTATGACAAACGGGATGTCCTGAACGCGGCGTCGATCTTTCCATGTTTGCGATGCGGAGGAAGAACGAGTGTCTGGGTATGGGCGTTTCAAGCAAACAATATGGAGTAATCCCTGTGATTGACCCGGGCCAAGGGCAGTGTCATTCGAGGAGGCCCTTTGTGTCTCACTCTGTCGCAAGGGAAATCTTCCCTTGTGGCCTCTCGAATTGGTGCTCATGAGTAAAATCTTTATGCCGAAACGTTAAGACGGCCAGTATTTGCTGAATGCGCTGTCTTCGTCGCTAACGGCTTCATGATCAAGCCTGCAGGTCGAGGGCTTCGGCTGATCTGCCGCAGCGATCGACAAATGACAGCCGTGTTAATCTGGCGCCTTGATGGCTCTCCAGGGATGTTGTTTGGAGAGGTCCAGGGGTCTGAAGCTGGCTCAGCGCTAAGACAGCGGCTGAATATGATTCGGAGGATGACTGCCGTTATGAAGGGACACGGGAGTCAGGTGAGCACCGTGAAACGGGGCACCTACAGTGCCTGGGATATACGACGGTGAGTAGTTGATATTAATCCCGTACAAGTGACAGAACTAAGCTGTTTCCAGTCCACTGAACACTGAGCGTCACCTGGTGTTGGTTGGCTGCAATGCAGTGGGGTGGGGATGGAATGGCCTGCCGGGTTTTGCTGTGCATTTCCATCCCTGAAATATCACAATGTCGTGGAGATCTTTTAAGAACAGAGGCCGCTCTACGGCCGCTCTACGGGACGATTTACTCTCGAGACTAGATTGGCGGCTGGCTCTTGTTGAAAATCGTGTAATCTGATTAACGCCTGCAGGCAGCTCTCCACACATGATGGCCCTCGGTTATGAGTTAGTCAGTCGGTCACGTAAGGCGTGGGAGTACTAGTAGGCTTATCAGCGGCAGAATGTTGGATGCAGAACCCCTCACTCGCACATGGTCACCAGCAAACGTTGGAAAAATTGTGTGTGCCTCCGATAACGCCAGCTTGAGGGCTTTTCCCGTGCATATTTCAACGAACCCCGTCATATAGAGGCCGGAGTTAATCCCAGAGCCCGGTCTCCGTGCACATTTCAATTCATCCTGTTTCATCCCATATTTGATTAACCTCCCTCTGCCTGGACCAAATTCTTTCAGGGTCGGAAACACCCCGGACGCCCGCCCGCGGATACCGGCCCGCCATGCCCCGCTTCGCCCTGTCCCGGCCGGACATCCACCTGCCTCTGCCGAAGCCCCTCCGTGCTCTTCCTCCGGCCGTGGTATGGCAGATTCTGCTCCTGATTTCCGTGAACATCATCGTATGGGTGGTCATCGGTATCATCCTGCACTTCTACCCGGTGCTCATCTCCTCTGCCGTCCTATCATACACCCTCGGTCTGCGCCATGCCCTCGATGCCGACCACATCAGCGCCATCGACCTCATGACCCGCCGCCTCATCGCGGCCGGCCAGCGTCCCGTGAGCGTCGGCACATGGTTTAGCCTGGGCCATTCAACCATCGTGATCATCACCTGCGTGGTCGTCGCCGCCACGAGCGGCGCACTGAGGGACCGCTTCGACGGCTTCCAAAGAGTCGGCAACATCGTGGGCACCAGCGTCAGCGCCGCATTCCTGCTCATCCTCTGCGCCGGCAACGCCTGGGTCCTATTCCGTCTGGTCAAGAGGCTCAGGACGCTCCTTGAGGGCCAGCGCCGGCAGATCCGGGACGGCGAGGAGGCGCAGGGCCCGGGGGAGGAGGACACCGCGGCCGCGCAGCTGTCGCTCGAGGGCGTCGGCTTCCTGTCGAACGTCTTCCGGAAGCTATTCCGCATTGTGGACCGCCCGTGGAAGATGTACCCCCTTGGCGTCATGTTTGGTCTGGGCTTTGATACCAGCTCTGAGATCGCCATACTTGGGATTGCCAGCATCCAAGGGGCCGCTGGCACAAGCTTGTGGCTGATCTTGGTGTTCCCGGTCCTGTTTACTGGTGAGTGTATATGGCTCCTCGTCACTGCATCGCAGCTTCTAATCCTGTTCTCAGCTGGCATGTGTCTCCTCGACACGACAGACGGAGCTCTGATGATGGCCCTGTATACCTCCAAGGCCTTCTCAAGGGACCATATCGCGATCCTGTATTACTCGATTGTTCTCACAGGGATCACCATTGTCGTTTCGGCCTTCATTGGAGTCATTCAGGTTCTGACGCTGGTGCTGAACGTTGCTGAGCCGGAAGGCAGCTTCTGGGACGGTGTCGGGGCCGTCGGAGACAACTTCGAAATTATTGGTGGCAGTATCTGTGGGCTGTTCCTCATTGTCGGTTTGGGCTCGGTGATAGTGTACCGACCCTGGAGGAGGAGGGTAGACCGAGGAGCACTGTTGAACGCTCCGCCTGATGCGGCGTTTGACGCTGGTGCGAGTGACACCAGGGCACCAGAAGGCGAGGGAGACCAGACGGGCCAACAGGTTGCGTAGCCAGGCGATATATTGGGACGAGGTAATCCGAATGACTGGTAAAAGGTTCAAATGGACCTCATGCCCCATGTGGCATTTTTAGCCAACACGCCCTCCCGCCACCACCACAGCCCAGCATACGTAGCCCCCGGCCCAAATAGTACCTGCCCGGCCAGAACCCCGATCGACAATTTCCTTGTGTCTGTCTTCGTTACCATGCCGCGCCTGCGAAGATCCATCACTGTGTACAGGCAGAAGCTCAGAGTGGCGTTTGCATAGAGGGAGAGACTGGAATACTTCTGTCCCGGAACCATTGGATAAGTCAACAGGCTGCCCACAGCAGCACTAAGAGACCGCCGGCCTCCCGGTGTCTGGATGACATTGCGCGTAATGGTATAAATGTGCTGCACAGCTTGAATGGCGAATGACACGGCATAGGCCAGTCTCAAGGAGCGTAGGACGTCGACGCTGTCCCGACTCTGAGATGATCTTCTCGCCTCAGGCGTTGCCTTGTCCACCTGTCCAACCAGGTCAACCTTGCGGTGAACATAAGACAGTACCCTTGATATCAGTGTCGTCAAAACCGGCACCGTTACTGGGGCTAAGAAAAAGGAGTAGACCACGGAGGACTGAATGTTGAAATGGGACTGGGATACTCCAGTCGCTGTCAATGGCACAAGGCTGGTGAGAGCGGCCGGGAGAACGTAGCCAAGTAGGGTTGCTGGCAGAACGGCCTTGGCCACTTCTGGGGGGATATTTTGACCTTCTACGGAAGATCCAGAGCCCCAAGTAGCCATGCTGAAGAGATAATACATTGGTGCAATTCTTTCAATGCCACTGATCTGCACAGCTGCTCCGGCGAGCGATTGCCTGACGAAGATGACCCATGTCAGCAAATGCGCCCTTGACACCCTTCATAACACACTCACAATGCCAGCTTGGCCATCGAGGTACCCTCGCGGTTTGCCTCGACCGTCCAGATCAAGACGGGCGATATCAGGTTGGAGACAAGGTACGTCGCCTGCGAGCGACTGGTTACATCGTCACCGAAGAAGGGGAACACCAACGCGTGCACTCCTCGTAGGCCCTCATTGCGGGAGGCAAGCCAGTAAGCCATACCCATGCACCCTATAGTAGCTGCTCTTGGTATCCAGACTGCCAGCCGGCCCCCCTCTATGGGCTTTGCGGGTGGCGCTTCCATTGGGCTCGTCGGTGCTTCACGCCCCGCGCCATCCTCTCTGGGCGAGGCACGCGCCATTAGGTTCGAGGACACGCCTCTCTCATCCAAGGAGCAACGATATCTCTGTTCTCATCTCGAGAGAAAGAGGAAGTAACTCTGGCCGCGTAAGATTCACGTGTCTTTCAACATGAGATGTGTAGGCGAGTGTAGGTTGCGAGGTCCGAATGTCGCGCCATGCCCAGCTTGGCAGCCGAGGATTTTGCCGTGAGTCCAGCCAGGGGCAACCCTGTCACCACACTTCGGCCTCAGCTGCCTTGTGCAGCGGCTGCACGACATCCCGGTCCTCAGTGTGAGTGTAGCCTCCTCGATGCTCTAGCACAGCAACGAGGATCTGCATCACCTGCTGGAAGTAATTGAGGTCTTGTGATGAGAGCTCATATTTCATCTTTCATTTCGGTGTTCACATGATCGGTCAAGTCGGGGGCCTTGCTGCCGGCCGCCATGAACATCTGTCGTGTTGGTGAGAGACATGCAGGCAATCTGCAAGTGTCTTGCAGCGATGAAGTTGATGTGGTTCTGCCGAGCACGATGTCGCTTCAACACCGGGAGCGGCAACTAGGTGTCTCAGCTTTGACGACTGCGAAGACGGATCTTTGCACTTACAAACAAGACCTTCTAGGTCAAATTTTCCATCCTGGGCTCTCAAATCGCCAATCTCCAGCCCTATCAACACGATCCAGAACAATCTTTCACCCAAGTGACAGGATTATTGGTCGTTGTCTCAATCTAGCAAAGCTGCTGATCCCACAAACTGCCACAGCACAGCTGGAGTCTCTGGGCATAAGTGTGAACCCATACTCGGAGGTATAGGTACATCCATTTTCCTCTGTAGCGGCTGTCAAACTTAAAACACTTTCTAGGAGCCAGTATCAGACCAGGAGAAGGCTTACATTAGAGAGAAAGAGCAAGGGCAAGAAGAGCTTCAGAGAAAGAGGGCATCTTATTCAGGGCTATCCTATGTCCAGCTCAACATTTTACGACGACCTGAAGGGGAGAGTTGGAATCTTTGGCTGCATGGACGATATGAGGTGTGGGTGCGTCCGTTCTTCTCTACTGGAATAACCCCTGGGTTCCCCTCCTGCCAGAGCCATTACTGATAACTAAGCATTGTATGATGTCGGTGAGAATTCGAAAGTCCTGGATGTACCAAGACAAATTGGCCCTTCCCTTCAGATGCCAGCCAGCAAGAAGTGGAACTTGACTATTCAACCCCTTTTCACTGCTGTCGCTGGAAAAAGAGACTCATGGATGTCCCTGGCGTGACTCAGTTGGTAAGATCAACACTCGACACCGGCATTCCTGGACGGATCAGCTGACATTGGGGAGTCCCATTGTAATGGCATCGTTGATCATGTTTCTCAACAAGACTGGAGTCTTTGATTGACGTCGGCGAAGCCCTCAATGACTGCTCCCGGAAACTCCCCGTACCCGCGACCCACTCATATGCCACGCTCGAGGCACTTGCTGTACAAACATGCCAGAGTCCAAATTCCCACTCCATTGAACCCCGGTACATGTGGTCGACGTGGTTACGCAATTGAAAACCAGGTCAAGTGGGAATTGAACGCCTACACGGACCATCTCATTCTCTGAGCAGTGTCCCTCGCTACACCGCCCACGGCCCGCAGGAGGGCCTTGATACCCGCACGTGCAGGCTTTCCAGAGCATTATCAGCAGGGATGAGCTGTTGATGGCACAGGCACGATGGGGTTCTTCGGAGGGAGCGCCCTGGATCTCGCGGGCAGTTTTTAAGTTCCGCCCCTGATTATCGACGGGTTCCCTCAGGAGGTGGCTCCCGGTGAATCTAGACCCTGAGATAGATTGCGACGCATGGTGTGGGGAAAGGCTGGTAAACGGCGAGTTAGACGAGGTTAGGGTTCCGTAATAGTTGATGCTATCCTCAATGTCCTCACATTTACACTTGTTGCATCTCAAGCCAAGGCAAGTCGAACTAGCTATGCGGCAAGAATGTGCACTTATGAATGGGTGATAATGTGTGTGTGTGTCATCGTGTAGGTTGTAATTGAAGGTTCGGGTTGCGACCCATCGGAATAGACTTTGGATACAGATAAGGCTACCTGCAGATGCCAATTAATCAATCACTCCAGATTCGCTTGTCGGCTTGTCAGTTCACTGTGGTGGGAAAGGGTGGCCAGGGTCCTCTTCGGCAGTCGGTGGTCCCCAGGGGGTGGTTCATCTCGCGGCGTCGTCATGATGGGGCCGCTGGCATCTGGACCCATCAGAATACCTGCGCGGTACGTGGGTAGGGTTTACGCACTTGCACGACGATCAAGCACCACCACACGGGGCTTCCTGGAGTGGATTTCGAAAGCATCCCTCTCCTTGTGGGGATGGGGGCCAAGTCTATCAACCAAAGTTGGCATTTTAGAGGGACGGGAGTTCGAGAGAAGGTGAACATGAAAACTATATATAATGAGCTCACACTCTCGACCACATCCATCATTTCTCTGGCTCATCCATCAGCACATTCACTCATCTACTCAATCAACCTAACAAACAACAACATCACCACCAGTACAACCAGACACCAAACCTTCAAGTTCCAACCGCCAAAATGCAGTTCAAGACCCTCCTCTCCATCTCTGTCGCCATCGTCGGAGCCATCGCCCAGGACGACCCCCTCTCCCTGCTCCCTGAGTGCGCCAAGAGCAAGCTCACTACCGCCTTCGAGGCCACCGGCTGCACCTCCCAGACAGGTTCGTTGATACCCAATCAGTAGCCCATTCGTGCACACAAACACCACACACTTTCATTGGTGGCCCCGCCGGCTTTTGGGACCCTGGACTGGATAATTGGCTAACACGTACAATTGGAAACAGACACCGCCTGCTGGTGCCCCAACAAGGACCTGAAGTCCGCCGTCGAGAACGTCGTCGGCGGCACCACCGTGTGCGGCGACGCCGCTGGCAGGCAGCTGATTGGCGGCACGTGGAACAAGAAGTGCCCTGACAACACTGTCACCATCGCCTAAATATCTCCCACGGCCGTTTCTGGAGGATGATGGGATCAGGAAAGAGATGTTGCAATGACCACATGATGAGATCCATGAGGGGTTGTACCTAGTATATGTTATGCTGTGATGTGCATGATGAAGACATACTCTTTTGAGTTGTTTTCGATTGCAGAATTTGATGAACTATACACCAATTTCGATATTTGCCTGTGCCTGTTTTCAGATAAGCTTCTTATATTAGCTTACCTCTAGGTCTGCGCAAGGCAAGTCTCAGTTCTCCTCAACAGCGTCCTTCGACTTCAGCGCATTCTCACGCCAGGACCCGACAAGCTCGCAATAAATCGGTCACGGCAGGCTGGGAACTTCATGGAGCAGAAACCTGCCGGACAAATCAAAGAAAGCTGACAAGATCTGGCTAGATAACATTCGCAGACAATGATTCTTCGATCAAACAGTACAAAACCTGACACGGCCATCTTTACCTGTCTCGAGCTTTGCCATCATTGTCTTCGACACCTCTTCCAGCTTACTCGAAGTGTTGATCTCATTCGTTTTCAGATTCTCTATCCTCAAGCCTCTAGCGGATGGAATAGAAAAGCAAGCGCCGACGATTTGAGAAGGAGCTCAGAGCGAGTGGTCACAATGGAAACTGCCAACAAGCCACATGTAAGCACCGTCTCTGCTAACGGTACGACTATCCACTGCCACCGGACACGAATATACGTCTCTGTGACATATGCCTGCCCTGCCAGTCTGGTTGCGTTGAGATTATCTCCTGGGCCTGCACTCCGAATCTGGCTCGTCAAGGTGTTGGCCAGGTCCTGCGTTACCACGCTCAGGTCTGATGCGTGGAGGAAGAATCCGAGATTGAAGGAGTCTTTGTCCCTCTGCGTTCCCGCGTGGGGATAATAGTCTTGAATAGATCGTTCGAGGAGCGAGCCCGGCCAAGCGAATAGCTGAAGCTGTGAATTGCTGTCGACGTAGAACTCCAAGCCGGATTGAGTCGTGCAGATAGTTGAGCCGGATCCAGAGTCTCCCGTCTCATTTCTCAAGAATCCAATCGGGGCTAGCTTCTCGGACTCGACTGTCCCACCTGTGATACCCGCTGGTGACGCGGGGGCATTTTTGTATGTCTTCGCACACCAGTTCCATTTGCTGAATGAAACCTCGGTCGCCGGAGGCTTGTAAGTAGGGCGCTCATTCGCGTTCGGAACTTTGAGCGCAAAGATCCCGACCGAATCGGGCTCGTAGAAAATACCGAACGAATTTGACTGGAAAATCGTTGTTGGGGGGGGGGGGCACATTGGGCTTGTCTGATCAGAAAAGGTCACTGTCACGGTTTCTGTGGCCCCCACCGATGTCAGCGCTTGTGGCACTTCATATGTGCAATTGAGTAGAATCCTGTCCCCGGTGCAGTCGGCCTCAATACTGTCCGTAAGGTTATAGTAGCTGCCGCAAACCCCAAGGCTAGTGAAATCTGGCCAGGTGCATGTATCTCCTGGGCAGACAGAGTTGGGGGCAAAGACAGAGCCCGCAATCCCGTCGATGACGCTCGACTGAAGCTTGAATATGTCCGAGTTATAGGACGTCGTGAAATAAGCGCGCCCGCCGCCGAACCCCGACACATATGATTTCGAGGAGTCATTAGTTGCCAGTCCGATCTCAGCCGTGGCGTTCTTGAGCAGTACTTGTGCGGGTCTGAATTCCAAGATCTGTTGGGCGCTGGGGCCGATGCCCAGTGCCACGATTGTCACCAGGGAAAGGAGGGATGCTGTAGCGGCCTTTGTGGATGCCAAGTGAAAGAGCAGCAACAGGGAACCCCAGGGGCCGTGAGAAGCGTCATCCATCAGCTGCATGTGGTGAAGGTGACGAGCACGCCGGAAATATCTCCACTTCAGCTGGCCGATGCAGGCTGTGACTGGGAACATCATCAGGGTTTGCCCGATGGTAGTCAAGACAGAGATGAGTGTATTCGGCTGGATTTCTAGAGTTCCCACACGAAAGTTCCAAGACCCTAACGCCGTGTTGTTGATTTTAAGGACAAGTAGCAGAACCAAGGCCATGCTCGTGGTCCTGAAGATGGTTGCAACAATTTCCCGCCACCACGAGCGGAACATTGTTCTTTTTGCACTGCAAATAGAAGATTGGCCTTCAGAAGTGCTTTCTTGCGACAGCTTGCGGCCCGAGTTTGTCAGTCCTGAAAAGTGCGAAGTACCAGCTGTATCCCCCCATCTAGGCTGTGCACGGCACCGCAGTCGGGAGCAGCATAATGTGTAGGCGAAGACCTGGTGGTAGTGAGATATATTGAGGTATCCGGTGAGACCGCTGGGAACATCGTGAAAATCAACGCATGCCTTGAGGCAAGATATTCAGCTTCGTGTGAAATGCTTGAGGGACTGATATGACTGTCATTCTCAGCTGGTGGGATTTGGTTGGTCATAGTTACAGTTGTTCCTTTGTCTGGATCATAAAGAACAGATCTTGTGTGGAAGAAAACATCTGGATGACTGAGTGAAGACACGGTAATGGGATGTACAACGGCTGGGCTCACATAGGTATCGCCCCTATGACAAGGCATCTGAGTTTCTGGTGTTGCACAAGAGTGTCGAGATAAAACGTGGGGGCCTGCATCCCTTGATCGGTAGGTGAGGAGGCAACAATGATTCTATACATCCAATCAACAAATTGTAGCATTCAGACCCCAATTGTGAATGATCACACCGTGTTTGCGTGGTCATGGAAGCATAGAGTGTGGAAGGCAGGCGAGCAGGTGGCACGTGATACTGTAGAGGCTCTTTTATTTATAAAGGTCTCATCATACGTCTATAGAGGTATCAAGGCTCCCAACGCCGTGAAGTGAAATTGAAAGGATCCCAAAAGCATCTGAGGTCCACCCAGCCATGAATTGAAGATGTCAGAGTCCCGTCGCCGACAAGTTGCGGTCTATAGTAAAGACTTCCTGTGTTTACTAGATGAGGGCCAAGGCACAACCAACAACACCCAGGAGGACCGAACTACCAGCCTTACTGGCAGTCAGCTTCGCAGCGCTGGCCTCGGCCGCGGCCGTAGATGAGCCCGAGGCTGACGACGATGAAGACGACGAGCTGGACGAGCCATCCGAGCCATCCGAGCCCCCTGAAGAGGGGGAGGTCGGTGACGATGAGCCTGTGCCGTTTGTGGCGGATGATGCGCCAGGCCGGGTCGAGCTGGAGCCGTTGCTGTACGGGGCCGAGCCCGAAATGCCGGACGCACCGCCCGTCGCCGAAGGGCGGACAGTCGCGGTACCGGAGGCATTCGAGGCCGCGACGGGCGAGGTGGGAGCCGAGCCGTCGTCGGCGGACGAGTCGGACCCGGTGGAGCCCGAGCTGGTGGTGGTGTTGACGTCGGTGTCGCCCAGCACGATGGACTCGTACGAGCCGGTCAGGTCGCCGTAGGTGTACGAGTTGGCCGGGTTGTAGTTGGTGATGGAGACGCTCTGGATGTAGGCCGTGAAGGGGCCGTCGTCGTAGTTGGTCTCGCCGCCGGCCCACTGGATCGTGCCCTCCGGGTTGCTCGGGTCGCCTCCGGCCCAGGTGCCCAGCTTGACGCGCATGGGCGTCTGCGGGTAGTTGGAGCCGCCGTTGGCGTCTGCGTAAGCCAGGGTGCGGACGGACTGGCCGTCGATCATCCAGATTGTGCTCTCCTTAGTCCACACGATGGTGTAGTTGTGGAAGTCGGCCTGGGAGTCGGCCATCTGGACGTATGTCTCGCGGTCGTACGTGGATGTGTTTCCCTTTCCGAGTAGTTTGTCTCCACCTCGGTTGCGGTGCCTCCAAGCCACTCCCAGTCGATCTCATCGAGATCGTCGGACTCGAGAATGGCCGAGGACACGATTCCGGTTCCTGGCGCGGCCTTCATCACAACAGAGACGACACCGAAGAAGACATAGAAGTTGGACTGGACCGTAGGCGCATCACCCGGTTTGGAAATGGTGTAGACGGCGCCGTTGGTGTCATCGTAGGTCAGAGCGCCGTAGGTGATGTTCCAGTCGTCGCTGGCGCCCTTGGTGAAGTCGACGCTGTACGACGCCTGACTCAGGCCTTGGTCTGCACCACAAGTCTCTGTTTGATCATGTTAGCATGTTGTTTGTAGTCAGTCGGTGCTAATCAGGGAGAGCATAGACTCACTCTCTGTAGGGTTGCATTCCGTCGAAGTCTGCGCCGCTACTGCGGACAACAGGGAGAGACCAGCGGTAATGAGGCAAGCAGAGTGCATCTTGCTGGATATAAAGAGGGCGTATGAGGGTGTCCTTGTGGTGGAAGTATGGAAGTCAAGGAAAGTGTAGGAGACAGGAAGCAAAAGAGGGTGGAGTCACGATTCGAAAAGCATTTAGGTATCCGATGCACGCATTCACTTGGAAAACAGGCAAACGAAACGAAACAAACCACGCGTTGAGCTCCAGACGGCGAATTAATCGAACAACTTGAATGATTGTCTGGCAGACATGACGACCAAACCGGTGGTGGCCGGCCCACTTTTGATGCCGCAGTTAGACAGCTTACCCAGCGCCTCGGACACGGCACTGGCGATGACAGCGGCAATCGCAGGGAATATGGGAGACCTCACAAGGACTTGTCAGCAAATGAGCCCCTGAGTCTCAAACAGCTCGGCCAGATTGCCTTGATGTTCAGCAGTACACAACCCGGTTTGTGGCGGGAGGGCCCATATTTTCAGGGGAAACTTTGAGGACAGGCATGGCGGGACGGCTTCAAACAGGTCCCGAGGCGGCCGGGATCCAATCGACCCTGCCAAGACTGCGCCTCCCGAGACGACAGCCCCAGTGAAATCGGACGAATCGGTGGCTGAGGATGCATTCTGCCGAACAGCTCACAACCCAGCAGAGCCAGCTGGGCCGCGTGTGGTCTCCCGATCTCGCATTTGGCAGTGGCTGGGCTACCAGGCCACTCGCAACGGGCAATCGGGGCAACTGTAGGACCTTGGTGGGTCACCCTTGTTTTAGTCCGATCGATTTCTATGTGAGGAAGATCACGGGGTTGCTACGGATCCACTCGCTCCTCAATGATGGCATGTTGGTCACGATGATTGTGCAGCTACAATCACAATATCTTCCATCTAGACTTGCGAATGCAGAGTCAGCATGCATATGATAACATTCTATTTTGCCCCATGAATGCGCCACAAATGGCTTAGTTACTGCTGATATCGGGGTAGCCTGTGCTGTGCTATTCGATCTGTCTTGATGATCCGTATAAGACGAACGCATGTACTATTACGACCACGCTGAGGGCATGTGTTGATAACAAAGTACCGTTTTTCTGTCGCTTATTAGTGCGGTTTCTTCCGCGACGACATCTCAGAGGCCGTGAAAAGGCTCGCCTGCCCCCTTGGTAGAACTCACGCTCTTTACTACTTGATTTATTTCGTAAAACCCCATGTCACATACCATATTTCCAGCCGCCAGTCCATAGCTTCCTGTCTCTGTACTTTGTTATTGAGGAACTGTCTGACCACCGGCTTCGGTTGAAGCCCAGCAGCTACGAGATAATCATATCATTATGCTCAAGCCTCTTTCTCGTTGTCCAGCGCTGTGCTCACAATTCCTATGCGTACAAATTCTAGAACCTCAAAGTCCCATACGGATGGCAGATGAGGAGGCTCAGGTCAGCGAAGGGGTCAGGGTTCAGATCTGTAATAGTAAGTAGCTGCTATAGGGGGTGCCTCGAGCGGCTGAATATTGAGGTGCGATTGCATCAATTTCCTTCTTGTGGCAGAGACGGCAAGGCCAACCCTGCCATCGCCCCCTCTCGCAGTCCCGTGCGTTGCCAGTGAGCATTCGAATTTAGATGCACCATCGCGATGTCACATTGGAATGTGACAGCTGAGCTCAGATCTGGCAATGCCCAAACTTTAACTGACAGCTCTCCAAATCGTGGTCACTTCTGATGAGAAGTACCAAGCCCCGTCGATGATACAGATCCGTGCCTGTGTGACATATCGGAAATCCGACATGCTGAAAAACCAATGCAAATGACACCCCCATGTAGGAAGGCTGTTGCGCAGGTGTAGATCAACATCTGAGTTGACAGATGTGCCTGGTCTATTAAATGAGACGTGATTGCAGACAAGAGTGACACTGCCATTCTGCTTGTCAGCGTTTCCGGACCAATTGTCACAGATGCAACGGGAAACGCCCAGAACACCGGGTGCCTTCCCGTCACTTACGCGACACTCATCATAGTACCAAGAAAAATGGTCGACGAGTAAAACGCCTTGCGTTGTGGGAAAGGGAGGGCCTGGGCAGATTCCATTCAGGCATCCAGCGTTAAATTCGAAAGCTTTGGGTCATGAAGTGTTATCACCAGGCTCCTGAGCATGACTTCAGAGAACAGCCATCAATGGACTGATCGGCCTATATTCCTCAGTCTGGAAGAATCGCCGATGAAGTGTTTAGATCTTGTGCCGACAGCGACATCAGGATCCCAACAGTTAGGCTGGGTCAAAGCACAAGTGACGGCCAAAGATTTGGGGATCTCCACGCACCGAATCATGACAACCTGTGTTGACCTTTGTCTAAGTTTGCAAAGACGGCTTGTGCGTTGTGGTTAGGATGAACCTAGGTGCTGCGAGCATTGGACAAGATTGAGTTATGATGACACGCGAATCTCACTGGGTTTGATACCACCCTACCTCATTGATTTCCAGCGAAACTATTGAACAATGCGGCGAATTCTCTCAGACCCCTGCCTCCACGGCGTTCGTGTTCGCAGACTCCAACATATGATGCATACATTACTAATATTTTCTTGCATTTTGAAAGCTATTATTCTACGAGCAAACCCACTACAGGTGGATTGGATGATTCTGCAACCTTTCGGAGTTTGTAAGATTCTTTCTTCTGGAACACATTCCAAGGAGCAAGTTTGCATCGGAAGATCGGCAATTTGAGCCGGCAGCGTTGAAATCAAGATGTACGGTATCGTCGAATTGAAATGGTCACCAATGTTCACTTTCTTGACCCCGCATTGTCACCCAACACTATGGCTATCAATGCGCCCATGTCACTTTGCACAGACACCGCTTAAGCTCTCATGATGCCCTCCATGTGCTGCCTGCCGTTCGGTGACAGCGGATGGTCTTCCGTGCACAGACTTCGCGCGTAAGCTTCACGCGAGGACGTCCTGATATAGACGGAACCTTTCGGCCCTGTGGCTACGAGCGACGTTGAATTCTTGGCCTGACACTTATCCTTGTCCATCTCATGATCGTTTCATGATCTCAATTCTCCGACCGTCTTTCCTGCATGGCATTACCAATCCTTCCAGATGACACCTGGGGGAGGGAAGAGATGCCAAAGAAAGAGGCGGAAGACGAAATCGCAGCTCAAGGGAACTCGGATATACATTGGACAACTTCGGTATGGAGTGCGTCCGACAAGTCCAAGGGGAAGAAATCGTCCTGGATTCAGGGTCCTCGATATCAAGGTCATGTCTCGGAGAGCCGAGTCCTGCTCACAAATGAGGACAGCCGTAGGATATGCCGCAGAATCGACAAGAGGATCCTTGTTATCCTGGTATGGGTCTATTTTCTCCAAGTAATATCCCCAGAATCCGGGTCACACTTGAGTGCAGTGACTGACCTAGCCTACAGGTCCTGGACAAAATGGTCGTGGGCCATGGTGCGATTCTTGGGCTCCAGGCAGACCTGGCTCTAATGGGCAACCGCTTCTACTGGGTGGTCACTATCGCCCTCATCGCACAGTTGGTTGCGTTGCCTTTTTCCGCGTTCCTGATTGTAAAATCCCCGCCGAGGACCTTGTTGCCAGCCATGATACTTGGATGCGGCATTGCACAAACTTGCTCATCGGCTGCTCACAGCTTTGGAGGACTCATGGCCGCCCGGGCCGCGCTGGGAATATTTGAGGCCGGCTGCCTCCCTCTCTTCGCCATCATGACCGGAGCATGGTACCGTCGAGCAGAACAGCCATTACGGATTGCGGCCTGGTATGGAACGAATGGTCTGGCAACAATCATTGCATCTTTGCTCGCGTATGGGTTCGGGAAAATCCAATCGCCACAGTTAGCTCCTTGGAGAATGTGAGTCAATAGTGACATAGCTGTGTCTTGCGGGGGTCGCTAACATTGCACTTGAGTATGTTTCTATCGACTGGCCTGGTGACTATTCTGACGGTTCCATTTGTTTACGGCAAGCTCGAAAACGATGTACAGACTGCATCGTTCCTCGCACAAGACGAACAATTCATGGCGATCGAACGGCTGCGAGCCAACCAAGCAGCCTCCGACGCACGAGAGGTGCGATGGGGCCAGGTCAAAGAGGCAGTCAAAGACGTCAAGACTTGTCTCTTTTTCATCATGTCACTCGGAAATAGCCTCGGTTCCCAGGTCCCTCGTACATTCGGCCCGTTGATCCTCAAACGTCTTGGTTACGACAACTATACCACACTACTTCTGAACATGCCATTCGGTGCGCTACAGTACATTGTTATTCTCGGAGTCTCCTGGTTGGCCGTGAAATTCCGATGGAAGTCCCTGACGCTGGGCAGCTCCTTGGTACCGGTCATCATAGGGCTCGTCATTCTGTTTGTTCTCCCGCAAGGGAGTACGAATACCGCAGTGCTTCTGATCGGCTACCACCTTTTCGCATTCATATTCGGATGCAACAGTCTAATACTGTCCTGGATAATGGCAAATACAGCGGGCCAGACCAAGAAGTCAATCACCCTGTCCCTCTACAGCGCTGCTTCGTCGACCGGCATCGCTCTTGGGCCTTTACTATTCAAGTCCAGCGATGCGCCACGATATGATACTGCGCTCAAGATTACGCTCGGCGTGTACATTGGAATTTCCTGGGCGGTAATTGTGCAGGTGGTCAATCTCGTACTCCTGAACGGGGCGCAGGAGAAACGGAGGCTCGCACACGAGAAGCCAGCGACACTCCACGATCACTCGATGAGAGAGAAATATGTGGATATTACGGTGGATAATGAGCACCATGTAGGGAATTTCGCGTTTGCGGATCTGACCGACAAGCAGAATGATGAGTTCGTGTACATTTGTTGAGAACGGATTCAACTCCTCTCGCCTTCGAAGTATTTACCCTTTAATATAATCGAGAAACAGATTCTGCCCCTAATGTTCAGGGAGCCGCCACAGAGCCAGTGTTCATAAATTGCGAAACATTTCGTAGGGAAGTTCGTATCTCTCCACCGTGACCATCGCGATCCATGATCGTTAACCTTTTTGCTCTTAGGCTAATGTCACGGTCCCAGTGATGGATGAGCCGAGTTCCCTTATTGCTGTTCCCCTATTCCTATTACGCCGATTATTCGTGAGGTAATGTAGCAGCCCTATGGTATGCTTTCAGAACGCAAGAAGAGTGTCGATATTGGTGTAGTGGCTGAGCAAACAGCCAGACAAATAGTTGCCTTGATAGTTATTTAAATGCTTTTAGGCGAGGTGTTGTGGTTATGGCCGCAGCCAAGCAATCCTTACAGCACTACAGTAAAGCGCAAGTCAAAGGCATGACATCTGCCGTCCCTCTTGAATGGCCATAGCTCTGATTCGCAAACCCTTTACCGTGATATGCGGTACAAGATAGACCATTGTATTGCCTCATTGAGGAGCGACTTTTCCTGTTGGTCGCGACCGCCAAGAGCCGTATGTCACAGCGGCTGCAGAACGAGTTGGTATGTGGATTGGGCTTGGGTATGTGTGAATTAGGTGTGGGTGTATTGGGTATGGGTGTGTTGGGTGTGAATGTACTACGCGTGTAATGTATCTGTATACCATCCATTTCTTTCTGTGCGAATATCCGTTATCCAGATAGTTTTAAAGGTCGGAAAGTGGTGGTGCTATTAGCTTATCTGCTCTGGATTTACTGTTCTTCTTGTTGCTTTCTTGACGTTAGGCTTCGGGACAACCTGTCTCCAACCGCCTGCCTCGTGTCGCCGCCGAACCACACAATTGATTGCGAAAGATAAAACAGAGTTTGAAAGAGGTAGAGAGATATACCCACATGCTAAGATCACCACCTGTCGTCAGCGAGACAATGAAATTGTGACGAGAGAGGGACTGGGGGTTTACTTGTTTTCTAAATGAACATGATCACGGCACCAATGTTTGTAGTCTTGGGCACGCTGAAGCAGCCAGCACCTTTCCCTGAAACTATCAGCGTCTCACAGGTGTTGGTACTGGAAAGTCTTCCACTTGAAACTTCGCCCGTCCTCTGGGAAAAGGAAGCGGATAGCAGCTGCAGCAGGCGCATCGAAGTCATACAGCCCTTCGAATTTGGAGTAGGCTGCTAAGGCTTCTTCACCGCCGTTGAGGCTCGCACCACTCCCATTTCCTCACCCACAAGGGTACCACTCGATAAACTACAGTAATTCAGATGGTATCTCGGTGGTTTGCGTCACAGAGACGGTTCTCTGCAAAGTATCTGCTCTACAGGGAACGGATATCTACTTCTACATTCTGCAGTCTTTTGACAAATTACTTTGCATCTTGACTGGCTGACTTAACTCCCATTGTTTTGTCCCAGTATTTTCATGACGTCCTTTAAAATACGCACACCTGTATCGCTGCGACTTATACTCGGGCGATGCGCTCCCATCTGATTACCATGTCTCGACCAGGAGGCATAGTCCAGATCCAAAGTATCGAGCATCACTCTCAACCGCCCGAGCTGAAGTTAAGCCATCGAGTTCTGTCCATCCTACCAGCTCTATATCGAATTTAATGGTTACAAGCCTAGTCGTTATTAGAATTTCGATCTCAGTAGACTGGCGGCCTAGTATATATTCGCGCCAACACTAAATGAAGTGCGCATTCGGCGTCCCTGCGGTTGCTATACATCCGCTTTCATAATGTCTGGACCATAGCAGACACGTCGTCAACAGACTTAGTTAATGTGACGTTCCGCCCAAAAGTCGGAGGCGGGATATCCCATGGCAACCCAGAAGTACGAGGCTACCTGTGTAGGCATCTATAGTGGAGACATCTGGTCAATTATATGCCTGTCTATTGTAATAGATTGTCCAATATCGCGTGTAATCTTGAAAGTAATACTTACTCTTTTCCACCACTGGCGCGTGATCCTGGGAGTTGGCTGTCCCGTCGAGGGCGGGCGCCGGGCTGGGAAGAGAGTCTGATGGGTACAAAGGAGGAGCCGGCGATAGGTTCTCGGGTGTCTCCTCCTGACCGATATCTAATGTTGAAATTAATGATTACTAATTGAGGCTTCTCGATGAAGGTAGATTGCAATAGCAGGAGCGTCTCCTAATTGTTTAAGGGAGCGCTTTCCAGTCTCCTGATTGATCACTACAGCGTTTCCTCCACACAGACGAACTCAGACCTTCCTAAAAACACGTCGATGGAGCCCATGCATGGTAACTTTTTCGTAACACTAGCGTTTGGAACACAAGCTTTCGGCAAGCTTGTTTGACGAAGCGCAAGGATATTGTCATTGACGCGAGAACGGATATGGATTTAGTGCGCACCTCCACCCGCTTCGCCACAGACGTCTTACGCACTTATCATGGCCGGATCTATGCTATGCAGCACTAGAACAATGAAGTGATAATTTGGCCATGCTAGAAATGTTCCGTATAGTCTATATGATGTGCTGAGGCTGTGGGCGCGAACCCAAACACGCGCAAGATCTGCGCAGAATGAGATACTTATACACATGATGGCTAAGAGGGCGAAAGATGCAACAAATTCTATCAATTTACCATCGCACGCACTATCTCCACGACCACTAATTTACGTACGATTAAACAGGTCGCTATTGCACAAGTAATACACTCCTTCTCAAAACTTCGTGTACTGTTCGTCACAATGGAATCCAACTTTCAGGATCGACCACACCAGCCGTCTCGAGTCTCGCAGCAGCCAGAACAGCTTATATCTCCGGCATCGCAGTCACATGGCCTCATTATGGAAGAACAGCCGAGGGGCCTTCTTAAACCAATCGCAATACCAGCCCCTTCGCACAAACTTGGCTCTCCTTTTTTGCGAGCATACCCTTCAGTTCTGGCAACATACAATATGTCCCAAGACACTTTCCTCGAATTCCTCGACAAACTAAACCGTGTCTCGGTTGCCTCACCACCAGTGCAAGTCCTTGGGCTGGCGAGGAGTCTAGTGTCTTTTGTCCCCCTCCATACAGCCCAAATAGTCGGTGGCGCGGTCAACGCCGCCGCAAATCTATCTACGTACGCCATGAGCAAAGGTCAGACGGAGATACTTCTCCGAAACGCGAACGAGACTCTTTTCGCTCCTCATGGCCTGAAAGTGGGAGTGGCAAGGCTCGATGCAGTGGCAAAATTGACGGGAATGCCAATCCTGAATGCTTCGGGTAAAGCGGAGAAGAACCTTAGCTTACTCGCACCAATCGTGGAAACGGAAGGCTGCGAGGCAGAACCGGTCAGTGTGCAGCAGAGGCGGATTGAGGTCATGGTACCGTGGATTCAACCTCTGGACGTCTCCCCACTGCCAGAAGTGAATGCGCCAGATAATATATGGAGCAAGCTGCATGCCAAGGCAAGCGAGAGGCAACGGGGTAAAGAGGAGAAGAAGTTGCTCAAAGATCGAAATAAGGCTCACGAAGACTACGACAAGGACTCAAAGAAAGCGCAATATGAACTTGACAAGAAGACACGTGAACTTTTCAAAGAAAGAAAGAAGAAAGGGAAGAAATTGGACTCCGAACTGAGAAAGGTGGAGAAGGAAAGGCATAAAGTGCGAAAAGAATACGAGAAAGAGATGAGGTCTGTTGAGAAAGATAAGCGGAAAGACGACAAGGAGGAGGAGGGTATAAGGAAGATCCTCTGGGTTATCATACGGAATCTGAACGATGGTTACAATAGTACTGCTCCTGAGCATCAGCTGGAATTTTGATAAATAGCGAAGAGATTGTGAAAACGGGCACCCAGCCCCCCCCCCCCCCCAAACACAAAATAGAATAGTGTTGGCACACCGATCTGCCGATCCCTCTGAAGTAAATAGAGGCGTCCTGGCGCGATGGACAGAACTCGTGGATAGAAAGACGAAGACGGGAGGGTATGTACTCACGTAGTGGCGTAAAATTCAAGAACAAAAGTGGACGAGCGCTTGCCCAAGTGTCTCTTGTTGAAGAGCACTTGAGGCCTGGTAGCAAACCTATCATCTAGCAAATTCCAGTATGGGAGACAAGACTTGCCAATTACCGTCCTCATTTCGTGAATCATGCGTGATCCGCAAGCCGTATTCATATAAATTTTGAGAACGAGGATTCTGATCAAAAATCTATAGAAGATCGGATGTAGTGACCATAGTGCTTAGGCTCGCATGAACAAGTTCACATCCGTTTAATAGTCATTGGTTCACATTTTCACGCACCAATCGAGAGCGAATACGTCTCACTTAGGTCCGGATTGAATAGATCATGATAGAGCTCTGTACAGCACACCATTTCTATCTCACCTCCTTCCCAGGACCGCGAGGACGAGCAGGCGGAGCAGTAAGAAGAAAAAGACCAACAACAACGACGACGTCGATGGCATGAGGTTGAAATAGGCTTCTCCGGATCTAGACCCAACGACCGGACCCGCATGCAGACCTCCATTAATGGATCCGTGGCAGTTGTCCCGGTTCTCTGGGAAGACAGCTGCCAGGCCCGCCTGCAGAGTGAGGCAGGGCAAGGATTGTTCGGAATCCCCGGCCAGCCTTCGGAACATCAACGACGCCGCAGGGTTAGGCCAGGCTTTTTTTGGTGGAGCGTGATGCAATGGAAGGAGCTGCTTACAAAATTCCGAGTAGCCCAGTTCTAGATCTTAACTGGGCCGCTTGTTTTGCGTATAGACAGCCCGGGATGTGCTGCTGGAGGCTCAACTATTGCGCGAGTCTTGTTTGTTTTCAAGTAGTCCCGGACGAGCCGGGAAAAAATGAAAAATAATTACATCCACCGCGGAACAACATATAAAGCTCATGCAAGTATCAGAGACGCGAAAAAGCAAAAGGGAAAGTCCACAAAAAGTAGGTTCTATTGAGACTCGAACTCAAGTTCCCGGAATAATGATTGTGAAGTCAGAATCCGATGTGATAACCATCTACACTATAGAACCCTTGGTGTGAATTAAGGATGCAGCCGATTTTGCACTGGATATACCTAAGACAGAACAGCTAAGCTCCGTCACATACCTTAGTAGAAAGGTGACACTTGAGGGAGGCGAACAAAAATTTGTAGCTAAATAGTGGTAGTTGTTGTTGAAAAAAGACGATGACTATGATTGGTTCAACACTGTCTATTCCGGCACCGGCCTCGGTGAGGAGAATCTCTTGACCGTGCACGACCTGCTCCCAGCGGTGTACGCCAGCCTCTGGGCATCAAAAAAACGACTGCCGCCTAGTGTGGAATAGAATCATGTACTTGGTACCTTTAGTGAGGGCTGACCACAGGGCAGATGCCAGGGAGTGAGCTCGTGCACGTCCACGAGGGCAAAACTCTGTCACGGCTAAATCAAGATCAACTCACCCACTCTGCGGGGTGATGCAAGCTGGTGGATGATGTGTGGCCAGAAGCTAATAAGGGAGTCCTTCCGTCTGGCCCAAATAGACTTTTCTTGCCTTTAGTAGCTTGTTGATGCAAAGCTTCGAACCCCCGCTGATCGCCACCCTCACATGCAACGTCAACACAGCTGCGGCCAGGCCTGGCCCGATAGCTCGCGGCAACCTCCCGGGATATAGGCATGCCTAATTCGCATTCACTTCTGTGATGGGCAGCTGCAACCCCCTCCTCACCAATGCAAGCCTTTCACACGCCACATGTCGGTGTTACCGTATCGGTAAAGAGCGCGACAAGAGACGATGTTATGGAGGCTGGCTGAGCAGGGACAGAGCAACAGGTCTTGCTAATGCCGTTCGCACTAATCGCTGCGCTGGGAGGCAAGTGCCCAATGGGACAAACACCACACCCCGGGCAGGGAAAGGGGAACTAATATGTCGGCAGCCATGCATGCATGTACAGTGCACATCCTTAATTTTTATCCATGTTAATACTACCCCCACTAACGATATAACGCTATTTTGATTAATTAGAATTCTTTATTTTTACTCTTCTAAACGCATTTAGAGGGCTAACTGCCCCGTTAAGGCATTTTCTTATGCCCTTAAGCCCTGGGTAAGTTTTGGCTATTAACCCCCCCTTCCCCCCTATAATCCAAAGGTTAAGGGCGATAATTATAGCACCTAAGCCTTGCAGCTATAAGCTGCAAAGCACTTAATTAACTTATATACCCTTTATTACGTAATAAATAGCAATTACATTGCATAATATCACAATGCATCATTATTTCACTATTTTGCATTAATATCTATAATTATTGCCTTTATTTACCCTTGTTATTATCTTTTTTTAATAAGAATTAATAAGCATTACGTTTTTTTAAGTAGTTTTTTGCTAAGTAACCCTTTTAACTCTTTTAATTAGCTAGTGCTTATAATTAATAATAGGGCAGATTAGCTTTAAATTTAATAAATCTTATGGTTAGCCAGCCCTTTACTTAAATCCTTATTAAAAGTTTAAGGTTGCAAGTTTAACTTAGATTTATTACTAATATAAAACTCTTAATTACATATTTAACTTTCTAGGTATTAAAAAACTTTTCTTAATTGCCTTTTAATTATAGGGATAACTCTCTTAGTAAGCTTATATATAAGAAAAATGCTCTTAAAATCGTTATTAGCTGCGGCTAAATGGCAATAAATAGGTTAAAAGCCGTAATAGTAAGTGGCATGATATCCTTACAATTAAAAAACTTAAGAAAAAGTAATAAATAAGTAAATAAGCCCTTTTTATTACCTTAAATTAGTAACTATGCACTAAATTAGCCCCTTTTTATCATTATATTACCCTTTAGCCATTAAATTTTAATTAACTTATTGCCATAATGCCTAGCAACTTTATAATACTCCTTTAAGAATTAGCAATTAATGCAAAATCTTTATTAATTACCCTTTTAATTAAATAGTTAAAAAAAACTCTTAAGGGCTCTTAAGGGCTCTTAAAAGCTAATTAGCAATACCCTTATCATTGCCATCGCTATTTATAAGAAGGGAAAGGCTTTATAATAAAGGTAAGGTTAAAAATATACCTAAATTAAGCTCCTTTTGCATTTTAAACCCATTTTATAATTACCCATTCCTTTTTGCATAATTATATTATTATAATAATATATACTTTACTTTAAATCCTTTTTACTATTAGCGGGATCAACCTAGCAACCCTACCAGCCCTTTCTTTCTTTATTAATATTATTCATTATAGTATTAATGCTTTTCCTAATAATTTTAATAATTTTAATAATAACGGTAATAATATTAATAAGTAATTAATTAAGAAGATTATAAGGCAGTTTATGGCTATATTAATAGCGTTAATGCCCTTGCCAGCTTTTACATTATAGCGCCCCTTAGTTTGCTAATTGCTCTTAAGCTTATTTTCTTATATAATTTTATATTAATTTAGCTATTTTGCTTAGGTTCCCTTAAGCTTATTTATATTTAATAAACCTGCCTTTTTATATACCTAACTTTAATGTTCCTAATAAGCTTTTAAGCGCCATGTTGCCCTTTAAAATGCCTTAATCATCCCTTATAATATATCTTAATTACCCTCTTTTCTATAGCTTAACTTATCTTAAGAAAACCCTATTATAATTCTTAATAATAAAGTTTTGCTTAAGGTAGAAATAATTAAACTAAGCAGATTACTTAATGCTATATATACCATGCCATGCCCCTATTAACATGCTGCTAATATTATGATTATTAAGAGAAGCATTATATATACCTTATGCGAAAAAGCTAATTAAAACCTTATTGCTATTACTTAGTATATAGGGTTAACCCTAGCCTAAATGCAATATGCCCTCCTTATTACCAAACCTTATAAGCACCATAGGCATTCCTTTAACATACTTAATGATATTATTACTCTTCTTTATAATATAATTAACATATTAAGAAAGATAAAAAGACTGCTAATATATGCAATATTGCATAATGTTAATCCATTATTATTCCCTTATAATTATAAGGCATTATATAATGCTATAAAAATAGCTAGCTTTTAATATATAATTTAGCCTTTTAGCTTGCTACTTATACTTAAAATAAAGCAGGCTTATCTTTAATTTGCTTTGCAATAATTATACCTTCTGCTCTTTAATTAATTAGCTTGGATTTAATTTAATAAAACGTAAATAAATAATTTATGCTTTAATTGGTAATTTAGAACTATTAGCCCTAAGGAGGATATTTAAGAGTTTGCCTTTACTTAATTTAAATCCAATGGGTAGATATTTTGGGCTTATTTTGCTAGGGAAAAGAAGGAATTGTGCCTAATTTAGGAAAAGTCTTAGGGAAAGATTAACTTACTCTTATATTAATAAAGGGTATTATTATTGCTTAAAGCCTTTTGGCGATTAAACCCTTTCTTTATAATTTAGCAAAACAACGCCTTAGTACACGCCTTAAAGTTAATAAAGGCGTATATGGCATAGTACTTTTATAAAGCCTATATTGCTAATTAGCCACCTTATTTGCCAAATCTCAACCCTATTAAGCATATTTAAGCGTGGATAAAGAAGTGGATTGAAAGATACTTAATACGGCTTATGGGCAAAAATTTATAGGTAGTAGTTAATTTAGCTTGGGAAGTAATCCCCTTTAATATGCTGCAACGCCTTTATTTAAGCATGTTGAAATGGCTAAAGGCCGTAATTATAGCAAATAGGGGGTTTATCAATATATAACGCTATAATTAAATAACCTTTAAATACCAATCTTTTTACCTTATAAGCCGGTATTGATATTATTAATATGCATTAACCGCTAAGACCGAGAACGCCATGCAATTCATTAAAATCTACATAGGGGACTCTTCGCCAACGCCTTAAAAGTCACTTAATTTAAAAAATTCAGGGGTTGGGGTGTAGATGTAACACATTCGGACCGCCCCACGAGAGCATAATAATGCCTGTTAACACGGTCGCAGGGCCTTGCTTTTTTGGAACCCTGGCACGCATCAGATGCCCCAATAAGTGGCCAGTACGGACCTCGTCGCACTCGCTGCAGCGGACGGGAGGTGCGATTGGAAATTGGAAAATGGTAATCAATGCAATACACCGAGGTGTGCCTCACACCGGTCATGTTAGCGTTGACTAGGCGCCCTGCACTGGTGGACTAGATCCTGCGCGGGCCATCCGTCTGATATTACAATTACCCCCATGCGCAAACCAAACCGTTCGCTCCTTCGGTCGTACGTTCGGGACCCTGCAGACGCTAACAAAAAAGCTCATCTGGGTATCTCTCTAAGCGCAGAAGAGGTCGCTCCTTGAGCCTCGACGCAGGCAAGCCGCCATTTCCTGCCAATGATACCGGGGAAAAAACCTGGGCATACGTACATTCGCTACCAGTATATCCGTGACAATCAGCGCTCGTCGCCCCCGTGAGACGACTCGGTGAGCCAACTCTGGTGGTCCCGCCTGAGCCTGCTGCCCTCGTCTATCGTCTCCACCTTGACCGTCGTCTCGGTCGTGACCATGATGTCGTGGGGGTTTTGCAGCTTTCCTGCTGGGGAGGGGCCGCCGGTGATGACCCGTGAAGGCGCGCGCTGTGCAGGAGGGTTGGCAGCCTGTAGGGTGTTTCGGTGGCTTGCGAGGTGCGCGGGCTCGAAGTATGCCGGGCTCGTCAGCTCCTCCTGGCTGCTTGTAATCCCAACAACCTGAGCCACCTCCAGGTCGGCTAGGCCGTATATCTCGACCGAGGGCGCGATCTGCGAGCCGGTGTCCCGCGACGACTTCTTCGTCCCGAAGTAGGCGTTGTTGTTCTCGGGCGCGAAGTAGCGGTCCATGTTCCCGTATGAGCTCTTGAACACGGTAGGGAACCACGTGGCGAGTAGGGGACGCAATGTGATGACACAGGCACATGCGATGGCGACGTTGACTTCGATGACGCCAAGATATGTGATTGGAGCTTCGTTCCAGGATGTGTCCAGGTTGAGCAGAGTCGTCTTGAGTGTAAATATTCGTACGAACGCGACGACACCAGTGCTGCGAAGTATGAGATTAGACATGAGAGAGGCGATAGCATCGGGATGAACAGGTACTTACCAAAACCCAACACCGAATAAAACAATCAGAACAGTCCGCTGCCTCCTATCCAGCTGAAGCGCCCATGTGGCAGGTATGGGCAGGACGACTACTGCAAAGTCCGTGACAAGACTGACTGAGGTCGTAAGCAGCCAGATGGTGAGGCTTGGCAGACATATATCTTCAAGGTTCGTGTTCAGCTGTGCCATGGGCGTGCATGCAAATGAAACGAGGAAGATTGAGACGATGCACCAGACTGGTACGAAGGCCATCAGCCAACGACAGAGGGCGGCTGTGTGGGTGCCTCTGAAGATTCGACGGTACTGAAGTAGTAAAGAAATCTTGGCGACCGTCTTGGACACATTGAACATGATCTCGTTGGCAAGCAACAGCTTGAGGCGGGTCAGCAGATGGTATCGCAAATGAATGGACGATCCTACCTGTAGTTGTTTGGTGCGATCACTTATTGGCACCATCCATATGTGTAATCCTAGGCCAAATACCGCCTCTGAATGCATGGTTAGTTTTAAAGTGAATGCGGGCCGGGTAGACCAAGTACTCACGCAGTATTGTGATAATTGAGAGGCCGACGGATAATACCTGGAGACGATAGCGTCAGTTACTTTCCCAGGACGTGAGGTCTTCGGCCGAGTCCAAGACATACTTGAGCGACTGCTATCGATATGTCGTCCAACCCCGCGGCTTTGATCAGCCTGTAGCGCGTGTGTAGCCGGAGGAGGACCAAGGTTGCTGAAAAGACCACAAGAACGACCGCGATAGTGATTATGGCCGGCCTCTGCGTCTGGGCATCGAGGTCTGGATATTCGCCTGGCGTTGGCAGATCGGTGGTGAGACCAGTGAGGCCACTCGCCGCTGGCAGGTCGGGCTGTTTCGTGGACGTCATATCGCCATCGTCTCACGGAACAATAGAGCGAAGTCTTCTTCTTTCTTCTTCTTCTCCTCGGCCAATTAGCGCTGCAGGGCGCATCCGTGAGATGAAATAATACTTGCGGGCTCCGAGCAGCGAGCAGAACCGTCAACTAGTACTTTGATCGTGAAGTCGATGTGAACCCAAAGCCGTCACCGGGCCCCAGTTATTCGGTGCCAGTTCCTTTTGTAAACCAGCGCCCAAGATAGAATGTGCATTGATCATGACATGAGCTACGAAAGATGCAGGGAATAGGTCGGGAGTGCCAGGCAAGGGGCCAAGCATGGGGTAGTCATGTTGCTGTACGCAGTACGGAGTACTTCGGCGATGACGGAGCACCCACTCTGCCACGTCCTCGGCCGACACATGGCAGTGCCCTCGAGTGGGATTACAAATCTCCGCCCGCGGACGTGTGAAGACAAGTCGCAGCGGAAGCGAGATGCGTTAGGGATGCTCCTGTTCGCCCACGCCCAAGTCAGCGCTGACTTGTGGGCATGCCGCGAGCACGCATCCCGTCTGTTCATCCGCACAGACTCAGGAGATGACGTCCCCGGGAGGGGACGGCTTGACGTTCGGCGGGCAAACCTTGGAGGGGAGCATGGTTTTTAGGGATGCACTTGCGGGACACAGCAAAAGCCTCCACGATTAAGGTTTACAGAGCTTGATCGATCGGGCATTGATCGGCGTCCGCATTGGACGATCGGCGTCGTATTCATAGTGTAGAAAAGCGGACGTTTGAGAGGGGGATGGTGAGCAAAGCCAGTCTTTTCTCACCGATGCAGCGGAGTAGGATCAAGTTGAAACTTTCTATGGAAGATCCTATTAGTATAGAACATTGGAGGAGAAGTATGGATGAGAGTCCCCTCGCAGGACAATGGCCCATGCGTCATGCTAAACCCAACGCAACCTGATAACACGGGTACAATTCCACCTCTCGTGGTGTGCAGCACAGACATACAGGCGCTTCATAAGAAGAATTCTTCACAGGGACTCCAAAGTTTGTGGATACCCAAGGGACGTGCCAGCGTTGAGGAGCACACGGCATTCCGGCACATGTGAGCATCGGGGGATCGTGACGGATCGTGTGCTCGTCTCAAGAAGTCCCCAGCATGGCGATATACAAGCAATCAGGGCCGATCACCGGATCTACTTATGAGTTGCCATATAGTATGGCATCAGGTTTCATTCCATGTTTTGACAGGTGCCGGCTAGTCCAGACGGGCTTCGTTGGGCAGCAGTCTTGTGCTGTGGTATATGTTGTAACGTCATCGTATTCAGCTGGGGAGGATAAGGCTCGGCTCCCTTACGGGATCACACCTCGGAGCACGTCTCTCGCACCGAGATCAGTTGCTATTCTGAGGTGCGCGGTTCCCTTGAAATCTGCAGGCCACGAGCTGACAAATTAGGCCCAAGTTCATCTGGTAGCGAGTTTCGCGAATCTACAGCAGGCTAAACGAATAATTGTCCTGTGCAGTGAAGCATGGTCGGGCAACACGAGTCTCGCTGACCAAAGCTTGACTCTCACAACTGCCGGCCCTGCTGCGTGGGGTCAGTCAGTCTCCATAATGGGGGTTAATCCAAGAATAAATACGGTCGGAGCTGCCCCCCCCCCCAAATGTTGAGGTCAAATGTCATGTGATGAGATAGTGGAACCAACCATATCGCTCGGACATCGCACCTATGCTCGCTATACGTCTGCCAGTTTCGTGGGTCAAGATGTGGAGCCGGGGGTGTCGGCTAAAAGCTGTGAAAGCGATTCAGAGAATTTTCAACTGCTGAACAACCACTCAGGATCGCTCTCAAGGAGCAGCACCGTGCTCTGGCTCTTTGACTTCGGCAGCATAGGAAGCATGCTGGCCGCTTCCGAGTGTGAGCGTTACCATGCAATAGCCGAGGTGACCAACCAGTCTCCACAGCTGACTGAGGACGAAGAAAAAAAGCGAGTTTTTGGCAGTCCTCAGCTCCAGTGTGATGGCTCGGTGAGCCTGATAGCATTACAGCATTGATTGTTCAATCACATCACTGCTTGGGATGATTTGTGGCAAATCTCGGTCACCTCTCTGAAGACAGAAACAGACAGACACAACGGCTTCACGATACGTGTTGATTTTCAGGGTGCATGCGCACCTAGCGCCAAGATTGGGCCGCACCGCAGTGAAGACCGGTGTTGGAGCCAAAATCCAATCACGATGCTCAAAGTGACTAGTAACGAACCCGGGAGAGATCTCGCATGCGTGTGCCTGGCGAGTGGGGCAAATGATTGTGTACAAGTACTTGGTACATTTTGGCGTGGGGACCAGTAGTTCGGCGGTTTTCCCCAAGGTTCTGAGCTTGAGCGTCGACCGCTCGGACGGTCAGACCTCCAGAGAGGGGAAAAATGGGATCAATAACAATATGGCGGAAGATTCGCTGACGTTTTGTCGCTGCAATTATTGTTCAGCCTCCGGCTTGGAAATCCCGTGTGCCCCGCCCCTCCTTCGCCCGGAGCACACGGCACCCCAGAGCCGCGGAGCCCCTGGGGCCAACCGTTGTGCGGCCACGCTTATATAGTCTGATGCGTATGGGGAACGGGACGTGGGAGTGGGAGGGCTGAACTGGGCTGGGAGGGGCGGAAATGGGGAACGCCCCGTGATTTCCAGCACCTCTGCAGCCAGGCACTGGGCACCAGCGGGCACACCACCTTCTCAAAACTGCGCTGCCGGACAGAGGAGTACCGCGCAGCTGCCGCGTTAAAGGGAGTGCCTCGGTGGGAAGATCTCGGTTCGGCAAGGGAGCCGCACCCGGCATCCCTGAGGCTCAAGGTTGATCTTTCTTGGCTCGATTGGTCATCCCCGTCGACAGCCCTCTGTGCTTGACGTGGTTGGCCAGACACCGCTGTGCGCTGCATGTGTAGCGCCTGAGCTTGGTTGATAGCCTGCAGGAGTCGAGCTCAGGGCTCTCGTTTCGCTGCATTCGTCTCAAGCTTCGAGACCGGCAGCAGGAGACAAGCGTCCGGGTCAATCAAAGAGATGGCGCTTCGGCACGGTGCGCGACGCCACGCTGAAGGAACAAATGGCCCCAAACCTTGAAGCTGCAGGGCCTGCCCAAGTACAAACTATCCTGTACTCTCGTCGCAATCTTAGCGGATGGCCACCGTTGAGCCGGAAAGGCCGGCCAAGGTGTGTCCAAGTCTCAAGAATTCTGGGGGACTTGCGGATTTGCGGCTCTTCATGTCACCAAGGAAAAAATGACTCGGCCAGTAACAGCGAGGGCAAACACGAAGACCGCCATCTCCGTTGATCGTCGGAGGGCAGCAGCCGTACTGTAGGGCAGAACAAGAGAAAGGACAACAAGAAAAAAAAAAATCATAAAAAAAAAATCAAAGCGACCCGGCAGAACCAGGTCCAAAGCCGGACCGAAAGTGTAAAGTGCAAGTGGTACTCCAGATCTGATCCCTACGAGGTACGCGGAGAATGCAGCGACCCCGTCCGACAGCGCGTCTGTATGACTCGCATGGGACGTCAACCCGGTAATCTGCAGACACTTGTGGAGCGGCGGCAATGGAGACAAGCAGCTCCTGAATTCCACCAAATACCCTGCATCCCAGTGGTCGTCAAGACGATCCTCGTGGAGACGGATTGACGGGCTCGCGGTTTCACAAGGGAGGAGTGGGAACCCAAGAGAGAGGGCCTGTCAATCCCGCTCCTCTTTTTTTTTGGTCGTGTGCGGGAGGGGCGAGGGAGAGAGGGACAGAGAGAGACGCATGCGTTCAGACAGACAAACACACACGTCCACACACATGCACACATGCACACGCACAACAGAGGTCAATGCTTCAAGCCTCCGTCCACGTGTGCATCGAGAGGGGCTGGTGGTCAAAGCATGTTTAAATGACCTGTCGCATGGTCTTGCTTCAATCGCACCCCGTTGGACGCCAAAGTGCCACTCGCTTCAGGTGCAAAGTAACACTCGCTTGCGGCAGAGCTGGGCCTCAAGCAACCCAATGCTCCGGGCAGAGGACCTCGTTTCCGAAAGGGATCCACCCCAAGCCCCGACGTCATGTTGTGACAGGCAAGGGTCCATTTTCCAACGGCTTTTTGGCCCAGACGGACTGACTGATTGAGCGACTGACTGGGCCGCACTGCCACCACAAATTCAATCATTCATTCCGCCTCCAGGGACATCCTCGGCTGTGCGCGGTCAGAATTCCCCGAACATACCTGGAACAGGGCCGGTACGCGTTCAGATGGGCGGACATGACTGGCAGCAGCCCCACGCCACGCAAAAGACGCATTGAGCCAGGAAAAGTAATTTGAGCTGAAGGGGGTGGGAGCGAGTAGTACGTAGAGAAGGTACAGTACATTGCAACAAGGAAAAGAAAAAAGAGATGATCAGAGATGAGATGCCATGCCGTCGAGGGGACGGGGTTGAAGGGAGGAGGAGGAGGAGGAGGAGGAGGAGGAGGATTGGACGGGACGGGGGGACAGGAACACAGGCCGGGGGAGGCGGTCACCTCTTTCGCGCTGAATAGGGGGTCCAGGGGTAGCATTACATCCGGGCTGACAAGCACAAGCATCGCCCGCGGGCGTGGGTTACAACGTGGCTCCCACGTTTTCTAATCTACGTGTAATCGTACGATATAAACCAGAACATGCCAAATCTCTATCCTAAATCTTCACATCTGCATTAGTCCGTTTCTCTTTCCCACTTTCCTCCACCATCCCCGACATCTGCCCCGGTCCAGTCCCAGTCCACGGTCCAGTCCACGGCCACCCGGAGGCTGGCACTACACTAGCAACAGGAGAAAAGCCATGGCGTTGACATATAAGGAGGCCCAGCTGGTCAAGGGGACCATACCCTTCCTCAAGGAGCACGGCGAGTCCGTCTCAGACATCGTCTACAGCACCCTCGTCAAGAGGCATCCCGAGCTCAACAACACCCTCAATGTCATCCACCTCAAGGACGGCCGCCTGGCAAGGGCACTGACCGTCGTCATCCTGCGCTTCGCAAGCAGCGTCAACAACATCTCGGAGCTCATCCCGAAGCTCGAGCGAATCTGCAACAAGCACTGCACCCTCGGCATAAAACCTGAACACTATGAGATCCTCGGCGGCCTGCTCATCGAGACCTTTGAGGATGTCATGGGCCCGGCCCTGACCCCGGACACAAAGGCCGCCTGGCTCAAGGCCTACCGGATCCTCTCGAATATGATGATTGGCAGGGAGAAGATCATCTACAAGGACTTTGAAAGATACAAGTGGGGGTCGTGGCGCAAGTTCAGGCTGGACCGCAAGGTCTGCGAGTCGGACGACCTCTTCAGCTTCTACCTCGTGCCCAAGGACGGCATGCAGCTGCCCAAGTTCCTGCCGGGCCAGTACATCAGCATCAGGCTGTTCGTGCCTGAGATCGGCTACTACCAGACAAGACAGTACTCCATGTCGGACTCGCCACGGGGCGGCGACTACTACCGCATCACAGTCAAGAGGGCCAAGGCCCACACGGCATACCACGACCCGGGCATGCTCTCCAACATCCTCATCGACCGCGTCAAGACGGGCGACGACATCGAGTGCAGCCACCCGTCCGGCGACTTCTTCCTCGACACCACAGTGCCCAGCAGCGTGCCCATCGTGCTGATCTCGGCAGGGGGCGGCGTCGGCCCCCTCGTCTCGATCCTCAACGCCGTCACCGAGGAGCAGCCCACGCGGCACATCTCGTGGATCCACGGCTGCCGCGAGGACGTGCCCTTCAACACGCGCCTGACGGTGCTCAAGCGCCGCTGCCCCAACCTCAACACCACCATCTTCAAGACGGTCTGCCAGAGGGGCGACATCCAGGGCGTCACGTACGACTACAACAGCCGCATCGACCTGCCAAAGGTGTCGGCCTCGCTGCTGCACCTCGGCCACAGCGGCACCGAGTACTACATCTGCGGGCCCGAGGTCTTCATGAAGACCATGATGCAGCAGCTCATCGACCTGGGCGTCGACAGCAAGCGCGTCAAGTGCGAGCTGTACAGCGTCGGCGAGATGAAGCTCGACTCGGTGTGTGGGTATCTGACCCCCAGCAACGGCACGCCCTTGTCGTCGCCTACCAGTCTAGGTAAGTTCCACACACACAGCCCTCTCACTTCTCCCTCTCCTCTCTGCGCTGTGGGCGCCTCTTTCCCCATTTTCCCGCGAGATCTACCCACGGATCTTGTCCCCATCGTGATCTCCATCGTGATCGTGGTGGCACGCCGATCGGCCAGGCCGACGGGTCCTTCCGGTGGTCCGTTCCGGGCAATCATTTCGACACGCACACGTACATCACTTCACGCCATCCCCACTTCTGGTGCTCCGAACCACGCACCAAGTTCCAGCAGGAGCCGCCCGTCACGTGAACTGTTTCCCGATATAGAAACCCGACACGATGCTGACCAGCGCCAAATCAAAAGCAGAATCCAAGGTGTCTAAAGAGTATGCCTCAAGACACGTGCCAGGCATGGCGAAGTAACACAAATCTCAACACATGATCATGACTGCAATGCAGTCTCGAACGACTTGACTGGCTCGCATGCAAGCAAGACGCAGAGGCTGGGAGGGGAGGACACTGGGCATTCCCTGGAAAGCAGGGCATTGAGGCCAGCCAAGCAAAACATCGACGATGGCACGACTCATTCACGATGGAGCGGATGATACCACCGGTTGCGAAATTCCACGGTGCTGCGAAAGACTCTTGCAGCGTCTGCCAGTGACAGTATGAAGAGGAGAAGGAAGGAGGAAGGAACCCACCGTTTCCAAAACCATCCCCTGGCCATTTTTTTTTTTTCTTCGCTGAGGGGGATCCGCTTGGCACCCTGGGGGCGAACGACTGACTCCCCTCCCCCCTCCCCCGGTCCCCCGTTCCTGAACAAGATTTGACGGCGGATTTTTCCTTTCCCCGTGGAGAAAAGCCGAGACGGGCTGCCATGACATGTCTCTTGGCACAAGTGTCAGGGAAGCGTGGGTACGGGTGGGGCCGCTCCACCCTGTCCGAAACCATTCATCGGCCACGCCGGCAATAAACTGATATAATGACATCTTTATCATGAGGGATTTGGGCGCGCGGAATTGGGGATAGGGGTTCCCGGCTGTTATCGCACTCTTACAATTTTTGTGTGTATTTTGTTTCCATCCCCCAGGGGGGGCGAGGCTTCCTTACTTTAGGTGTGTGGGATGGGTACTATCTATCGAGGTGAAAAAGGTCCCGGTTCATGGTTGGAGTGGGCAGCGCACAAACAGGGTGACCTCGGGGTTATTGCTAGGAGTAAACGCGTGGTGTCTCTTTGGGGGGGGGGGGGGGTTCTTGGGGGAGATTCAATGTTTATCCCAGAGATCTGGGATGAGGCTAGATGGCCAACAGCCCCAGGTGATGGGGGAGGGCACGAGGCAAGCCTGGCACCCGAAATTGATATCTTTGACCGCTCCAAGTCCGGCCCGGACAGGTAATGACTCGGCGAGAATCGAATCTTAATACATATCAATAGTGCGCACCTGCGCGACTCAGCCACAGTCGCTGCACCTCGGGAGGCTCCCCCCTTTGACCACAACGCATTTGTTGTCGGGCCAAATCAGGTGCTGCGGAGTACTATTGCCAATGCACGGGAATTTATTTGGGTTGTTGAGGCACAGTCTCCAGGATGTGGTGGCCAGGGAAGTGGGCGTGAGAAAGATCACGCGAGTGACCGTAATCATGATTCAACGCTTCCAGCGCATGTGGGGAGACGGCATGTTTTGTTCGACACCAAGCATCGGAACAGAGGCTCCACATTCCCTTAGAGGGTTGTTGACAACGTTGGGTCGAGAAGGGTTACTCGGAGTGGGGCATTCGTCGAATACAAAACTGTGCGTCCTGGCAACAATGACCGTAAAGACTGAGATCATGCAGATCAGATAATATGTAACTTTGTAATTTTGGACGTAGGAATACTTCATGGAATGTAGCTGGATTTGACATCCTGCAAGAGCAATCGATTGATGTCATATGAAGTGTGTCTTTGCGCGACCAATGCCACCTAGGTATTTGCCAAATTTGCCGTGCACAATGATATTCAAGTTATTCATGGCAGCCAAACGGGTTGCAAATATTGCACACGTGGCCATGTTTGTAGTCTCAAGGATACCAATGTCTGATATGTGCTCAGGACATATATGTATAGCATTGGCACAAGCAGTACGTTCCCTCAGAGTTTAGACTCGCAGCACTGCATGGTTGTGGGGAAACAAAAGAAAGTACATTGCACGATTTGAGAGAGTGCACTCAACTCCCCTCTACTAGATCTTCGAAGCCCCAAGCTGTATCATTGCCCACTCCATCAACATCAAGCTTGCTCGGCTAGTTGTGATACGGAAAGTCGGTGTTGAGCGAGGGCATCAAGTTGAGACCGTCCGTGAGATCATTCATGTCTTCTTCATATTGCAACTCTTGTCGGCATTGTGGGCAGTACCTGGTCGTCATCAACTCGTTGTAGGGCCTCGTCGGCGTGAGGCTGAGCTGTGTGTAGCACTTTTTACACAATGTATGGTTGTTTCCGCATTCAATCCAGACCGCACAGCTGTTCGGATTGCCGACCACGTAGTCCTCCATGCATATGGGGCAGGATTTATTGTCCTCGGCGTCCAGTTGCTCCTGGGTCAGCTTCGAATGGCTCAGCTCGACGTTGGCGAGTATCTGGAGCCAATTGCTGTAGAAGCGGCTCCAGTGGTTCCAAGCTGAGGAATGGACGTGGTCGATTGTTCCAGGTCTGACAACATTCGGGTTGTCGATCACAACGTGGAAGCAGTTTTCGCCCCACCACTTGCTGGCGAAACCATTCTCGTGAAGTCGCATTCTAAACGTCACGTTGTCCAGATCTATGACGGCCCCTCGGAGCTCCATGTTGAACTGCTCGTTTTCCTCGGCGGACTCGCCAGCCTGCCTGTCCCCGTGTCCATGATTAAAATACCAGGGCTCCAGGAGGAGGGAGTGGAACAATTTCCCAATGTCGAGCATGCGGGTCCTCGAGAGCCCCGGGTCGAGGGCCAGCAACTCGAAGATGAATTCCAGCGTCTCCTTGATAAACTGCTCATTCCTCAAGTATTCTTGGAGGTTACGCCCTCCGAGGATTGAGTCGTCGCCTTTGGGGGCTATGATCTCGCACTGTGTTTCCTCAGTTATCAAATCCATTCTAAGTCGGTCGATACGAGAGTTGAAGTTGGTTCCGGGCATCTGCGGGACAAATTCCAATATTTCGTACGGAAGTCCGTCCGGCTTCGTAGGGCCTCGAATGTTGTCGGATCCGAGATAATCCATGATCTCGTCGTAGGTGCCCATCTCGTCAATAAAGGTCTGGTTATTGTATTCCTCCGAATCGCCATTTTCATCCATGTCATTACCCTCAACAGAGTCGAATAGAACATTCAGATCATTCGACATGTCATCTAGAGTACCATTGGAGATGGCTCTCTTAAGGGACGTCGTGACATTGTTGAGGAACGGACGATGCTCAGCCAGGTGGGTTTCTTTCTCTTGCCACTGTCCGAAGCGGTCCTGAGGTATGTGATCCTTATTGAGCCGGCATTTAAGCTCAGCGAGAGTCTTTTCCATGATGGACTTAAGCACCGGGCCCAAGTAGCCTGGAGGACCCCACAAGAGGGGTGCGTATGCATCCATCATCAATTTGTATACGTCCGCGTCGAAATTCCAGACGCCTCGGGCAGCTAATTCTCGGGACGTCATCTCCTGCACCCGATATACTAAAGCCGGGCGTGCGTTAGCAAACACGTATTTTCGGCCGCTTGTACTCCACCAGGCCCTGCGGCTAGGGCAGATGCACACTTACGATTTCTTCTGTGGTACACATACCACACCAGGAACCCAGAAAGGTATCGGTGATAATTTTGCTTTGCCAATTCATAGGCTGCTGCGTTCTGGCTGCCTTCTTTGACGTAGCTTCGCGATACAAGGTCTGCATTGCTGTGGACGCTGCCGTCGCCCGTGCTGTGTGAATTGCCTTCAAGTCAGCAGACGTGTGTAAGATTTGTGACGGGGCCCAGTTCATTCCTCATCGCGACGCACCATTCCGAGCAGGCAATCGAGTACTCTTCTTGAAACTCATCGAGACAGTCGAAGCAGCCAAAAAACGGTTGATCTGGGTTCGAATCTACCCGACCCTGTTTCCAATAGAATGGCAAGGCCTGTTTTAATACTTTGTTAGTTTCTGCTCAACCAGATGCATGCCCCGGAGCCCAATGATAACAGGCAACATGTCGCCAAGCTGCCAATGACCCTGTGCCCCCCTCCGGAGCTTAGGATGGTAGACCTACGCAACGGACAATCCTCTCGAGATCATGGCTGCATGCTTGGTAATAACGTTTAATAAGGATGCACCTGTAATGCACATGTCAGATAGGCAAAGGCAGCCAAAAAATTGAAGCCGGGGGACAGAATCCTACATTTTGTCGAGCGTCACAGAGCGAGCTCTTTGGGGATTTCGGAGCGTTTTCTACAAAGGTGGGCACAAATCGGAGATACTCCCGGCAGCTTCCATCACACAGTACTTTGGGACATACAATGCCGGGGTCGTCGCGATACTGGGTCAGTCATGAATTATACTTCTCCTTGACCGGGGTTCCTCCTTTGTGGCCACCTCAAATGTGCTTTCCGGAAACGGTGCTGCGGAACTGTCGATACAGCATGGCCTCACGGTGCCTTTGTCTGCGCCCGACCTTCAATTCAACAATCCGAGGAACCCGCTATTACCCGCAGCTTCAGATTATGGTTGCAGCCGGTGTAACAAAGACGAATCTTCTGGAGGCTGTAGCTGTGCTCTGTGAAAATTGCGTCTCGGAATCGCAGGGCCTGGATCATCCAAACTTCCTCTCTCACCAGAATATGAGGGCAGATGAATGATAGAGCACTTGGAAGTGCGATGGGCTTGTTAGGACACCCTAAAATCAGGCGTCAAATCAATGTATCACAACGACGAGGAACCAGATTCCCCCCCCCCCCCCCCCAAATGGACGAACGAGCCTCTCCAGCTAAGTCGGGGCAACTTTGGCCGTGGGAAAATTTTGTGACGCTCATTGTATCTGAAGAGACTAAGCCAAAACCTGAAAAAGCTCGAACAGGGTGGCCTGGGGCTCTTGAGGGTATAAAGACGCCAGAAGTGTAAGATAGTTGAAGTGAAATCCGTGTCCTTTTGCGTATGGACCTCGTGATTAGCGGTGATCGACGTGCTAGTGTTCCAGAATACACTTGTCTGCAAAGCGGAGTATCTGATTAGGTGATGAAAACGGGCCACCCATATGGAATAGAGTGCACGTTCTGCTGATCTCTTTTACGAGAGATGGAGGGCGCTCCAGCGCGAGAGAAGAAATAAGAGGAATAGGAGGGGGCGTACAGTGCACAGTCGAGAAGATTCTTGAGAAATAAGTCCAGCAGATACTGCATAGATTAAGAGAAAAGTGTGGATTGGATTCTGAGCGGACAATGTCTAAAGCAACGGCCATGTGGTGGGCTTTATACCTGTACCCCTGGAAAAGCGAATGTAACCCACTACGCCCCACAACAATGACTACCTCATACGCGGCGCAGCGACCAGCCCAAACACGGAACCTTGGGCTCATGGTCTAACGAAGACATTACTGTCGTCTGATGATAGACAAAACCTTGAAAAGTTCACGATGGTGTAGCCCAAGGCTTCAATCTCAAAGTCGTCAAGGCGTGGTTTCAGTCCCGCTATTCCGTGTCACTGCAAAAGTCTAATATCAATCGACGTTGTTCTTCTCAAAATCAATTCAACTTCTAAAAACTACAAGAAGAGTCGTTGGTAGAATCTGTCGTCATCATGTGCCTGTCATTCTTGCCCATATCTTCAGAGACTCAGGCTTTGTCGACAGGCTCAACTGAGCCACTGTCGCCCTCGCCCTTATCTTCCACCACACGGCCGTACTCGCTCGTCTTCCTCTCGATGATGGTCCGGTAGTGAGCCACACGGTCCCCATCAACAGACGAATCGTCGCCTTCCTCATCTCCATCAGCTTCTTTCTTGTCACCGCCGCCGTTGTCCGCGACCTTGCCCTTCGCAGGCTCATCTCCCCGGGCCCCGTCGGGTGTCATGGGGTCCTTGCCTCCACTGCCTTCCTCCTGCTTCCCGCGCTGGCCACCGGCATTGGCAACCCCGTTGTCAAGATCGGCCTCGCCGAGGGTGCCCATCCCGTCTTGTTCCAGGAGCCCGCCCTCCATGATGACGCGCAGTTCCAAGTCCTTGTCCTTGGAGTATACCCTGAAACCGACAACGGCGATGGCGTTCCACGGGTCGGGCGTGTCCGCGTCTTCATCCTCAGACTTGGTGTCCTTGGCCTTGGACGTGGGTGTGGTTGGGGAGGGCGATAACAGGGCGCTGGTTGTGTCGTCCGGGTCGTAGAGGTTCTCATAATCCTCCACGGGCGAGTCCGAGGAGTAGCCGTCCGAGTCGGCCGCCGCCTCGGGCGCCTTCTTGGTCTCGTGGCTGCAGGAGCAGCAGGATATCTTGAGCTCCATTGGCTTGTTTCCAGAGGTAGCCTGCGACTGTTCTCCCGCAACAGAAGGCTTGCTTGAATATGAGCTTGGAGCAGCAGTGGCAGTGCTGGTGGCTCGGGGAATCTCGACCTTGTCTTGTCCATTTGGCACAGGCTGGGCAGGCTCAATCCTCGGGCTATCCTGGGGCGTGTACTGTGCTGTGCCCGAGCTGGACGAGCTTGAGGCAACCGAAGCGTTGTCAGCCTCCATGGCTTCCGCCTGGGCGCGCTTCGCTTGCTCCGCGAGCCTCTGTTCTGCAGCTTTGGTCGCTGCTATTTCCTCCTCCAGCTTTTTCTTTTCGGCAGCCTGCTTTGCAGCTTTCTCTTCTGCCGCCTTCTTCTCAGCTTCAGCCTTGGCCTTCTTCTCGGCTTTCAGCTTTTTCTTCTTTTCCTCGTTCTTCTTTGCTTGCTTCGCCTTGACATCTCGCCCGGCCTGCCTTCTCTCCCAGTTCTTCCTCCGCTCTTTTCTCCGAGACTCGCTGGCCTTCGTTCCCTCTGCCTTGTTTCGGACCTCGCCCAGCTTTTTCAGGTGCTTGGAGGCCTTGGCATGGGCGAGATCGTACGCCTCGCCGACCTGGGCGAGCTTCTCGTTCTCCGTGCGGTCCTTGCACTCGCGTTTGATGACTTCCTCCGTGCTACAGATGTCGTTGTCACGCTCGCCGATGACGGAGATGAATACCACGTAATTCCCGGGAAGCATGCTCGGCAGCCGACCGAGACGCTGCGGTCCATGAGGTAGTTGCCATGGCTGCGGACTATGTAGTCTTCTGCCCCGGGGCTGCCCTCCTCATGCAGTCGGAATTGGAGGCGGAAGTTGTACTGGCCCTGTAAGCCACGGAAGTACCGTATATCCAGCTGGGAGAGAACGAGAACAATCGGAGATTCTCTGGTCAGCTTGATGTGGAATTTCTCGTTGTACTGTGGCTTCCAGGGGACTTCGACCCCGGCCCAGCGCTGACACGATCGCCAGTCTGGGTCCCGAAACAGACGAGTGCGGTCAAAGTGCTGATACTTGTGCAGGAGGTCGTCGTAGGAGATCCAAAAGGTCGAATCGCTGCCGAAGGTGTGGTCAAGTTCTTGCTTCACCTCCGTGGTCCACTCTTTGGATCCATCGGACCAGGCGCCCTCCCAGTTGCCCTTCTTGACTTGGCCCCATGGGTTCCTGCGAGGATGTCAGCGATACCGCATGAAGCTGTACCACTACAAAGCAATACTTACCTGAGCTTGCAGAGGCGTGTTCCGTCCTTGAGTGTTCTCGCTTCCATAAGAACATAAGCATGGCCCTCAGAGATACCATCTCGTTCACCATAGCCACCATCAAGCAAACCAGTAGAGCAGCCAAAGAGAAATTCCTGGTTGACCTTGCTAATCTCGTTTTCCCAGAAGGCATCTGTGTCGAAAATGTCACTGGCGAGAAGCTCGGTGGTGACGCCGCCGGACAAGTCCTCCAGTGCCTCACCAATCCAGCCTCCGGCAAGACAAGCGTAGTCGCCGTGTGCCTTTGCGTAGGCCTTTTCCAGAAGCGGGACCCATGTCTCGTTCTGCTCCTTGTTCTGACCGAAGAAAAGCGCCTTCGATCCGGTCTGGTAAGTCTCGCGGTAGACACTTTCGACATCCTCTCGGTCAATCTGCTTCAGCAGGACGCGCTGCATGGACGGCGAGTCCCAGCATGGTGACTTGAGGAAGAGCTTGTCGTCTATGATGGAGTAAATCCACTCGCCATCACGGTGAAAGACGAAGCCATAGATTCCTATCTCTGTGGGGTGAGAGGCAGGTGTCAACATTTGCAACCCTCCAAATGGGGCGATGGGGCATGAACCGGGAAAGGCACTTACTGGTGTCATATTCCACGCAAATACGCTTGATCGCATCTTGTACGTTCGCCAAGCCTGTCAAGCTTGCGATGAGCCAGCAGTTGCCAAGGTTACCTTGTTTGATGTCGCCGGGGAGCACGCTCTCCATAAAAGTAGGCTTCTTGAAGATTTCGTGTACGCGCTTGACGGCCTTTGGTATGTTCGCCGCAGGATTTACGAGGTTGGAAGAACAGATGTCGAACTTGGTTGACCCGAGGCTGTTCAAGCAGTGGCCCTTTTCCCATTTAAAGTCCCAATCCTATGATGAAGATGTGTCAGCTACGGCTTGAACACGTGGGATTTTGGTGCAGGCGCAGAACCTCGGACGACTGAGGGGCGTCGTCCGTTGTTTACGCATCCAGTGGCTGATTGCGCGTGTACTTACGATGTCCCAACCTGGGTCGCGATACCGGCTGTTGATCCTCCTGCATTCTGCAATGATCTTGCGCACTCTGCGTCTGCACTCCTCGGCGGCACGCTCATATCCGGCGCATAGAAGCTCATTACCACGCTCGGTGGCGGTCGACGCCGGAGCGGGAGAGAAGGGAAGCACTGCCAAGGCTTTACTGAATTTCTTTTGCGAGAACTTCTCCCAGATCTCGTCTATGCTCTCCTGTGGTGGAACTTTTGACTTTTTTTTCTTGTCTTCCGAAGCACCTCCGGCGGCGGCCTGCAGTGCGGGAGCCTGAAGCTGTCGAGCTGCGGAACTGGGCGTCCTCTTGTGGGATCGCCGCTCACGACGATTGCGGCGGGGCGAAGGCGTGGAGGAGGACTCGGAATCCGAATCCGAGGAGGACATATTGTCGAAATTGTTCTTCCTGCCCATTGTAGAGTTTTTGTACGGCAAGACCAATGAAGTTTTGTTGTCGATAAGGAGTCTATAGCGTGGTGATGACGATTGTGAGTCTCGGCAGCTTTCCAGCGGCGTAGAGACTCGATGTGGTTGTTTCCCGACAAATAGCAAGACAACGATAACGCTTAAGTTGAAGAAAAGAGAATGAAAAGCCGATCCGGATTCTATATGCAGTAGAGGAAAATTTCGGCTGTCAAGAAATTCATCAGACCCAGGTTGGCGATGGGAAGAAAATGCTACAGTCGTGAGATGGTTTTTAATGATACAAAGCGGTCGTCAGATAAGGCGAAACACGCATATGGGGCTGAAATCAACGGAGGAGGGTGGTATGAAGCACCGTTTACTCCTAAGGTCCATTACTGGGGCCGATAAGTATGAGCTTGATGAATTCCTACAATGGCACGCGGCGCGTAAGCAAGTGGCTAGCTGGATGGTTGTATAAATAGAGGTGACAGAGAAGGCCGGGCGGCCAGGCCCCGCCCCTGACCTATGGTAAGGCAAACGTCGATGGGCACCAAGCACGTCGGCAGGCGACGGTCAATTAGTCAGTCAGGCAGTGAGATAGTCACGCAGATGCAGGTGCGGAGAGAATGAGGCATGGGCTGAAAGATGTTGCACCATAGATTGCAGAGTATCCGGGCGTGTCTGGAAGCAACGTGACGGGTGTGGTTGGTACATGACTGAGATTGTAGCATCTTGACCGGGACATACGCATGGCTGCTGTCCACTCAGGCGAGAAAATGGACCCTGGAGATGGCTGCATTGCAGATCAGGTACCTGTAAAGGTCCCTGGAAAAAATACACCCCGGCAGGCCTGGCTGGTGTGCCACTTGCGGCAGGAATGGTTGCAGCTGCAATGGAGCCGAGACTTGGGATTGGAGCCGTTGGCCGTGGGCGGGGCGGCTCAGAGCCTAGTGGTGGCATTTAGGGGACATGATATGGAAGGACCCGCGAGAATAGAATGCAGCACAAGGCACTGGGGAAGAGAACGAGGCGACGATGTACGGAATCCATATCTATATTAACGGAAACGGTCAAACACTGAAGGCCAAGGACAGAGGCCAGGGCGGGGCAAAGGGGGATCAGACAAGAGCACTGATGTAAGGTAAGCTCAGGTCGACCAAATCCAGTCAGTCAGTCAAGTCAATCACTGGTTGGCTGCTACAAGGGCAGGGACAGCCAGTCAGCAGCCACACTCAACCAAACTGTGTCGCAGCCATCAATGATGTACCTAGGTAGAAAGTGTAGAAAGTGCGCATGTCTCTGCCATACAGAACACCTGTAACCCGCAGGTGCATTTCGTGCTGATGAAAACAACGAATGGCACAGTACCTACAGGAGGACCCTTGATTTCTGGGGCGAGGTCAGTATCCACAGGGCGACAGCGACCATCGCAGGATGTAGCCTCCCCCACGGCGTTCTAAATCCGGCAGGGCCGGCTGCGGGCCGGCTGAGGGCCACCGAGGAAGACGCCTAAACCAGACCACTGCAGCAGAAGGATCGCATCATCATTCGTCGCCTTTCTCTTGCTCAACCCGACTCGATTTATTGCTTACCCTGGGTGCACGACACGAACCATCATCAAAAGGTGCATCAACCTGCAGGCTTGCTGCAGGCTTTGATCCATTCGCCTCGTACGCCCGAGTCAAGTCTTGTTGACCATCCCTCCGTCATCTTGCCGACCCAACGGCCAAAGTATCCTTGCCAGGCCGCTCCTCTCGCGGCTCGGCTGTGGGCCGGCCCCTGGGCTCGCCTTGAGGCCGCTTCTGGGGCTGTAGAAATGCACATGGAAATAGAAGGCGCTTGTGTAGTCGGACAGTCGACAACCAGAGCGCACACACTGCATCTAGCACAAGCCAGAATATCCACAGCATCTGGCATGAGGCGTATCAAATCTCTCTACGCAGTTGTCTCTTGTACCTGTCCATGCAATCCTACACACATGTGCTGGTTCTACTCACCAAGGAGAGTCATGTCATGCCATGGCATGCCACTCGCCCTGCCACCGCGTCAGTTCTCACCGCAATTCTTCAAATGTGATGGACCGACCACCCGATGCAACACACCCAAACTGCCATGTGTGACCGTCGACTCAAATTTGTCTTTATGCCAAGCCACACGTCGATTGCTTGGGCAACGCGCCGGTTGTACTGCAGCCACAGCCTCGCTCACAGCGTCGAATGGGCAAGGTGTGAACACTGTACCTCCAATGACGAGCATCCAGATGCAAGTGCATGTCGGCGATAATGTTGCTGTCGCCTGCCACTGCGAGCTCGTCCTCAGCCCCAGACTGGCCGGGCCTTCCGCGTGCCTCTCGAGTACTTCACCCATGCTGCTATCTCACCCTCCCTCGTCAGTCATACATGTGGAACCAGCAAGTCCCTGCCGGAGGCACGGCTTGCAACACCTTCCAATCAGTATAATGGATCACAGCCACGCATGCTTGAACAGTAGATCTTCGCCCTCCGAGGCTGTCAATATCCGCGAGCACTAACAAGCGCACACACACACACACAGAGATATAAATATAGGGGGAGGTGGGAGACAGACGGAGGTGACTGATGGACGCCTAGTAGACACACCTCATTCATAGACTTAAAGAGAATACTGGAGCGTCTCAATCATTTCTATGTCTATGTAGACGATTGATATATTTTTGGCGTAAACCAAACACGCAATTAGTAGTGATTATGGACCGGTTCAAGCTCATCTGCCTCACCACTCTGACTTTTTGGTGATGCCGGGTCTTTACTAGTCTAAAGATTATCGAGTGTGTCGCCCAGGCCAGGAACACACTCCTTTGGTGACGCCTCGAAAGTACAGCGCTTAACCAGTCACTCGTCGGGCTGTGGGACGTATCGGTAATTGGTCATCGTGCTTGTCATTCTCAAGCCCTTGGGATGAAGGGCACTACTTCTGTCACTCTGCACAAACAGTAATTGACCAATCCAGCATTGCGTCTCGTAGTTTTCCATTCGTCTCAGCCTATAAATTGAACGATGGACTACGCTTGAATTTCCAAAGCCGACTCCTGGCACTCCAAAACTCTGCATATCGTTCAGCCTCAGTGGATACCTCCATTCGAAATAAGACCAAATTTTGATCACACATCAACCAGAAAGTCAACAAGCCTCGCTCCTGAACACATCAGAGCAATGTCTAACCCATTTCCTCCAACCCCTCCACCAGAGCCTAATGGTCCTCCTCCTGCCCCCGCCCCTCCTCCACCAGGTCCTCCTCCTCCCCCTAGCCCTCCGGGTTAGCTCCTGTTGGATACTCGTCTCTCTAGAGACAAGGAAGTAATGGCCGCGTATTGAAGGACAGTAGCCTCCATCACCAGGATGATTCCTTGCATTCAAGTTGTGTAGGCAGCGATGTCCAAGCTGACACAATGAAAGGGGAGATCAATCTGGTCACAGGAAGTCTTTCGATTTCATACGCCTATGGAACATCATTTTCTGCCACAGGATATCTCCAGGAGCTCGACGGGGCGGCCTGCGAAGTTACGGACTGTGATGGAGACAATAAAAAGACATGCAAGGAAAATTCGAGAGTCCGGGATATGGTTCTTCATTGGTATTGTTGGATTAGGGACCATTTCCAGTCATTGAATAAAGAAAGTAGCTGGGTTTACCAATACAAATGATGATTCTTGAAGCATTATTCTTGACCTTTGAAATTTTGTGACTTGTTGGCGACTTGAAGAACTACCACTGGACATGATTGCCTTTCCACTAATCTACACCGTGATTTGTCTCCAAGCATGGAGATGACTAACATGCAATATCCTCGGACGGTCTACGGCGAAGAGTTTCCAATTTATCCTCTCCTCATCCACACAGCATGCGCATTGTAGTTCCTTCTTTGACCTCCTTCTCAACAAGCACTGTCAGTGCTATTAGAAGTATATCGCCTGGAACAACGAGGTCTCGCCGGGTTCCTGTTTGATTTACAAGTTTCCCAACTGATGGCCATTACAGTGTTGCTTCTTCTACCTCAGTAAGAAAGCCGTGGCTAATACGTAGCGATAGCGAACGCATCGAAAACCTTGCGAGCTAGATTTCTGCAGAACGTGGTGTGCCTGGTAATGGCTTATTCCGCCAACAAGCTGCTGTAGAGTGCCAATGTTCGCTTGATGCTGTCCACCCGCGCACTAGATTTCATCACGTAATGGCCTAAACTAGGCCTTGATCAGTAAACGCTCGCTTTAGTCAACGGTAAGCTTACTGACTTCATTAGTGCTTGAAAGTGGATCGAAACAGGGGATTTGTCATCCTTGACCAGCGGTCTCGGACACGGAGTTAAGCTCAATCAACATCAACAGCATTTGAAATCACAGTTTGATCCTTCGTCACGATCTATAAATTTGGAGAGCAATGTGTTCGAAGACCACTAAGCCAGACAATAACACCAATTGTCAACCGCCAACATTCCATGAGATAACCATCTCTAATATCCAAACACGAAAGCCCGACATCAAAAGATTGCCTTTGAAGCCTAGTTTGCCAGAATGTCGCAAAGTCAACGTCCTGTCATCGTCCTAGGCTCCGCAAATGTGCGTTATTTTAAGAAATACTCTGTCGTCTACAGCTTACCAACAGCATGATCAGGTCGGCGACTCCAAGGTCGACAAACTGGTTAAATATGATACGCCTGACGAGGTGAAGGCCTTTCTCGACACCTTCTATGAGCATGGCGGCCGCCACCTTGACACGTCCCGCAACTACTCGCCCAGTGCGCAGGGCTCGTCGGAACCCCGTCTCGGAGCCGCAGGCGCCGGGTCGAGGTTTAATATCGACACCAAAATCCTTGGCGTCCCTGGTGACGGGCCCTTTCACACCGCCCAGCAAGTCAAGTCAAGCATTGACGCGTCTGTCGCGGACTTGAAGCTCCCGGACGGCGTCAAGATCGACATCATGTATCTCCATATGCCTGATCGTGACACCTCTTTTGAGGAAACGATTGAGGCCATGAATCAGGCCTATCAGGAAGGCAAGTTCAAGCGGTTCGGGATCTCAAACTACACCGCCGACGAGGTCGAACAAATCGTGGCCATTTGCAAGGAGAAAGGCTACGTCGCCCCGGCCGTCTACCAGGGGCAATACAACCCCCTCGTGAGGAGTGGGGAGGACACTCTGTTCCCAGTGCTGAGGAAGCACGGCATCGCGTTCTACGCATATAGCCCCGCCGCGGCAGGTGTCTTCGTGGGGAACCAGAAGACTGCCCAGTCCGGAAGTCGGTTCGACTCTTCGGTGAGTGGGCGCGCCTCCTTCTTTTCATGCACAGATGGGAACTAACCAAAATGTGCGCGGCCAGCACCAAGTGGGCAAGCTCTATGTAGCCAACTACTCCAAGCCCAAGATCGCAATTGCTGCGGACAACGCGACGCAAGTGGCAGCCAAGCACGGCATCAATGGCCACGCGGCTGCTCTCAGGTGGACCACGTACCATGGCGTGCTGGACCGTGCAAAGGGTGACGCGGTAATCATCGGCGCGTCCAGCACAGCCCAGCTGGCTACGAATCTGGACATCATTGACCAGGGCCCGCTGCCGCAGGAGGTGGTGGAGGTCCTCGACGGTGTCTACGGCCAGCTTGGGGACGAAGTGATCAATTATCATCTCTGATGTGTTGTTTTGTTTTGAATAGACATCGTCATTTCCTAGAATTGTGAAATGACATCCTGACCAAGATCAGCTCCTCTTCACAACTTCCATAATTGTGCCTCGTCCGTGTCTCAAGCCTGCCCCATGATTGAAGTGCCGAGCGCTCTCAGGGCCACCTGGCTAGTCTAATCGAAGTAATCGCGCTCTTCTCTCAGAACAGAATTCCCAAACACAGATTACCCATCAGCAACCTTGCACTGCACGCAAAGATGGGAAGAATTAAGTTGCCATGCCCCAGATCTCGGCTGCCGTGGCGCATCCTGAGCCGTAGAAGGATCTTGCCGGCGGCGCACTCAACTGGCGTTCATCATGGCTGGTGGACTCTTTGCGACCCTGTGTGTTCTTGCACCCGAATTTCGAATCGAGGGGGGGCTTGCCTGGAAGGGGCGGGCGTGTGATTCCTCGGATGATAGTGTGGATTGCTTCTGTTAAACTCGTCAACCTCATGCTCGATCCAGAAATGATCGTGTCTGACCAACCGTAAGCCGGCCACCCAGCGTGAAAGCCGTCTAGATCGCGGGGAGTCCGACCGCGCCAGCCTGAGGAATCCAAGCAACCCAGCACGCATGTATGCCAACCACTCTCGCCTGACGAACTCGCGCCATTCGTTGTGGGACCGTATCCTCTCGGCCATGGTTTCGGCGTGAATCTGCTTGACGAAGACAACGTCGAACCAACGCACACGGTGACGGCCTGGGACGTCGCTGTCATGTATCATCCACCAGACCCGTGTCTGTCCGTCTGAAAGGTGGCCGGCATCTCTTTGGCGATCCCACATGTTCGTTGGGAGCCTGTTCGGGGGCTCGGTCGCACCAAATGTCAGCTCCCCGGTGAGTTTTATGAAGTGGCCCTGATCAGATGATTGTCCCCACTCGTGCTGTGCACTCTGCTCCCTGATATTGATCTTGTCAAGGGCGAATAGCACCAGACCCCATAGCTCGGGCCCACGCATTTTGAAGTTCTTGATTGTGGAGGTCGCGTACTAAGCCCGCCGATAAAATCCAATGTGCGAAATGGTTCAGTCGATTCGTTACCGGGTCCGATTGTGGAGTCTGGAGCGTGTGATGGCTTGTGAGTGTCTAGTAGTAGGAAGTTTTGGAATACCGTTGTTTTTTGTCCAAATCGCATGTCCTGTAAGCCCCGACCTATTATTTAAATAAGGTGAAGTAGTGTAGCGCACAAAAGTGATCCCAATCCATCAAGGGAGCCGCCGGACTACCCAAATTTTGTAATAGAACTATTTAGGTGGAACATCCCTCGCACATTTCGAAAACTGTGCGACGGTGGCCAATGAGACAGTGACGTGGCTACTATATTTGATCACTCTCGTTTGTTGATGACTGTGATGTGCCTAGTGATCACGCTACAAGCTCAAGGCCACGCTGAATGGCGCTATGATGCATTCCCGCTGCATCGGTCGAAAGAACGACTATTTTGACAGCAGAAACTAGCCCGTTAGTGCCCCAGCAACAAAAGCCGCGTGATGAGTCAGAATTGAAAAAGCTTTGCGGTGGCATTATGGATGAAGACTTAATTAGACCGTTGGGCAAGTGGTGCACATAATTTACAATGGCGGAGTTTAACAAGAATACTACCCAACTCTGTATGTTATTCAGTGTGTCTCCAGCCAATTTCAACCGTATTCATTACTATTTGGTGCTCGCAGGGCCTAGTGTTCGTTTATGTGAATGTGGCCGAAAATAAAGAGTGTATGGTGACAAGCATGCAAAGTTTTAGGTACCAGAAGATCGACCTGGAGTAAGGTAGCTTGACATGGTGGCATTGATTTTCATTATCTGGGCCGTAGGATCTCTACTCTATAAAAGGGTTCGTTAGTTACAAGACGGTCCAAGATGCGCAATCTGACTAGACAAAAGCTGCAGTCGGGAGGCATACTAGTACATACCTGCGCTTGTGCCATTAAAAGCAATGGTGGTGTTGGGAGAAATGCTGGTGCCATTGTTCGCAAGTGTGATATTCCTGCTCGGTGGCAGGATCCCATCGTTTATTTGTGGGAAGCCATTGCTGGGTGTGCTCGTGCTGGTGTCACTGGTCTCGGCTGCGGGTGACTCGGTGACTGAGGCATCTGTGGTAGCCGTAGGGGTAGCAGCCTCGATACTGCTCACGCGTGTCGGAGCATGTGGGAACCTATTAGCCGTGGCGGTCCTGTGCACGGGGAAGAAGCCTGTGCCGTTGATCGGTTGCGATGGGGCCCCAGTCCCAGTGGCCAGCGCGATGCTGCGAGTGATGGTTCGCGTCGCCGTTGATACCGTGGTAGTACGAGTAAGAGGAGACGATGCGTTTCCCGTGGGTGATGTTGAGGCCTCCTCTTGAATGCAGCCGACGTCAAAGTACTTGACATCACTATCTTGATCCTCGTCGAAGTTCTCAGCCAGAGAGAGGTCGAAAAGCATGCAGACTTCATCGTTGAAGCCAAAGCTCTCACAGCGGTCACTCTTAGCACATCTGGCTGAGCAACCAGAATATGATGCTAATTGCTTGCTCGCACTCCAGAAGTAATTGCCCGCATTCCGGTCAAATCCGTTCACGCCACAGGTATCGGTACGACGGTCCAGGGCCAGCCAGCGTGGCAAAAGCCCGGCTGAGACGATGGTCGGGGCCAAAGGCAATAGAAAGAGAGATGCCTTGGTCAACATGGTCTCGTCGAGAGAATGTAAGAATGAAGTAAATGTTGATTAAAACGAAAGTCTTATAGAAAGAAGTCAAAGAATGAAGGGGAGAATGTCACTGGAAATGAAGCCAGTTGCTGAATTGACCACCTCTCACCGGGAGCTTGCCTCTCTTATACGGAGGCATCGCGTTTATCTTCGCAAGCCATATTGGGCGAAGTCCGGAGTCCCAAGTTGCCGTCCGAACGTGCTCTGGGTTATGACGCGTGGCATTTCAAATCTAGCGTACGCCTTCCGATCTGGTCTCTCTCTTCTGAACTCAGGAGAAGGTCAGGCTAAGGCTTGTCTTCGTCCGAGTGTTGCGCCGCTGCGGGAGCCTGTCGGTCCGCCCGTCGACGGCGCGTGGTGTGCGCGGACTCTAAGGCAGGGGCAATCGCATTGTACGCTTAGCCCAAGCAAATTTATAGGCAGCTGTCGACACTAAGCTGTAGATCTTCTGTGCTAACACTACTCCTAACCACTTAGCGAAACATCCAGGCCACGATGCCAAAAATGGTGAGCAAGAAGGCTCGTTCTGAGGGTCGACCACGCCTCGGCTTCAGCGTTGGCCTCTTCTGTTCGTTTACTCCGTAGAACCGCTACACATCCGATAGCTACCCAAGTACCTAGTTACGTATTTTGCCTCTTGTTAGTACCATCGTGTTTTTGGTTCTCTGAAGACCAACCATGTTATTCTGATCTTTTCCCTGAAGTGTCTTATCGCCCGTGGTCGTCATGTTTGATGCTTTACAGTCTGCAATCCCTCACCGAGATGCTTCTCCTGGCTTTCACCAAGCCAGCAGAGGTTCGGCTACCTAGGTAGATCAATCGTTCCACCCACCACGCTGGGTATATACAAACCCGGCACCCGGCGTCCGCGAACACGCTGCTGTTAGACCAACACAGGTCATTGGCCGTGCGTAAGTTAACGTCGATATATCCCCTTCCGAGGCCCGGCCTTTCCTTGGCCTCGGCACATCGAGTGGACTCGAGCAACGTCCCAACGTGATCTCGGGAGCCAGACGGACCCCCGCAGAGACCCGATCTCAGCTGAACATGTTTCAACTTTGGCGACCTGATGGTAGCTCATGGGGTATCACACTAAAGGCGACGGGATATTCAAGTATTTACAAGCACAGAAAATCCCGCCAAATCTCCCGAAGCAAAAGGATGATGGAGGGTCCGCGAGGGATAATGAAGGCCTTGTTCTTGATGGTCCCAGACTGAAGCACTCACTCCACAGCTCCGGTCCGAGATTCCCCATCGGCGGGCCCCTCGCCTCCACATATTTGATTGAGGGCGGATCGCGACGACTGCGCCGGGTCCGTGCTCGCTGAACGGCGATGTTGGCAGACTAGTCTATTTGACTCGACATAGAGAGATCGTCACTCACCCACGTGGATTTTTCAACCTTCACCCGCATTCTCAAGCCAATTCTCAAGCCTTTGCCTTGCAATTATCAGGGATCGGTCTGCATGTCAGGCTGTGTGTTCTTTTCTTGGGCAGGTCCTAACGAGCGGCATAATTGTTTCATTTCAGCTGGCAGACAAGCTGCTGCCAAGTCGGGGCTGGGGGCGAGTCATGGCCACGGCGACGTGAATAAACCTGTGGGTACCAAGGGGTTGGCATGCCCACATGCCGGCGCAACCTTGGACGAGGTTAAACTTGACCGCGAGCGATCTCCGTCCTTCAATGTCAAATCTCGTCCTGCCTCATAGCCGCCAATGGGGCTCTGGTGTCCTTCGGCTCGTCTCGGCCAAGATAGCCGCGGACCGGTCAATCAGTGGTGATCACGGCCGCTGGCCGGTGGTGCCGACAGTGCCGCCCCCTTCGTCGCCAACGGTGTGGGAGCAATATCCTCAGCCAGAGTCTCTCCCAGAAGGCAAAGACTCGCCGACCGCCGATCGCTCGCGTTCGGGATCAAGCACACGGGGGTTTTCTCCAAAATGGCTGTCAGGACTGCTGTTTGCGTCGGAGATCTCGTCCAGTTACTGGGGACAAGCCCGCGGTCCCGTGGTCCCCTGAGTCGCACATGCCCGCCTCCAGGATGCACCGTCATGAACAAAGTCGGTTTCGTGGGCTCCGGGGCTCCTGTGCTGCGGTTCTATTGACGTTGATCTCTGCGGCGCAGTGCCGCAGGCTCCGGGCAGTGCGTGTGCATGAACATAATAAGCCTCCCCACAGCAGTGGGACGCCATTCACGCGGCAGCCCAGAGCTGTCATCCCTGAAACAATCAAGAGCAATTCAATGGTACCCTGCGGCTCAGGGGCCACCAGGCACCTCCTCCCGGCATGATGACTCGTGGCCGCGCGCAACACGAAAAAAGGGCCTGTTTCAAACGCCAGCCGCCAAGGTGCTGGAATGCCAGAAGGTGCCCTGACGAGAGCTCGCCAGCCTGCACAAGCGAGCTTACCACGGCCGCGGGACTGGGAAAAGGGCCCTGGGAAGCCCATGGGAAAAAGGAAAAAAGCCTTGACGTCAATATCTCCGTGGGACGGGGGCCTCTTCTCAGTATGTGTTTGCCGATGCAACGACCGGGGTTGCTTGATGGGCTGTATTTCGGACGATTGCCCACGTTCCTCTAGCTGTCAGTGTCTCCAGGCTCCAGATGACTCCCGAGTCCTCGTCCCATCTGGTCCTCTTGCCATTTTCAACTCCAAGCCCGTTTTTATTTGCTCTTAAACCGTATTAGCGGTACCGCACGTTCGTTTCCAGTCCACCGTTGGCGCGCCGGATGGTTATGCGGAGGAGGGAGAAGCTGGAACAGAGACATTCACGGGTGGAGATAGGCTCACCAGGCTTCTCACAAGTCGACCGCTTCCAGCCACCGCACCGCAACCCGCCGCCGCCGCCCATTCCAGACGTCACCACACATTGGGGCATAATCAGTACATACGAGAGAGGTGGAGCCGCTCGACGGTAGCAAGCAGGGAAGATGAGGCTCGACACGCTGCCGTCGACGATTATCCTCTACGTCCTTCTGCTCACCTCCCCGACCGGGGCCTCCGTCGACGTCGACTTCTCGGCATATCCCGCCTCGGCACAGTCATGTCTTACACAGGCGGTCGACACCTCGGGCTGCTCCTCCGAGAGCACCGTGTCCGAGATGAACGACTGCCTCTGTGGCAATAACGGGGACTTCGTTCTCGATTCGGCGAGGTGCTTAGGGAGTATGGGGGATGCCGAAACAATGAGCAAGGTGTATAATACTATGCAGCAATCTTGTTCGGAGACCAAGACGCCACTGAGCGTATCAGAAGCCCAATGGCTCGCAGAAGGAAAGAAAGACGACACAGTCACCTCCACTGTCACAACAACAATAGGGACGATGGTATTGACATTCTCGACGACGATAACTCCCACACCCACAACAACATCAACATATACAACATCAACAGCGCGCGCACAGAGCGACGAGGACGACGACGACCAAGGGAGCACAGATGACGAAGATGAGGAGTTGTCGTTGAGCGCCAAGATAGGAGTGATTACGTCCAGCATCGCAGGCGCCATGACACTTGCATGTATCGCATGTATGATCATTTTCTTCACCAAGCGAAAGAAGGACAAGCAACTCCTCGCCGAAGCACGAGCAGCCGCAGCGCGAGCCCAGGACAAGGACAAGGACCAGAACCGGAGCCTTCTCAGCCCAGGCGCCGTGACGCCAGGGCTGCCCAGCCCAGCAGGACAGGGTAGAGTGACGGGGTATGAGGCGCAGGTGTTTGGAGCAAGTGTGGTGCCGCCCACGCCTGCATACCCGGGCCCAGCAGAGGCTCAGGCGTGGAGAGGGGGCGGGCACGGAATGGCAGACTCGCCGAGCGAGCTCACCGGCGACAGTGCCGTATTTCAGCTGTACGACGGCCACCCACAACGAAACTCGTCGGCATGGCCATCGCCACTCACACTTCCCGGCAGGGGCTTCTCCCAGGGCCTTTCGAGGGCCACGACACTCCGCAGCGAATCGTCATGGGCCCCGTCGCCAGCATCCGCCTTCGCCTCATCAAACGCGTTTGGGATGTACAACCACGGCCCGTCTGGCACATCGGGGTCCGGCCCAGGCTCAGCAATATCGTCGCCAATAGCGAGGCAAGCGACGAACACTTCACGGTCCAGCTGGACACACAACAGGCCGCACCAGGAGGAGCTGTACGAGCTGCCGGGGATGGAGGCCCGGAGTCCCGTGGAGGCGGACTCGAATCCAATAATGTCATTACCAGAGAGCACAAGCGATCCTAACAGGATATCGACGCCGCCTGAGTATTCGTCAGGCGGGTGGGTAGATCCGAACACGGACAAGCCACCCCTTTAAGACACGATCGTGGTCGACATCTCTGCGAGATAGACTCGGCGGATGTAGTGATGAATGATATGGATAGCCACGATAAATATACTACATTGTAATCATCTATACTGCTTATGCGAACCGTTTTGAAAATGTATTTATGGCTTTGATTATTGTGAATATGGCTTGTCGACAATATCATCCATATTGCTGATAAGATAGGCATATTAAAATGATAGAGGTTCAATAACACGTATGACCACCCTACAAGCGCACAACTCAACCTTATCTTGCGCTATAAAAAGTTATACTAAGATATGAATATACATGAACTCAAGCTGATTACAGAACCCCTTAAGAAGGTAGATGACCAAATTGCCCATGGATGCACATACGTACTGGAGCATCGACAGACGGACCCATAGACTACCTCAGTCATCGAAGACCATCAGAGTTTGGAATAATTGAATTTTGTCCCGACGATGAAAAGCTCTTGTGTTGAGATAAAGCCCAAAGCAGGGGGTTGCTTGGGTCTTGGAACGGGAAGCTACCGGGCGACCAGGGGAAGTCTTATTTATGGACTTCTTTATGCAAAGTAGTTAGGTCGACCACGGGCTTGAATAGTTATAGCCTTTGCTGTCTTGTAGTCCACCACAGGTGATGAGAGAGAGACATGCTATCCTCACCGGCCATGAGCGCCAACTGCAGTCCACTCTCTTCGGCATACTCCTCCTGATTGGTGCAGATGCAGTAAATTCACAGAGTTACGATCCACGGCCGGGTAAATGTGCGTTCGTCGCATGCGATTGTCTTCATGAATCTACGACAGGGCTAAAAGCGTGCCTCGTCTGATTTGACAACACGATGATCGCACCCGGTCGGTTCGTCTCCTTTTCGATCTTCTCAAGGAGCCTGTAGACTATTTGACAGTTATTCCCAGTGGAGGAATCTCGGAGAAATACCCCGGTTCCTGAGCTAAAGGCAGCCACCCCGTGTCTTCTGACCGCCCAGTGGCAACTGATCTTGCGGCCATTGCTCTGACTCATGGACACAACAGTAAGCAGCGGGTTCAGCTGTTTGTGCAGCTGCCCTGAGCTAGTATCTAATAAACTTTTACACCTCAGCATCTTTGACTTTGTCCAGGCATGACTGACTGCGTGTGCCCACAGCAGGGCATCTGGACGGGCATGTACTGCTAATAGGGTAACCCCCCCGACAGCCGAACCAGCCCGGCAGCCAAATTGACGTCGCAGCCCAAAACCTGTGAAACCAAATAGATGCTTGAGATCTGAAGAGCCTAAACGATCCACTTCATTTAATCTCAGAAGTCCTGCCTTGTATCCAAACCCATAGTCCGAAGATCCAACAATGTAACACGGAAATAACGATAATAATTCTAAATCACAGAGGTGCCAATAGATACTCAAAGGTAAAGTAATTCTCCTGGATGACACCACACTGCTTGCTCTTCTTCCCAAAATCCCCAGCCCTCATGAGAAGTACACTTTCTCATACAGTAACGGGAGGGGTGGTAGTATATTTGGGAAGGTTCTAGCCAAGACTCATGTTCGTCGGTAACTACACTCAACCAGCATTAATATTGTTAGCTTGGCATATCTATGGGTTAGCAACCCATAGGTTTCTTTACACCAAAACTTTGCCTAAAAGGTACCTATTTACACTAAAAATACGTTTCTTCTTAAATAAAAGTCAATACCTCTTTTTTAAACTTAAAACTTTGCTATTGCTAATATTAAAGAAAGAATTATTAACTAAGAATATTAAGAAATAATTATTTAAGAAAGAAGAAAGCATTAGGTACCTTGTGATAAGTATAGAGATAAGGTAAAGAGAAAATTCTTAAGATAAAGCCCCATAGAAAAAGCGAGCTAACAAAATTAATGCTGGTCGAGTGTATCGCATACTACCTTCTGAGCATCTGAATCGTCCTCCGCAAATCAAGCTTAATTTCTTGTGGGGACTATCCGAAGTGGGCAGGTGAGTCTGCTCGGTAAAGTGCCACGAGATGTTCAGAATCCCTCTGAGTCGTACCCGAGAGTCTTGTGGGTGGTGCATCCATGATGGAGACGTTCACAATGGTGCCGGGTAATTAATTGCCAGGACTGGGCCGTGGACAGCTACAGGTTTGTGGCAAGACAAGAGGTGACATGTCGGTTGATGAAGTGACATAGTGCTACTTGGCTTACGTAGGGGACCGGTCTTTGCAGCCTTGTCGTAGATCTCCCAGCAATCCGCTCCTGCATGGGCTGTTTATGACGGACTTTAGCAATATGCTGTGGATTCTTCGGTGTGCTGTGAATGGTTGCATAAGCGACGCGGGTCATTTGTGAAAAGAGGACCCCGGAACTTCGACGGGCAGTTCCTTGAGCGGACCCAGTGGTCTTGGGTTGGTACGAGCGGTCCTTCTCCATACACAATTTACGAGTGTAATCTAAAGTAGTTTCGGCCAACGCTAGAATGCCTGTTTCCAGCACAGCCAGGGGTTCGTCCGGCCATCATCTCCGCACGGAGCGTGCGATCATGCGAGGAGGAATAAGGACGCCGTGTTTAAGACAAAACATTGCGACGAATATAAATACAATGAACCACTTCCGTCTTCCTACTCGAGTGTAGTGTGTACCATCCCTCACTCCAATAACAAGCAATCACCACACTGCAAGACACTCTTTTCAATACTTCTCATCATGAAGTTCACAATCTCCGCTGCTGCCCTTCTGGCACTCTCTACTGGCGCTCTGTCTGCGGCAGTAGAGGCCCGACAAAGCTCTGCCTGTGCTGGTTATCAGTCGGCGGACACACTGACCCACGACACCAACTGGGGAGGCTACTCCCTCTGCTGTGATTACGAGGGCCCTAGTGGCGGCAACGTAAGTTCTAGGCGTATTCCTTCCTTCTTTTGCTGGCTGCTCGAAAAGTACAAGGTCAGGGATTGCCCTCCAGACGCTAACCATTTCCCACGGCAGGTCGCTGAGCATTGCTGCGACCGCAACGGTGTGAACACTGGTAGCGGCACACCTGCATGCGTGTAATTGCGAGGGTGGATTACAGTATCCAATCCTCCGGATCCTTCGGGCAGCCGATCAACACAACACTCGAGCAGAAAGTATAGTGATAGACAATAGGAATGAGATTATCAGAGATTTCCTGTTGCTCCATTTTAGAACCGTGCAATCATACTTGTTACCATGCCCCCAAAACCAAAGAATTGTTTCAAACAATTCAGCAGTTGAACAATCATCATGTTACCAGAGCAATCCTGATTGGAGCAGCTCTCCGAAAGAGTCACATTGGAACTTTCACCACATGTAAAGCAAGACTACGACTGGAGTGTCAACGTAACCTTCAACTATTAAGTGCAACGAGGGCTTATTCACGAGCGTGCGTTCTTTGCGTCAATTAGCGACAATCGGAGCAGTCAAGGGTGTTCTCAAATCCAAGCTGCAAACGGCTCATGTAAGAACAGGACAATACTATGGCCCTTAGAACAAAGACTACGTGTTTCAGAGGCTGCACGGTCCCGCCTGTCCGCACCCATGAAAGGGGGAAGAAGGTTATTGGGCACCACGACAATTCGCACGTAAACGTGTCTTAAGAACTTTCATTCAGTCAATCTTTAGCGAAGTAGCTTACAAACAAACCATTGGTTCTTTCCCGTTGTTGAGCAGCCACTTGCGCCTTGAAGGTCGACCCGAGTTGGACTCGGTAGACTCGCGTGGACTCAGACGGACCCTATAAGAAAAAAAAAAAAAAAAAAAAAAAACCTTCGCTTTTAATCACTCGCTATGGCAAAGCAAGCGAAACCTCGCTGCCGCTGGCTTCCCCCGGGAGTACTGTTCTGGTGTGGGCTCTTGTCTCAACGGTGTAAGGGACCGTCTCCAAGATCTGTCGCACACTCCACACACACACACCGCAGTACCAGGGTTCGAATGCACGTATGTTTAGAGTTGAAAATTTAATTGTGGTCCTTGCATCACTATGTACTATTATGCTCGTGTTATATTTGCCGTCCAAGTAATGTGGCCAGCCCTGGACAGGCCGGAGCCATACTGGGCATGCCAACTATCAACATGTAGTCGCTGATACTGACCAGGTACTACAGTGCACATAAAGGAACGAGGTACAGCCCAGCAACAACTGCTAGTGAACCAACGATGCCTTCGAACCAAGGCCAGGCGGCGACCGATGTTTGTGTACCAGACCCTGCGCCGGGAGTCGTTCCGTTTGCGCCTCCGCTCGATGTTCCATTCGCAGTGGCAGCCTGAATCCCATCCCAGAAGTCACACATGCTGTAATCAACAGTCCCTATCGTGAAGTCATCCCCGACGACATTGACCCCGGCCGAGCTGGACGTGTTGTACTGAGGCCAGTCACTGCCCGGGTTCGCGTTCGCCGCCATGCTGTCCCACGCGCCAAGCATCTTCGCGGCGAGGGCCGCCTCCCCGGCGGAGAGGCTGCAGGTTCCGTTTGATTTCGGCATGCCCGTGGTGCCGTTGAAGACGAACGGGATCTCGGCGGTGTGGGTCGATGCAAGCAGGTCCAGGGCATAGCTCGGGATGCTGTTGTACCACGGACAACTGAGAGTGTGGTTGAATGAGTATGTCCAGACTGGCACACCGTCCTGGTTTGCCTGGCGGATGAACCGTCTGGTCGGGCATCTGAACTGGCCGTGCGTGATGACAGCCGACATGGCCGCCAGCACAGGACCGCCGGATGAGCCAGTGTAGTTTGACAACGGGTACGTCTCATTGACCTTCTGTGCCAGCGGTCCGAATGTCCTGGTCAGGAAGCCATCGTAGTCCGTGGAGTTCAGAGTCAGCACGTTGGCCTGGTATTGGCTCAGAATGAACAAGGTGCCTTCGTCCGTGGTTGACCCGGCCACGGCAGGGACTTTGAGACCCGCTTCGAGAGGCTGCGCGGGGATGATAGTACCGTCGACTATGGGGTTTGAAGAGGATGATCCGGGAGCGGTGATCGACGAGTTGAGGGTCGAGACTGAAGCAGCGCGAACACAGGCAACATCATCCAGGCCACAACCCAAGGCCTTGACGAAGGCCTGGGTCGCATTCTGCGCATCCGCTGTTGTGTCCAACTGGCTCCCTGCTCCGGACTGCAGGATAGCCGCGCTGATGAGCGAAGATGCTTGTGGGAGGCTGCTGATGATGTACGTATCGGAGGCACCTGCTGACTGTCCAAACAAAAGCACCTTCTTCGAGTCGCCACCAAAGGCTTCGATGTTCTCCTGGACCCACTGCAGTCCAAGCAGCTGGTCCTGGATGCCCTGGTTGCCTTGGAGGCCGAGGCTGTCCAGTGCGAGGAAGCCCAGGGGCCCAACACGATAATTGATAGACACTTGGATCACTTTCTCACTTGCTGTGCAGCCGTCATATGTTGGGTTTGAGATTCCGCCCGCCTGGTTGCCTCCCCCGTAAAGCCACACCTTCACCGGCAATTTCGAGTCTGACTTGGCGCTGGCGGGGGCCCAGACATCTATGAAGAGGCTGTACAAATGCGAGTTAGTCCACACCCACCAAGCATACGTCCGTCCGGGGGATGGAGCCTACCAGTCTTCTGACTGTGGGCCACGCTCAGAGAAAGCCACATTGAACTGCGTACAGGCAGGCGGTGGCTGCGTTGCCTGACGAGTGTCGAAGGTCTGATTGTATGGCTGCGGTGGCGCAAAGCGCAGGTCGCCCACGGGTGGTTGGGCATAGGGGATACCCAGGAATGAGTTCACGTCGTTGGAAGCACACTTGGCCCCTTGCAGCGTGCCATTGACGGTCTTGACAGTCGGTGCATCTTGCGCGGTCACGACGACAGCTCGGCCGACGAGGAGGGTGAGGAATGTAGTCTTCCTCATCTTGGGTCTCGAACAGATCCAACCGCCTTGGTTTATGGAGCGGGATTTAGAACCACGAAGTGTCCACAACACCACTTATATACCACGGTGATTATTAGAACAAAAGCAGATGTATCCCAAACGGAGTTGGTCATCCCATGCCGAGCTGCGTTGCGTGGGTGTGCCAGCCATTATGTAGATGAACCTCATATTACATGGCTTGGCTGAGCAAGACCTTTGTCATGGTTGTTCGACGGTAAACGCCTGGGGAGAGCACGCTGGCAGCATCATCGATTTGTGTGATATGTCGTCGAACCTGCCCGCAGCGAAGCGGTTTTTTTGGGTGGGTGAGGGTCCGAGATGAAGTTGAGTAGTTGCGATTGGTTACACGGATCGAAGAGGATGCTGGAGCCATGCAGCACTAGGAGCTAGACAGGGACCCCGAGCCTGCGGTAGGGCCGCAATGTTTTGGCTGCACTTCACTTGGAGCCGAGCGCGGGTGGCGTCTGCTGGCTTGTCTGGGTCGATGCAACCTATCTCGCGAAAAAGAAACCGATCCCGAGGGAGGAAACGCCTCAAGCCCGTAGTCAGTTGCAGATCAGCTCCTTATCACAAAACCTGGCTGCTGTGCTTGATCATGGTCTGGCTGTGTTCAACATTTGGAGTTCTCTATCTATTTCTGGGAATGAATGTGTGGTCAAATGTCTGACCATTCGGAGACTGCTCGTTCGGTGGGCAAGGTGATATCAGTGTACAGTAAACGTACACTTAAGCTTCAAGATCGCTGGGTGGGTCCTTATACCGACGAACTATAGAACAAGCATTAGCTTCGAGCTACCATGTCCTGATCCCGGACGGACGTCCTGAAAGGGTGTTTCATCACGAAGTCGTCCAAAGATCTTCGTCGTAAACTACGGACGACTAATAAGAGATTGATCACTGTCAGGGTCTCATCTGACCTTTTCTCTCCGACACCCACATCTGGCCTCTGACTCCTGGACGATACATGAAGCCATTGGACGAGGAGCCAAGCCTGACACCTCGCAACGGTCTCGACCATTTGCGGCAACCTGTCGACTTCCTCGGTGCTTTGCGGGGTACTTGCAACCTCGGCTCAATCGGACAGGGCCTGGTGGTTGGCTGTCTATCTACGTGCCCAGCAAGCCCATCTCCTCCGCCCCCGGTCCGACAACAGGACTGTCGGCTTCTCGCATACCATGCCCAAACCGTCCATGATCCTGGAAAGAGGTAGTATCCATTTGAGTTGAGTTGATACGACTGGACCCACACGCCGCTCGAACGCTCCCACACAAACCGCGAACGCCTTTGCCAGCAACCACCTAGACTCGAATTGCAGTTGTCCTGGACGGTCAAAGCTGCTCGTCTCGCCCAGATGTCCGAACAAGATGCGCAGTCTTTGTACTCACAAGTTCGGCAAAAAGACTGACAACCGACCTGTCTTGTCCGCCGACATGCGCCTAGACAGCTGTCACGGAACTGCATGAGGGTCCGACTGTTAGAACGTTGAACGGATTTAGTCTACTTCGCGTGTCAACCACAAGTCTCTCACCATACCACTCACACCTGTTGAAATCTGAAAAAAGCGTTCGGTTTTTTTCAGGCTGTGGGCTTAGCCTCATATCTTTCAACAACACCGCTGTTGCAGCTGACAGCGCTGTAGATCACTCTGTCTCAGGACCACGTTCGCCTCTGCCTGGTGAGTGGCCGACATCGAGGTAAGTCCTCGTCATGACAGGGCATAATTACAGTCTAACGCTCCGAGGAAGTTCAGATCATTATCGACTGCCGCTAATAGAATAAAAGGAAGTTGCTAAAGACTTGACAGAATGACGTGCAATCAACCGAGATCATCCTTAGACGGACTCTGAAGATAAATAAGGCGGCCAAAGCACTTCTCTCATTCCCATGCTCGACCTACTTCTACTCGTTTGCCTACTAATCCTGTTGCCTCCCCCAATTGCCCCCTTCCCTCCGACAGAAGCCACACCAAAAGCATATCACTCAAATGAGGACAGAAGTCTGCGTCGTGGTGATCTTCCCAACCTCGCTATCATCAGAAGCACTGCCAGCCTTCTCCTGATCATGCAGAACACTGGAAGAAACCCGCAAACGACCGGTAGCATCGTGCGTGGCGTCGAACTCAGCCAGCTCCTCGTTTGGTATCTTCTTGATCTTGTGGGTCTGCGCGCCGTCGTCCAGCTTGATGACTTCTTGACGGAGCTGGTATCCCTTCAACTTGGGAATCAACTTGGCCCAGACCCAGTAGTAAGTTCCGCAAGCAATGAGACTGGTCGGGGCAGTTAGTCAACGGACGTGATACGGTGAGCCTCGACAGTATTCTGGGTCATGCTCACATTCCAACTCCAGTGACAACATAAGTGCCGTACCAGAAGCTCACGTCGCCGGCATATTGGCCTCCCTCCGGAGGGTACCACGGCATGACGAGCAGGTAGAGCTGCACCAGAATGTTGAACACAACAACGGGTTGCCAGGCCTTGAACTCGGGAGGCGGCAGGTTTGCTCGCCTGCGTCGCCACCGCACCACGTACAGACCAACAGCCATCGCCAGGTTGAAGGCGGCTGACGGAAGGATCGAGAGATCACTCACTAAGCACCATTTAGCACCTTTTCCGGTGAGGCTTCGGTGTCATCTTGAGCAGTTGAAACTCACCGAAGTTAAACGCGTCACCCGAGGGCAAGGCGAGGATCATCAGAGCAGTGAGGGCCCACTTCACAAAGTAAGGCCCGATCGGGGTCCCAAACGGCCTGGTCGTGACCCAAAAGTTCGTCCACGGGAGAACTCCTTGCCTACAGGCACATGTCAGGTCGCCGGGGAACAGAATCATGAGAGTGACGCCGTCCTTACCTGCCGCACTCGCGTATCATCCGCGACGAGCCCAAGGCGCTTGCGATAATGTTCCCGAAGGCACTCAGGGCTATCAAGAAGTTGAGTCCGCGGACGGCCCCGCTGTCTCCAAACACGCTTCTGAAAAACAGGGTCGCAACTGTGGTGCCCGAGTTGACCAGGTCGTATTTGGACACTGGGGTGTTTCCATGGTCAGGAAGCTTTTCTATAAAGCAGAAAAGATCATGGGTTATAATTTGATGTGCACACACCTGCGGCAAAGAATGCCACGTTGGCAAGGATGTAAAGCACGTAGACGGCGAAGAGGGCCAGGAAGGCATACTTCCGGAGGGACTTGACGGGATTCTAGGAGTCGGGAAGAAATTAGCTTCGGTGCTGGTAAAATTCTCGGCAGCTGGGCACCATACCTTGACTTCATTTACGACATTAAAGGCGTTGTTATATCCGCCATATGAGAAGATGATCCTGTAGAGTGCGTTGGTCAAGCCGTACGCTGACGCCGCTTCGGTGCCGTGAAAGGAGTTCTGAAAGTTAACAGTCGGGTTCTCGATCTTGGTATTGCCACCCAAGACGACAAACCCAGTCACGATGACGAAGAGCAAGGTCGCGATCTTGACAAGCCCAATCGCGTTGGACAAGTGGTACGAGAACTTCGTGTGGAAGGTCAGGGCTTATATACGCGGACTTGTCAGCTTACACTGGATTAACGACGGAGCGTAGCGACTGGGGAGTTCTTACATAGTATAGCAACTGTATAGCCAGCCAACGCTACACCCTTCACTTGCCAATCGGTGCCTTCAGTGCCGGCAATGGCAAACAAATAATTAGACAGCACTGCAAGTATTGATGATTAGCTGCGGATGATTATGCCCTATTCTTGCTGAGAGACTTACCAATGGCATTGCTGCTGGCAAACGAGAGTAGGACATTCTGAACAGCGAAAGTTGTGGGGAAGAACCACGTCGGACGTGGATAGGCCTGTTCGAGGAAGACCACTTCGGATCCAGAGCGGCTGGGGAAATACGCTGTGAATTCGAGATAAACTGACCCCGAGGCGACGCAAACCTGCGCAGAGAGGAGCATTAGCCTTGGCCGACAGTGAGAAGGAGACTTGAAAACATACCAAGAAGCCAATGGTCCAATAGATAAAGCTTAGGCCGACAGACCCAGTACCTCCCAATATGGCAGAGGCTTCAAGTATGTTAGCGACCTGCTGCAGCAGCTTGGAGGGGAAGGGAAATCTTACGCGTCGAGTAAATGCCAGTGCCGATCATCATGCTGATGTTCATAAGCAGGATGGTGACCGGCCCAACAGCGTAGCCTAGGGGAGAGTCGCTCTCGACTGGAGCCCCAGACGCCTCCTGGTACGTCGCAGCCGCATTGTTGCCTCCATTCTCCCCGATGTAGGTGATACTGCCATCGGAAATCTGGCTCGCGTTATCCGCCGTGGCAACGTCTGCGCCGCTGCGGCCGCTGAACGGCTTTCTCCAGGACACCATGGCTTAAGATGCAGCTGTGCGGACACAAAGACAACACACAGGCACAGACCAAGGCGGATAGGAGAAGGACTCTGTAGAGACTCGATGGCTCTGCCAGGACAGGTGACAGAAAGCTGAGGGATTTGTCGCCCATGCTTCATTATGAGCCCAGGCAGTTTGTTCTTTATGGAGATCCCCTCGGACTGACTTTCGGGCCCATGCCATCTACGTTTTGCCGTAGAAAGCCCGAAGCAGGATACGCAGCTAGGCCATCTCCACCATGTCCGGACCAATGCCTCGGAAATGGCTGCTGTCGAGCTAGGTAGGCTCGGTAGTATGCAGCCAAAAAGCACGATATCAATGTCGGCATCCGGTGGGAGGATGATACAACTGCCCCGGTACGGCGCTGCACGCGGGAGCACGCGATCTCCCTTCTGTTGCTGCATTGAGACGGAACAAACGCAGCAGGGGTTTGCACCTGAGGAGATTGTGTATGCGTTGGATCGTCCCCAGTGAGTGACTACCGAATTACATGGTCCCGATGTAGCTATAAAAAGGACTTATCACTTACTCGGGTGGGTTGCGCGGGATTCGAGCTGTCACGGCAGATGGCGCAGAAATGGTGAAATCGGTTAGCTAACACAACCACATCTATGTCGCATTCTTGTATGCAAGACCTCGGTGATGATAAGGCACTGCCAGTGTCTTATCGCGGGTCTTTCCGAATAATCGTCCTTTCATCTGTCATTCGAATTCCCATCCTTGCTTTCAAAATCCTTCGATCCCCTATCCCACTCGTGCACCCTTTATAGGACCCGGCCCCATCCTAAGGAGTCATCGGCCCAGGGTCGCTTTGCAAAGAACGAAATGGTACGAGTTCGGTTACGCCGAATGGTACGTAGGGGCACAGTACATGGACGCAGTCGTAATCCATTTGCCTCCAGCGTACATATAGCAGGCATTACTTACCGCGGAGGGACCGGCGAGTGCGCTGATGGAACTTGGACCTATCCAAGCATGTCTACCAGATTTTTGGCATGTGGCATTCCTCAGAATAAATACATAAGAAGCATGAAGGAATAGAGCTCAAGTTATAAATAGCTTCCCTTAAGAGATTATTCTACGGGGAGTTGAATAGGAGGTTATGCCGTAAGGATCAACTGTTGGAAGTTTCCCACCAGGTTGACCTATAGGGACCTCACACATAAAAGAAAAACCACACACACACACACACACACACAGAGAGAGAGAGAGAGAGAGAGAGAGAAGAGAGAGAGACATGGGTGCTCCCATCGAATTACGCACAATTTTCCGGGATCGATGGAACATCCCCCAGGGATGATGTTACCAAGGAAACATGTTCGCCATCCGATCACGTAGTCTTCTTCGACCAGCCCGTCTGACGATCGTCACCTACTCTTCACAGATGGCAAAACAAGTTATACTGATAGCACCAGTGGTAAATTCCGTCCTCGAGTCTCCAACAGTTTCCATTTGCGAATTGGAGCTCACTCATATCCCCGCCCATCATTACAACACACTGGCGGTTAACATAGCGCCCAGAGGCCAAGAAAAACAATAAGCTTCACGGTGGGTGAGTCTTGCTGGCGTCTGTGAGCTTCGTGTACGGTGTGCCGTAACCGATAAATCAAGGCTTCAAAGACAGAGTTGTCTGATTTGCATAGTGCGCTTGACTAGAGTGGCAAGCTCTGTCCAGTTTCATGGTATCAACGTAATTCTGAAAATCGAGTGGCAATGTAGCAGGACTCTTGAACTGCTGTTACGATTTACACCCAGTAATCCCAGATCTAAGGTCATGATGCATTCTCCTGTGCCTGGGCTTTTCAGTGTCTCTAGCAAGAAGGAGTCGCAGGTCATACACTTCTCTTGTTGTGATTGCAACCCCCACCCCTTTCCCCAAAATAATCAGCGGCATGTGATGCTGTAGTCGAGAGTCGCAGCCGATTCCTACGAGGCCCCCCCTCACCAATCTTGTCAAGACTGAGTTGCTCGGCATAGTTGACTCACTGTCAACAAGGCGAATACCAGATGGTTGCAAACCGGTAATGAGGGAGACGTGGGACAACGTGAATGCTGACTCGAATTGCTACACTGGCTTGCCACAAACACAGAGCTATTCACCGACGCTATGAGAAGCGTGTTGGATCCAATCTCAGGAATTCATCTGATACACAAATTGAGCCTAGCAACTCTGTGCCAGATTCACGCCGGGTAGCAGTCCAGCAGAAGATGATGGCATTGTTGAATTCAAACTCAAACTGGAGTTAATGCTGCTCTAACTCGAGGAGATGATCCTCTCCAGCTCCTCCGGGTCCTTGACAACACTGGTAAAGTTCTCGCAGCCGCCCTTGGTGATGAGCACATTGTCCTCGATCCTCACCCCGCCGACGTCCCAGTACCGTTCCAGCACACCGACATCGATGTGTTTCGCCGTGGCCGGGTCCTTGAGGGCCGGGTCGATGATGAACTTGCAGAAGTAGATGCCGGGCTCGACCGTGATGACGCTGCCGGCGGGCAGGGTCCCGCGCTTCCGCAGGTACCTGAACATGGGATCGGAGTCGGCGTAGTTGGGGTCGCCCCCAACGTCGTGGGTGTCCATGCCCATGTAGTGCCCGAGCCCGTGGGGGAAGAAGGCGACGCTCGCCTTGCTCTTGAAGATGTCCTCCCTGTCGCCCTTCAGTACCCCCAGCTGGAGCAGGCCGTCGATGGCGATCCGGTGCGCGTTGGCGTGCACGTCGTCCCAGCTGACGCCCTCCTTGAGCATTGCGATGCTCTCGAGCTGCATCTTGAGGACGATGTCGTAGATGGCGCGGCTCTCCGGGGTGAACTTGCCGTTGATGGGGAAGGTGCGGGTGATGTCTGAGGCGTAGCAGTTGATCTCGCACCCGGCGTCCAGCAGGAGGTTCAGCTTTCCCTCGAGAGGCTGGTCGTTGCGGACGTAATGCAGGGTGGCGGCCGAGCGGCCACTGGCGACGATGGTGCTGTATGCCTGGTTCTTGGAGCCCTTGGACACGAATTGCGACAAGAGCACCGCCTCCAGCTCCGTCTCGTTCTTTGCGTGCCGGACTTTCTCCATGACGGCCCTGTGGGCGGCGGATGAGATGTCGCTGGCCTTTTGGATCAAGGCCACCTCGTAGTCGGACTTGACGACGCGGGAGTACTCGATGGCCTCCTTGAGGATGCTCAGGTTCTTGTCCTCGAACTCGAGGAAGGTGACATGGTCTGATATCTGGCCGGGTATCGCGAAGACCGTCTTGGAGATGTTCTTGGCGAGGTGGGCAAGGGTGGAGTTGACGTCCGTGGTGAGGGCGGCGTGGTGGACATCATACTGGTCGAGGGCCTCGGCGGTGCTCAGTGGCAGGCCGGACCAGACGACGGACTCGGCATCGACGGGAGGGACGAAAAGGGTTGACTCGCCCGAGGCGATGTCGTAGGTATAGTGGCAGTCGGGCAGGTCACAGCCGGTCAGATAGTAGAAGTATCGGCGCTGCCTGGGCGTCAAGTTAGGGCATGTTTGAACAGAAGAGAGGAGGCTGTATATTACCGGAAGTGTTCCTCCTGGTCGCAGTCCTCGATCATCCTCGTCTTGCCGCCTTCGAGATAAATGACACCACTCGTGGCGTTTGGCAGCTTGGACCGGATGTACTCGGCGACGCGTTTGGCATGGAGCTTTCCAGGGTACTTGCCCTTCAAGGTCTCTTCGTAGGGCGCCATCTTGACAGGCTGAGACTCAGGTCTTGTCACCAGTGGTCGAAAGAGCCGTGCCGAGCTTGTGAGGCCACGGGCCTGGAGGGGCGGCAGTGGCTGGTTCTGAGCAGTCCAGGAAGAAGTGAGGGCTGAGGTTGACGAGACTGGACGGCAGGCTCTCAGTGGATGTCGGCCAGTACCGTTGAGGACGAGGGCGAGGGCCGGACGGATCGTGGGCGCTGTCGCTGCCTGCTTGAGTACTTGAATGTATGATGGTAGCCGCAGGGGAAGAAGGGCTCGCATGAAGGCAAGGAAGCACTGTATTCTGTCAACAGCCCAATCAACAAGCAATGGTAGATAATGCAGCGCCGTACGTGGTTATCGTCGGGAAGAAACAGGCCTTCAAGCTCTCGTGCCCCGCACTGAGCGAGCTCCCCGCCTTCTGCCCAGGTGGCCTGGCCCCTCAGCAACAGCCTTGGAAGCAGCCAATCTCTGCGGTTGATCGGCACAGGGCACAAGGGCGCACAGCTGGGGCTCGGAGCCAGCCGAGATCCAGGGTCTCGCCCAGTTGTCGCCCTCGCCCCTCGTCCGCGGCACAGTGATCTGCACCCAGACTCGAGCATGCTGGCACGTAGATAGATACATCGGCTATATAGATCTAGATACTATACCGCAGACTACCTAAGGTACCTAGATAGGTAGGTAGACTGATCATCTCAGAACTCAGAACTCAGATCTCATATCGTCAGCTGCAGCTAGGAGGGGAGCATTTGAAGAGCAAGGCCACCGCATAAGAACAAGGTCTGGGTCCGTATAAATCATGTGTGTATACGTGTGTTCAAATATGTATATATATGTATATGCACGTATGTGTAAAGAATATGCTCTCATGTGCCCCCTCGTGCCAATGCAAAAAATTTCTTGCCGCCCGAGTGGATATGACCTGGACCAACAAACTCCATAAGGCACGAAACATGTGCGTGACGCTTTGCTCCAAGAAGTGATTCCCAATGCAATGATATATGTAAGCAGATGATGACAGTTCCATCCATATGTGCTCTCCTCCAACCTGCCGTGCCGACCCACCTGGGACACAGCCCTCGTCAGCTTGAGCTCCCAGGCGGGGCTATTCGCCTCCTCAACCTTCGACTACCGCCTGAGGTGGCGGGTTCCTCGGCTTGGGCAGGTTCGCAAGACTTAGACCGGGCAATGGCATTCTCCCGTGCGCCCCGCCTCCACCCGCACCAATGCTGCTCAGGTCGGCCCCGTTCTTCATGTTTGTCCAGTGGTCCTGCAGCAGCCCCGCGCCGACGACGAGCTCGAAGCCGCACAGGAAGCAGAAGCTGATCTCGAGCCTGGCCAGCTCCAGCTCGCTGACGCCGCCCACCTTGGCCACCTTGGCGTGCGGGTAGCTCAGGTCCTCGAGCGCCTTCATGGCCACCCTCAGCCCAGCCAGGAGCAGCCTGTGCGCGTTCCTCTTGGTCACCGCCACCGCCCGCTCGTCCACCGCCAGCCTGTGGATGTAGAGGCTCGTCGCGAGGTAGACGGCCGTGCTCATCGGGCAGAAGCGGTGGATGCGCAGCAGGTAGTCGCTGATCCCTATGGGTGGCGGCTTCTTGCTGTAGAACTTGCGCGTGATGGCATTGTGCTGCATGTTGAGGGGCTGGCTGTTGGCGCCGATGACCACGTACGGCTCGGGCGTCGAGGAAGGCGGCGGGGGCGGCACGAAGCTGCTGGGCTCGGGGCTGGGCGTCGGCCTGAGGTGCACGCCGTCGATGGGCTGGGGCGCCGGCGGGTACAGGCCGGGCACCGAGAGGCTCGCGGTCCGCGTCGGCTTCGGGACGACCAGCACGGGCCCTGCGGGGCTCTGCTGGGACGAGGGCGGTGATATGGTGCCCTGGTCGTCGGGCAGGGGGGCCGCTGGGCCGGGGGTGTGGCCGGCGTCCTGGATCTGGTGGGCCAACTCCTGCTCGCGCAGGCGCGTCAGGCTCTTCTCGGAGTAGTTGCGCACGATGCTCTCCTTCTCGGCCTGCATGCTCCTCATGTTGGGGATGTGCGGCGTCATAGGAGGCGGTGTGGGCGGGATGTCGCCGGTGATGCGCACGAGGGCCTCGACGCCGGCGCTGAGCAGCTTGAGGGCGGCGAGGGCAGGGACCTTGAAGATGTCATCGGGCTGGGCGTTGAGCTGCGGGGAGGTTATGGGCTGGAGGTCGGGCTGGGGCGGCTGCATGGTCAGGACGGGGTCGGTCGAGGGCTTGGGCGGCGGCGGAGGGGACTGCGGCACGGAGCTGTCGCTGGACTCGTGGTCCGGGTTTCCGCTGTCCTGTGGGTTTGGCGACATGGCTGGGGCGTTGTTCTTGTTCCTCTGCGCCGTGGTCTCGTATAGTGTCTGCGAAGGGCGGCGACAGCTGAGGAGCTTTTGTTGTAGTCCACGGGCTGCGGCGACTCGGCAGACTTTTCTTTTTGTCTGCGCGAATTGGTATACAATGTGCGGCCGGGTCTAGATCGTGCTGATGGCCAGCCGTAGTGTCTTCGGCTATCCTGTTCCCACCTTTTCCTTTCCCTTCCTTTTCCTCCGTTTTCCCTTTTCTACCAGTCTACCACCTCGTATCCCTATGATTGTACAGTGCAGACTTGTGCGTCGTAGTCGTCGACGGCGTCGGTTAGACAAAACAAGGCTGTGCTCTGTCGTGTCGCGGAGTGGATTAGGAGGGCCAGGGCGGTTGGTCTCTTTTCCTGCTTCTTGATAGGTATTTCGAAGCAGGACTGCTCATGGTCTCGTGGTGCCGTCGTCCTCCCGTCCTTGTGATGTACCGGCGGCTGCTTCCTGGAGGCTGGCCTATGGCTGGGCGGGTGAGCACGGTGCTTTGCGGTCGAGGTGGAATGGGATGGGCCGAGAAGACTGAGAATAATTGAAAATGGTCGAGGGTCGCGCGAGGGAGACACGAGAGGGACAAGGTCTAGTAGAGTCGAGACCCTGATTGTTTGGGATGGGCTGGAAAAACGAAGCCGAGGCGGGCAGGGGCCGGGACCAGGGCAAGGTGCAGGTGCATGTGCAGCAGTTGCAGGGCCGGGGCGGGTGGAGGTTGGAGGAGAAGCAGGTGCATGTGCAGTTGCAGTTGCAGGTTGCTGGTGCGCCTGGTGGTACAACTAGTGTGGTGGATGTGTGGGGTGGGGGTGGGCTGTGGGCAGGTGGGCATGTGGCCAAGCTGGGGGGTTCCTGCCGAGTCGGCGAAATGACACGACGAAAAGTATCGGATGAATCAATGAGGATCGCAATGGGTGCTGTCTGCTGTCGACCCGGATGGCTCGATGATCAGCAACAATACGTTATCGTATTGCTGGTTCAGTTCTGCTCCCTGGAGTGGAGGAAACAAAAACATGGACGAGGAGGAGAAGACAATAATCAATGGTCGATGAACAAGACAGACAGAGAGCCGAGGGACTGACTGCTCGCTCTCTTCTCTCCCCATCCATGCCTTCCTTGCTTTCTTTCCCTTTGTCCGCTCTAGGCCCATGCCCGGCCACGGCAAAAGACGGCCACATGCGCCGTTCGACGGGAACGGGATCGGGGGTTTTGCTGCTGTTGCTACGGTTGCTGCTGGTCCTCGCGGCGGGGCAAATTGGCAATTTGCTTTGCCCTGGCGTGATTTGTTCTGCACTTTATTATCAAGTGGTTTGATCATTTCAATCTATGGCCTAACACTACAGTAATAATAAAAACAACACGACAGCGGTCGGAGCCGGGGCTGCAGGTCGATGATCGCGAGGATCGAGGATCAAGGACCGGGCATCGACAAAATGGAGATCGAGGACTGACTGACCTGGCATGCTGGGCCCAGAGACTACTAGATAGACCACCAACTATCTATCTAGACAGCCCTAGACTACACCTGGTCCACTGCTGCTTTACAGCATCTCACACGCGCATATGCACACACACATCCTGACGAGACATTGAAAAGACACAGATATGGCCAGACGCGGTTCAAATCTGACACCTGCCCCTCACCTTGGGGGATGGATGGATGCTCTTCTCCTCTTCTGCTCCTCCGCAGATGGCCCAAGCTCCCTGCAGGCGACCCCCCGCCGCCCCTACATGGGACATGCAGAAATGCACACAGGCAGGACAGGGCAAGACACCCGACACGGAGACACAACGCACACTTGCGACGCACACTTGCAGAGATCACCAGGCCTACTCTTGTTAGTCCTGACGGAGCTGCAGGGTCGGTCTATGGTGGCGAACCAACTGTCGCCTCAGCCTGTCTGCGATAACAGCCCTCCAGACATTTCAAACATTCCAGACATTTGGGGCTGCTCCGGAATTCCCGCCATCCCACGTCGTCGTGCTACATGTAGATTGATGCACATCATGTTTTGACTGCCCGGGTATCTATAGAGACTGTTACTGTGCAGATTTGTTGAGAGGGGATCTGCGCGGCTACAGGACAAGCTGCTGGGACATGTGTCAACCTTGTATCTCTGCCATTTTCAACTGGCTATGTAGGTGCTCTCGAGGTGCTGTGCTTTTCTTCAAGCATTGACAAATGCCTAGATGCAGCGCCACACGGATATTGGGCAGGTCGAGCACACAAACGTGTCTAGTGGAACCGAGCTGTGAGCGCTGACTTCTCACGTCGCAATATGCAGGGCCGCATCACATGGGGAGGCTGAGAAGGGGTCTAGACCTGTGTCTCTGGTCTTTTGGGGCCTGTCCCAAATAGGAAGACAGCACTTCATCAGACTCCCCCCGACGCATCAGATGATATCTGATACGAGAAAGATTCCTCTTCCTCGTGGCACAGCGTAAGCCACGTCGCAGCTCATACGCCGCACATACAGATAATAGTCGTCCACGGACATCAGTTGTGCGAGCTGAAGATTCAATATCATCTGGGCCCCATTGTCCACTGCCAGTCGCGTAGCAGTAGTTTACACGAGCGGACTGCCTAGGTACGGTACATGCTGTGACACGCAGAGGTAAGCTCTACGGTGTAACCACCCAAACACCCGGCCACAAATCTCACTGCATATGTGGTACAAATCTTACATGCAACTGCACATTTTCCCCGGGTGCACAGAGAAGGAGAGAGCCAGGTCATCTAGGTAGACAATGCGGAATGGCAAAATAAACATTTATTTTTTTTTATTTTTTTTTTTTCCATCATCACCGTCTAGCAGCCCTTGAGCACCTTGGCATCCACCACCGCGGCCTGGCCGTTCTTGACACTCTCGATGGCCTCCTTCAGCACCGCGTCCAGGTTGTTGGCGCTGTCCACCCTCGCCGCGTGCAGCTTGCCGCCCGCCGCAGCCTTTGCGATGCCCGAGTAGTCCGGCACCGGGTCGAACGAGATGTTAATCTCCTCGTTTGTCGCCGTGGAACCCAACCCGTTGGGGTGCACCAGCAGGAGTGAGTTGCGAGGCGCGTTCCAACCTGGTAAGAGGGGAAAACACTCATCGTCAGCATGCCCGCTCATATCGTACGTAACATATGCCCATTGAATGTCACATTAAACATGATGTGAGGAGGAGGAACAAGAAGTTGTGTGGACGTCACTTACCCTTGTTGTTGAGCACAATGGTCAGCACCGGGATGCCGTACCTCTGGGCGATCCAGTACACCGACCCGGGGACGCTGAACAGGAACGTGCCGTCGCCCACGATCTGGACCACGAACTTGCCCTTGCCGGCGCCGCCGCTCTCCACGTCCGTCGCCAGCTTGATGCCCAGCGTGCCGCCCCCCGACCAGCCCAGCCCGCCGCCGCCGCAGTTGATCCACGACCCGGGCTCCTCGGGCTGCAAGTTATCGTGCACGAACGCCGTGTTGGTCACCGCCTCGATCGACCAGATCGTGTCCTTGGGGCACAGCTCCCGCAGCCTGCGGCACAGGTAGCCCGTGCCGAACTGCCCGTCGTCGGCCGGCTTCGCCTTGGCCTCGATCTCCTGCAGGCGCTGAGCGTGGCTCTTCTTCAGCGCCTCGGCGCGCGCGCCGGCCTCGCCGCCCGAGAGCTGGGCCTTGGTGCCCTCGTTGGTCCGGAGGTACTGCGTGATCTGGTCCACCGACAGGAGGCTGTCGGCGCGGTATCGCTGCAGGGCGTCGATGTAGAAGACGGGCATCAGCTGCTTGAGCGGGTCGCAGTCGACGTGGAAGATCCTGGCGTCGGCGCTGGGCTTGCACCCGGTCGGGATCCACGGCACGTCGCAGTCCAGCACCAGGATCACGTCGGCCGACTTGATGTAGTCCTCGCGCCCGAACCGCAGGCCCAGCCACGCCGGGTGCGACGCCGGGAAGCACATGTCGCTGCCGCCCGTGTCCAGCACGCGCAGGCCCGGCACCGTGTCGGCCAGCTCCACCAGCTTCTCCGGGAACGCGTGGTTGCGCCCGGCGTAGCCCGTGATGATGAGGGGCTGCTTGGCGCCGGCGAGGGCCTCGGCGATGTCCTTGAGGCCGCGGGGCGGCAGCCCGCCCAGCTCGACGGGCTCCCAGAACTTGGGGTCGACGCTGTAGGGCTCGATGTCCTCCTCCATGACCTCGCGGGCGCCGCACAGGTAGACGGGGCCCTGGGGCGCGGAGCGGGCGAACTGCAGGGCGCGGTTGACCATCTGCTTGACGTTCTTGCCCGTCTTGAGCTCGGCCGAGTAGCGGCAGTACTGGGAGACGATGGCCTTCTGGTCGGGCACGTCCTGAACCCAGTGGATGTACTCGGTGCGCGAGCCGCGCATCTCGCCCTCAATGGTGAAGGGCGACAGGCCCGCGAACAGCAGGATTGGGGCACGGCCGGTGCTGGCGTTGTGCACGGCGGCGCCGAGGCCCTGCGTGCCGACATCAACATGTACGATGACGGCCTGTGGCTTGTTGGTCAGGCGGGCGTAGCCGTCTGCCATGGACATGGCCACCATCTGGAGACAGGCGTGAGCACGAGCAAGATGTGAGAAAGGGGAGGCTAAGTGACGGTTGTTTCTTTTGACATACCTCATTTGGACATGTGATGATCCGGGGGAAGTTTGCACTCTTCTCACGCTGGCCCTTGACCATGGCCTCGATGATGCTGGGGTGGTCGGACCCCAGGTTGACAAAGACATGGCTGATGCCGGCCTCCCCGAGGGACTCGAAGAAGGCGAAGGAGGTCGTGTACATGCCGGGCGGAGAGGCTGACGAGTGAAGTGCTCTGGCTGCTGGTGGTGAGTGTGCTGATGGGGATACGAGTGAGCCTGTCAGTGTCGTTGTGCTCGTTTTTGGTATTGCTGTCACACTAGGTGAGTCAAGTGCATGTGATCGGTCCTGCTGGCTGTTTTTCACTGTGGTCCTTGTGGGCGAGGGCCTGGATATAGCAAGCGACGATGAGAGCCTCAGGCGTTGTGAGTGTGGTGTAAGTGGTGTAAGTTGACAGCCGGTGGTGATGCCGTTCCGCGGGGGGTTCCTGTGGCCAGAAGAGCCAGAAGGGGCCGCCTCGGGGTTCGGCCGGAGCTGCAGGGCGCGAGGACGTGCTCGGGATGGGATTCCGGCATCGTGGTGGACTTGGCGGGGGCCACTGGATGCTGCTCGCAGGCGGGCCTGGCCCAGAGTGCGAGTGACCGAGAGCGACGAGACGGCGGCCAGTGGCACAGAGTTCCCCCTGCACGGGCGGCTGGGGAGCGGGGTCCTGCGCAGGAGCATCTTCCGGGGGTCGGAGGGGCGGGAAGGGGGGGTCCTCTACTGGCCAATGCACGAGCTCGCCAACAACCTTGACTCGGGGTGGGAGGGTCACAGTGAGTTGCTGTTCGACGGGCTGTCCCGGGGTGTGGGGACGAGTATATTGGGAGAACCAGAGTATGTAGGGGTGAGGACGGGGAACTGATGGGCTAGAAGGAATGCAAGTGGAGTATGGGGAAGATGGAATGAGAAGGAAAGGTATTTCTGCTGTGCTGTGCTGCACCACCTATGCCGTGCAACTCAATGGCTCTCCCAGATGTTGTGGTTGTTGTGAGGGGTCGTCTTGTCAAGCCCAAGATGAAGCTGTGTGTGTGTGCGTGTCTGCGTGTGCGCGTGTGGTGTGGGTGGTCAGTCAAGTCAGTCAGTCACTCAGTCAGTCAAATCCATGGAAGTCCAATCCGTGAACGGAGGAAGGAGTCTAGGGATTAACAGGAATAGCAACAGCAAAGGGAGGGACTCTTGAGGCTCGGCTTCCCCAGGTTTAAGCATGGGCCAGGACCAGCCCGCGTGGAGAAGGCCTTGATAGTTACATAACGGAATCATAATAGATACTGGAGACTACTTACACGTGGACGACCACGATGTTATCTTGTGCCGCCTACTACGGTACAATCTGTTTGTGACATGGCTTCTTACTGTCCGACTAATAGACCTGCATGCTGCACAAGCACTCGAGGCCCATGTGTTGTAGGTATGCTTCTATCCTCCCAAACATGATCTAGACTACATGTAGACCTTGCTAGCTGTTCGTCTATCCGGAATAACCTCCACCGAACATTCATAACAATTGATCTATAAGGTCTGCTCGTTTTTTTTTTAAAAAAAAAAACTTTTACTCTGGTCTGCACGGTAGACTGCCAGACTGCGTCCACGGATGCTGAGGGTACATGCAGCAAGTCCCCAGCTTCCCCGCATCCGTTTTTGGTCAATGGGTACAAAGGTACCTGGATGCACCCCTGGTTCAGACAGCGGTCTGGCAGTCTTGGAGATCTCATAAGTATTACCCAACTGGGTAGGCCGGCTGCTGTCTAGGTAAATCTGCTCGGCATCTGTTTAATGGACAGTCTTATATATCTGGTCTTCCATCTCCGTTGTTATCTCCCGTTCAATAACTCCCTACGCACCTAGCAACATAGCTGCGATAATTGCCTTACAACTCACCTGCCCGTCTGCGTGCTGTCCTTTCCACTTTTGTCCCCACTCTCTCGCAGTCGAGACGTGTGCGGGGAATCGGGGAATCTGCCCCTCCCTCTCTTCTCCTGCCTCCCCGGCAAGCAATCATGTGCCGCTTCTCCAAGGTTTGAGCTCTCGCTTATCGTCGGGATGCCACAGCACCTTCCTTGACCTTGACCTCACGCGCAACCTCGTACACGACACAGGGGCTCTGCTATGTACACAACAAGACTAGCTCCTTCATACCACATGGCTAACACGCTCACGTCTAATTAGAAAGTGTCACTAATGTCTCCTCATCCTTCATCTGGCCTTCACATCCAGCATGCTCCCTGGCCCGATCCCGGGCTGTCTAGGTGTCACACAAGAAAACAATGCTGTGGCACGCGAGGAGCTTCCATGAAGCTGTCCCAATGCCAGATGCAGCGAAGTTGCGGTCAGCCATTATGACCTTGTCTCCGTTGACTTCAGCAGCTGGCGTCTCTACGTACTCTCATCTTGACTTGTCAGGTGCGCATGCGTGGCTGTGGCTATTGCATAGTTACGGTTCGCTTAGAGAAGTGATTACAGCTGGTAATTACTAGACATGCTTAAGTCCCGTCAAAGATAAAATACAAAGACGCCAGAAGAGTTTCATTCTAGAGTGTGTACTGAACAGAAATTCAACACCACTCCAGCCGTGGCACCACAGCCCCATGAGCCACTCGCTTTACCCTGGGTCACGACAATGAGCCAACGCTACTCTCAAGTCGTCCAATCCTCATCCGGGTATCTATTGAAATTAATATGGGCCCACTCGTCGTGCAGTAACTCAAATGACTTCAAGCCTACAAGTCTCGATCAGGAGTTGTTGCTCAAGACGAGGAAAGCCTCCGCCAAGTTCTTCTGGGCATACGGTGGATTTGTTGTAGGGTCATTTCTTCAGTGGATGCCACAACAAAGAAACGGTGGCGAGGGCTCAAAATAGAATGTGATGCTTCTTAGGTGCTAGTTTAGATTAATAGAGATGCTCCTTGCTGTTCAACCCACAGGCACTCTCCAGCAACGCCTTGTGCGACATGTGCCAGGCAAGACTACGCCTCGACAATCCAGTGTTAACATGTCGAATGAAGAGTATGAATGCTATTCACAGACAACCAATCTAGCCATCCATGCAACCTGAAATGTTAGACCATGTGAATTGGGTGTAAGTCAGAGTACCCAGTAACGCACACACCCCCTCCCGCACAGCCGTTTCCCACCAAAAAGCCTGATTTCAGCCTATTAATAATTAAATATATAAAAATAAAGAATACATATTAAGCATATAAGGATTGAAGAGAATTTTAAAATATTTAAAAGAAATTTTAACAATATTTATTATTTAAAGTTAATATAAAGAGATAAATAAAAATAAAGGTTTTGTTAAAAGGAAATCACCATTTTTATGCCAAGACCCCTGACTTAAGGACTTTTGCAGCGAAATAACAGCGGGAGACTTTGAATTTATTAACTTTTTTAATACTTTTATTTATTTAATACTATTAAACATTTATAATAAATACTTTAAAAATAGTTTTATAGTATATATAAATTTTTTAAATATATATATTATATAGTTTTGGTATTTTTATAGATTTAGTTATTATATAGCTAAATTCGGGCTTCTTGGTGGGAAACGGTTGTGCGGGAGGGGGTGTGTGCGTGACTGGCTACTCTGACTTATGACAGAATTCAGACATCCGCAAAGTCCTGGTCAACCAGACTCAGGACTTGTAGATGTTAGTTGATGGGGCCTTATCAGTGTCTGTACGCTCTTCGTCGGAGACGAGGACATCAGTCCACTTGATTTCTCATCCTGGACCATACTCAGATCAGCCGGTCGGAGTCAGAACGTACTTGCTCGTTCTCCGAATATATAAGTTCCACTTGACTCCAGCCATATTGGAACGTGCGCCGTCATCCTAGCATCTCTGACTCACATGCCATGCTTACGGCCTTCACGTTTTAGGATCCACATCTCCCTTCTCACCGTGACAACCCTGGCCTGAAATGGAGGCATACGCCCACACTGAGGACCTTGTTTCAAGTGAACTTGGTTCCTTCAAATAAGCCCACAGTTTTCTAAAGCATAACGCTAGGCGAGCACCGCTTTGCAAGTCATGGACTTCTAATTACCGTTTGGCTCCTCAGGAGAAGGCTCCTTCGCTGTGGAGGCTCCCAAGACCCACCTTTTTACGGGCAAATGCACTATATATACACAATGCGCGGCACCATCGACTCGCCCTGCACTTTTGCCCTCTTTGACAAGGACAGTTACGTCAACGTGATCACCAAGAATCTCACATCAGCTATTACACCGCCGCTTAAGCACAACATCATGAAGGTCATACAGATTGTTATCGCCCTCGCAATGGCTGCATACTCCACTTCGGCCCTCGCCGTTCCCGTTTCTGGAGGTTCGTCGCTCGTGATTGCTTCGTTACTATGTGGACAAATCATTGACGATATCACCTAAGATCTTGTGGCTGAGTCAGGCAAGCGTGCTGAGATCGACTACATATACACGCAGAAGGAAAAAAAGAGAGCAGATGTTGATTACATCTACACCCAGTAGAAGAGCATAAAGCCATTGGGGCAATCGGGGGTGAAAGGGAGTCACAATGTTGGGTGGAACGGTGCTCGATGCTCAGTTTGTTGTATGAAAATGGTTCAAAAATACAGCGTAAATTATTGATGTGGTGAACTCTGCGAGTGCTGATCTTGACGTGCACATCACATGTGCCCCGGTCTCTTTGCCTTTGATTGCGAATCGCATCTCTCCGTCCATTTCACCTTTGAGAGAGGATGTACCTTTTGCATAACCACACAACAATCATTTGGAGTTCAGTAAGCAAGATCCCAGCCATTCTCACCAGGGGAGTGAACACCTCAAAAGTGAGGGCAAATGGTAAGCTTGGCGGCATGGGTGGCAGAAAATGACACGACTCGACGCATTGTGTCTCGGACTTTTGAAAGGTCGCGTGATGCCGAAATAAGGCAGCACGGTTCCCTCTTGGAAAATGGGACGAACCCCGTTCCTGACGCATGTGGCATTACACGAGCAAAGACGATCTGCGCCGAGATGCCAGGAACAACCAATTTAGATTTGAGCTCCAGGCAGTTCCGGGGGGGGTCGCGTGCACGAACACAATAGTCGATTCATTTGCGACTCTGAGCGAGGCACTCAAGTAGATCGTCATCCTTGGCCCGTCAACGTGAATCGTGATCAATCCCAATCAGACCTTTTGTTCTTCGTCCTCTTTCCCGGAAACATGCTTCCCGATGTCGATGACAGCCGACCATGGGATTGGTATTGGCTTCCAAGGTTCAGACGCCCTTTCAAATCTGTATGGAAATTTTCCATGACAACCCCCCTCCCCCCGGCCCTTTTCCAAACCAACACCACATCCCGAGAGTAATCCCCAGGAGAATTTCGAGTTTGCTGACATGACCCACCCGAGCGAGTAGCGACCAGATATCAGCGTACCGTACTTGAATGTAACTGTTAATCAACAAGACCGTGTCGCGCCTGGGCTTCTATTCCTCGCGCCATTTGGTAGTAGTCTCTCTGGGCCACTTATATACGACAGTCATGGTGGCCTGATCTGGGCCGGTGGCGACGCTTATGCCGCCGAGGATAATCGTGGGCCACACGTCTACAACTTCTACCCCTGCGACTACTTAGACACAAAAGCAACAAGTGCAAATATTCATCTATGCATGAACCGCGGCATCCAGGATGTTGGAACCAGCCGCGGCGAGGGTCTCATACTCGGCTCAGACTATCAGGTTGTGCGAGGGGTTCACTTCAATGGAACATCACCGTCGGTTGACATTCACGAATTCACACTGCTTGATAATGGTACTGCTGCGATTATTACACAATACCGTCCTGTTCCAGCTGATCTATCTGCGTATGGTATCCCGGGTATTGGATACATCTACGACTCTGTGTTTCAAGAGCAAAGACTCTCCGATGGGGCCATTCTATTTGAGTGGAGGTCATCGGACCATATTGGCCTGGAAGAGTCCAACGTGACATTCTTTGGAGGGACAGGCCAATCCCCTTGGGACTATTTTCACATCAATTCCATCGATAAGGCTGATGATGGCTCCGGCGACTATCTTGTCTCGGCAAGACACACGTCCGCGATTTATAAGATTTCCGGCAGAGACGGATCCGTCAAATGGCGTCTAGGGGGCTCGCACTCGGATTTCGCCATCGCACCTGAGGCTTCTCTCGAGGGCGGAAAAGAAGGCCTCGGGAGGTGGTTCCACTTCCAGCATGACGCCATGACTCTGTATTCTGAAGGGGAAACCGAAGTCGTTTCACTTTTCGATAATGGACGCACCCCGCAACAAGTACTCGATTCTCCATTCAGTCGCGGTGTGGTCATGAGACTCGATACAAACAGTCGACTTGCCACGATCGAGGCTGAGTACTTTACCGAGGGCCGACCACAAAATTCAACGCTTGCAGGAAGCACGAGGGGTCTGTCCAATGGCAACACCCTTGTTGGATGGGGTAAGACGGGTTGTCTCACCGAGTACGATAGGCATATCGGGCCGGTTTTTGAAGCATGCCTGCTTGACGAAGGGCGTCCTGCTCTTTACCGCGTCCACAAGTCGGACAGATGGGTTGGTCGCCCTTCTGGAAAGCCATCGATCTTTGCGTACTCAAAGTCAAGAGAGATGACAGCTGTGTATATGAGCTGGAATGGTGCCACGGAAATACACAGCTGGAGGCTCTTTGGAAGTGAAGCCGGTAGGGCCCCTGATCTCACCTGGGAAGAAGTTCTGGTCGTGCCGAGATCCGGCTTTGAAACTCTGCTAGGGCCGCTGCCACGGTTCCTGCAATCGGTCTATGCCGAAGCTCTCGATACGCAGGGGCATGTGATTGGCGTGAGTGAGTCGATGGAGACGTTTGTCCCCTCTGAGCTTCACGACGATTGCGATGATCTCTGGTGCAATGCCATGGTCATGGTGGATGTCGAGGAGAGCGAGCAGACGGGGATACGGATTGGCCTTGGCTCTGACAAATGGCTACACTCTTCAATGCTCTTGTATATAGCGCTGTCGTTTTGCCTGGCGGCTCTCACCCTCAGATGCAGCCTGTGGCGGAGATGGCTCGGTCCTTTGTGTGCAAAGTGCTGTTGAGATTGTAAGTGATAGCTTTTGTTGCAGCCGAACCAGACTTGGAAGGCATATTACGGCGGTTGACATTACCTGTAAACATTGTAAAAGTCCCTACTTAATTAAGGTGGTAGGCAATCTTTCGCTATCCATCAGCGGCACCCTCTTTGCGAGATTCCATGTTCTCTCAGCTTCTGATAGACTGCGTGTCTTCTGCAAGCCAGAGCCACAAGTGTAGTAAAAAGAGCTTTGCTTATATTTTTATGCTATATGCCAGTGAGGGTTATCGAGCGTAGACGATACGCTAATTTAAAGCAGTTCATTCATATGCCCAGACCCGGACGACAGAGTCAGCGTACGCCCACCCAGCTTCTACAGTACGCCCACCCAGCTTCCAGCGTTGGCCCACCCAGTACAAGGAAATTAGCTGCATACGCTATAAAATATTGGTACTGCGGGGTTATTAATAAAGCATAGCTATAGCTATTCTAGAGGGGTTTTATAGCTACCCCAGAGGGGTCCCATAGCTACCCCTTTATTTGCAACTTAAAAGTTACTTTTGCCCTCTATGCCCTCTGCGCCCTCTGCGCCCTCTGCGCCCTCTGCGCCCTCTATGCCCTCTGCGCCCTCTGCGCCCTCTGCGCCCTCTACGCCCTCTGGGCGCTCTGGGGCCCTCTGGGGGCTCTGGGGGCTCTGGGCGCTCTGGGGGCTCGGGGGCGCTCTGGGCGCTCTGGGCGCTTTGGGGGCTCTGGGGCCCTCTGGGCGCTCTGGGGCCCTCTGGGGGCTCTGGGGGCTCTGGGGGCTCTGGGGGCTCTCTGGGGGCTCTGGGGGCTCTGGGGCCCTCGGGGCGCTCTGGGGGCTCAGGGGCGCTCTGGGCGCTCTGGGGGCTCTAGGCGCTCTGGGGCGCTTTAGGCTTTTTTAGGCTTGTATTTTTAAAGTATTGCTTAAATTGGAAAATAGCTACCCTGGCTTGTTAAGAACCCCGCAGTACTTGCATTTTAGTGCGGATGCAGCTAATTTTCTTTGTACTGGGTGGGCCAACGCTGGAAGCTGGGTGGGCGTACTGTAGAAGCTGGGTGGGCGTACGCTGACTCCGGACGACATTGTCTCAGAAAAAACAACCCAGCTCATGCAGCCGACAGCCACCCGGAAAGAAAGTGATAGCTCGAAACCGTAACTGACTACCACATCTGACACATTTGTTGATTATGCCACGTGCGCTTGTGGGTTGTAATAACAAGCAAACAGCGGGCCCTGGTCCTTGGGCTGGGCGGGTGCGTCCCCGCTGACAGCAACGCCGATCTCGCCCTCCTTGGCGGCGTTCTGCACGGCCAGCCTGGCCACCCTCGCCTCGAGCTGCCTCGCCTGCTTCGCCGCGAAGTACTCGACCGAGTCGTACTCGTCCGTCTCCTCCTCGTCGAGCTTGCCCGCGTCCGCCTCGCTCCGCCGGTGCTTGGCGAACCGCAGCGGCGTCGAGGAGGCCTTCATCTTGCGCACGAACGCCTCCCGCCGCGAGTGGTACCTCTCGGCGCGGGGGCTCCAGAAGTCCCGCGACATCTCGCCGAGCTCCGTCGCCCGCGCGAGGTTCAGGCCCTGCGGGGTGATGTCCGCGTTGGCCTTCCACGCCCCCGGGGCGTACCGCGGCCCGCTGGAGGAGGCGGAGCCGTTGAGGCTGGCGACGCTGGTCTTCTTCTTGAGGCTCGGCGTGCTGCTCCTGCTCCTGAGGGGGTTCCTGCTGGCGGTCCTGGAGCTCGGGCTGGTGTTGGGGCTGCCGTTGGGCGTGGACGGCGCCGACGAGCGCACCACGGCCTTGACGTGGTTCCTGATCCTCGTGTCGAGCAGGGCGCCGTAGCCCGGGAGGACGTGGTCCACGAGGCCGATGGACCGCGCGTCATACGCCGAGATGGGGGTCATGTCCCGCAGGATCCGCCTGCCGCCCGTGGGCCCGCAGCGCCCGAGGTAGCTGATGCTGTGGTACTCGGAGCCATGCAGTCCCAGGGCGCGATAGGCAGGGTTCAGGACGACATCTGCCCCAGCCACTACTGAGTCACACGCGGCAGCCAAGGCGACACCGCCGGCAGCGGCATTTCCACGGATGCCGGCAATGGTGAGGATATTGCGAGAGGGGAACTCGTGCAGAAGGTAGTATACCACGTCGTTGATGCGGTTGATGTTGTCCCAGGACTCCATGGCTGGGTCAGCTGCTGACTCGATGACGTTCAGATGGATACCGTTGCTGAAATAGCCGTTGCCGCCCATCATGACGACCGCAGACAGCGGGTGCTGGGAGGCGTGGGTGCTGAGCACGAAGCCCAAGGCCTCGGCGAGCTTGGTGCACTGGGCGGTCGACATGGCACCGTTGTAGAAGTCCGAGTACACATACGCCACGCGCGACGAGCCGATCTCGTCGACGGTCACGAAGTCTACCCAGACCTCCTGGAAGGTGCCGTGTGGGCATTTGGACCAGGCCTGCGTGGCATTCGGGCGGGAGAGCTTGGCCACGGCGTCGTCTGTCAGCAGCCCAAGCTCGCGCAGGCCAAAGACCGCGGGGACCTTGGGCCAGAGCTTGGCGTCCGTCTTCTTCTTGATACGCCGGATGTGGGTGATCCAGATGCCGTGCTGGTCCGCCGTCTTGATGCAGACAGCCTCGTCCCGGACGGCAATGATGGCACCGGGGAGAGCATTGACAGCCGAGATCCACGACCCCTCGTCGATGACTCCGCCGTAGATGTACATGCCCTGGCCAAAGACGGAGCTCTGGCAGCCGGGCTGCGAGTCGGCGCACCGCACCCTCCTGGAGATCTCCCTGGCACCGTGCGTTTTGATGTTGAAGTCTCGCTGGCCGGCCTTGAGGAGCGGGCGGTGGTGCGTGACGCCTCCCAGGAAGGGCTTCTGAAGCCCGACGGACAGCTCCTTGTACTGGGGCTTTGCCTTCAGGCCGGGGTGGATGGCACGGTACACAGGGCTGGGGCAGGCGCTTGATCCGGGCGTGAGCGGAGGCGTGATGGGGGCCGAGGTGTAGGCGGTTGCGTTGATCCTGTCCACAGCAGCGAGACATGCAGAGACGGCCGCGCGTGTGACAGGCCCACGGTACAGTCCCGACTTTGTCAGGCCCGGCTCGTCGATGTTGACGGGGAACTGCTCATATGCCCAGACGGGGCCGGCGTCGAGTTCGGCCTCGGCCTGGAGGACGGTGACGCCCCAGTAGGGCCTGCCCTTCTCACTCAGGGTGTCTTTCTTGAGCAGTTGTGCAGGATCAGACTCAGAGCCGTCGTCGCCCATGAGCACCCAGTCGAGGGAAGACGGGCCAGCGTCGCCTGGTGGGCCTGGGTGGACGATGAGGGTCAGGTATTCCTCGTATAAGTCAGTGGGCACGCGGGAGGTCAGGAACGGGCATATGATGAGGTCCGGCTTGGCCAGGCGGGCGGCTTCCCGCATGCTCTCGTCGGAGAGGGCATACTCGATGGTGACGGCATGGAGCTGTGAGAGGGCGAGGTATAGCCTCTGGGAGAGGGAGTTGTGTGCTGTGCAGATGAAGAGGATCTTCATCTTGACTGTCCTTTGCCCGAACAGGCAGACAGATGCACAGAAAGATGCACTAGGCTGGATACTGTTGCAAAAAAGGGTATCAAGTGCCAAGGAGCAGCAACAGACAGTCGGACGAGCAGAGGGCAGTGGTGAAACCAGAGAGATCCTGTCTGTCTCATATGTACGCAAGAGAATATGTACGAGAATATGTACAGCTGCTGTAGGGCAGGGTCGCACGGCGGAAGGAGGGGGGGCAGCATGTATAAATCTGCCCCGTGTGGAGCGTGGGTGCCCTCTCTCCCGGAGCCTGTGTGGGTGGTGGGTGTGGGTGTGTGTATGTGCGTGAGTCGCGACTCGCAAGCGACGACAAACCTCATCGCACCGCAATCACCCAACGCAACCCGACTCGAGCCTTGACCCCTGTGCGGGCCCTGGTGGCCCCTCCGTCCTTGCATGGCGGGCCACCTTCTTGCATCCGCGAGTCCAGCAAGGCCAGCAGGCCAGCAGGAGGAGGCGGCAGCAGGAGCCCAGGAAACGGCGCGAAGGGGAGATGCGTGGTTCGTGGGCGGGCCGGCCGTTCATGTGCGCGAGCCAGCGAGCGTCTGTGCAGACAGGACATCGAAAGTCTAACCTAACCGGCCAGCTACTACGGTGGACAAAGTCAATGTACTGTGTACTGTACGTACAAGCATCCGGGGCCATCTGGACTAGCCATGTCCCTCTCCCGAGGCCGCATGAGATCACGCATCAAAATCCTGGATCGCAACGACGGTACATACCGACCGCAGGGTTATGACAGATGGGTGGATGCTCAGCTCAGCTCAGTCCTCGGGCCTGGGCGGGAGCAGCCAACCGCGACGAGTATCACTGGCGCCATCGTGCAGCTCGCGAATCCGTCGAGATCCCATGAGGGTGTCGTGCTACCGACCAAGGCACAGCTGTGGTCGCGCAAGGCAGCAACGGTTGGCCGCAGTGAAGAGAGCGCAAGCATGCGCACGAGTGCTGAAGTTGGGCACTTTTGGACCGATGTGCGGGAAGCCCACGGAAGAGTCTGGGGGATCTTCGGATCTTCGCAAAAAGGGGCTGTTCTATTGCCTATAACAGCCTAGGTTCGGCCCTGAGGCGGCTTAGGACTGCCGTAGTGTGCCAGCAGTCCACATTACGGAGCACGGAGTATGTACAAGTAGGGGCCATCTCGCTTGCCCGCCCGCTCTGGGAAGACTTGAGCATATGCAGAGACATCCCGGGCTTCCGACCTGCATCTTCGCCGCTCATCCTGCGTCGTCCTGCGCGGTGCTGCCGCTGCCAACCAACACTCGCAGGCCGCGCTCGGGGCGCTTATACAAATGGAGACTGCCACGCTGCAAGTCGTCCTCACACGAGCCCCAATCAAGGCTGCTCCCAGCACAAGCTCGACTACTTGTACAGTCGTCATCTGCTGCCTGCGTCAGACCGACGGGGTCTCCCCGCCTCCGATGCCAGCGTGGGCTCGTATGTGGATCTTCTGGACCGCGACGTTGAGCAACAAGTCCCGCATTTCCCACGTTCTCCATCGGCGACCCAAAACCACCTCAGCCTCATCACTGGGCCCCTCGCTTGGGTCCTCTTGGGAATGCGCCGACTCGTGATCCTTCGTACTGCGTAAATTGAGCATTAGACAGAGGCATATCTGCCTCGACCCCGGCCATAACACGGGCAGTCGAGCCAATGCCAGACCCTCGATGCCCAGGCAATCCTCGCCAAGGTCCCGGGCTGAGCAAGGCCCTTTTCTTTTGTTTCCACTTGCGCAAAGATGGGGAGGCGACGGAAATAAGCGCAAGGCAAGAGCAGCAGCCCTGAGGTTCTCTGTCTGTCTGTCTGTCTGCCTGTCTGTGCCTGTTTCTCCGTCCGTCCGTCCGGTTCCTGCTCGAAGCTCGAAGCTCGAAGCTCGAAGCTCGAAGCTCTACCTCTCGACGCCCCTCCAGATCGATCTACCCGTCCCATGGTGCCCGCCCTAGACTATCTAGCCCGGACCACGGACGCCTCACTAGCGGTCACAGGGCCGCCCATAAGACCATAATAAGACGAACGATTGCTATTTGAAATGTTTGGCCCAAGGGGCCGGGAGTCTCTGTGCGCGCGGTCCGGCTTCTTGCTCGGTTGGCCGCTAGCATTCCGTCTCTTGGTCGGCAATGCCATAAGCTCGGATTTTCACCCCCGTTTATTATGAACCTTCTCCAGGAACCACAACTTCGGGTATGCCATGTGGGAGTGCTGGGAGCCAGGTGTCCAACAACCCTCTTGGTAGGCAGGCCTTTCCGACGCTGGGCGAGTCAGTGTGCACACACACACACACACACACAAGCCAATCTGCCCTGGACGGCCTGGGGGCCCTGGAAACACGTTGGCATCCGCCGCCCCCGTGTCGTTGTCGCCTCGAGGTCGCCCCTCATCTGAAGCTTGGACATCGACAGCCCACAATGCCGGGCCCACACGCGCAGCTTGATTTTCCGTGCGACGTCCCTGGGGGGGCGGATCCTGCTGGCGGTCCTTTGTCCTCCATCAGGACCGTCATCCGTTATCATGCACACGTGGATGAAGCCATACATGCATGAAGACTCGCGGAGCTGCCCTTTTCAAGCTCCCATGCCCGCCCTTGCTCTGGTCCACCTGGGGGCCTGGTCCACCTAGTGTAGATAGAGCCTGGCCCATCCGGAGCCCATCGCGTACTGCACATCACAAAAGCTAGGTGAACATGAAGAGTCCGATCGCAGGGGAGCAGATGGGCGATCCAGTCACTGGTACGGTCCGTCACTGTTACACGGTGGCAAGTGCAAGCCATTGTCCCCCGTCGTCCGATGGTTATTGGCGAATGCTACTTCGACCCGGCGTGAACAACGCACAGATGCTGCACCTCTTGTCCGTCCTTTCAGGGGCCGCCCTCTCACCGTCTGTGCATTGCATGATGTTTGTTTCCCTCGGTGCAACTCGGACAGGACTGGGGTGGTATGCGATGGCCTGCCAGTTTGCCATCATGCTTGTCAAGATCGGAGTGTAGTGCAACATTCGAGGCGACCTTGGGTGCCCGGTTACGTTTCGCGCCTGTGGCGGCAAGCCGGCTGCAGAAACCGGCCCCGCGATTAGAATTAGAATTTCCAGTTCATCTTGTTCACAAGGTTCGCGTATTCATCAAAGAGCAATTCCGCATAACAATAGTGGCCTCTGTGCAGGGAACTCGCTGTTTCTGCAGTTTTCTCACCAATCCGAGTGGGATTCCATGGGACATCGCGTGAATACTAAGCCAAATCCACAACCGCTTACATTCAAGCTGACCAATTGGTTGGCACTCCGAAGTGCGCTTCGTATATATATATTACCTATATGCAAAGAGCGCCACTGGGAACAAGTCACACTGAGGACACTTTGGGAAACATTGATTACTGCCTAGGCAGAGAGTGGCGCAGTTTTCAGCGTTTGTGAGTCTTCTGCTGTATTGTACTGACTACAAATGCATGTATACGCATGAAACTATGTACGTTGGTTGATCTTAGGTTGATCACGTCTCTTTCCGAGACGGCGCGGGTGCGCCTGCGGCCATTTCAACTTGCCGGCCCCAGCCTTTACTTCATGTTCCGGAGCAGGTACTTGACGCCCTCGTACGACTCTTGCCCGGTGGGCAGAATCTGGCTCGCCGGCAGGACGAACCCGTTGCGGCCGGTGTCACGCAGTTCCACAGTAAAGACGTAGTCGGCACCAGTCACGTCGTTGACATAGTCCACGCTCGAGCCGGTGGCCGGGTAGATGGTCGTGCAGATGGGGCCATAGGTGTACTGCGTGCCGTAGAGCGAGGCAATGGCCTTGGAGGCACCGCCAGCCAGAGACTGCAGCTCGTTGTTGTTGGTGGCAGTGGCGGAGCAGCTGTATCCATACGGCGTCATGAACAGCTGCGAGTACGAGTGCCAGTCGATGTAGAGCTTCACTCCCTGTTGGGTCTTGATCGCGTTGATCTTGTCCCTCAGGGACTTGTTCTCGGGGGCATCACCGGCCGCAAGGCCCTTGAAGTCTTCAGCACATGGGTTAGTCGAGGCACCACCAGCCACGTTCCACTGGTAGGGCCAGTTGCGGTTGATATCGTGGCCAAGGCAGCTGCTCCCCGAGGTCGTCTGCCTGTTCTTGCGCCACAAGCGATCGGTCTGCGTGTAGATGAAGCCTGTAGCGGGTCAGCAACGAATTCACTGGCAGTGAACAGCGAGCCCTGGGTGAAAAGCGTACCATCAGGGTTCACGACCGGGAAGAGGTAGAAGTCGTATTTGTCGACCCACGACTTGGTCTCGGTGTTGGTGGCATAGTCACTCAGGAGGATGTTGGCAAAGTATTCAACGGTCTTTGAGCGGTTAGTACAACGTTCCTCAAGACAAGAGATTGACAGGCAAGCTGACGTACCAAGGTGGTGATCCACTCCCGGGCGTGGACAGTGCCGTGGAAAATGACAGCGGGCTTCACATTCTTGCCTGCACTTCCGTAGATGTGGATGCCGGTGATGGCGTTCCCCTGGAGCGAGTTGCCTGAGGTGACAATTTCCGAGTTGGCAGGGTATTGCGCCTGGAGACCTCGGAGAAACGACAGGTGGTCTGCATAGTTGTGGTATGCTGTGAACCAGGTCGAGTTGATGGCGGCGGCAGCTCGGTCCAGCAGCACGTCGGTTGCGGGCTCTTGCTCGGCCGCGATGGAAGCACCAAGATCCTCGTGCATCACCTCGATGCCCTCAATTCCGGCAACCTCGTCATTGAACGCTTGCAACTTCTCAGGGGAAACGACAATGTCGGCAAAAGCTCCAGCCTTATTGGGGGCCTTCCAGGTGTCTAGCCCCAGCTTGTCAACGATCTCGGTGACCTTGGACGCGTCAAGGCCGACGGGCACACGGAAAACTTGGTACCCATCGTAGGAAACCTGCCGAGGTTGAATGTAAGGGCTGGCGGTGGCCAGTGAGAGGGCAGAAAGAAGGAGCGTGAGGGACTTCATCTTGGGCCCAGATGTCTTCAGTTGACGACTCGATTCAGACCTCTCCCAGTTGCTGTCAGTTAAGAGATGCTGGACGGCCCTGAACAATGAGGACACAGCCGGTTGAGGATGAGGCAGAGAGAGTGAGCCAAGGCCAGTCGAAGGTGTGTCGTCCAGACAAGCTTCTTTATAAAAAAGGAGGGAGGGCAGGCCTTGCTGTTTATAGATCTAGTGTATTGCAGATATTGGGCCCATCGCGCAGGTGTGTGTGCCACTGAGGGGAGGAGGTATTGGATTTGGTTGCTGATTGCCCTTGTCAAGCATGCCCAGCTGCCTCTCTTGCCCCTGGCGCACTGCCATACTGAACTCTAAGTTTATGGTTAAGTTTCCCATTGAGACCTTCCTCTTTGGGCCTCGGTCGTTTGGTTTCGGGGCATTGCAACCGCCTACTAGTATCCCGTCGTCATTTGGGCCGCCCCGGCTAATCGTCAGCAGGGATCTGAGCAGGTCCGGGGTGCAGTCCATGGCCTTGGTCAACTGCGACAGTTCCAGACGGAGCTCTTGAAAAGAACTTCAGAAGACAGTGGAGTACAGGCGCTACAACAGGTGTCTTTCACCAAGACATCTTCTTGACTCCGTTGCACTCCTGCCCCTCTATTTGTCTGTGGGTGGATGCTTGGTTCATGCTCGTCTGCTCATGTGAGATTGGAGACAGAGCTTGGCTCACGGTAGCGCTTGCCAAGAGAAACCGAGTGCCTCAACCGGCAGAAGGCTCGGCACGCGATGTGACCCCCAGCTGGGGACCTGCCGAAAGGATGAACGCCAAGCTTGAAGGCAATGCAGGGTGCTGTTCGTGATAAGAAGGTTGGGACCTTCCACGGGAAATTCTTCCAGGTGCCAGGGTGGTGTATTCATCAAGTGATATCATGATCGCCTTGTGCGCCTCTTTTCCAGAGCCAATAGGATTGTCGACATTGAGGAGTCGACCTGCCGATTCGGGCTGGTGAGGTGAATATGGCACGGTCGCACTGAGAGCACGACATGTACTTGTAGAACCTGTCTCAGTCAAACTTCCTAGGAGGGAAGGCAGACAGCTCAAGTGACATCGTGAAAAGGGATAAGAAGGAATCTCACGTCAGGCCACGGCAGACGAGGCTGCAGAGGACTTTTCTGTAGTGTAAAGCGGCGTCATGAGTTGACTCCAAGCTCAGGGCGGGGAACCAGAGACCGCCGTGCGATCAATCCACTAGGGCCGCCCTGAGGAATGGGATATTTGGGAACGGCATAAAATCAGTGCTGGTGCTATCCGGTATCTATCTTGGCCGGCTTCTCTCCATGCTGAATAAAGATTCTTTCATACACGTGAATCACCTAGACACCTGAATGTCTGCTGTCACAACTGACGCCTGGCGGACGAATTTTCTCGTCAGGGGTATTATTTTCCGTCTGTCCGACATACTTATTGCGAAGCGTATAAAGTAAATTAGCTTCTTCATGAGGAGGCGTCCGGGACTGGTGAGCCTTTGCATATCGATACCTCGTTATGTGAATCTCAAGGCTAATGTCCGACTTTTACTCTACACTAGAAAAGATCTCCGAGAAGGGCCGAGTACAACTGGAACAAATGGCGGGCTAATCGCGTTGGCCTAAGTCCAAATCCTCTTTTACCTTCCCTGTTCAGATTGGCAGAAATGCCACCTTGAAGCGAAGGTGCTGCTCCCTTCTCCCTATTCCTGCAATGTTGCGGAAAATTTGTTCCTTACCTTGAGGTGGGAACATTATGTGTGGGTTTGCCAGGGCTAACACTGGCGAGTTTTATTTGTAGTACACAAACACGTCTGTGGATAGTCTACTATTCTAGGCTATGATTATCCGGGAAGCCAGTTACTCATACCGCTTCCTATGTAACTATCTGCATCCCTCAAGTGCTAAGCATCTCGTTATAAACATCCATCGCTTGAGAGAGCACATTCCACGCATGCAGGTGGAGGTGGCAAATCTAAACATTCCTGATGCTTTAAACAGTCACTTATCTAGTGAAACAGTACTCGTCTCACTTTTGCTGGATATTTAATTTGGTTTTTCTTTTTGTGTGACCCTTCAAAGGTCGCCCGGTTGTCTCATAAAATCCAACGCTGAAGACAGCTCGCAGAAATTCCGTCCTTTTTTAACCGAGACCCATGGATGCGCTCTTGAATTTCTGGATTTCCTGAAATTCCTCAATTCAGAGCCCAGGATCAGCTGCGTCCAACGCCCGTTGGAAATATCTCAGGACATTGGCCCATGTGTCTACTGGACCCCGACATTTCCACACGTCAAGTCCCGTTACTCTGGTTTGGAGGACTGGATCAGTTGCAAACACAGTCCATGTATGCATTGCTCAACTGTACTAGACGATCAAATTCAGCTGGCTTGAGGCCACTATTCATCCAGGAGCATCGGAATGTTGCAGCTGTCCGTTGTTACTGATCTGCAATGCCACTGCATCGTGCCAGGAGACCCCACCAAGCCGGTTGCTTATCCGTAGGCCGGACCGCCGACGGCATCGGCTCTCATGATATTTGGCTTCTAACCACTTCGCACGGCATCAGATAAATCGTGGAACAGGTATCGCGTCGATATATTCTATTTCCGCGGAATTCGTCCGGCCTCAATGAGGAATCGTGCGTGCATGAGACGCGGAAACATATGCTTTAAATACAGGACGGCTGACGGGTATGTTGCCATTCTAGTAGCACCTATACAGGCTGTCTGAGACAGCATTGTGGGGACTTCAATCTAATTGCCCAATCACCTTCGGCCCTCGTTTCATTAGAGGGTTGTCTACATGCTCGTATCGTGCATTCTAGGACCCGTTTCGCTCCTTTATTCCATATTGATGAGGCGCTGTTTCTATATCAATGCGGCGATTCATAGAACGTCGTCTATTCGGCCGGTTGTAAATTAATCGTCCTGGATTAACGTTGCGTTCTTTCCATTCTTTCAGTCTTTAACTTGCTATTTTGCATTAGTCATTCGTTCACCATTTGAATCCAACTCAACCAACAGAAGCAAGATGAGATCCGCCAGCATCGCGACTGCGGTGCTTGCCGCCCTGGTAGCGGGCGCTGCAAACGCTGCAACGGTAAGCGTCTCGGGTAAAGCTGAAGGGTTCGCGTCAGGCGTGACAGGAGGAGGCGACGCAACACCTGTCTACCCTGCCGACATCGAGGAGCTCAAGACGTACCTCACATCTGACGAGCCGCAAGTCGTGGTGCTCGATAAGACCTTTGACTTCCTGAACAGCGAAGGCACCAAGACCGAGACGGGATGTGCGCCCTACACCACCGAGGCTGGGTGCCAGCAAGCCATCGATGCTATGGGAACTTGGTGCAGTTCTGATGTCCCTTCGGTTGAGGTCACATACGATGTTGCTGCTACGGAGGGAATAGAGCTGGGCTCAAACAAGACCATCATTGGTGTGGAGGACAAGGGTGTCATTATTGGCAAAGGGTTCCGAATGACTAACGGTGCATCCAACATCAGTGAGTTACTCTCTCCATTGTGGCACTACCCTCCCAAGCCAAGATCGGATTGTTAAGTCTTGGTCTTGCTGTCCCGTTCCGAAGGCATTCCCCGTGCATTGGTTACTGACTTGAGCCAACCACAGTCATCCAGAACATCAAGATCGAGAACTTGTAAATACCCCATTAATCATCGACTCCTCCAATAACAAACCCATTGTAGGTTAGCGACTGACCCACCACGCGACAGGAACCCTCAATATGTCTGGGGTGGTGATGCTCTCACATTCTCGGGCGCCGACCTGGTCTGGGTCGACCACGTCACAACGCAAGACCTGGGTCGCCAGCACTATGTTTTTGGCCAGACCCCCAGTCACCGGATTACCCTGTCCAACAACGACATCAACGGAAACACCAACTATTCCGCCGGGTGTGACACGTACCACTACTGGACCATCGAGCTGGCGGGGACGGACGACCAAATCACCTTCAAGAACAACTACGTCCGCCATACTGCCGGTCGCTCTCCAGCTCTGTCGGGCAGCACCCTCTTCCACGCGGGGATTCCCCCCTTGTGCCGAGGGTCGTCACTTGACCACGGCACTGCATCACCTCCATAGGGACAACAGCTAACCGAAAGGTGAAATATCAGGGCTGAACTCGCTCAGCAGGCGCTGTCCAAGTGCCCCGACACCAAGGTTGTCCTGTCAGGCTACAGCCAGGGCGGACAACTCGTCCACAACGCGGCCAAGCTGCTGCCGGCCAATATCGCAGAGAAAATCGCGGCTGCTGTCACATTCGGGGATCCAGGTACATAAGTTCCCCTCGCTCTTGCTCTTGCGCTTCATATTCCTGTCGTCAATCAATTAGAAGGCTTGCTGACCACGAGATCCCTCAAGATAACGGCCAGTCCTTTGCCAACATCCCCGCTGGAAACGGCAAGATCTACTGCCATCCCCTAGACAACATCTGCCAGAACGGTGTCATAATCACGGCGTTTCATTACTCGTATTCAACGCAATATGTACCTGCAGCTGCAGACTTTGTGGCGTCAAAGTTGTCATGAAACCAAGAGACTTGTGTTGTGGCGGCAGCCCCGGAGGAGGATATGAGGGCCGCGCAGAGTCTAATTAGTTTCTCTGGCTGGGGCGTGCCGTTGCGGTGAAGTGCTGAGCCCACCTGCAACTTAGAACCGAGACCGTGTTTCCCAGGGAAACCGGGTCTGAAAAATATGCAAATTACAGCCTTGATGAGAAAACAAAGAGACATTCTCATTGGCCATTGGCCTTACACTTGGCCGAAATCCGTGTGGAATGCACGCCCAACCCGATCGAGCGTAGGGATCATGAACAACGGAAACCTGGAATTTCGCCCCTATGCCAACCATCCAGTGCCCCAATAGCGCGCTTACACATTCCTCACCCTCTGCCCACAACTCTATGTTGTGGTATTTCAACTCATCACAGCGCCCCTCGCACTCCAGCCAGGCTCCAACACGGCTTGCTTCTGCCTTCCTCATTTACAGCATCAAGTCGTCTTCTTCGTTATCGTTTCCGTCGTTTCCATCAGATCGTCGTCTGGCAGTCCTCCGCATCTTTGCGCACAGCGCCTCCGAGTCGGAGCGCGCCCGCCTTTGTTTGATGCTCCGATGGGACCCCATGCCGTCCGTGACAGCCCTTCTCGCGGGCGTCAGAGGGAAATGGTGACTGGGCTCAAGGAAAGAGAACCCTAGGCCATGCGACCAGAGGTACCTCAGCCCCAGCCAAGCATCTCGAGCGTGCTCTTTGTCTCGAGGCCGCTCAGTCCCGCAACCCCCAAGGCCCGGACCTGAGTGCCGCGCCTCAGGCGCTGCAGTCCCACGGCGACCTTCCAGCCGTCCTCCTCGCCGATGACAAACATATATCTCTTGCCCTCCTGGTCTCGGATCGTCGCTCGGAGGAGATGGAGCCCCTTGGCCTTCCAGTCCCCAGTCTGTGCCGTGCTGTTAGTCACGCGGGTCGAGCCGGACGTAACGCTGGAGGCGTCGTCGTTGTAACCCGAAGAGCCGGGCAGATTCGAAGCAGCAAACTTGGACGCGCAGTCGCCTAGGCGGCAGGAGTCCTTGCACGAGCGCAGCACGTCGGCGAGGTAGGCATCCGCCTCGTCGCCCGACAGCGACTTTGGCGAGCCCCTCTCCGCAGCACGGAGCCTGGCCCCTCCTCCCACCACCTTGGCAAAGAAAGCAGTACTGATGTGATTCGCACTCAAAGCAGGATTGGACGAGGATTTCGAACCGGTCGGGGATGGAGAATTCGCAGCAATCGCACCAGTCAAAAAGTGCACGGGACACCATACCTCTACCATCTTGAGGGTCCACGCCTTGACGTCCCACTCACGCTGGGCAACGCCGCGGATGTCGTCGTCGATGAACAGGCCCTCTGTAGTTATCCGGAGGATGAGGCCATCCGTCACGGTGCCGACCCCAGAGACGAGCTGCGAGGCCGGAGTCTTGGCGAACTGATTCATGAAGCAGTAGACCGCCTTGATGACGATCTTGTCAGGGTCCTTGGTTGAGTAGGGACCGCGGACAGACGGCGGCGGCGACGTACGCGCCGTCGACTGGGACGGAGCCCACGAAGACTCGGACATGTCGGACTTGGACGCGCGGCGGGCCGGGCGATTCGGCTGGTCGTAAGGCCGGTAGGAGTAGGCGTCGGAGTCGTCGCCGACAAAGGTTTTTGCTGTTGGGGGAGGGGGTTTTTTAGTAGGGGATGATGGCGTGGGTGGTTTGCCGTTGGGCCAGGGGCTCGTCTTCTCGCCAACGCCCGAGTAGGCATAGGACGATGTGCTGCGAGCCTGGCTGCCCGCCTCCTCCCTCCGCCTCCTGTCCTCTTCGAGCTTCTTTCGCCGCTCTTCCCGCTCCCTTGCGAGGCGCTCTCTGAGCTCCTTCTCACGAGCCTCCCTCTGCTCCTTCTCCCTGCGGTCCTTGTCTTCCTTCTCCTTGGCCTCCTTGTCTCTTGCCGCCTGCTCCTGGGCTAGCTTGTCTTTGGCATCCTGTTCTCGACGCTGCCTCTCTGCCTCTCGTTGCGCTCGCTCTCGTGCTTCCTTCTCCCTAAGCTCCTTCAGCCTCTGAGCGGCTTCGGCGCGGCGCTTCTCCTCGGCCTCCTTGGCCTTGCGCTCCTCCTCCTTGCGGCGGACCTCGTCCCTCGCCTTCTGCCATGAATTCTTGGGTGTCTCTGCCTGTGGTTTAGTTGAGTCGGGTTGAGGGGGTGGTTGGGGCGGTCGCTGATACGAGCCATTGGACTGTTTCGCACTGGGTTTCGACCCACCTGGTGGAGGCGGGGGGGAGTGGGCATCCGGATGTGGGCCGGTGCCGGGGGGAGACCCGTGATGAGTGCTGTGGGGGCTGGATCCAGCACTACTGAAGCCACCACCACCGGGCATCGAAGATCCACCGGAATAGAAACCCCCTCCCCCTCCCGCTCCGTCGCGTCCGGTGCCGTCCGTGGACTGCCGGCCGAGAGACCATGCTCCGAGGCCGACTGCTATGACAAGCAGGAGCATGCCGGCGTTGCCCATCCCCTGGAAGTTGGCCCACCATGCCTGGAAGGCAGGTGCCATGCTCTGGCCGAGGACGACCATGATGAGGGCCGAGGCGAAGCCGGCGATGAAGCTATTTGTGTTTGTGCGCAGCGAGGGCAGGTAGAGGAAGCCGGAGCCGGCCGAGTGCTCGGGTATGATGAAGACATCGTACTTGCCGGGCGGCAGGCCCGATCCAGAACCAGAAGTCGTCTTTGGCGACTCACCGTGAGGCGGCGGCGGCGGAGGCGGCGGCGGGCCGCTCATCTTGTGGAACAGGTCGTGGATGGACTGAAGGGTATCGCGGAACGGTGAGGCAAGACGAACAACGTGGGCCCGGGCACGAAGCCTGGGAAAGCAAGAGCGCTATGTTTGTGGTCGGAATCAAAGTCTAGTGGTATCTCGAAGAAGCCATTGGAAAGCAGACGCTCGAGTCGCTCAGACGTGCACTGGTTGCGGAAGATAGCGGTCAGCATCCATCCAAACACCTGTTCGCAGCAAATGGTTTCGCATGCAATGGAAAAAAGGCCACCAGCTCGAGGTTCACGGAAGGAAGAAAAAGAATGCGGCTGGGCAGGTGGTGGGCGCAAATGCAGTGGTTCTGACTCACCAGAAAGAAGAGATGTGAAGCAAGCACAAACAAACGCCGGCCTATGCAGAAGTCTGAGGAAGAAGACCCTTGGAATGGTTTTTCGAGGAACCGACCAGGAGGGGGCAGTCCCTGCTCGGTACAGACAGGTCGGGCAGGGCAGTCAGGCAGGCAAGCAGAAGCTAGAGGCTGCTGCTCAAGAAGTGAGGTTGGGATGGACCATGTAAGGCGCCAGGTGGTGGTGGTGCCCTTGGGTCGAGTTCGAGGACAACAAGGTCGAGGATGACAAGGTCAGGCGAAGCTCAAGTGGGCGGTCGAGTTTGGATGGCAGGTAATCCGTAGATGGCGGGTGGACAGGAACGGGGAGGACCCTGTGGGGAGCTGGGAGCTGGCAGGGGCGGGGATCGAGCGAGCAGTCCCTCGGGAGACAGACCAGGCTGCAGGCGTTGTATGGACCGTACGACTGCAATAGTAGTCTAGTCCGCCCCAGCACGAGATTGATGCTTGCTGTGATCTTATTTATTGATTATCCCAGGCCCGTTTGTCGTTTGTGGTGTGGTGTCATGTCCAATTACATTGACGGGCCGGGCGTGTGTGTTTACTTGGGGGGACCAAAAGCTTTCGTGGAGGGTGGGGGAGAAAATCAACAGGGGGGTTCCCGGATCGCCTGGGCCGTCCTGGCCACCTGCACTTTTGCTAGGGCCTTTTTTTACGGTATATGTCAATCTCTTGCCTATCTTATTATTATGCGTGTTTGTTTGTGCTGCTTCCTGGTGTCAGTATTATCTTCTCTTCTTCTTTTCTGTCTCTCTGAAGCGTCTTCTAAAGTCATAGAAGCCGTTGTGATGGTATTTATCGCACCGTAATGATCATCAGGCGGGAGCTGCTTTTTTCTTCAGCACTTGAGAACAGACACGACACAAAGACCACAAGTAGACTAGCCCGAGCTTGTCCCCAGCCTTCTCTTTTGCTGGTTGCCGCCAATCACTGCGCAGTCGATGGGACGGATAAATCCATTTGCTGAACCACATCTGCTCCAGTCTCCTGCTTCTAAGCCATGCTGCCCACAGGACCGTCTCCTGTCTCCACTGTGACAGGCTGCATGCTGCAGCCTGTAGTCTAATCTACAGTATTACCTACCTACCTGGTAAGAAGTATACGTGTACCGAGGCACAGTCTTTCCAAAATCCAATCTCGCGTGGGGTTGCAACCGCAACCGCAGGCCGACTTGTCATATCAGCCACGGCCTGCAGGCCTACCTGTCACCTACCTACGAGCGTTATCTGTCAAAGACCCAAGGCTCGTCAAAGGCAGAGGGCGCATCGTACTCCTGACTGCAGCAGCCAGACGGCCTAATACGGCCATTGGGCGTCAATTGACCTTGGGTGGTCATGCAGGTCTACGCCAGTCCAGTCCAATCAGGTGGGCAAGACAGTAACAACACTGCAACACCACTACGATTTCTACATTATTTGTATAACAGATGAGGGGGGGGGGGAACCCACCAAGCACGGCGCAGCACACCATCATCTCAGGCAAGCAAAGTGCCCGTCACCTGCAGATATCTGCTGCGTTCCCGCCGTCTCTTGCCACAGTAGCGCGAACCGTTGACGGAGCAACACCGTCGCACAAACCACGGCTGGTACCTTCCGACGGTTTGTCCCATCCAGGATCATCCCCTGACCAATCGCTTAGCTGCTATGACGTACGGACGTATTTGCAGGTACGGTACGTACCTGTCATGCAGCCGCCGCCTGTGAAGGCAGCATCACACCGGCCAGCTCGACTTCTGAACTGCCTGGCTTGAAATGATATCTATTTTCTGAAATCTGGTCCTAATCCTTTGTTCTTCACTGCGCGTCCTGACGACCCAACTAGGACGGCAGAGGAGAGTGGAATGGCGGTCTTCGTCTTGGCGACAGACCGTTGCTCCTGTTACATCCCGCCCTGTGGTGTCTGGACGGTAGTCCACCCAGGCGCGTGCATATTACATGTGAACGTACTGTGACGGTGGTAGCAGCCGTTGGGGGGATGCCATGCCTTTGGCGGGAGGCGGCAAGCGAACAAGGCTGCATGCAGGCTTTGACTGATCAACCTGGCCCGCCTGCGTTGTGTCTCATCATCTGCATGGCATAGCATCGCATCGCATCGCGCCGACGAACTCTCCGCACAGACATATTCTTATCTGTCCCGTCCTCACCCTTGGAGAAAGCAGAGAGGGACGGAGCGGTACATCAACATCACAGGATTGTAAATTATGTAAATGGGGACATGAAGGAGGGAGCAGTAGTGCAGTAGAGGCAGCAGATCAGTGCAACCATTTGGCTTCCCACAGGAGACATCACGGACTATCCCCTATGGAAAACAATCTTCAATCCAGATGCCAATTGCTTGGTAGACTATGCAGTATACTATTATCACTGAGAGAATCCGCTCAACTGCTCCTTGACGAGCCTAAAACCTAAAGCAGCTCGCCCAGACTCCGTACTCCTGGCCCGTCCACCGTCATTGCCATTATTGTCATGATTTGCTTTGCTACAGCCACGGTCATCGGACCGGGAGACAACCCCCCCCCCCAATCTGCATGCACACGGACACGACCTCCAATCGCCGCGGCGGCTCACTTGCCCAGCTTCCGCGCCTTGCTGTTCGCCACCTTCATCTTGGCCTCGAGGCGGTCCGCGTCTTTATCCATCTGGTCCAGCATCTCGTTCTGCACCTCGACCTCGCCCTTGATCGCGAGCCCCATCTCCTTCTGCCGCCGGATAATCTTGGCCAGCTCCTCCACATCCTGGTCCTGCTCCTGCATCTGCTGCCGCTGGAGCTGCACCACCCCGACGTTTTCCAGCTCCCTAGTTCTCTCCGTCTCCGGCAGCGGCGCCCCCAGCACCCTGCCGCCCATCCTCGCCCTCGACGACGACTCGCCCGCGCCCGAGAGCAGCGTAGCCTTGTCGCCAGAGCTGGGCGCGCCTTCCCTGGCGCCCCTAGCCGAGGCGAGGCTGGAGCTCAGCTTCTCGAGGCCGTCCCTCTCGGCGCGCGCGGCGGCCAGCAGGTCCCTCCTGCGCCTCATCTCGCCCTCGCCCAGCTTCTTGGCCTCGCCCATGGCCTTCAGCCCGCCCTCGAGCGCGGTCAACAGGCTGCCTGCCCTCACCAGGGCCCTCTTGGCCGACGCGCCGGCCTCCACCGCTGCCGTCGAGCCTTGCTTCGACCCGGCGCCGGATCCGGCTCCCGAGTCGTTGGCGGCGTCCCTGCGGGCGAGTTGTAGCCTCGCCTCGTGCAGGTGGCCCTTCATCTCGCGGTGTAGGTCGGTCCACGTCGTGGGGTCGTTGGCGGCGGCGGCATTGGCCCCGTGCAGGTTAATGGCCGGCACCCGCCCCTCGACGCCGATGCCGCTGGAGCTGGCAGCGCTGCCGCCGCCCGTGGACGGCAGGTTCAGGAACTGCCTCCAGGCCTGTGTGTCACGCCATCGGCGGTCTGGTGATTCTGCGATGGCGCGGAGGTATGTTTCCAACCCGCGGCGGCGGTCCTCGGTGAGCTCGGGCGAGGAGAGGGTCGACTTGAACCAGTGCTTTCCGGGCAGCGGTTGGGGCGGGGCGGCGCCGGCCGTCCTGACGAGCTCGTCGTGTAGTGTTGCGAACTCCGAGTAACGCTTTTGCACGACAAACGAGCGCAGGGGCAGGCGCAGGGTGATGTTGTATTGTGTGAAGGGCTTTGAGTCGGGGGGAGAGTTGACCGAGGTGGTTGGGATGGAGATCTCGACGGGTGGTGCCATAATCGTGTATCGAGGCAGACGGTGGTTCGACGGAAGTAAAGGTGCTCGAGGTTGTTCTTCGAGGGGAAACGTGATGGCGCCTATGCCTCTCTTCTGTATGTCGGTTCACAGGTTGTCTGTCGGTGCAGTCTTGCCGTGACGCTTTGGAAGCTTTGGGTGCCCAGACGGCAGTGGCAACGACTAGACTGCCTATCCCGGTCAGCGAGCACGCGGCAGTGATCAGCCAGCAATCTGCATGCGCAGACCCCTTTTAAAGAGTTCGAGAGGAATGAAGGTCAATAGATGCCAAGGTGGCAGCAGCAGCAGCAATAGTAGCAGCAGCAACGGGTCGTTTGCTGGGCGAGGCGTTGAATGGAGAAACGCTGGCGCGTGCTGCTGCTGGCCAGCAATGGCCGGCCCTCTTCGTCGGGCTGCAAGGGCGCTGCAGGGTTGGAGAGAAGAGTCGCAGAGAGCTGGAGCTTGTCATGCGCTGTCGATTGCAGCCGCCTTCTCCACAATGACCGTGAGGCCCGCATTTTGGGGGAGCACAATCACCTGCCAACGCAACAAATGGAGCTGACCAGTCGGTCCAGTCAGTCCACTCAGTTGATGTCCCCAGATTTCTTTTCCGGATAATCCGTGTAAGCAACAACACAACACCAACAAGACCCCAACGAAGTGCTGCAGGCCGAGATACCAGGGCAACGACGGCCCGATTACAGCAGACCTGCTGGCTTGTCTTTGAAAATTCCTGTGCAGTAACTCCGTAGCATCTGGGACCAGGTCACGTCGCCACCCAAAAAGACGTCAAGGGAAAGGGGCAGAGTGCAGAGTGCAGACTGTAATGATTTGCGCCACATTGTGCGCTGGTCGTGATAGCCACAGCATCACCCCGTCGCACGCACAAGGAGAAGATCTGAAGCAGGACAGCAAGGCACACACATCAGGAAGAAAGCAAATAGGAACCAAGGAGCTCTGTTCTCTCGTCTATCACGGTGAAGCTTCTCAGTATGCTCCCAGTCAAGAGGGCCCAGGTCTACATGCCGGTCCGTCACTGGCAGCTGCCACCCATGGTGAGGTTGAAGAGGCAGCCCTCACAAGCCGCCATGCTTGCCGCGCCCCCTGAGCACATTACATCTTCCACCCTCTAAACCCAAGGCGTCTCAACAGTCCCATGTGTTATAGTCGCTGTCAACCACGTTGGGCCCTTCAAAACGTCTCCTGGTCCTCGCCCTCGCCCTCGGGGATCTCGAAGCCCTCTTCTGTCGAGTACAGGATCGTCTGGATGTTCTTGATCAGGCCGCCCTCCTCCTTGTCCAGCTCCGGGTCTTCCTCACACGCCTGCTGGACGAGAAGCTCTATGTCCCTCAGCTTCGAGAAGTAGAAGTCGCGCTCGCGCTCGAGGCCCACCACCGTCTCCTTGAGCTGCGTGTTCTGCAGCGCCGCCGACGCCGGGGCCGCCTTGGCTCCGAGACGAGGTCCGCCCCGACGGGGTGGTGCCTCCGGCCGCTCGTCGCGCACCCCCGGCCGCCGCGGCCCGAGGTGCCCCGCCTGCTGCGCCGGCTGACATGCCCTGGCCCTTGCGTCGGGCGACGGCATCGTAGTCACCGCCCGGGTAGTATTGGTCCCAGAACCGCTTCGTCCATTGCAGGAACTCGAGGTTGTCCTGCATCTTGCACTTCACGAGGGCCTCGACGGGGACCGACTTGTCGACCTGATGCTTGGCGAACGAGTCTGGACAGAGCGGAGTGATGTCAGCAGGAGGGCACTAAGCTGTTCCAGGGCCGAGGCAGGAGTGGCACCACTGGGGACTTGTACTAACTCTGCAAAATCTTGAAGTTCTGAATGTAGGCGTACTCGGTGTTGACGTTGAACTTGACGCGAGCCATGGGGAGATCGCCGAAGATGCTGTCGAAGACCTGGCAAAGAGCAGCACTGGGGCAAGAAACCACCGGTTAGCTATGGGCGGTGTCCCGTACGTGTCGACATGCGGCGCAGAGATGCGCCGGCGACCAGCACGCATGAAGGCCTGGGAAAGGGTGGGGTTGCTGCCCGTGTCCCATGGTGTACGCACCCAGTACCACATTGCTCAACCTTGGTCATGTTGAGTTGGAGGAGGCTGTTGAGCCATGCGATGAGTTCTTGGCTGCGAAATTGCGAAGATCGTCAGCGTCCATGTCCACGTCCACGGCGCAAAGGAGGCAACACGCCACCGCACTGGCGGTCGCGTGCCGAGGGGGAGGAGGAGAAGCCATTTGTGCTAACCGTGATTCACCCATTTTGTTTGTGGTGCACTTGAAGGTCTAGAAGCGGGAGTCGGTCGGTGGCGTGGTCGTCTCGAGGCTGTCGCGAGTAGCGACGCGGCGTGACGATCGGAATGACGTGTGGGTATCTCGAAGAACGGCGGGGGGAGGAGGGGGAGCAGAAACAAAAGAGAGCAGGCTGTTTGGACCAGGCACACAACAAATCAAAAGTCTAGATAGGCTGCAACAGACGGGGGTGCGTGTGTGTGTGAGGGTGGTTCTTGGTCGAGGCAGAAGCAGAAGCAGAAGCAGAGGCTGAAGCTGGACCTGGGGAAACGAGAACAAGACCGGCGACGCCGCCGTGGATCTGGATACGGCAAGAAAACGCAATCTGAAAACCAGCCGGCGGTCGCCCAATCAACGCCAGCAAAACAACACAGAAGGGGACTTTTTGGGGGCTCGGAGGGGAGCGGGCCAAACAGGGTTCTGAGAATCGGATCCCAAGTGTGGGGCCTGCCACGCTGCCAGGCTGCCCAAGGGATTCCAGAAGAAGGTCATGGTGCTCAAGCTTGGGCAGCAGCCTGGCCTCAGCACCTGCCCCTCGCCCCCCGTCCACCCCCAATCGGATGCACCTGGCAAATGAAAAGCCCAAAGCTTTATCACCTCACCTCCCCAGCAACAAACCATGTACGTGCATATCTCGATTAATTGCATTGCATTTCTATAAATACGAACCAAAGCAAATATTTGAAAAAGCTTCCTCGTCCTTCGCCTGTGCTAATACAAGTCCAATTATCTCGTCTACATGTTCTTGAGCACATCTTCAAGGATCTCGTTGCCAGTCTCAGCAGGGTGGACAAGTCGGAGAAAGACAACGGCACAGAGAAAAAAAGGAGAAAAGAGGGGGGGGGGGCACCAAACCACAGGCCGTGTCATCACCCAGTATGTTCCCACAATACCTGTCATTAACTGCTTGTTGCAGAAAAATGTAGAAGCCTGACCCAATCAAAGAAGCCCAATTAAAGAAGTAGGTAGTTTAGTTGACCATATGTTTATCACTGAATGAAGGGACTGGATGCATACTGCTTAAGAAGCATATGTGCACAGATTAAAAACGAGACCACTTAGTTGACCATATCCTCCCACTGTAGATCTAAGAGATATCTTACATATTTCTGTTGGATTGAAAATAAGGGTACTGCCGCAACACCATTTCAGTGTGCTCCTGTTCTCAATCCCTCAGCCTCTACCTAGGTATGTTGACCGTCTGGGAGAATATTCGTCCCTCGAGTTGACCTGCCTCTGAGTCTGGAATAGTTGTGAGGTCAAAGTTTGACTGTGATCACGGTGAGAGGGCGTGAACCTAAGATGAGCTCTCCTGAGTGAGGATCATAAAGACACCCTGTATCGGGACATGCCAGCAGCCTGGATCCTGAGACTATTTGACCAGGCTACAGGCTAGCATGCCAGCAGCCCGGATCCTGCAACCATTCAACCAGACTACAGGCTAGACAACCAAGTTGAGGATTGAGTCAGCCTATATGTGTTACTCACAATGATTTTAATACCTGTGATGCGGTGTGCGCTGCCGCTTTCGTGATTGGCTATGTTGGCCGTGCTGTATTGGCAGCCTTGTAGGTTTGAAGAGGTACCTAGTAGGCAAGCCATGTAGTACTTTTCCTAACTACTAAATAGTAATTAGGTAGTTATATATATTATAGCCTTTGACTAAGGAGGCAGCGCTGCAATAGTAAGCTGGGCGTTTTAATAAGTGCTAAAATTATCTTGCCTTATAACGCCCCTTTCTTAGTTTAGTTTATATTATTATACTAGGATTATACTTAAGGTTTATATAATTTCTTAAGGTTCTTAATATAATAAAAAGAGGATAATATATATAATTACTTCTTACCATTAACTTAATATTTAAAATAGCTATAATATTTAAAAGTAAGTAATGTAATATTAATATATAATGTTTATATAAGTAGCTAGATTTATATAATAATTAATATTAAAAAAGGTTATTATAAGTAGTTAAAGGTTAAGATTAATTAAATAATGGTAAATATTAATTAATATTTATATATAATTAGTTTTAGCAAGGAGAGTAATAATTTATTAAGAGGCGGCCTTTGCAATAAGCGTAATTAATTTTAATAGGGGCTAAGCGGGCCTTTGCAAGGGTATAATTAATTCCTTACCTCCTATCCTTCTCTAAGGTTAATATACTTATAGCTATATAACTTATAAATATATATTGCCTAATATGCTTATATTTAATGCTTGCTTACCTAGCTTTAGCATATAGCTTTATAATATAAGATAAGCAGCTTATATAAACTATTAATTGCCATGATGCTATATCTTATTTAGCAATGTTAACAAAATAAAAGAATATATTTCTGCTAAAATATATTACTTTTTGCGCCTTTTAAACCTATCGTCGTTAGGTACGCACATTGCCTCTCTTTCTCACACTGGAGCTTACCATTTCGGAATTCCATCCCCATACTAGGGCCTGCTAGGGTCCCACGGCAGCTACACCAAGTCATAATGTTGATCACAAGCTTCCCACACTGGAACACATCCTGCCCTGGTGTCACGGAAGTACTTTATCCTCGCAGCGAATTCAGTACCACTGTAAGTGATTAAGGACTGGTTGGCTTTGATGCAATAACATTGGTCAGTAAACCTCGGGCTGACTTGGACAGCTAGTAGCTAGCGAAACACTTCCTGGCGTTGCTTAGCCCAACCCTGTTATGCGATGTCATCAGTATCCTTCGCGCCGTCCGTCCTGCCTTGCACCTGGCGAGCCCGATATTAAGCATTTACCGGCAAAGCGTCAAGTTCTTCCTTCGTTCCGTGAACGTTGTTTTGATGCAGCTGTCGAGCTGACCATATGTTGAAAGTCTGTTCACATAGACCACATTGAATCGGGGCCTAATTCTGATAAGTTAGCCAGCGCTGTTTTAAGTAGGTCCACCAGATGATATGTAAAGAATGGTTGACACAATACCTGATCACGTTCTAGGAGCTCTGGTGGAGTTGGACCTGCCCGGGCCTCCGTGATGACGACAAAAAGACCCACCAAGCCTTCGTCATTCTCCTCTGAACTCGAGCTGTACTTGAGCACATCCTGCCTCAGCTCTTCAAACCCTTGGGGCATCTGCTCTGAAGGGTCTTGAGGGGTTATGTGGCGCTGGGCGTAAACTTGTGCGTAGCTGTAGGCTACATAAGCCCAGGAGGAGGGGTCGTGGCCCTCAACAGACGGCATCACGAGCAGGACAGTGGCGGGACTGCTGCTCTTCCCGGCGACCGCTTCTATCTGTGCACGCAGAACCTCCGAGATCTCATCGGTAGCGTTTCCGTTGTCATCGTACTTGTAGATTGGTGGGATGGTACCGGAGTTTGTTCCGTGGGGCTTGCCATGGGCGATCAGGAACTTGTCGAGCGTCGAAGTGCGGATCTTGAAGCCGCGGAGGGCGGTGACCAAATTTGGGCCGGCCATGACGGTGTCAGTGTTTAGACTCTAGAGTATTTCGGGAGAAAAATCGTAGTTGAGTAAAACATTGGGACAAGTTCAGCTGATGTCGGGTGATTGGCACAGTATATAATAAGTGAATGGCAGATTGGGTACATGATGGGGGCGGACTGACGTGTGGGCCTTGGCTGTCTGTAGGCATGGCAGGCAGCAGTAACCACCGCTCTACGTCGACAACAATCGTGTCATACACACCAACCAAGCCGTGTCGCTGGACTGTATGACTTGGACGGCTCAAGGTGCGCTTCGACACCAGAGAGACCTTGATTTCTTGGAGACTTGCATCCAGTCAATATACAATACCGCTGCGGCTGGGCAACTTCCGGGACAAAATGACCCTAGCTTTGAGTGAGCTTAGCAACAGACTCGCGAGTCTCGAGCTGCTGGTGGAAGATGATGCTGTTGACTTGTAGCTGGAATCGCATTTATAGTGGCGAGAAGCACGGTTTTATAGAAAATGAAGGCTAGATAATATAAATGATAAGCAGGACTTATCGCTTCTAGACTGACCTTGTCTTTGTTTAATTCAGCGGAGCGGGAAGTGGCCCGAGCTTGCGAGGGACGCGGCCCGCGGAGCGTTCTTAAACCAGTTGAATAAAGCCGAAGTTATCTTTACGTGGATTGGTCGGTTCAGAATCCTCGAGCGTGGATTGTCTGAAGATAATGTACCTTAAAGTATTTAGACGAGATGATAAAGGTGAGGTTTAGGGGTTGTTAAGCGTTGAAGAAGGAGGTATTATGGCTAGGGTAGGAGGTATCGTAGCTGCTGGGGCCGGGGCAGGTGCTCAGGACGCTGCTGGTTACGACCCGCTCCGCTGATCCCTGGGACGGCTTGAGGGCTCCTATATATTTTATCTGAGTGCTAAGAATAGGTAACTTATTTAGTAGGTTAACAAGCTGTTACTTCTATAATATAGGGACTGATACTTAAAAATACCTCTTTACACCCTCTACTATCTAGTAGCTTGACTGCTATAAGTTACCTTATTTTACTGTGCCTAAATCATAAATAGGGTATAAAATGAGTGGTGTGAAGGTACTTTAGGCCTGTTAATGCGGCCATTTCTGGGTACCTTTTTCTTCAGTGGCTTGCCCATGGGAAAATGCACCTAAAACTTGCTCACAACTCTTAAAATTGTAATTAAGTTGTGTCACTCTTATACGCAAAGCTATATCTAATAATCGCTTACCGTTTCCTGGTGCAGCTGTTTTGACTTGTCAATTTTATTTGTTCATCCCAAGCTTGACTTCGCAAGGTCATACTGGCTAAGCGTTTAAGATACCTTGTGGCCGTATACCTCCAACTCCTAGATTTCCGGCAACCTGGCGAGAAAATGTCAGGGATTAAGGACAGGCCTCGGGATCTACAGGGAAAAGGTACCAGCACTTATCCGCCACGGAAACCTGCGCAGCTTTTCCGACGCTCAGGAGCGTCGCGGGCGACGCTTCTTCTATATAAGGGAGAAGGAGGACAGAAAAGGAATAAGGAGGAAGGACTCAAGTTCAGTTGTATCTACCAATTTACTACGTCTGCGCTGCTTCCACGCCGCTCACGCTTCCCACGCCCTAGTCACTCTGCTTGTATTCAACCACCCTTACAGAAGATCTCAGCGACTAACCGAAATAACCATGTTTCCTCTTCTTCAGTTAGTTCCTGAAAGGTCCTCGAGAAATAGTCATTATAGGCTCGTGGAGGTTACTAACGGCATGAAATATTTCTGAAATGAACACTCCCTCTTCAAGCTCTGGGCTATCAGGATCCCCGGCCCAGCAGAAAATCTTGGATCCTGGAAGCTTGTGACCGCCATCAGCCTCAATCTCGCAGCTACAAAGCTTGTATGCTGCCGTCTCATATTCCTGCAGACGGATAAGTTGTGAGTTCTCGTCGACGTGCCACACAGTTCCCGCCACCGTATCAAGCACGCCTAAGCCTGGGATAACCGCTGGGAATATACCCCATATCTTGATTTGCAACCCTCTGACGATGCCTTTCTAGGTTATTGGAGTATTATCAAGGTTCACCACGGTTTGCAGTACCTTTGAGGACATGAGAGAGCCGTACAAGAAAATGTGGCAAGATTTAAAAGGCTTGTCTGTTTCTGGGATTTCTCGCGCAAAGTGTTAGCTTAGTCAACCGCAGCGAACTTGGCAGCATTAATGCGAATTTGAGCCACTCGCCTGCCAACGCGGCCCTGCGATTGGCGAACAGACTATCAACGAACAGCCCACTCAAAGTCAGAACAAGCAAATTCAAGAGTCTTTCCAACACAACTGCAAGCACCTGCTACGTCCTGTGAAACGAATCGATCTTGTAATACTCTCAACAATATTATCGAAAGCCGGCGTACGGGCACCCCGGCCGCCCTTCCTACACAATACAACACAACCACCCCAAACGACTATGTATGCACATGAAGTCCAACCAACAGGTTCTTCTACAGGTTTTAATTCCATAGAATTTTGTCCTCGAGGAAGGCTTTCCTAGAAGGGGTTATTAGAAAGGAGCTTGAGTAGTGAAAACCGGTCAGTTCGATTATAGACGCACATAAATCCTGTGGTTAATACGCAGTTAATTGTAGACAAAACTCTTACTGAGTAATTATATAAATGTCTCTCTACATTCTAAGCATATAATATGTAGGCCTTGTGCGTGCAGAGTGTTATTCTCAGAAATACCATTCTCTATACACCCTTTAACCCCTTTTCCAGAACATCTTCCACTCATAGCCCTCACCAGTCCTACTCTCACCATTCCTACCCTTAAGGTTGAGATCCCCCAGGCGCTGAGGGACTACTGGTAGTCTTACTAAGCGTAGCTGGGAGTGACCCGAGTTTATGAGGGGTGCTCACAGCTGTGCTTTCCCTTAGTTGGACAATTCTGCAGAAAAGTTTCTCGTACGTGGATTAGTCAGCTGGCTTAGCGCGGATACACCCCTGCAAGTAAGTCTTAATAACCGTGCGCACTACCAGAAGCGCTGCCCTCACTAGAAGCGCTGCCCTTAACCGAGTCAGCGTACGCCCACCCAGCTTCCACAGGATGCCCACCCAGCTTCCAGCGTTGGCCCACCTAGTACTTCCTTTTCTTAGTATTATATTAATAAGACTAGGTATTTTTTTAAGTTTACCCTATATATAAAAAGCTAGGGTAGCTATTTTTTAATTTAAGCAATACTTTAAAAATATAAGCCTAAAAAGCCTAAAGGGCCCTAGAGCGCCTAGAGGGCCCCAGAGCGCCTAGAGCGCCCAGAGTGTAAGGAAGGAGCACCGCACAGACCCCTTATGGGCATTAATAAGTAGTTGTAGGATGGTCCGTGCTTCCACTAGGTAGATAAACTCCTTCTTTAAGATAAGTAGTTAGCTTAAACTTAGAAAATATAACTATGCTCTTAATGATTAAAGATTACTTTAAAAGAAATAATCCTTTATTTAAGTAATTACTTAATTTATTTTATAATAATAAGATTGGGATTAAATTATAAAAAAGCATATTAATTATAAAGGATTATAATATTAGGATTATATAGTTTTCCCTTAAGTATTTAAGTTAATGTTGCAAACCATTAATATTATATTCTAAATAAAGAGCTAAGGAACCTAAATTACAAACTGCTTATATTTAACTTTACGCGTTATTAAATTTAGTAAGGAAACTTATTAAATATATTTAATTATATTACTTTAAGATAAAATATTGCTTTTTTAAAATTAAAAAGGTTAATGCTAATTATATTAATATTTATTTTAAGATGAATAATCTTATTTCTTAAAATCTAAGCCTTTTATTTACTTTAATAGGAGGTATCTTTTTGGGCTAAGGGCTAATAAATTAAGATTACTTATATATTTTTTAGGATTAAAAGTTGCTAAAAGGCGGCTAAAATAAAAGTAGCGTTTTAAAAGGAAGCTTAACCTTTTAAAGAAGAGCCTAACTTTAAGATAAACCTTAAAATAAGAGGAATAAGGATTATTAAAAAGGAACTTAAATTAATTACTTAAGAAAGCATAATTAAATAGCTTAATTTTAATTATTATATTAATAATATAATAAGCCTATTTACCTTATTCTTTTTTTAAAGTATAGCATTACTTAATTATTAATATGGGAGCATTTTTAAGTTATTCTTATTTATTATTATAGCCTTTAAAAATAATTATTATAAATTATTATAAAGAATAGCAAGCTAGGCAATATTTAGCAATACCTTTTTAAGTTAGCTAGGTAAGGATTTATTAAAGTATATTAAGGATATTAAGATTTATAAAGAAAAGGCATAGCTTATTAATAAATAGGTAAAGAAAAAAGAAATATAAGCTATGTTTTAATAAGGTTTTAAAGAAAATGCTAAGGCTAAATGGTATTTTTAGCTATTATTAAATAATTATAAGTAAAATAAAGTAAAGCCTTTATTTAAAAAGCGGTTTAAGCTTTATAAAATTAATATTAGCTATAAAGTTAATAATAAGGTATTTAACTTTAAGTAATAAGCTAAGGAAATTATTTAAGAATATATGGCTAAAGCTATAAACCTTTTTTATTAATGCATTAATAAGTAGTTAAAAGAATTAATATATTATTTATATATATATATAGCGGTTCTTAAAAATTATTAAGATTATAAGGCTAATCTTTGCGTTTAGAAGTAGGTATTGGATTGGTTATTTAGCTTAATTAAGATAATTGGGGATGGGGTGTTATTTAATAAATATAAGTTTAAGAATGTTAAAGGCTATGTTTTGGGATGCATTTAGCGCTTAAGGGTAAATAAAGAAGATAAGGGTAAGCTAAAGGCTTAAGAGATAATATTTATAAAGGAGTTAATGTTTTAAATTATATTTATGATTAAGGATTTATTAATTAAGGTGGTTAAATTAAAAAGCTTTGCTTAATATTTATAATTAAGTAATATATTTATATTATTAATAACTATATTTTTAAGAAAGGCTATAAGCTATATAATATTAATGGG